ACAGAAAGGACATACGTAGGACTCGCTGGTCACAAGTTTGTTATCTGCAGTAGCGGTCACGTTCATCAAAAGCCAGACGTCCTTGGCGTTGTAGCCGGAGGGCAGGATAGAATTGAGGCCGATTCCCTTGTAAATAAGCGAATTGTTCAGAGTCGGGATGGAGAATGGCGTGGTCATCGAACTGATCGCATTTCCACTCCAGTCATACCATGTCAATTGCGCGGTGCCTGTGACCGTCTCCCAGCGGTCAGACGTAGCTAGTATGGTGAGCGACTCATTCCCTGGGAACCAGAAGGGATTGATGATGACAGGAGAGTAGACAGTCGCCAAGCCGTACTGAAGGACTTTCCATCTTCCAGAGTATTCAATGGCTGACCAGCTGACACCCTGCCAGATGTCGTTAAGTTGCCAAACCAAACTTCCGAGGTTGTTCTCGCCCAAACCCGCACCACGCCTGTACCATGCGATCTCGGCGACCATATTCATGGACTGGAAAAGCTGAGTGCTCCAGCACCATTGGGCAAAGGTTTGGTTTGAGTCTGAAGTTCCAGGAGTGGGAAGCCAGAGCTCAACAGCACTGGTCATTTGGTACTGGCCTTGAGGCGCATTGGGGTTCGGCCACGAGAGATCGCCAGCGGGAGGATGATGGTCACGGGACATCACGACAGATGAGTTGAATGAGTAGTCTTCAATATTTTCGAGGACCTCCTTCCAGCTGTAGAACGAGGGCATTGAGTGGAAGCTGTAACAGCATTAGTATGGCTCCTTTGATCAATGACAGGTGCACACCCAAATTCATTGACAAACCTGCATTCCTCTCTCTTCAGTCACGGTGTAAAAGTGTTGGTGCTTGGACTTACCGACCAACAGGGTATGTCGTCAGATCGAAGGCCTCCGAGGCATCGTAGTCGTATCGCTCTGTGATGTAAGTGTTAGAAAGCCACTCAATCAAGACTAGATAAGAACACACCAGTATTCCCATAAATATGTCCTGGAGTGCCATTTGCAAAACGAAGGACATAAGGATCGAGACTTAGAACACCGCTAGTTGTCGAACAGTCGGTGTACGGGACAGAGTTCGTCTCGGAAAGCACGATATCATGCAAGTAATCCTGAAACATGTAAATAAACTATGGGGCGAAAATCAGTTAGCCAGTTTTTCTTCTGTAGTAGATTGCGGACCTCATCCAGGTAATGCGTCCCATTATCAAGGGAGGCGTTGGCTGCCATCACGATACCCTCGACTTCGTTGCCACCAGCCCATTGTACATTACTTGGGTGCTTATTAACCCTTCGAACATTCTGACGCACTTCAGGCTCGATGGACTCCAGCAAGAAGTCGTTAATGGGGAATAGTGAGTCGGAGAAAATAAGCTCCGACCACACAAGTATACCGAGCTCGTCGCAAAGACTGTAAAAGCTATACAACCCTCCATCGGTAGTAGCATCGGATGGCTGATAAATGCCGCCACCCCAAACACGAAGCTAGGAACAAATCATCTTCAACTAGTATTCCCATGACTATAGAAATTGTGATACCATGTTTTGGCCACTCCTGACAGCACTCTCCAGGACCCAACGAACTGCCTCAGGTTTGATGCGCGAGTAGAAGGGATCGAAAGGGATTATGTTCGTTCCTTTGCTATAAAACGCCTTTCCGTTGATAGCGAAATGCCATTGGTCACCAGAAGTAATACCTCGGGATGCAATCTCCTCTTCGGAGTAAGGAGTTTGCAATAGTTGGATGGTGCGGAAGCCAGTAATGATAGTCTGGGTGATCGATTCAGCTCTTGGCCCATCGCCCTGACCCGGAGATAGGTCCAAAGTGACAGTTAGGTTGTAAAGCTTGGGGTTGCCAAGATCGACTGGATACCATCTTTCAGGAGTGTTATCTGGAATAGACCAGTTGACACTCAGGTATATGTTCTCATCGACGTTGGCAAGTATAGGTCCAAGATTCAACGGCCCCGATGTGATCTCGAGTTCTGGGATGAACAGAGTGACGGTCGGCGTTTCGAACGATTTAATTGAGCGAATGCCAAACGTAACGTTGACAATCCAGTCTGCAGATTGATCAGGGGTAACAGATGGATTTTGGCCGTACTTGTAAATATCGAGAGACGTTTCCTCCAAAAGGATAGAACTGCTCGTTACTGGGGACGAGGTAGCATCACAAGCTGAATCTCGAAGTTCAGAATCAGAAAGCGTTACAAGGTAGGCCGGTTTGTAGACGCCGCTGGGAACGAAAGCTGGACCCTATTGGTATTGAGAAAGCTGCATACATTGAAAAGAATGATGAGACACACCCAATCCCAGCCAAAGTCGTCGTTGATCTTGCGGATCCACGCACGAACATCAGGGTATTCGTACTAAATCAAACATTAGAAATGCCTTTGGAGACAAACTACGTGCATACATTATCCGAAGTGGTCACACTTTGAGTATTGGGAAAGTATTCGGCATCTGGTCGCATTGTTACATTCAGCCCGTAATACCACGCGCTCTCGAGCGAAATTGTCAGGTTATTATCTTCTCCGGCAGAAGAACTCAGATAGTCTGAGACATCATAGATGTACCGCCGGAACTGGTTATTGACCCAAGCCACGGGATAGCCGGCAAACGTCTAGGTCATCGGCATCAACGCACAAATAAATTTATACGTGAACATCACCACAGACAATATTAGCAATGGTGTCAATTCCATAGAAAACAAGGAGAGTCTTCCTGGACGCGTCATTCTCGTAAGTTTGGGTGAATGGAGTCAAGTCCGCGGTGTACGTCCAGTTGTCGTTGATGACCCATCTTTCCGTGAACTCTGTGATGAATGAACAATCGAATAATCGATTAACACATTGCACAACACACCGTTTATACCGAGCAATGGGTCATTAATGATACCAGCCTCGAAAAGATCAAGGTGAGCCTGCGAGGGTAAGAACCCGGACACAATAATAGAACCATTCTGGTTCTTGAGCGTCCATTGTAGCTCAGAGAGGTCAAAGACCTGTGCACTAGCTAGGGATGACGCAAGGAGGATCCAAAGAGCAAAGCCCATCATGCACGCGGTTGGGGTGCATCGAAATGTTAGTATGGCTTTTATATAGTATCTGGATTCTGGGTTCTAGAAGCACCACATGTTGACAATTATTAGTAAAAGAAGCACTCGAGGTCGCCCCGTATTACTAGATCAGCAAGACATGAAGCATGATGCATACGATTTCCATGTCACCCATCTCGTCATCGAAAGGATGAAGCTGTCACGGTACTGTTGTTTTCTGCGGTCTGGTCCAATTTCTCCTAACAGGATATGCAGAACTGCACTAATGCTTGCAACACATCGAATACGCACTCACGCCGTCGGCTGAAAACCCGAAACCCTGGTTGCAGTGAGCATTGTCACCTTGTGTCGGCTGGCTGAGATATGAGGCCTATACCCACCGCTGATATATGAGAATGAAGACGGCGTAGTTTAGGTGCAGCTGCAAATAACTACAACGATTGACGCATAATTGCATGAGGCAAAATCAATATATTAATCACCTAAGATCTCCGAGCCTGCGCAAGTCAATTGAAGGTGCTTTCCCGGGGAACCACTTCTTTCTTTGGCAAAACAAGTCGCCATATGTATATACCGGAGATTGGGACAGGACCATCCGTCCCTCAGAACTTTCGCAACTTTCAGGTTTCCTCCGTCAAGACGGTCATGAAGGTTTGGGGGAAGACACGGTCGAGCGGACGGAGTTTGAAAAACGATCAATTGACCCCATGACTCCATTCTGGTGAGTTTCCCGTTCCTTCATCCACTCTCCATTCGAATTTATCATCACTAGTGTGCCCTGGTTCTCTGGCGAGGAGTTCAACTCTCGAAGTCCCCATGAATCTACAGTCTTCAATGGCGACTTCTTCAGGAATGGTCTGAGCTATGTCAGAAGCTCCTGACATGGTTCAAACCATTCTTTCTAGGTGCAATTCCAGTTGCCCGTCCTCCGATTCAAGCTACCATTAGTGGATTATTGTCAACACTCCAAGTCATAGATGTGAGAACTTATTTTATTATCACGATGTTTTTTGATTTAAAGATCGCAGCTGAGGCGTGGTCGGAGTAAGGCCGACCTAGATCGCCTGACGTCACGATTTCATCGACTGAGCTTACATCTGTACAACGCCCCGACTGCTCATGATATCTTCGAATAATACCGGAGAGATGCCAGAATTAGGCATATGCTTTATTGACGTGTTCTTGAATTTGCTCGACATCGAGTCGCGCTTTGGATGCTGCAAGACACGTATGCCAAAGTGACACAGTTGTACAATCGTGGTCTCGCATACACATCTGTCACACAAGCTATCATCGGATGCTCTAGCGAAATCGACCATTAGCTGAGTGATTATTTGGTTTCGTTCTAATCTCTCAAGATTTGTTTGCATGCACTTACTATTCTGCTTTGTTAGTGGTCATCTCAAATGCAAAGTGAACACGACATCTGCGCAGGAAATCCTAATGTGAATTGGGAGCGTGTCTTTCCCTGGGCAATCATCCGTAGGGCCGATCGTCACACTAGTAGATTAGTAGATGCAACAAGCCGCGCACATCCAACACCAATGGACATCTACAACTCATTCGAGGTAAGCCTCGCTGTAAGATCCATCTTTGGGAAGCTTACTTGTTCAATTTTCTTTAGCGATTCCATGAGCAGCTCCGGCTTCTATTCAAACATGACTCGACCCAAGCTGAAATTCAGAGATGGTATATGGAGCAAGGACAATACGATATGTGCATTGACAAGTGACCCAACTTACAAACCGTGAATGGCCAAGCATTGAAGCAGGTATGGCTAGCGTTGAATACCAATGTCATTTTTGCGGCGTTTGTCAATCATACGAGCGCTACCAAGGCGTAATTTGAAAGTCTGTAGACACATACTTTCAATATGAGTGCTAAGGATACAACTTGAATTTGATAAACTTGACTACTGCTTCAGCTTGTTCGACAACATCCTTTACAATTTCAGAGCCTGAGGAACAACCTCCACCCAGTAGCTAAGGCATCATCATATGAGCGAAACAATGTCAAAGATTCAAGTAGAAAAACACACCCATCGGGATCCAAGATGAAGGCTATGTGCCTCATCTTACCATCGGTGAGACGCTTTTTGAAGGGAACCCCAAGGCTTTCAAAACGCGCACACGCCTCCTCGATATTGTTCACGGTAATAGCGATATGGCCAAAACCCCTACCAGGGTCGGAATTTCCATTGGCGTAGCCTTGGAAGTTTGGGTCGGACTCGGTGCCGTGGTTGTGAGTGAGCTCGAGGATGCCTGGTACATATGTGCACGTGAGCTTATCAAAGATGACGCCTGATAGGAGGCAAATTTACCCTCGCGGTTGAAACGAGCCTTGGCCTTCTGCTCAGCTGGGAGTGAGGCGATCCCGTCGTGGTCATAGGCAAGGAAGTAAAGGGTGAAGTCGCCCATGTTTTGCTCTGTACATATATTCCGTGGTACACTCATTGATACGAGGATTCGAAATCCATCTCACCAGAAACCAGGTCCATGCCGAGGGTCTCGACAAGTAATACTTAGTCAATTTGGTTGCACTGACACAGCAGGATAACTTACATCCATGTAGAAAGGTAAGGACAACTTCGGATCCTTAATACGAATCATGGTGTGGTTGAACTACGATATCTCGAGTTAGTTCTCATCCTACTAATGAAAGTTATGTTTCCTTACCTTGAAGCCCTCTGTCGCAGCGGTACGAGGCATGGTGGCTGGAGTCGTGGAGTGGAAAGTGCGTCGAAGAATGGGAGCCCGTCTGGCTTGGAAGGCGTTCAAAAGAAAGCGGTTCAAACTCATTGAGAAAGGGGATCATATGACTAAGTCACAAGACCGTAAGTTAGCCTATTTTAAATGCAGTTCGTTCCGTGAAGGAACTGGGATTCCGTCACTAAACTTGTCGATTGTTAATTTAGTCTCACTTACAGTAAATCAGGACAGTTGCTTAGGAGTTTATCAGCAAGGTACCAGCACTATAACCTTACTGCGAGGTAAATCTTGGGCTTCGTAACCTCATTTGACCCACATTGTAACAAACGAGTGGTTTTGGGATCTGTTTGCAGCTAAGACAAAGTAAGGGGCAAACGGAGTAAGGATCGACGTAGTTGATACTGTCCGTGATCAAGAATATTAAATCTCCAATACAGGATATAGGAATGATGTCCGATTTTGATAAATAAAGAATTCATCCGTCCTGCAGACTTTTAGCTGGATCGGGAAGATGGGGGCCGATTGGACACCAGCTCATGATCACCGCGGATATTAATAAAAGAATACTGAAAGAACGTCAGTCCTGATGCACCGACATCGACATAACAATAACAATACATACCTCTATAAGGTCTGGGCGAGCGCCTCTGACAAGGTTTATGTAGACAAGATTTGGCTCAGAGAAGAACGGCCTCAAGCCAGCAGCTTCCAGCTTTTCCCACCACGCGAGGAATTTTGGGAATTCGTTCCAAACACTGCCTGGGTATACGTGCACTTCGAGCTGAATTTGGCCGAATGGGAGCGGTTCACCATTGAAAGAGTCGATGAAAGTTGACAACGAATCAAACTCGTTGCCCTCGATGTCAACTTTGAGGATGTCAATGAAATCGTGTCCATTCAGTTCCATGAGAGTGCGAAGAGTGTACGTTTTTGGATCGTCGGCTACACTGTGTTTGTCTTCAGATCCAAGTGCGTATGAGAAGAAGTGGGAGCGTGATTTCAAATCCCTGTCTTCTTCGATCTCAGGACCAAACTGCACGACGCGTATGTCATTTCGAATCAACCAACGCTGAGAAAACAAACTTACGGAACGGACACTGAAATCATAACCATAAAGCTGACAACCGGGCGCTGCCTTCATAAGGTCCGCCTCAAAAGACGACTCGCCGTTAACCCCTGATCAGCCATCAGCCATCATTATGATCCGATGGTCAAGCAGCAAATTATCGCACCGAAAGAATATATCGTGCATTCGCGTTTGGGAGCTATGCGTTCTAATCCACAGACCCATTTACCTCCATCGCCCAAAATCCCAACACGCTCGACGCGATGAGGGCATCTGAATGACGGCAAAAAGAAGTCCCCTGCGAAGACGTTCCATATGAGCCCTATATCCACCGCCACGTGTTCCTATTGACGGGATTACTCACAGAGCGTGTAAAACTCGCCATGCGAGGGGAACCTGCCAGTGAGAGAATATCAAATGAGTTGTCGTCAGAATCCCGCAGTGAGGTGATTGCGAACTTACGGGTCAACCTTATCGGGTGTCGGCCCCCATTTTTTTATGAGTTGCTGTCGTCTCTGCACCATTTCTTCGTAGTACACCTCTTCCGAGGCAAGGACCTCTGCGAGCACGGCATCCCTAGATCTGCTGAAGGCCACTGAGCGTACTGAGCTCAAAGACTCCGAGTCGCTCGCAAACATGACCAACGAAATGAAGATTAATATGAGAAGGATGACCGTAAATCGGGGGTGGCGTGCATAGAGTGCCATGGTGTTGAAACCAAGAAACTTGAAGGAATGTCGTGGAAGGCTGCTATGTATATGGATTCAAATTGTACAGCCACAGGCAAGTAATAACACGGATTACTGGCGTTGCTGCCAAGACTATCGCCCTGCTTGCAATGAGCTCACACTGTCACCAGGTCGTGTGAGCCTTACGGCTGGTTCAATTGGAGTACTCCAAGACTCATCGACATCTTTGGAATATACTTTTGTTATAGATTAGATATATGTAGTCTGAAGTTGCCGCAGTTCGTTTCTGAGATCTGAACCTCGAGCCGAACTACGTTTCGTCGGTCCAACAATACATAATGTGATCCAGTGGTAGCGGTTCGGTACCGTTGTGGACCTTCTCTTCGGAACTATGAGATCCGAATGTATGTTACAAGTAACAAGGCTCTCGGGTAGATTTGGTACCATATACAGTTGTGTACCAACACACTGGCACCTGATAAATTTGTCTCCTTCTGACATGGACCAATGCGCGGCCAATGTTGACGCGTTGACGAATCACTTGAAGATGCCTGCAATATAGAGTGTATTCATCTACAACCAGCATAAAAAAATGCCCTACTCCTAATTCCTTCTCCATCTCCGACGTTATATTCCTTTGCCTCCTTCGATGACTATTGCATGCTTACTGTAAATTTCTTGCCATTCGCTATCCAGCGAGTCGCATTGCACTCGGATTCTTGCCTATCCAAGGATCTTCCGTGAAGCGTGAACACGCATTGTCTGATTTTAGGCTCGCAGACACGAAGCCGCGTGCTCGCCTTCAAGTTCTCTCGCAGAACTTTGGTAATATCCAAACTGCCAAGGGCATTTACAAAAGGAGCGGGAGCGTCAGAAAGGGGAGTTGACTGCTCAGCGGACTGCGCAGAAGAAGCGCTTGATGGATCATGCAGCGCAGGAAGTGCAGAAGCCCAATTCAGAATGATAATCTCGAAGTTGCAACCTGGAAAGAATTGCATAGAACTGGTCCATCACTAAGCTAATACTCCAGGTTCGGGTCCACCATAAACTGCATGCATAGCCACTGTCCGAGTTCAGAAATCTGAGATGTGCCAGAACCGGACTTGTCAGTCCGCGTGCAGTGAGCAAGTGGCAAACCGGAGTAAACCAATGCGTTTCCAGGAATTTCATTGAAGTTCACTGTGATCCGAATAAATGCTGACCTGTGCCTGATAGCGGGGGTGATAGTACTCACCTAATCTCATAAGGGTTTCTCTCACAAAGTGACAGAAATGATAGGTCCTGACTAGTCGGTTGTGGGCCTGGTGAGGCATTGTAACTCCTGACGTGGACACTAAAAATTGTGTCCCTGGCTAGGGCTTACATGGGTTGACACACTTCAGAATGATCGACGCGCGTCTAGTAGGAATCCAGCATCAAATCTTGAATCGCCGGTGCCCTCAAAAATTCGAGGAGTACCTTCAACGTCTGAGTTGGCCACCACAAGACTAGACTGGCGTCGAAAGCGATGAAGCATGGTTGGTGGAAACAGCGACGAAATTCAACAAGCGGCTATGACCAATCGCACGGCGTGGGAATAATACGGTAGTTACCGAGCGGACTGTCTAAGCATACTACCTCTAAACACTGTCGAGGGAGCATAGCGAGCTCAAAGGAATCGAAACCCCTCAGCCAAACGTCGCAGCAAGTCGACGTCCAGCACAAAACTACGCTTACGGTATGTTTGAACATCTCATTGTTCCAATTTGTGCAGTTTTCATTGGCGGATCGGGTGGATTGACGATGTAGAAGGCGGATGGATGTATGATATTGGTGGAATATATGGGCTATATAGGAAATCATCTCAAACGACGAACATAATACTGATCTTTACTACTGTGTTCAGGCCCATCATGTCGTCAAAACTTCCCTCCGTCCTGAGCGCAACTGACGAGGAGATTCAACTCCTCCTGGCAGCGCAATGTCACATTGGCACAAAAAACTGCGATAAGCAGATGGAGCCTTATGTCTGGAAGCGCCGCGTTGACGGTTAGTCCGCCCTCAAAATGATGTTCACGCCTCTCATGCACAAATTCCATTTGCGCTGTCTTGAATTCTTGTGTGCACAGGCATCCACATTCTCAACATCGGCAAGACTTGGGAGAAGCTTGTCTTTGCCGCACGTGTGATCGCCGCTGTCGAGAACCCTAACGACGTCTGTGTCATCTCTGCTCGCCCCTACGGACACCGTGCAGTCCTCAAATTTGCTGCCAACACTGGCGCACAAGCCATTGCAGGCCGTTTCACGCCTGGTTCCTTCACCAACTACATCACTCGCTCTTTCAAGGAGCCCCGTCTTATTATCGTCACCGACCCTCGCGTTGACCACCAGGCGATTCGCGAGGCATCGTATGTTAACATCCCCGTCATTGCGCTTTGCGACACGGATGCACCTCTCAAGTTCGTCGATGTTGCCATCCCCACGAACAACAAGACACGTCATTCGATTGGTTTGATTTGGTGGTTGCTCGCACGGGAGGTGTTGAGGCTCCGTGGGACGATCCCTCGCACTCCTGATGGCTGGAATGTGATGGTTGACATGTTCTTCTACCGCGACCCTGAAGAAGTGGAGAGGCAACAACAGGAGGAAGCACAGGCTAAGCTTGCCGCTGCTGAGCCAGAGGTGCAGGGTGGTTTGTCGGAGTGGGATGCCCCATCCGCTCCTCAGCCAGGCTCGATCAACCCTGCTCTTGTTGCGCAAGACGGTGGTGAGTACAGATGCCGTGTCAGGATCTACCTATATTTACCCATGTGTTGCAGGTGCTCTCGACTGGGCAGCAGACGCTGCACCTACTACCGATTGGTCAGCAGAGCCTGCTTCAGGTGGATGGGGAGCGGAACCCACCACTACTAGCGGGTGGGATTAGGCGTTGTACGCGACATAATTCTCGATGTGCATGCTTTGCTTCCTCTCCTTTTACATTGCTTGCGACCTTTGACATGCAAAATATAACATCATGGTCTCACTCCCTCATGTGCTCGGGTGGTGTATTGTTTCGCCATATTTTAAGCATAAGTGAACTTTCAAGCGTTCTCACTCACATCCACTATATTACATGCATTGTGGGAGCAAAAACCTTTGCATTTGAGTAGTAGGCTCGTGAGCAGCCTGGTTTATACACCACTGACAAGTCCAGCGGTACATCAAGCGGCGCTTAGCATCTGAGAGATGTAACTGAATGAAGTACTGAAGCTTAAAGGTGTTGTACCTGTGATTCATGCTACATAGTTTGTCAAGTCGTCTTGTTTCTATCGATTATCAGCATGGTTCACAATTGTGTACTGCGTCACATTTTACGATTGAACGGGCTCAAAAAAAACATGTTCGTCAAAGCAAATCAAATTAATTGATACAAAACTAGTTATAGAAATCCATCAGACAGACGCTCGACTCGCTGGCTCCGTTTCACTAAACTGCAAGCAGTCGCGCGAAGAACAAAACCAAACGTCCTCGAAACCCCACGTAAACGCGAAGCCATGTTCTCTGTCGAACGAGAGAGCGCGGTTGTCATCGAGTGGATTTGAAGAATGTGGCATGTGTAAACATGCAAGACTCGAGTTAGTTTCTATAAAATAGATCCTAGCTGAGTATGTTCTAAGGATTTCACTACGTCGGGTACGAGGTTTATATATCTTTTCGACATGGTCCGTGCGCGATACTCTCACGGCTCTCGACTCCCTCGCTTGATTATTGAAATTATCCAAGGTGGCAATTAGTCGTGATTTTTCTTACAATACTCTGAACGACGAGGGTGGCTACAGCATCATCTCACCCTAATTAACTTGGTATGTGACATACTTCAACTTGAAGTCGTTTGCAGTGCGGCTAAATTACTTACTTCATTCAAAGACGCGATAGCTTATATATATATTGGGGAAAATATCATCATTGCCTACAGATTATAGAGACTGTGCTTTTCCCCACCTGCAGTGACCAACTGGATCGCAACAAGCGTGGATGCTGAGCGCTGAATAGGCTCGGAGCAGCGGATATAATATTCCTGAGATCCAAATATTTCCCTCGCGGGCCGCCCAGCGCACCTCTATCTCGTTTCGTGACTAGTCCACCCCTACAAAGGACGGACTGGTCCGCTCCGCTCCTCTTTGATTACTATGTGATGATTTGTCTCAATCAAATAAATATTACCTAACCCTACTCAATAACAGTTTATTTCGTCAGTCTATTTTTTTTGAACGCTCAGGCCTCAGGACGAAATAAACCATCAAGTAAGATTTGTGCGCTGTGCCTGGCACGGAGATCGAAACACGAGCAGCCGAACGACTTGCCGACATTGTGCAACCCAGTACATTCATCCCGCGATAACTCACTGCATCGATGACGTCAGCCCCAACGGAGCAGCAAGAGAGAATCTACAACAAACCTCTTGGAAACTATCCCAGTTGCACTCCTAGCTGAGGCCAAAGACTCTGGAGATCAGCACATTGCTATATCACTCGAATGAATGAATCATCCGTCCTCGGAGCACGGCACAACGAAATGCCGCTGTCGCTATGATGCGTACGACCGACGTGTCGGGAATCTCATACGGTAAACCGTCATAAGTTTTTTGATTCGTATATTTTTGTCACATCCACTGCGACCTGCCACGTGGATTTATGCGTCCCGTCTTCTTGTGTTGTGAATTTGGCATTTTCAAATTTGTCTCGAATAGGGAACTGTTGCTGAATGGTTTAGCAGGTGGTTTTATTTCGAGCGGAACAGGTCAGCAACCCACTGAATGGCGAATTGGTCCGGGAGGGCATAAAGACCATACGGTCTTTGATTGATATTTGTACGTTTTGATATCACTCTGTTGGAAAAATCAACTTCTCAAGGATCCCTAGTGCCAGCCAGGAGCAGCTGATGATGGACACTAAGAGATGGTGATGCCGTTTTCCAGGCAATAATATTATAAGATGGGATTTGGACCGGTCCACTGGCGATTCGGCGTATAATATCGTCATATCTTTTACCCTATGGAATTGCTGTTTTCTGGAACCTCGTAGGTCCCCGCATATTATGGTCGACGGCTGTCGACGGTCGCCCTCTCTCAAATATACTGGGGAACCAAACTGCACTAACCGGGGACCGCTTCCATGGTACAGAGTCACACATACCACGAGATCGTAATTTCTTCAGATTTGCAACCGTGAAATAACCATTTAGCTCCCAGCGCAACAATATCGGGACCTAGTTCACTCGTATGACAGAAATGCTATAAGAAGTCGGCACGGTTACGATTCCCTCTCAATCTCTCAAGTCTCTTGCCATGCTATTCACCTTCGTTTTACCTCTTTTTGCCCTATCCGCTGTGGGCGCGAGCCCATTCACCGCCCATTCTATTGCCGCCCGTTCCATTGCCGCCCGTTCTAATGACGCCCGTTCTACTAAATCCTTAGCAGCAAGTTGGTACGCCGGATGGCACGCTACTGAGGGAGTTCCGCTTTCTTCAATTTCGTGGGAGAAGTACAACACGTTGTACTACTCATTTGCGTAAGCTACCTGTCTCGCCAATAAACTTGGATGAGGTGATTAACGTGATCGTGTTTGTTTATCTTAGAGAGACCACTCCAAGTGTCACCAGTCTTACCCTGGCAGGCTCTGATGGCGATCTGCTCCCTCAATTCGTCTCTGAGGCTCATGCACATGTGGGCAATAATAATTTACGTTCCTACAATCAATGTCTAACACATACGCAGGGTGTCGAGGCCCATATTGCTGTGGGAGGCTGGACTGGGAGTGGGTGGTTCTCTTCCAACCTTGCCACTGCCAAAAACCGGACGGCATTTGTCAAGACTGTGAAAGAATTTGTTTCACAGTACAACCTCGATGGCGTCCAATTCGAGTAGGTTGATTCTTGTGACTTTGACGCCACGCGCTGACTTTTTCCAATAGCTGGGAGTACCCAAACCATCAGGGAATTGGCTGCAACACCATTAACGCTAACGACACGGCAAATTTCCTCTCATTCCTCCAAGAGCTTCGCAGAGACCCAGTAGCAGCAAAGCTCACCCTCTCAGCCGCTGTCTCTATCACACCCTTCAATGATGCTACTGGAAATCCTTCTGCTGACGTCAGTGGGTTCGCGAAAGTGCTCGATTACATCGTTCTGATGAATTACGACATCTGGGGCTCTTGGTCCACGAGTGTGGGCCCGAACTCCCCGCTGAACGACACCTGCGCTGTGTCCGCGAATCAACAGGGCTCTGCTGTTTCTGCAGTCAAGGCTTGGTCGGACGCAGGAATACCAGTCAGCCAGATCGCGCTCGGCGTTCCTACCTATGGCCACTCGTTCTCCGTCTCCCCCTCTGACGCCTTCGAACATGTCAAAGGTGGTTCGACGAAGAAACTGGCTGCATATCCCTCCTTTGACGCCAAGAACCAGCCCCTCGGTGATGCATGGAGTGGCGCTGCTGGTGTTGATTCCTGTGGCGCTGCCGTGGGCCCAGGTGGCACTTTCAACTTCTGGGGCCTCGTTGAGGGCGGTTTCCTCACCAAAGAAGGCAATCCCAGTGGTAACATCTACTACAGATATGACACCTGCAGTCAGACGGTAAATATATATTTTTTCATCCTGAAGGAGGATTGCTCATTTCGTTTCTTTTGCAGCCCTATGTGTACAATGAGACTTCACAGGTCATGGTCTCCTTTGACAACGCTGAATCGTATGCTGCCAAGGGTAAGTATATCAAGAACACCGGGTTGCGCGGTTTCGCAATGTGGGAAACTGGTGGTGATTACAACGGTATATTGCTCGACTCTATCATCAAGGCTTCCGGGTGATGGATACGTCGCCACTGTGTAAGGACTGGAACAACACTACCGAATCACACTCATTAGCAACATCACTACATACCCATACCTTGCATTGATTATTTCTATTAGACTCGTCGCCAGAAAAAAGGGTATTCCCTTTATTCACGCCGCCGGTGCATCATTGGCTGCAACGCCTTTAGCCTCTCTTTTTTTTTAATAATTACAACCACCTTCCAGTGTTTATATAATAGTTGGCTCGAGCATAAATCAAGTCATTTGTCATTAAGTCCTAAATATAACAACAGATGCAGGCAAATGGCTGAAAGGGTTGCGCATAGTAGCGTCGAAAAGCAGAACATAGATGTGACTTAGACTCGTAACCAGTCTAGACTTTGTCTTTCACATGAAAGATGAAATCCAGAGTGGTCACGAGTCTAGATGTGACCAGCCTTTGCTTGAAAAGACATTTCCAAATGGACACACGAGAAATATGATTGTTTTTCCTGAGACAATTTTAGTAGCATACACCCCAAAGGCCCTCTTGGTCCTTTTTGAACATGCTGGTACCGAAAAAGGTTCTATAACATGTTTTCAGCTTCCGAAGTCAGTATAAAACGTATAAGATACAAACGAATTCTTGAATGAATGCAAGTGGAGGACATCCGAGGCCAACTCGTAGAGTAGGCAGGTGCTGATTCGGAGCGTAGACTCGGACGCCCATGCTGTGCGTGGGGGTTTCAAGGTCAGACACGCCTCTTGACAACCTCCATGCGCATCAATGGAACAGAGCAGGGAATCGGTCGAGGATGTCTCCCAGTCAGATTGTCAAAGATCAATCCAAACTATGATCTTAACCGTCCGACTGGGAGACTTTAATCTCGAGCTGCGGAAGTGAACAAAGCGTAATCAGGGTGTCGGACTGGCCAATGTCACGGGTCCATCTGTGAAGAGCTGTGCATTTAACACATGTCGATTGTGGATCATGATGGTGACCGGTGGACCGGTGATAGTTGGGCTTGAAGATAACAAAATCAGATTCACGCTGCAAAGATATAAACTGACGTGTCATCGGGCCGGAGACGCGACGCGTTTTCAAGCTCCGCCGCAAAACGCGTTGACCATATACGAACGCGCCCCCACGTGACTCATATTCTCTTGACTGTTTACTACCATGTACTCCACATATATGTGGTCGATCTCTCCTCCTCCAAACCTCCCAGCAAAGCTTCGGAGGAAAAGTTCTTCAGCCTCTATAAACACGCCATCATTATTTGAGCCAGATGACAATGATCTAGACTCTCCGTCACCCGTGACATCTCCGCTACCTTCATCCTCACCACTTTCAACACCGATATACTCTTCCCCTCCAAATCATATCGCGACTCGTTATTCATACTCGCGTTCACAATTCCAACATTCATACGAAGAATCTCATTCGGAGTTTGATGATGCACCAGGTTCACCAACGCCTTTCTATCATCGGGGTCGCACTTCCAAATATGTAGCGCACCAGCAGGTGTCCGACAAGTACGGAAGTTGTCCTGAGAGTGAAGATGAGATGGTGGACTCTGAGCCTTGTCATAGCGATGACTTACTCTCTTGGCTTGGCCCGCAGTGTCCGGCACGTGATGTACGCAAAGACATTGGGTACGAGCCCGAAAGCATGGATATCCATTTGCGCCGGACATACTTCGCTACATCTTCCGAACGTGGTCGCTGGCAAAGCAGTCCAGTCATACCTCAAACGTACAACGCCAAGCCGTTTATATCCAGTCCAATACGCCCCCATAGGGGGCATTCAACCCCTGTGAAAAGCATCACTCGAGACGTGAAGTCCCCTTTGTTGGAATTCCGTGATTTTGTGCGTAGGCAATCGACAAGCGGAGTAAAGGTCGATCCATCTAGCTCTCCATTCCTTGCAGCCAGTGACAGCAACGATATTGAGGACTATCGTAGTCTTTCGCCCCTTCCTCCGTCGTCGCCACCTACGTCCCCGATGTCACTGGCACCGTCGCAGCCAGACGATTGTGCCTTGATCGATGATGATATGGTTCTCAACAACGATGTGAGTTCTTTAATTTCGGTATCTCTATCCGTTTCCTTACGATTGAATATGTATGTGCATGTTGTGTAGTTCGATCCCAAGCAAACAAATATCCATTCTTCAAACGTCACGCCACGCGACGTTTCTACCTCCGAGGCCCCTTTACTATTGGCCTCAGAACATGCGTTAAACGCAGCCTCAAGCACGTGCTCCTCCTCCTGTACGAACGAGGCAACTCATCAGCCTCTTAAACTTTCGCTTACTGTGCCTGCTCCCATTAACACTATTACCACGACTCCCACCACTAAGATCGAGCCTTTGCGATCGTATCCGCATTCGCCTACAAACTCGTTACTAGGACTTAGCGCATACACTAATATTCCATCTGCTGTCACTCCCCCACCTCACTTGGGTGATGAAGAAATGGGGCTTGTGACCAGAAATACGACATCTACTGGTGTGGTCGGCGTTCGTACGATCGTCGATGCACAAGTCGTTCAATGCGACAATACTACTTCACAATCTACGCAGATTCGCGTTTCGAGTGTTTCTGCAATATCAGCAGACACGAACCCAGTTGACCCACTCCCCGCAACCTCCATTACCATCCCAAACTCTCCCTCGAAGACGGTGAAGAAGCCGCGGCCAAGTTTTAGTGACGGGGAGTTTGTACAGGGGAGCAGCATCTCACATCCCCAACCCCAGACTGCACGTAGGAGCAACTTGATGCGTACAAAGTCTCCGGAAAACGACATCGATTTGACGCCAGAGCCATCAAGGCCCCAGCCTGAGTCCAAGTCAAAACAAGGACTGAAACGGGAGGACTCTGTCTCATCTATAACGCCTGCACAGAAGAAACCTCGGCTCTCGGAGAATGTGGACCATGATACGGACCGGGTGCCCAGGCGCAAACAACGCAAGCGTAAAACTTCCTCGAGTGCGAAGGAGAAAATTACAGTTCGCAAATCACGGTCACGATCTCGCTCGTGTCTCAAATCAATGTCTTCTGAAGAGGATTTGCGCACACAAGTTGCTCGCATCTGTGACGAGCCTCAAGTACGCAATGGTTCCGAAGTTTCTGTGACAAAGGTCGAAAGTCCCGTTACCAACTTAGCACCCCTTGATCCAGAGCAAGTTGAGATCACAGGCATGCTTGTAGAGGCTCTTGCCACATCGCGTGCCTCGTCTATGGACCCGCTTGCTCTACACACTGCCATTACCCAAACGCACCCCCATCTCAAAACGAAACACAATAAAAAAGAGTGGCTTAACCTCATTCCAGCCATACTTGAAGCGGGGCGCGAGCGATGTGGGATGTTTGAGAAAGTTCAGAGTAGTGGGACGGACGGGGCAAAGCAGGCAAGGTGGTTTTATGTCTCTGATAGGGACGAAGACCGTGAGCGTGCGGGGCTACTGGAGGAGCTCATGCCAAAGCAGAAGAGGAACGAGACGAAGAAGTTCAAGAAGTATTATTATCCCCCACTGCAGAAGGTTTCGAGGTGGGACTCGGAGGATGCGATTTGACATTTGGGAGTGAATTTTTAAAGCTTTGCAAGACACTTGCGTTTTATGTGGACCCTCGTGGTTACTGCCTTTTGTTGATGTTCAAACGTCCCTTCCCATTAATGTCCTCGATCGCGATCTTTTTTCACATTCACCATGACTGTAGCCCACCACTTATTTACCATGAAACACTAATTTGTTTCTTGAGACCAGTCCGGCCTAGACTAGAAGTCTACGGGCAGTGCGAGTCTAAGCGAGCTCCTCCCAGTTTGGCTTGAATTCAATTGAAAATTTGGACGCCGCTTTTAGTCGCGTAATTGAGTCGGGCACGTGTTATACTTTCGTCGCGTCGTCTGAGTTAAACTGGGGTCATTAATACCGCACCCTTTTGAAAGCCACCCTCAGATAGTTTGCGTTGACTTTGATCAACAAACTTGGTTCCGTGGAATTATCTTTTCCTATCTTTCTCCTTCCAGCATCGACGACGGCCAAAGCCTATCATCAAAGCACGTTCGCTTATGCAAGTTTCCTTGGTTTTCTACTTCTAATTCGAGGACTTTGTTGGTTTTCATCGCTTATAGCCCTTTGTTGCTGTGGGTGCGCAGACAACTGAAGAAATTTCATTAAACCTACCACTGACACAGGAAATTCTGCCTATATAAACTCGCTCTTCGAACCTACCTTCTCAAACATCCCTCATTCACCACGAACAAACAGTCTCACTAGACAACATGATCCAACCACCCGTACAGATCCCTACCGAATCTATACCTCTCGATGATTCTATGATCGAGGAAACGCAACAAGCAACGCAGTCTACGCAACACGCGTCTCAACCGAATCCTGCAAACACCAATAGTCATTTGTGGGGCTACCTTCAACCATGCAACAACCTGCTCCGTCGCCTGGATCTTTGGAAAGTTCAGCCTGCAGTTTCTGTAGGAAGAGCTCCCGACAACAATATCGTTCTCCCTGGGGGAAAAGTTAGTGAGTGTATAACGTGTACTTGGTGGCGCTTTAGATGCTTTATATTGACGCGTCGCGGTGTAGGTAACAAGCACTGCCGAATCACCTGGGACGGAAGGGAGGACAAAAACTCTGCAGTGACCGTTCTAGACACTTCCAGCAATGGCACTTGGGTACGCGTCAGTAACACGATCTAATGGCCACCGTTTGATGGCAATATTTGCAGATCAACGGTGTCAAGATTGGAAGGGACAAAACTGCAGTCCTCAAGGAAGGCAATGAGATTGCTTTCGGCTCTCCCCATCCTCAACCCGGGGAGCTTGAAGACTATCGTTAGTTATTCACATTCGCGTTGATGTTCTCTCATCAACGCATTTTTCAGGATTCATTTACCGGCACACTGCTGCCGGTTCCCCGCGGGGCGGCCTTCATGCTCAGTATGACATCAGCCATGAGATCGGCAAGGGGTCATTTGCAACTGTCATGAAGGCTGTGTCGCGTGCGACGGGCCAGTGGTATGCTATTAAGGTTATTCAAGACCATAAGGTCAAGCGTGCCACTGCTAACAGCAACGAAACGGCGTTTGCGCGAGAGATCAGTATCTTGGAACGGCTCCATCATCGAAATATTTGTCAGATGAAGGAAGCCTTTTTCGAAGATAATAGTATCAGTGCGTATGTTCGGTATATCCTACTAATCTAAGCTGATTAATCGTGTAGATCTCGTCCTCGAATTTGTCGATGGAGGAGATTTACTCGATTACATATTAAAAGAGAATGGTCTGAGTATGTTATTCGGTTCGTCGATGTTTGTTGATTCTCAGGGTTATTTCCAGAGGAGCCGATGGCTGTCCACATAATCGCGCAAGTTTGCGATGCCCTTGCAGTAAGTCAACTCGCTCTGCGATACCGTAAATTCGCTGACCTGTCGCCTGTCCAAAGTACATCCATAGCAAGGGGATCGCACACCGTGACCTGAAGCCCGAGGTAATGGATTTCCCTTGAAGCTGTTGATTCCATTATGAATGTCGGCCGTTTAGAACGTACTGCTTACTACGGACAACCCCCCCATTGTCAAAGTTGCCGACTTCGGTCTCGCCAAGGTCGTCGATAGTGTCACTTTCCTCAGAGTCAGCAATCCCATTTTTGACTCCCTAACATATCACTGATGGGCCTGTGTCCTGCAGACTATGTGCGGTACACCTGCATATCTCGCCCCCGAAGTTGTGACCCAGCAAAACCAGGAAGGCTACGATCATCTTGTCGACAGTTGGAGCGTTGGGGTGATCGTATTCTGCATGTAAGCATGAGACCTGTGTGTGCCATCACGCCCTTGTTTGCTGAACTAGAGATGTTTTCGCAGGTTTACATTGTCGAGCCCCTTCATTGAAGATGAAAACCAGCGCGACATCAAGGTGAGGATCGCAGGACGCACAATCCAATGGAGCACTTTAGATAATATAGACGTTTCTCCGCAAGGTACGCCTTCCCATCAATTCTTGTAGTATACTGACTTACGAGTGTACGGTCGAATAGCGAGGAACTTCATTGAGATGTTGCTCGAGCATGACCCTAGGGATCGTATGTCTCTCAGCACAGCCTGCACTCACCCATGGCTTGCCGACGTTCCAACGCTCTCCCATCTTCAACATCGTTCCATTACTGATTCTTCCGTCGCATCTATTCAAGATGGCTCTTCCTCCATCTCCTTGCTCGACTCCGAAGACACGGAGATGACCGATGGCTCAAGCGAACCCGCGGTAAGCGAGGGTTTCGATAAGCTTCACCTGCGCCAACAGTCTGCCCGTGCACCCCTTCAACAGCGTGCGCAGGAAGTCGCCCAAGCTGCTGAGAACGATCAACGCCTCATGGAACCGAACTGGCAGATGGTACAACATGCACAAGAAATTGCAAATAGCGTGCGAAATGGGAAGCGCAAGTTGGACCCACAAAATCCTCTGCCAGAGATGGACGTCGAGAATGGGAAACCAAAAAAGTCAAAGCGAGTACCGGAGGCGAATGGCCCGACTACGCGCACCAGAGCCGCAAAGGGGCGTAGCCGGGGAGGTGCGTCGTCTCCACTGGCGCGGTTGCAGGAAGCAGCGGTAGGGATGATCGTGGAGGAGGAGCATCTAGAGGACGACGAGGATGCGGAAGAAGCTGCTGGTGCTGCATTCCATGCTCCACCAAGAAAATCTACTCGCGTATCTCCCAAAAAGGGGACACGCCGGGGGTGAGAAGGTGAATGTGTATAATATCTTATGCTTGGTTATTGGATTCCTCTTGTCCCATTTGTATTGTCATCGCTTGACCTTTATCCCCTCACACTCTCTCTATGTAACCTTGATAACTCACAGTCGTTAATTTACTGCTATATTCTATCGATATCCATTCATTTGCTATGGGAATGCTATTGAAATTTGTGTTTCGTCTTCGAGCCCTCGGGTGTTCCAGCATCAGCACACAGTAAGTATAATACCGCTATGAAGCGTGCCATGTGAAGCACACCGTGATAGACAATAAGCACGGGCCATCGAACCAAAAGAAACGACATGGCCATGGTTATTGTCCCCCATGACGAGAATCCGGGAAGTAGTACAAAAGCGACAAATAGTGGGCAAGCCAGTTCAATACAATGACAGGTGTCGCATGAAGAGTGCTTATACTTCCAGGGCCAAGTCAAAAACTGTGCATTCCCAAATGTAGCATCCAAAACTACTCTAAAGTGGGGTAAAGTACCTCCCGGTGCGGATCGGCATAATAGCAACCATGATGTCGATAGTATAGTCAACAAGACCTTGTAACTCGACTGCGACGGCCTCGAGCAATGCCTGTAATATTTTGGGACAATAAAACGCTGAAAGCAATGAGCAAAGTCACTTACACATCCATCATTGATAACGTCCTGAGCCAGAGTCTTGATCAAAGACCTTTCAAACAGAGATTATCTAAAGGACTTGAGATAATAATGAAAAAGAGCCGTAAACATCTGAACGACATACCTTATTATGCATATGGTTCAGTTTCTTCCGCTGGTCACTGGTGTAACATCGCATCCGCGATACTGCATACTTCCGAGTCCTAGAAATCCACAAACCTTCCGAGTCCAACCTAGTCCAACTTGAGAAACCGCTGGCAGTACCGTTTGACATATGTCGCATTCTTGATGATCAAAGTTGTCTAGCTAATAAGTCTGATTAGCACTGCCAGGTGGTCAGGGTGACTTAACCAATTCGGCATAAGATCATTCCGAAATCATTTCAGCATTGCTGATGCGCATCATGTTAGCATGACGTCCTCAAGACTGGGAGGAATGATGGTATTGCCGCGGGTTGCATGAGCCGATGCGCTCAGGGCTGCCCGTTGCGGTAGAACCGTTTATAGCAGCAGCGAGAAGGAACTGCTTTTGGGATGCACCATGCCAAGCTTACTACTCAGTGGTCTAAGATCTTTATCCTGGATCACGTCGAACTTGAGTAAAATGTGCAGCTGTTGTATTAGAACTTATCAACGTGTAGAATCGATGGTTGTAGGTTTTATAGAACACAATTCGATGAAGGTAGCTTGCCAAGAGTTCAAGTGTCGCACGGTCGCAAGCTCCAAACGCCGCTGGATAAATATTGTACGTAAGTACCAACCACTCAGGCTAATCGGATCAGCCGGTTATGCGGCATGGCCACTGCTTTTCAAAGTGCCTCTGCCATCATGATCAATTCAAGTCGAAGCCGTTCTCCCCGTCATGTTCCTCTCCTCACGCTCCAGGCCGTACAAACATTTGAGTCAGACATCACAGGAAGTCATCGACTCTGAGAATGATGACGACCACAAAGCAAAGACTTCGCGAACTGTCCTCCACTGGCCTCTTGTCGTCGTAATCTTCTGCACGTTCATCAATCTGTTGCTGGTCTATACCCCTGCCTTTCTCCAAGGCTCTTCAGATAAACTTATCACTCGAAAGAATATCCACCTTCTTCGTCGACCTTCTCAATATATGCGATTCGATGAGATCGCACGGCCGTCCCCTCTTATTCCGAGAGAGTTCACAAATTTCCCCATATCTGTTAGCTTAGTGGATTATTCTGTGCCAAATCATGTTTTCAACGACTATCTTGCGACACGAATGACCCGTGCCGGCACAATCTCACCTGATGATCGCAAAGTACACGTCACACAAACTGTCAGTTCATCTTTCTTTTTTTTCTATCTTCTATAGACTGACGGAATGGAAGGTTTCAACAGTATTTCAATTTAGGGCGATTGACTGGGGCATGGAAAATTGCGAGTTGCATGTCGCCCTTCCGCCTGTGGAACGACCGACTACACTTGCTTTATACCGCCTTAATACCACTGTACCAATTGATATTTCAACCCTATCGTTCAACGTCCGACCGCCTCGGGTCGCGAAACTTAGCAACATAGTGCTAGGGAAAGACAGCGTGGATTGGCACAGAAAACTTTCATGTGCGATGGATGACGTCCTTGTTTTTGAGTTGGGATGTTCGGAGGATGAACCGAGCGGTAGCTGCGATGTTGAATGGTGGCAGGCTCATCAGGAGACTGCACCAGGTCAGTGCTTTACCATTCTGTATGAGATTCGCTGACAGCATGATTAAACCTCTAGCCGTCTACATGATCCAGCGCTCCAACGTGTAATTTAATTTTCGTCGGATTTTGGTCATCGAGACAGAACATTCGGTGTATTTGACAGGTTCACGCATTTGCAAATGCAGACCAATCCCACTTCCAAAGTGGGTGTAGAGTATTGAGACTTCATCACGGCAGGTGACTACTTTCAGTTTTAACTATCTCTTTATCGTTGATATCTATTTCAAACGTTTGTGTTTAAGTAGTAAGAAATACGAATTTTTTTGAAAGCGCCGGGGTGCTGAATAAACAGGATTCGGGATAGTGATGCCAACAGCTTTGCCTCCAATAAATCATCCACCAACGATAACGTACGAATATAGATTTGAAGATGTGTGTGCATGTGAGCATGATAGGGTGCGCCCATTTTTCAAACTGCTGCACATGCATCGAAGCTGATCCGGACCGGCCATATATGTGCTAGTACAGTTGTGGCAAGTCGACTCCAGTCGCCCGTGTGTACAGTCGAAGCGAATTCCATATGGCATCAGAGCAGACGCCATTACATCAGGAAGCACAATACAACGGCTTTTTGTTACGCATCCTTGTATTTAAAGGGTGCAACCCCAATTTCGCTATAAAACAACGCATCTTAAACACCACACCTCGGCGAAAACCAATATGACCGCGCTTAACTTCAGCAAACTCAGTTTCTGTATTCTACTCCTGTCAATCGCCTTTGCACAGATCCTAGTGGTCAGTGCTGCAGAGAACGTGGATTCTGACGATACGAGTGAAGTTTATGGTGAGTGGGTCTCGGCGATTACGAGGAGCGTTCAGGACTGATGAGCTTCTAGCGTGGTATCCTTATTGAAACCTAAATACACAGCTAAAGGGTTCAAAGTTGACACGAAGAAGAACAGACATATGCATTCATTGTATTTAAAGGGGTGCAACTCCCAACCTCACTTTATAAAAACACATCTTAAACACCACACCTTGTCAAAAAAATAATATAACATGACCGTGCTTAACGTCAGCAAACTCAGTCTCTATGTACTACTAGTTGCCTTTGCGCAGATCCTAGCGGTCGGTGCTGCAGAGGCCGACACGGTGGATTCTGGCGATGAGGATAGTATTGGCAGTGAGTGGATCCCGGCGATTATGTGGAGCAGGACTGACTGATAAGCATCTAGCGCTGTGGCCTTATTGAAAACCTGGAGGGTAGGAACTGGAAGATGGACAGATCGGTATATGGGCATACTGTAGGGAATTCCACACGGCATCAGAGCAGATGTCATCACGTTTTTGAAAACGCCTCCTTATATGCATTTTTGTATTTAAAGGGTGCAACCCCCAATCTCACTGTAAAACAACGCATCTTAAACACCACCGTGACACCTCGGCGAAAATCAACATGACCGTGCTTAACTTCAGCAAACTCAGTTTCTGTATTCTACTCCTGTCAATTGCCTTTGCACAGATCCTAGTGGTCAGTGCTGCTGAGAACGTGGATTCTGACGATGGGGATACTGTTCATCGTGAGTGGGTCCTGGCGATGATGTGGAGCAGGACTGATGAGCTTCTAGCGTGGTATCCTTATTGAAACCACTTGAAATACACAGCTACACGGATGAAAAGTTGACGCGGAGAAGGACAGACATAGGCCAAGACATCATATGCATCATAGGCTGTGCATTCATTGTATTTAAAGGGATGCAACTCCCAATCTCACTTTATAAAAACACACCTTAAACACCACACCGATAACATAATTTAACATGGCCGTGTTTAACATTAGCAAACTCAGTCTCTATGTACTACTCCTCTCAGTTGCCTTTGCGCAGAGCCTAGTGGTCCGTGTTGCAGAAAACGCGGATTCTGACAATGAGGATACTGTTCGTCGTGAGTGGGTCCCGGCGATTTGTGGAGTAGGATTGACTCATAAACGTCTAGCGCTATATCCTTATTGAAACCTGGAGGGTTGAAAGAGGGACAGATCAGTACATCATGATGGGCATACTGTAGTTGACATTACTATTAGGGGATAGACTCAGAAGATGTTGTTCGGGCACAGGGATTTGTGTATTTATACTAGATGCATTAGTACTTCCATGTTACTTTGTTAATTACCCATGATCTTTGCAGGGGTTAATTCGTTGGAGCGAGGCCTGCATGCGCGATAGCATCATGATGGTGGGCCATCCCGTCGGTCGATAATGCTGAAGGATCAGATCAGGTAGTCATTTGTCGCGGTTGCCACTGCAACATGTCGTGCGCCGCCTTGGAGCCAAGATGAAATGGCGCATGGTGTATCGAGAGCCGATCTAGGGTGCATCGACATCGATGCTGTGTCGAAGTTGAAGCTGAGTTTACGTTTACATAATAACAACGAGGCTGTAATCGGTCAACTGAATAGTTTCCGATTTGTAATTACAACCTCCCTCAATTCTATTGTTGGCCATCCACTAATAGCATTCAAGTTGTACTTGAATACGTCAAGACTAAGGAACATTGCAACGGCGGTAGTACTATGGTATTATTTAACGAGGTGCTAACATCACAATGCCATCAAAACTCGCTTCCAACCCACTTCTCTCACCTGAAGGACATCAGATCATTTTGTTCATCATCTGATCTATCATGTCTTCGAATTCTAGTTGGACACCAGACGAATCGTCTGCAACCCTTCTCGCAGAGAAAGGTTGGCTGCAGGGTACAGTAGTTAGCGCCGTTGCATATGGCATCGACGTCACACTGTTCTTTATGTGCTTCCACCTCCTCTTCCGGCAGATGAACAGCAAGAACTACAAAAAGCAGCTGCCCCTACTCGTATACATCACCATAACTTTTATTCTCAGCACCTTATTTATGGCAGCGCTGGCCGATTTTACCCAACTCGCATTCATTCAATATCGCAATTTTCCAGGTGGTCCCAGCGCATATGAGAATGTCAGCATGCCTATCGACAATCTTTCTGACATTTGTGGTTTTCTAACGATGATCATGTCCGATGGGTTGGTTGTGAGTAAGAGGGTTAGCTTGAAACTGTTGTCGCTAATCTATCTCTGCAGGTTTGGCGTTTCAAGGTGATTTACAAAGGGTGCACGGTGCCAATGTGGATCATCATGGCGTTCCCATGTGTGCTGTTTGCTGCATCCATCGGTCAGTTGCTCCTCCGAATATCTGTTTGATTGCGCCGGACGCTCATTATTACATCGGTTAGCTACGGGTATAATGTGGTTGCTTCAAGTAACAGCAAGTTCCCCATACTTCTCCTCGACTAGCATCAACTACACCGTTCCATATCTCAGCCTCTCACTCGCACTGAACATCATCCTCACGATCGCTATCGTAATTCGCCTATTCACATATCGTCATCGCATCACCAGAGTTCTTGGCCCTGGCTACGGCACTCAATACACGTCGATCGCCGCGATGATAGTTGAATCAGCCGCTCTTTATTCCGCATTCTCGGTGGCATTTCTGGCACTCTTCCTTACAAACAATCCCATTTCAGAGACATTTATTGTGTCGCTGACTCAAGTTCAGGTTAGTACTGGCAAACAGAGAAGCATTCGCGCTGCTTATGACATGCTACAGATAATCGCAATGTTGCTCATCATTTTCCGAGTCGCACAAGGGAAGGGTTGGTCTCAGGACACTATGTCCAAGGTCATGACCTCGAGGCCATCAACGCAAGCAGTCCGTATGGGTGATTTTGGGTACAATTATCAGGACGGCTCTAAAACCTTCGCCGGTTCCACTGGCACTGGGGCACATGCGGCCTACAAGAGTGACCGCGATTCATCGGAAGTGGCTGTGTGAGCAAGCAAGCTTAGATATCTACTGAGATAGTTGTAGAATGCCCCAGGTTAAGGTGAATACATCTTTAAAACAAAATTCGTATTTAGTATGCTTTGATATTGGTATGGACTTTAGGATTGAATTGTCTGTACTTACGATTACCTTGAACATAATGCACCCAGCCTTGACATAGTCAAACACATCGATATTGACCCCACGGAAGATAGCGTATCAGTGTCCGACTAACTAGTACTAGCCCCATCATGCCCTTGAACTAATTTCCGCAGATAAGTAACTAATTGGCAATTAAGATATTGATCATCGGACTAGGCCGCCTTTCAAATTTCAGCCTCACCTTTGCCTTCTAGATACGAACGAAGGCACCTAAATCATCTCCGAGGCTGCAGGACCTGTATCTGAAGCAACCCCATATTAATACTTATGAATGATGATGATCAGTTCCCGTTCCTTGTCATGGTACAGGTGATTCAGACTCAATTCAGACTAGCGTATCATATGATGGCGCAGCATGGGCCGACTCGGCCTGGTATTGGATATCCAGTGGTCAGTAGGGAGCTTGGATAGGGGTCCGTCAGGAGTGTCAGGTGTCCTGTCAGGGCTTTGAGGCTCATAGTCATGCCCGGTCTCGACAGTCTTTACCCATTCCAAGCATCATCGATGCATCATCCATCCTAGTGTTTGAATTGTGTCATGTGCCCTTGTCCAGTGTGCGCCGACTGGTGAGTCTTTTTCGTGAACAATTTCACTGAGTGACACAAATAGCACAGCAGCGTTTAAAACCTTTCAGTCTAAGCAGCGAAAGGCTCTCCCGGAATAGGTCACCATGAGATTTTTTTGAAAGGATCCATACGGCTGCAGTCTCATGACGTTCATCATATGTGTAGCTAATAAAAGCCATGTCTTTGAACTGCGCCATGATTTCAATGATCCGACGCGACTCTGTCGCGTCCGTCGCAATAGCAATGCCACAAAACAAAAGGCCGTCCAGGCCGAACTGTCAAATGCAATGCTCGCAAGTCAGAATTTGAATAAACCAGCTCCACAACGGAGATGACACAGACCTAGACCTATGGTATTTCCCGTACTGACGCCCATGCATGCATCCAACGGAAGTTATGCCTTTGGCTTGTGCAATGAAATGATGTCATGGTCTGATGTGATCTCCTGTATTCTCGGACACGTTGCTGCACTAGTAAAAATGAACCGAAAGGCGAAGCGCATCAGGGAAACCTTAATGGACAGTTAGGGTTGCCCCCTACAGTAGATGATAGCCACGAGTGCAGGGACTGGGAGATGTCACATCAACACTTGGAGCGCCTGATGTCATCCGAGTTAAGGCACGGAGGAATGATTGTGTTGCCGCAGGTCTCATGGTAGCCGCGTGAGCTGATGCGCCCAGGGCTTCCCATAGCTGTTGAGGCGCAGATAACAAAAAGAAGTTAAGAGCGTTGAACTACTTTTGGGATGTACCATGAGGTCTTCAAATGAACTTACTTAGTGGTACAATCTTTATCCTGGACCTGAAAGATATAACATTCGAGTTCAATTGCAAATGTAGAATGTGCAGCTGTCTGATGCTGCCATATCAGCACGTAAGCTTGTGGTTGCGGATATAGCTCGACAAGTTGAGCGCTTGTTAAATACTTGCGTCTAAGCTTAGTAATCAGATCATGTGATGATTTGGCTGCTCTTTTGACGAAATTCAAATTACGTTTGCCAGACTTAGGAGCACGCACCAAGCGGTAGCCGCGATGTAGAATGGTGGCAGGCTCAGAAGGAAATTGCACCGGGTCAGTGATTTACCACTCTATGAAAATAATCGGACTACTAGTTATCTAGATGATCTAGCGCTCCGCCATGTAACTTAATTTTCCTCGGATTTTGGTCATCGAGACGAAACATTCGGTTTATCAACAGCTTTAGGCATTTCGTTGCGATACTATGACATCCCACTTTTAATGAGTGGTCGTGCTCGTATGCTCGATTGCGGCTCAGTCCCATCCGTCGGATCACTTTTAAACGGGGTGGTGCGTGCAGTATTGATTAAACCTTTGACATTGCAACATTGCGGCAGCTGATATTTTTGCACGACTTCGGGCACTTTCAGTTTCAACGAATAGATTTGAGGATCTAACTGATTTTATGTGAGCCCATTTTCCAAACCACTGCACATGAGCGCTAGGTTAATGTGCACCGAAGCTATTCCGCACAGCCCTCTTGATCGGCGAGGATAACTACGTCAAAACTCCTGATGGGCCCAAGTGTAGAACGCTTTGCCGAGATCATCATTTTCGGCAGCGGAGGCAGAGAGAAATGCCGTTAATTATGGCAGTCTGCAAATACTTCCCGGGCTCGAATATGCATCAGGATATCCGCATAGTTTGAACTTCAAGCCTAAGAGTCAAAAGCTGGAGCACCGTCATTACTATGTAAGTGAACCATTACATGGATCTTGTTGTGGGCTACTGTCAGGTAGTGTACACTGCATATGCCAACGTGCTAGTCTAGTCGTATAAAGTCGACTCTCGTCATCTGCTCAGGCTGTGCATGCAGTCGCCATGATGCAGATCATTTACGAGGTGCGTTGCAACCAATTGAAACTCAAACTCATCCAGTGATAATTTTTGATCTAGTCGATTGGACAATGCTCGAGTGCGATGGCTGCTTCCGTAATTAAATGCACTCATGAACTGGTATTTAAAGGGTGTAGTAACTCCTGCAATCTCATTTCAAAAACCACGCGTCTTAAACACCGCACCTCAGCGAAGAATTCCATTAACATGAATGTGCTTAACAAATTCAGTTTCTATGCTCTACTCCTGTCGGCTGCTTTCGCACAGATCCTATTGGTCAGCGCTGCAGAGGACGTCCGGGATTCTGATGATGCGAGTTTCAGTAAGTGGTTCCCGACAGTTACGTGGAGCAGGACTGACGAGCTTCTAGGCGAAGATTCTACTGCTTGGCCTTATTGAAATTTAAATACAGCTGGAGGGTTGGTAGTTGGCGCAAAAAAGGACATATCAATACACGAGCACATTGCAGGTGATAATGAGGGATAGAAGATGTGTTCGCACGCACGGGGGTCGTGTGTTTATACTGAATGCATTACATGCTTCTTGAGGATACCTTGTTACTTAGTTCATTACCCACGTACAGTAATTCTAATGAGTCCACTCGGTAGTATTATTTTGATATTTCCATAATCTTGCAGGGCTTAATTTGTCGAAGTGAGTTTAGACTCCAACTTCTCACTTCCACAGTGGGCGTGTATGGTTTTGAAACTTCATCGCGGCAGCTGACATTTTTGCGTGACTTTGGCACTTTTCAGTTCTAACTACATATCTGAGTCAATTCTGTTTCCATCGTGGTCGTCCAGTCTCATACTGAGTATCAAAGAGCGAATGATAATATTTTGTGTCCAAGTAGCTAGAAATATGAATTTTGTGAGGGTGCCCAGTTCTATGGGGTGCTGATTGAAGGGATCTATGTCAAAAGATCCGGTTTGGTGCACATGTATAAATAACCCTCAGGTAGGCCCATTTTCAAACTGCTATGTACCGAAGCTATTCCGCACTGACTGGCAATCATTATTGATCCCCAAACAAAACTGTGCAGAGCAGTTTCCGCAGTGGAATCAGAGTGAAAATGCTCTCTAGGGAATATGCATCAGTGCACGCGCACTGCATATGCTAACGTACTAGCAAGTCGACTCCTGTGCATGGAGTTGCCATAGTATGACATCCAAGCATTCACGAAGTAGATGCAAGCAGTCGAAACACATGTTTTGACCAAGTCGATTAAATAATGCTCGCGTGCGATGGCTGTTGTGTGCATGATGACTTGTATTTAAAAGGTGTAACTTCCAATCTCACTTTAAAACAACGCATATTAAACACCACACCTAAGCAAAGTAAATTAATAACATGACCGTGCTTAACATCAGCAAACTCAGTTTCTATGTTTTACTCCTGTCAGTTGCCTTCGCACAGATCCTAGTGGTCAGTGCACAGGACGGCATCGTAGTGGACGACAACGGCACTCTGGAGGGCATTAGTGAGTGGATCCCGACAATTATGTGGAGCAGGACTGACAAGCTTCTAGCGATAGAATATCCCTATTGAAACCTGAGTACAACTGGAGGGTTGAAAGTTGACGCGAAGAAGGACAGATCAGTACATGAGCTCGTTGAAGGTGACATTGGGGATAGAAGATATCTTGGCACGCACGGCATTATTTGTTTATACTGAATGCATCATATTTTTGTTTCTCAGGATACCCTGTTACTTTGTTCATGTACAGCGATTCTAATCGGTCCACCCGGGGGTACTACTTTGATGAAACGATGATCTTGCAGGGCTTAATTTGTCGGAGCGACTTCAGACTCCAATGTCGAAGCGAGGCCTGCATGTGCGGCAGCATCATGATTGTGGGCCATACCTTCGCCAATGTTGAAAGTGCTGAGGAAGAAATTGTGAAGATTGAATCTCGCTGTCATTCTTGCTGTTGCCACGGACATACGCAGTGGTTGGTTCAAAAGTGTGCTGACGAGAGCTTCGTGAGTCGAAGATCAGGTATGAGCAACAAAGTGTGGCACGTTCCTCGTCGAGACGATGAACAGGTAGCAGAAGACAGCCTGAATCGAATTTCACGAGTCACTGGGGATTCGGGGACAAATGAAATCAACAAAACTTGTATCATGAATAAAACCCTTTAGGTGCAGAAGGGATTCACCGCGCTCGACCGGTCGGGATATATGGTGAAGGCGCCATAAGTCTTAGGTGTACCTATGAGAACACTGCGCCCACTTCACATGCGACGTCCTGCGCTTCGTTTATGACATCGTTGGTTAGGAGAGTATGATATGTGTTTGTGTGGATCTGTCCCAAACACGACCATGACTTCAGGGTACCCGTAATGATGGTCCAATCCTGGAAACGATGATTAGTACATATCAGAAAGGTACGTCGAGACATCATCTACATCGTATGGTACGCGGTAGACGACTGCAAAGATGTCACCTTTAGCTCAGAGGTGTTGCCAACGTGCTTTTCATAGAATATCCCCAATATTTAGTGATTTTCAGGGCGATCTGTTGTTCGTGCTTCTCGATCGCATCCCTTACATCCGCTGGCCAGTGTTTCGTTCCCACAGTGCCATGGACAAGGCTCCACCAGTGAGGATGAGGCGTTTGAGGCCCGCGGGATATCTTTGACCGGCGTAGTGCGCCCATAAAATCACTGCCCAGGAGTGACCCAGATGAGCGAAGCCATTCTGCATACCAATGTGGCAACAAGGTTGTCCGGCTCATCCATGAACAGATCGACTGTTCAAAACCTTTGGGCTTCTCCGTCACACCTTCAAAAATAGACTTGCCGATGCCCATCTGATCGTAAAAGATGGCAGCAGTGTTGCATTCGTTGAGAATTTCAGTGAGATGTCATATACTCGTGCAAAATGCCAGGGCAGCCTCGCAGCGCAATAAGAGGCTGTGCACTCAAGACGAGATCCCCGACGATCTTGTACGAAATCTGGTATGTGTGTCATCTCCAACTTTGAAGACCAACGTATGGGACGCATCCGGGGAGCGATCTGACAACCAAGTGAGACTGATACGGTAAAGGTTGATGCGTTTGAAAATGACAGCATTAGAATCACGTTGGAATGTCCAATTTGAATTATCTCACGGCTATGTCATGGGCTACCCAACGGGCCAGTGTTGCGATGGTTGTCGTGGGATCCGGTAGGTTAATGTTCTATCTTTTAATAACGAAGCCGGGAGAAACCTGGTTTCCCAAAAGCTGGATGTTTAGTATTGATCTCGTCCAGTGTATGATACGAATTGCTTGTACTGATGGCTTCGAGGTCATGACCTTGGAAACTATCAAATGCAATGTTCGTAAGTCAGAATTTCAATAAACCGTTTCGTACAGAAGATGAATCGTGCAACGGAGATGACACGAACCTAATATATTTTTACGGTACTAATGTCCATGGATCAACGGAAGACTTGTGCAACGATGCCATGGTCCGATACGATACGACTGTATCCTCCGACACGCTGCTGCACTAGCAAAAATAGGCCGAGGGCGGTCAAAGGCAAAACCATCAGCAAAACCCTCTTGAGGAAAAAATGATAACTTTCACACTGCAATGTAATGCACAGGTGAAGGTTGCCACCTACACTAGGTAATGGTCATGGATGCAGGGAATCGGAGTCTCACATCAATGTAGTACACTTCGGGCGCTTGATGACGTTCATTCGAGTTAAGACTCGGAGGAATAATTGTATTGCCGCAGGTCTCGTGGTGACCTTGTGAGCTGATGCGCCCAGGGCTTCCCATAGTGTAGAGCCGTAAATAACAGAAAAAAGTTATGGGCGTTGAACTACTTTTGGGATGCACCTGGGCCACGAGGTTCTTCTGATGAATTTACTACTGAGTGGTACGATTTTCATCCTGGACCTGAAAGATGCAACATTCAAATTCAATTGCGTGTGCAGCTGTCCAATGGCCTGTCGTATTAGAACATAAACTCGTGGGATTGGTGGTCGTCGATATAGCTTGAGCGCTCGAGAGTTCCAAATTTCAGTATTGTACGTAAGCGTCTGCTCTTCAAAATTCAAATTACCTTTGCAATGATCCTGACTCTCAATCCAAGTCGAAGCCGTTCTTTCCGTCATGTTCTTTTCCTCACGCTCCATGGCCAGGCCGTACAGACCATTGAGTTAGACACAGGAAGTCATTGACTCTCAGGCTGAGAGCGATGACGACCACAAAGCAAAGCTGCATAAGACGTCGCGAACTGTGTTCCATTGGCCTCTTGTCATCGTAATATTCTGCATGTTCGAATCTGTTGCTGGTCTCTACCCCCGCCTTTCTCCAAAGCTCTTCAGTATCTTCGGAAAAATTTATCACTCGAAAGAATATCCACCTTGTTCGTCGACCTTCTCAATATATGCGGTTCGACGAGATCGCACGGACGCCGCTTCCTATTCTGAGAGTTCACAAATTTTTCAATGTTTAGCTTGGTGGATCATGCCATGTGGCCCGCGCTGGGACAAACTCACCTGATGACCGCAAAGCACCTATCCCGCAAACGGTCAGCCCATCTTCCATTTTTCTGCGTTCTATAAAAGGTATTGAAAATATTTCAGTTCAGAGCGATTGACTGGGCATGGAAATTTGAGAATTGCCCTTCCACCTGCGGACCGACGGACTACACCTGCTTTATATCGCCTTGATGCCACTGTACCAGTTGATATTTCAACCCTGTCGTTCGACGTCTGACTGTTGCAGGTTGCGAAACTTGATAACATAGTTTTAGGGCAAGAAAGCTTGGATTGTCACAGAAAACTTTGTTGTGCGATGGACGACGTCCTTGTTTTTGAGTCAGAATGTTCGGACGACAAACCAAGCGGTAACTGCGATGTAGAATGATGACAGGCCCACAAAGAGATTGCGCCGGGTGAGTGATTTATCACTCTATGAAGTTCGCTGATAGCATAATTAAAACTCTAGCATGATCCAGCGCGCCACTGCGTACTTAAAATTCTGGTTATTGGGAGGAAACATTTGGTACAGGTTTCGGTATCTGGTCACTTCTACGGGGCGCTGATTGCATTGGAAGGGATCCATGTCAACAACTAATTTACCTCCGGCTTGGTGCTGTATAAACAATCCTTTGACGAATAGATTTGAAAATTTGATCAGTTTTCAAGATATGAGCATCGGTTGGTGGGCCAGGTTGGCCCATTTTCAAACTGCTATGCACCGAAGCTATTCCGCACTGCCTGGCAAGCATCTCTAGTTCACTAATCACTATTGATATCCAAACAAAACAGTGCAGAACGGTTTCCGAAGATTATTATGATTTTCCGCAGTGGAACCAGAGTGAAACGCTCTCCAGGGAATATCATCAGTGCACTGCATATGCTAATGTACTAGCAAGTCGACTCCCGTTATCTACTGTGCATGCAGTCGCCATAGGACATCCGAGCATTCACGAAGTGAGATGCAACCACAGTCGAAACACATGTCTTGACCAAGTCAATTAGATACTGCTCGCGTGCGATGGCTGTTTCGTATGCATGATGACTCGTATTTAAAGGGTTCCAATCTCGCTTTAAAGTAACGCATCTCAAACACCACCTCAGAAAAGTATCTTATTAAGATGACCGTGCTTAACATCAACAAACTCAGTTTCTATGTTTTACTCCTGTCAGCTGCCTTCGCACAGATCCTGGTGGTCAGTGCACAGGGCGGCATCATAGTAGAACCCGACGGCACTCTGGAGGGCCTTAGTGAGTGGATCCCGACGATTATGTGAAGCAGGACTGACGAGCTTCAAGCGATAGATTGAAACCTGAATATAGGTGGAGGGTTGAAAGTTGGCGCAAAGAAGGACATATCAGCACATGGGCTCGCTGAAGGTGACGTTGAGGATAGAAGATGTGTTGGCACGTACAGCATTGTTTGTCTATACTGAATGCATTACATGTCTCTCGAGATCCCCTGCTACTTTGTTCATGTACAGTGATTCTGGTCGGTCCACTCGGGGGTGTTACTTTGATGAAACCATGATCTCGCAGGGCTTAATTTGTCGGAGCAACTTCAGACTCCAACGTCGAAGCGAGGACCTTCGCATGTGCGGTAGCATCATGAGTGTAGGCCATACCGTCAAAATGCTGAGGAAGAAATCGTGAAGTTTGAATCTTGCGGTTATTTTCACTGTTGCCACAGTGACATGCGCAGCTTTGAAATCTACTTCGCCTGTAACTTCAGCCATTAGAAGAGCACTTCGGGCGAGCGAACTGACAACCAGACGAGACTTGATGAAGGTTGATGCGTTTGGAAATGATAACGTTAGGGCTAAGTTAGATCTAGAACGTTCAACAACTTTGATTGTCTTGTGGCTGTGTCCTGTGTCTGCGTGGTGGTTGGTTCATATCTCACTCAATTTTGCTTCTGTTGCGGTCAAATCTTACGCCAGAGGATGTCAACAACCTCCGATTTGGTGCACATGTATAAATATTAATAATTCTCCATGACGAATAGATCTGAAGATTTTCAAAATATGAGCGTCAAATGGTGGCCCATTTTCAAACTGGAAGCTATTCCGCACTGCCTGGCAAGCATCAATATTGATACACAAAGAAAACAGTGCAGAACGGTTTTCGGAAATTACCCTGTTCCGCAGCGGAAGCAGAGTAAAATGCTGTTGCTTGAAGGAATAATATCATCGCGCGCATGGTTTGAACCTCAAAAGCCGGAACAACTGTGATTACCGTGAATATATTTAGTAAACGAACTATTACATTAATCTTGCTTGGTGCATGTGCACTGCATGTACTAGTCTCATCGTAGGTTGACTCCGGTTATCTGCTGTGCATGTAGTCGCCATATGGCATCAGAGGTGATTAATGAATCACATGTTTTGACCAAAATAACGCTCGAGTGCGACGGCTGTTTGCTGTGCTCCCGGGCCCTTGTGTGCAGCGATGAACTTGTATTTAAAGGGTGTAACTCCCAATCTCACTTTAAAACAAACACATCTGACGCACCACACCTCTGACAGCCAAGTATATCATTAATATGACCGTGCTTAACATCAGCAAACTCAGTTTCTATGTTCTACTCCTGTCAGTTGCCTTCGCACAGATCCTAGTGGTCAGTGCACAGGACGGCATCGTAGTGGGCGACGACGGCACTCTGGAGGGCATTAGTGAGTGGATCCCGACAATTATGTGGAGCAGGACTGACGAGCTTCTAGCGATACACTATCCCTATTGAAACCTGAATACAGCTGGAGGGTTGAAAGTTGTTGCAAAGAAGGACAGATCAGTACATGGGCTCGTTGAAGGTGACATCGGAGGTGGAAGATGTCTTGGCACTCACAGCATTGTTTATATATACTGAACGCATTATATGTTTGTTTCTGAGGATACCCTGCTACTTTTTTCATCATTCATGTACAGTGATTCAGATTCCAATGTCGATTTACGCAGACGTCCTGTGCTTCGTTCGTGACACTGTTGGTGAAGAGAGTAGGAGTCGTGATTGTATGAATCTGATCTTGACACGACCATGACTTCAGCGTGCCTGTGATGGTGAACTCTGACGTGGACGAGCCAATCCTGGCAACACTAATCAGTACATATCAGAAATCGCGACATCACCTAGTACATCATATGGTCTTGCAAACGTGCTGTTCATAAAAGATCACATCATTCGGTGATATTCAAGGGTTACCTGTTATTCACTTTTTCTCGCGACTCTCAACCGTCTCCCTCACATCCGCTGGCAGCGCATTCAGTAGTGTTTTGTTCCCAAAGTGCCATGGACCGGGCTCTACTGGTGAGGATGAGGTGCTTGAGACCCGCAGGATGTTTGTGACTGACGTAGTGACGGCAATGTTGCATTTGTTGTGAATTTCGGCAAGAGTTATCAGATACTCGTGCAAGACGCCAGGGCCGCCATGCAGCATGATGAGAGGGTGTGCACCTGACGCAAAATCCTCGACAATTTTGTACCAAGTCTGGTACGTGTCACGTCTGCGACTTTGAAATCTACTTTTCCTGCACCTTCAGCCATTCGAAGAGTGCGTCAGGGGAGCGAACTGACAACCAAATGAGACGTCAGAGTCGGTCAGACACGACCAAGGTTGATGCGTTTAGAAATGATAACATTAGGACCGAGTTGGAGCATTCAACTTGGATTGTCTTGCGGCTGTTGTGTTATGTGTATGCGTGGTGTCCGGATGGTTGCAAACATGTATCCTTTGTTGGGAGTCGATCTAATAGTACTCACTCTGAGGCTCTGAGCATCGACTCGGATGCTGTGCTGTGAGGTTGCAAAGTTTGTTTACATAATTTAAAATTAAGGGATCGACTACTATGAACTCGGGCCCTGCGGGCCGGGTTGGTTGTGATATTAGTGAAATCAATCCGCATACGCATACTCAACGCATACTATTCAACCGTACCATATGTAACTATCGGGGATTTTATTTTGTTCACCAGTTCAGAGTAGCGGTATGCGACAAGAACTTCACAGGTTTGACACGTCAAAATTTCTGGTACCCAAGCAAAGCAGTACAGAATAATTCGTGGAAATTCTTATTTTCCGTGGTAAAAGCCGAGATTTGAAATACTGTCACTTATGGACCGGGAAGCCTTATTTCATAGCCATCAGTTTGCCACAAGTTATTATCAAAGAAAGTTTCCAAGGGAAGATATCCGCACAATCATAGTTTGAACCCCCAATTGAGACCGCCTCAAAGCTGTAGGCTACGGCCCATGCTGCATGTAGTACTAGTACTACCGACTAGTCGTGGTAAGTCGACTCCAGTTGGGAACACTGGGCCCGGAGGTTCCTTAGAGTAGATAGTACAGAGTATTTTAAATTAAAAACAACTCGACTCCAGTCATCTCCTGTGCGTGCAGAGCACCGAATTCCATCAGAGTATTCCCGAGGTGAGACAGATCATATCTAGGAGACTCATGCGCTCCAGATTTGATTTTTTGATGATCAAGTCAATTGAATAATGCTCAAATTGATGGCTGTTTTTTATGCTACGAAGTGGTATTTAAAGGGTGCAACTCCCAATCTCACTTTATAACAACGCATCCCAAACACCACACCTCAGCAAATAATATCATTAACATGACCGTGCTTAACATCAGCAAACTCGGTTTCTATGTTCTACTGCTGTCAGTTGCCCTCGCACAGGTCCCAGTGGTCTGTGTTGCAGAGAGCTTGAACAGCCTGGGTTCTGATGTTTCTGATGATTTTAGTGAGTGGCTCCCAGCGATTATGTGGAGCAGAACTGACGAACTTCTAGACAAGGAACCTGCGAATCCTTCTATTTGGCCTCTCTGAAACCTGCATACAACTGGAAAGTTGAAATTTAACGCAAAGAAGGACAGATCAGTACACAGGTTCGTTAAAGGTGACATTGGGGGGTGGGGGGGGTAGTAGAAGCTATTTTGGCACGTACAACATTGTTTATTTATCCTGAATGCATTACATGTTTCTCAAGATCCCCTATTACTTTGTTCCTCACCCATGTACAGTGTGATTTTGATCGGTCCACTGAGCGGTACTACTAGTAGACTTTGATGGACCCATGATCTTGCAGGGCTTAATTTGTCGGAACGACTGCAGACTCCAACGTCCCAGCGAGGTCTGCATGTGCGGCAGCATCATGAGTGCAGGCCATACCTTCCTCGCCATCGAAAATACTGAGGAAGAAATTGTGAGGATTAGATCTCGCATTCATTGTCGCTGTTGCCACTGAGACAAACCAAATCAACAAGACTCGTATCATGGACAAAACCCTCTAAGCGCAGAAGGAATCCTTCAGGGGTGAGCTGGAATGAAATCGAATCTCGGGTTGTGAAAATTTTACACCATGGTACTAAGGTACCTGAAGCATGAGAATGAGAACACGCCCTCATGAAATCACTGAAATAGCCCGCCATAACGAGAAGTTGCTTAGCACGCCGATAGAAGGATATGTGACTTCAGTCATAAGGAGTCACGGCAGAGCTGCAGCAACTTGAACAACGAATGTTTGACCGAAACCGACCAAAAAACTGTACAAACGCACGAGGAATGAATCGCAGTACCAGTCACGTATCTCTTGCCCACCAGACCCCAACTACCATTTGCACAGAACTGCTGGCAGTCTGGATCACGGTGGTGGCGATCATCAAAATGCATCATCAGAGAGTCACTAATTACTTAAAAGCAGTGACCCGGGTTGCCATCCAAACAGATAAGCGCCCACTTGGCAAGACGGAACGGATGTAGCTCACCGCTGCCAATGCGCCGCTTATGATGCGACCCTTCGGAGTAGCTTGCTGTCGATAATTCTCGATAAGCCCATCGGCAGAGTTAGGTTAACGTGGTAATAGATCTATGCCCAGGCTCCATGAAAAAAACGCATTATACGGTCGCCGCTGCGCCTGCCATGTAGTTAGCACTGTTTGTCACTATTTATGGATGAGTATATCAAACAGGAATTCTCAAACTAGGCTAAAGTTTTCGGCTGCGCAGACTGATGCTCTCTCAGCGCTCAGCACCGCACCAACTCCACGGACCACGATGCAGATCAAAGATCCTGTGCACACCATTGTTGGTGACCTTATGATACGAAACCTGGGAGCCTGATAACCGGCAGAGAGAAGGAAGCGACAGATACGAGGAGAAGGGATATGCAGAATGAGATATTTACTCACACACGAGTAGAATGTGAGTTATCTGTTTGCTTCACGGAAAACTCCCCTAATTTGACGGGTTATTTTTGGTCCTCAAGTTGGCATGCTGGCACGGTGTTACATTGATTGTTTTGCCTGTCGAAATGTCTCGTGACATCGAGCCCCTGGATATTTGGTTCATCAAGGCAGGAATCGTCATCGTCGCTCAATCCCATTTTGGCGAAGCAACCACTAGCAGGTGGTATATATATCATTGCCATACGTTCACCAAGTTCGCTTCTCACCCACACATATTCACCTACCAATATGACCATAGTCTCAAATGATCCCACTTGGTGGCCAATCATCAATGCATATCGTATTCAAAACTATTGTATAGGTTCGTAGAGAGCAGTCGGATGTTGAAACTGATGTCTAATCTAAGTTTGGCTGCGGTTTCGCAGTTGCCGCCTTTGTTGGAATAACATATGATTGGAGTGAGCGTGATGATATTACAGGACTTCTGATATCTTACAAGTGTCTTCAGCACTTACATTCGGACAAGAGGTATGTCAATGCTATGACCGGAGTTGCCAGCTCGCTAAAATGGTCTATAGGTTGAATTGGTTTGGGTGAGTAGAGTCTCATCAGAAGAACGCACATGAAAGCCTACTTAATTACAGAGACAACGCTGGTCCTTAATGACAGTTTTATATCTCACTGTATGTGGCTTGTTTGTCACGGTTACCACGTTGCGCTAACTTGAAAGTATCCTAGGTGCGCTACCTTGGAATCATATATGCTGCGTATGTTTGGAAGGTTAAATAATAGATGTATTGCTAATCGTCTATCTCTCATCAGCTTGGCCATCCTGGGTATGTTTCTGTAGTACATTTGCTCTCTTTGCTTCCTCTGACCAACGGCACACAGGCAGTGTTCAGACCATTTCGCTGACAGATACAGTGAGTTTTTTTTTGCAAAAATGCCTGTTGTTCCCCTCCAATCAATCGTGGTTCCCTGTAGGAGTGGGTGTGGTTCTTCATCAACTTCTTGGTTCACTAATAACTGCTACGATATATTGCCACAGATGTAAGTCCGTTTGGAGTGTGCGCTACCCGAGGCTGGTCACTGACTAGATTCGTCAGGTCGGATTATGTACGTCGTAATGAGTTGGACAATTGTTTTGGTATCTCCATTGCTGTGGGGTGAGCTTGGCGCTTGCGAGACCTCAGTGATATTGACATGACTGAAACATGCTGCAAGTCATCATCATCACTCGGTTAAATGCCATGTATCAAGGATCCAGAAAGATTCTGATATTTCTCATTGTCACCTTTCTGGCGGTCATCATTTTCGTCGGAGTGGTCGCCGTACTAACTACGATTCATACTTCAGGGGGTACGTTTAATTGTGGATGAAAACAAAGGTGCATGGAGCTCATTGATGCATGTTAGAGGAACTTATTCTCTCCGGCACCCATCAGTGCTCGACTGTCTTTGGGGGAAATATCCAATTTCTGATTTCCATGACTTGGATACTCTTCCTTGTGTGGGAGATCCTCGCACTATGTCTCGCAGTTTGGATTGCGGTAAAACGCTTCCGTGAACTACGGTCACGTTCGGCGGGAGAGATTGTCGGGGACAGTTACACGGTGTTGATAAAAACTCACGTGGTTTACTTTGCGAGGTAAGTTCATATTATGGCTATGTTCTTTTTTTTTCCACTAAAATGTCGGACATGGTAGCTCTGTTGCTGTTTCTTGCTTCCAGATCATTATTGAATTATCTCCAACACTCTCAGCAGTATGTCAATCTTTCAATTACCTCTGCATGCTACCGCTGTTTATCATTTCTGTAGGAATATTCCTCGGACACTCAGCTTTATATGGGGTTTCTTCGGATTTCGACAGTCGTGCAGACGTTTGTGCTGGGCCCCCGCTTGATACTTAGTATTCGAGAATATTACGCCAATCTCGTGGCCGACTCCAACGCAGCAACTGGGATGACCTCAATCGCTTTCCAGCAGCGCGTGCATATATCGACTAGCGATGGTGTGTAATACACGAAATGTTAAAGGCTGGCTGGTGCTCTGTAGCGAGCAGGAATTTTTTTCGTCTCCATTCCAAGCCTCGTTGCAGTACTTACGTAGCTGCCCGAAGGTTTTGGCAACATTTTCGTTGTAATGCGTTCAAATAATCTGCTATAGGTTCTGTTTAATTCGCTCATCCTCGAGGATAACTCGTGACTCACCGGCACCCCTTGTTGCATCGGAAACGCTATAGGATATCGGCTGTAGTCGTCACGCGTCATATCCAAGAGGCTATCTAATGTCATTCTACGTTGATGGTCTATATTTAAGCTATATTGTCATTTTATTGCATTATTACAGGCCAGTTAGAAGACACTTGAAATGCATTAATGACAGGACGGTACGCCAACGTTTTCCTGAATCCTGATGCTCATTACATCTTTATCAAGTTACAGGAACGCAAGAGACAACGATGTTTTACGGTACAAACTATCGAGAAGACTTTGCGAAGCCGTCGTTGTTTGCCGGTGCCAGAGACACCGGGGTTAGGACTTCAAAGACTCCGAGTCGGTGGCTTCCAAAGTGGGGCACGCTACAATCACTGGGCTGGTGAGCGAAACTCGAGTAGTGCTGAGCGGCCACAATTTCAAGTGGACTGAGTCGGATTGCAATGTCCAGTCATCATACCAAGTCAGCAAGCCCTCGAACTCAAGCTTAGTGGACCATGAACAAGACTAAGCACGATCAATCATTTGCAGATATGTTAAAACATTCACATTGCTCGAGCAGTACCAAAGTTTGTCCAAAAAGAGCTGTACTGATTGACTCAACACTAAGCATTGTATCATCAACCATGACTCGGATATCAAACCGAGAGCAGAAACATAGCTCACTGTCGTGATATGCTTCTCAGGCTACCGGCTTAATGCAATATGAGACATTGTTTCCATGTTCCTAAGCGCACAGGTGAGCCATGTGGTTGAATCCTGGTTGCTCAGTGACTCACGTCTTGTGTAGAAAAGCAAGTAAAGTTCTTGTTCGGGCAGCAGTCTGTTAATGGAGGGTTGCAATATTCCCCCACTCCACTACACTGGGCATTTGCAGCCTGGGTACTGACAGCCATAGATGATGCTGTCAAAGCACAAACAAGGGCAAGGAAGGAGAAACGCATTTTCTGTGGGAGCTAGTGTGAAGTCTTAGAAGACTATAGGAGGACGACCAGCTTTTATATTCTGCCTGGATATATTTATGGATGCGATTCTGGTCAATTTGGCAGAATCGTTATTGCTGTCGGATGGTAGAATTCCGGTTCCTCTGCATGCCATCACCGCGGTCCATTCAGACCACCTGGTTCACGTTCACGTATGCTCTCCTCGCATTTCGTCGCTCCTTCGTCGCTCTCAACTTAACACTGATGAATCAACCTCGTTTCAACGACCCTCAATGCCAAGTGTATTTTCTCGTCGCGGTCCTCATGCTGTCAAAGTTGCTGCAATACGTGACAAACGGGTACGTATGTCTCCGTTATGTTCCCAGTCATCGAATGATTTATATGCAGGCACTGTATGTTGCTCCATGGCCACGAGTTGACGACAAAGCGAGACCACGGCATAGCCATTCGTAAAGCCAAGCACATGGGATTTTCACGTTGCCCACAACACTGCAGCCGATTCATTTGAATGCATTCTTGAACCTCGACAAGATATATATCTGTACGCCAAATTCCCAATTTACGTAATCTATTTCCCCAGCACTGGCCAGTTCTAGTCACGGAGACAGCCGTCACTGTAATGCATCACTATGGCAAGCAAGAAGTGGACTCACCCTTTATGTCCTCTTACAAGTAGCGTACCCGCCATTTACACCCCCATTGATGACAGCGCAACACTCAATACAGTTGCAGCTTTCAATGACCTCGGTCTGGTGATCTATATTACAATAAAACACAAACGGCATGTTGTTGTTAAAACCGGCGAATCGTGCGCACGCATACTGGTCTGCAAGCGCCCGTAAGCACGCGATCAGAGATCGAAATACGGGTATGCTGAAGGTTCTCACTATTCTGGGCACATGGGCTGCCGTTGGGGTTTGTCGCTGCAACGAATACTGTGGCGGACGCGATCATAGCGGTGAGTGAGATGAACTTCATTGTAACACTTAAGGACAGTTTTGGATGTTTTTTTGTTATCGAATTGAAAGTTATCGCTTTGCTTTTATACACAGGCAGTAAAAGGCGCTCAGCCCAAAAACTTGCAAGCAACCTAATGCGCCGTGACAACGTGTTAGCCTGAGGGTTTCGGGATGAAATTAATTGACAAATTATTAGCCTGCTTTTTAGCCAGGTGGCTCTTGGGAAGTTATTAACCAGCGGATTGTTAAAGGGATGTTCAATTCTAAAATCTCGTTGTCAATGTCGACTTAACCTTACGGCCGTCCTCTCGTAAACTACTTACGCAGACCCTGAACCTTTCCCGATTTAGCCGCTACCGTGTCGGTTAAACCTTCGCATGGGAGGCATTCTACACCTTTTCACAGAGTATCCTCGTCCCAATCCTCGCTGTATAGAGCCCAGGTTAGCTACCTGAACATTCCCATGTGGGAGTAGTAATTTTCCTAAACATTTATTCATGATACTTTTGAATCATTGATTTGGGGAAAGATTTAAACATTATTGAGCAATACTACATAGAATGGTTTACTGGGAATAGGATTAGGACGAGGATACTCTGTGAAAAGTAGATTTCGTAATAAACATGAGAAGCTTTGAGTAGTTAAATTGGGCTCTAACAGCAATTGCAAGGAAGGATAGTGACAAGATGTAGAGTGCAGTAGACGCAAGGTTTGACGACTAAATCAGGAAAGGTTCAGGGTCCACGTAAGTATTTACGAGAGGACAGCCGTAAGGTCAAGTCGACATTGACGACGACATTTTAGAATTGAGCATCCCTTAAGGGATGCTCAATTCATTCAGTCCGTGTTCACCTGGGAGTCGAGTTTGGTTGTTTAAGCTTAAGTTCAAGCTTAAGCGCTTCATTTCCGCCTCCGTAAATTAGTTTCAAGCCCGAAGCGGGACAGACGTGTCTCGTAGTTAAAATATGCCTATAATCTTGCTTTCGTAGCTGTGCACGGGGCATATTGATCACTTTTGAACGTCGAACGACGCGTTGAATTGGCATTGACTCATAGGAACTGATGACAAAATCGCCATATAACGGCCAGCGTGCGGTTGTAAGTGTCGGTAATCAGTTTCCTTGCTCGGATCCCAGATGAACGCGAACTTTTAGAATTGAGCCATCCCCTTAGGGTGTCTCACTCACGCGCACTAAAAGAGAGAAGAGGGCGGCATCCGAGTTGCCGTGTGCAAAATCAAATCACGTGTCCTTTGAGGTTTCCAAAAGCAGCCCCTATTGGTAAACATTCTTCAGCCACCGTAGCAAACCTCCGGACAAATAGCAACTTCGAAAACTGAGCTTAGGGTTTACATCTTTGTTTTGTACATGATCCTGAATATGTTTGATGGAGGCAGTAGTTCCGAGTTGACGACGCTAGAGCCCGACGTGACACTGGAAAAATCAATGCACATGACTTTCACGTGACCGTATCTGTGGTAAGTTCTTAGTGGTCAAATCCATTTCACCAACTGCCACGATGATCAGCTCCCGCCCAACAGGTATAGCATTTGATGGCGACTACCGCCATTTGACGAAGACCCCAGGAAATAGAATGCTGAAATCACGAAGTGCCCTCCAGGAGAACGTCGGCCGCCACGTACCCCTCACAGTGGATGGAAAAGCGAAGAAAGTTGCGTTGCAAAAAGCTCCGTTTTGCCCAAATACGTTGCGTGAGCTAGTTTCTTCTTAATATCATGTCACCTGCTCTCATAAGGCACTGTAGAACCACAGAAGATCCTCAAAGGTCACGATGGAACAACAAAATCCAAGGGAAAGGAACCAGTCATAGTCGCGCCCTCTCGACCTCTGGGGGACAAAACGCCCTTTCCAAACCGCGTTGCCAACCATGCCACACCGTTGCAAATGACAAAAATTATCTTTGATGTCACACCCGGTGCACTTCTTCGCCCAAGTTCCGCACGAAAACATGTTAGACTTCCTCGCAGCGCCAGCAAGAGCTTTCAGACACCACTCACTGGTGGAAATCACTGGGATGTTAGTGATATAGACATTAATCCAGAGGTCGTAGCGGCACCTACTCAATCGATTGAAGAAGACTACGATGAGATCGAGTACATGCCTCCGAAGCTACCTGGTGGGTAACCTTGACAAACGCTCTTTCCTGCTAATGCATCAACGCGTGTAGAAATGCCATACGAACCTCCGTTTGAACTTCCGGATTACAAAGAAATCGGGAGAACCTTTCTCGCTCTTACCCACTCCTACCCGATCGACGATATACCGACGCATACTACATCCACGGAATTCACGGCAGTTGATTCTGATGACAATTTTTTTGCCCTATGCAATATCTCTCTCCCCCATCTCGGTAATTAAATGTTACACAACGTCTATTCTGATATTGACTTCCGTTGCGTATAATCAGACGATGATAGTCCGTTCTCGCGGGCCAATTCTGCACCGAAGCCTAGACCCGAGGTGACTCGAATTCCTCCGTCACTGAAGAACGCTACTCGTCCAACCCAAATTACAACGTCAAGAGCTATTCGCGCTGCATCCACAATGGCCCATTCGACTCCGGCTGATACCTCCCGTTCGAAATCTGGCCCACGAGCTGTTACGCGTCTAGGTATGACAACTTCGAAGCCAGTGACCCGCGCAATATCAAGTGCCGCAGTCGTCAAGGGGAACACATCTAGAACACCCTCAACACGTGCGCCTTCTGTAACTATATCAAGAGCGCCATCTACCACCGTGATGACGAGGACGCGTTCTGCAAGTGCATTAGCCACTGGTACGAAACTCCAAGTAGGTCCTGCAAGTGGGAAGTTTGGAGCACAGCCGAGGACAGGTGCACATGTGAAGAGTGGTATGTCAACGAAGAAGGCAGTTCAAGAAATTGGGATTGTCTTTGAGGATAGCTGGCAGGAAGAGGAATTTAGGTTTAGCGTCTAGGTTTTTGACCTTCTAAATCCTGTATACAATACGAACAAGTTTGCTGTCTCGTTGCCTATTGCCCATCGTCTTGAAGCACACAAATTGCTTTCCGTTGATTTAGTTTGTCTAGACTTGTCATTCAGATATGTTCTGATTGCAGTGAAGATATCAGATAAATGTTCTTAAAGCCAAGAAGCAGCTGGTACACGGACAGATCACAAGACAAATGAAGAGATGTACTAAAAGGCTTACTGCCACCGCTGCAGTGAGGCATGTGCATGATGCTTCAACATCGGGTACGGCGTGCAACAGAAGGTTTGGTATACTTGATTCTACGTCAGGCAGCGAAATCAGCATCGGTACGAAGTTGTGGTGCTACTCATGCAAGAGAAAGAGGGTCAAAATCAGTCAATGCTGTGGTACATTCCGTCAGAAAGTCGAGATCCCACTCCATTTCCGCAGGTGGTCTGTCCGTGCTTTTGCCTGCCATGTGCATCTTTTGCGACATCCACAAAGAGGCTTGGTTAGCAGTAGCTCGAAGCTTTGGATCCTGGTGCCACAAATTCTGGACAAAATCCCACATGTCGTCATCCAGTCCTCGTTGAAGGCACACGTTATCCGTAGGACGCAAGGGACGGCTTCCCATCATGAAATTGGCATCCACTGCCTGTGGGGACAACTCCCCGAATGGTCGTATACCATTGTACATCTGAAAAGGGAAAGAGATCAGTCCATAGTTAAATATCACCACCGGGAACCGCACCTCATAAGATATGCAGCCAAATGCGAATATATCACATGGGCGTCTATCCAGGGCTGATAAGAGACGTGAATTTGCACGTGCCTCCAAAAGTTCAGGCGCCATGAAAGAGGGGGTTCCCGCAACAGAGATTATGGTGGTCTGAAGCTGAGCTTGAGAGTCTTGCGTGGTTGCAAGGCCGAAGTCGGCCAAACACGCACGTCCGGAGGATGTGACTAGAATGTTGACCTTGTAACAAATCTTCAGTGGCGTTCTCAACGATCAAGGCATCATCATACCCCTTTCAGGTCGCCATGCACAATTGTAGGTTGCATTCCATGAAGGTATTCGAGACCTCGCGCAATGTCCAATATCTGACCATTTCAGTAAACACCGGAAGCCAGAATTCTATCACTGACCAGAGGTGCACGATCAGCGTCAGTTCGTTGTAGATACGCGTTCAAATGTCCATTCTTCATCCAAGGAGACACCAGACAGGTCCTAGGTGCACCATCATTAAGATGGAATACACCGTAGAATGGCAGGCAGCTAGCATGCTGGATGTGATACCAAACGACTGCCTCGTTCGAAAAATCCTACAGGCCCTTATGTTATTCAAGCTTCCTGCGTGCGCAAGAATCATACTAACCTTGAGAAACTGCTCGGTGGTGCGGCCGACAGCCTGAATCTCTTTCACGGCTACGAAGCGACCGAGTAGTTCACCTTTAGAAATTACTCCAGATCCACCATGGAGGTTGGTTGGCTCCAGGTTGTCGATTCGGCGAAGCTGCAGGCTTTGAGGAAAATGGCTTGACTTCTTCGACAGTTTGATGATAGTATCCAGGAACCGACATTTGTACCATCCTTCTAATTGGTCTGACTTCATTACGAGTAACTACGAGCAAATCAGCAACGAGGGCATCGAAAATGCGTGGGATTTTACTGTCTGCAGTAAGTCTAGCATAGACTGGGCCTTATCGTCTTTGAGCGCCATTAACTGAGAAGTAGCATGTGAGTCGGTCGAACAACCAGCAATCAAAGCCCCAATGTCTTGAATGTCTAGCGGGTGTAGTCTGGACTGACTGTTGAGAGATCGGTTACAGACGTGCAACTTCACTTGAGCCTGAACAAGATCAGCTGAATACACAATAGGGAAGGCAAGCGCCGACCTGGCTCATTATTCCAGACAACAAGTCCTTGATGGCCCTGAAATTTATAAGACACCACATGTTGCCCTGTGACGTCCAGTCTCTTCTCATCTTCTCTAGGTCAACCAGCAGGCTACAGCAACGTCAGATCAGACAACGAAGGCAGAATCTGGAATGTACTTCGGCTTGTCAGGGGTACAAAGATTAAGGTGCGTAAACACATGCGCGTACAAAGTCTATCCATAGACACTGTAAGACCCACTGCGTAGCTCCATAACGAATGATCTCACTGACCGGTAAAATGGGCATGCACCGCATCCCTTTGATGCATGCCTGTCCCGCTGCTGTGTCCAAGCCCTCGAATTCATCCACCAAATCCTGTACCTGAAACCTCACTGAGTTACGAAGATGCTGTGTAGGGGTTTGGGGAGAGTCCGTTCGGTGATTACGGGATAGCGCAATGTCGTCGATGGTCGTTGGTGCGGGAGGCCGATCAGGATTCTGCTGCTGCCAAACAGAAAACCGTGTGCTCGGAACTGTACTCAGCGTAAGATCGGATTCTGTGCTCAGCGTATTGGTCGATTCAGAAGGAACGCTTGTCAAGTTGCCTGTGGACGAGCTAGGAGAAACTGTTGATCGCTGCGAACCATCATATGCATCATGATAACCAAAGTTCCTGGCATGCAACGCCTGGAAATTTCTTGCAAAAATGTGGTTCTCTCGAATATGATGATTTAGCTCCCGAGTCGCCATAACTTTATGACAGTGAATGCATTGTATCGAAGGTACGAACCGTGTCACCGGCATAATACAGAGAGAATGGCTATTTTCGTTCTATATGGTGTGATCACGGGAGACTATCACTGAAGGAAGACGAAGAGAATCGAGAGTCTAGTTTAAGCACTTTGAAGTGCTTTATATGGCTGTGAAGACTGCTGTAGCCAGAGCATCAATTACTTACAACAATAAGTATAAGCACACGGATTGCAACGTTGAAATTGGGATGAATACGTCGCAGCTGCATCCAAACCGAAGTGGCATAAGCTGAACCGTATACAATACAAGCAAGATAATAACAAGAACTGTCGACAAACTGTAGCAGCCGGGATGAGCGGCAGTCTCCGAGTAGTCCGGAATTTACCGAGCCACATAAGTTCGACGAAGTTTTTCATTCTTCCTCGCCGATTCCTTATCACTCTTCCACTTTTACTCATGGGGAAGGGACATTATTCTTCGGCATAGAAGGATTTCTACAGCTTCACTTTCGCTAGCAGCGCTATGCCTTTTGTTCTGTACATCTGGCGATGATGGTCTTCTAGATAGTGGTGAAAGCTACAAAATACCAAACTGAATCTATATGTTACCTATTTCTATTACGCCCAATCTGACTCGGGTCTCCATGATGAGGTCACCGTTATTCGTTCATCGCGATCCTCACTGTGTTAGCTGGGCTCGCGGATCATGCTTTTGAGGATGATTGCCTGCCAGAAACTCAGCTCATTCGAACGCCAAACATGGGAGCCAAAACATACGCCGTGACGCTGAATTTGAGCGACGTGAAGACGATCGTTAGCTTCACGACATTGCCAACAAGTTCGGACCACCCTCGCTCATCGAGGATGACCATATCGTCATCCTCTTCGCCATGTTGTCGATAGAATCGACCATAGATCGTGACCTCGGGCTTGTACCGAAACTCAGATATCCACCAGTCTTCTTTCGTGGCAAATCTGGTTATGAACATATCGACTGCTTTCTGCAATTGTTTCAGATCATGAAAAGTCTGGACGAGGGGGCGCTTGCCCTGTAGCTCATGGCTTGTAACGCTGCTCTTCCAAACGCACGTTTGTCATTTCTGCAAGTAACAATTACCTGCGGAGGGATGGACGTCGCAGTAGCAACAAATTCATGTAGCGTGTGTAAAGCAGAGACAACATCACCAGGCAGGGCTGTGTGAGCTTGGGAGGACTGTTGAACAGATTCCATCCGACTCATGGTGTCCGCAAATGAATAGAAAACGGCAGTACGGCGGCGCGGCCACAAGTTCACCACGCTGTGAATAAGATGCACATCCGAGTTAGACCATGATGATAGCACGGGAACGAGGCGTGAAGCGCCTGACTACCGTGAGTGACTAGCAGGAATTTTCCTTTCGAATTCGAATTTCTATTATATACGTAGTGATTGACATCTTTTCTCTGGCTAGAAGTTCTACGTGGTCCGGCGATTGGGCAAAATACCCTTGACTCTTCCGTTCAGTTGCATCGTTTGCGTTTAGGCTCTTAATTAGGGAGAGAGACGTGTCACGGCAACCGAATTCAAACGCTTTCCCTGCTTTGAGTAAGTAATACTTTTTTCCGCCGTTTTGGCGCTGTGTTTACTAAATGTCACTGGAAGAAAACACGGCAAACCTGGGATCCAGCTTCCCGTTGAAATACGAGTCAGTATTCAAGTTCATATATCATGATGCATGTCAATAACATCGTTGTCATCCAGAAAAAGGAGCGACTATGATCTTCCTTCCATCAAGGTCTGACTGAGGAATTTCCTCCCTGAAACTTCCTCCGGTAGCCCATGGCAGCGGGCCGCACAAGCAGAGTCGATCTTAGGTCATATCATGATGTACGAGCTTCGGATTCTGCCTACCTGTCACTGGCACATCGGCGCAGGCGATTCTGCTTGAACAAATCTTACCCGCTTTCCCAACCAAGCAACTGAATTGAATTCCTGTGGGTTTGGGAGCAGGGAATCACAGATGAAATAGTGGGGTCGACGAAGACATGTCAGACCTTTCTGGGCCGGCCCTGACCTTGCATCGACTGAGTATACTCTATGATTCAACCCTACCTCGTTTTCCCAGCCATTATCCGAGGATCAAGCCGGTAAAGAGTTTGAAGCCGGTATCATCAGGGAAAGCCTCCTCAGCTAAATTTTACTAATTCACTGAAATTCTCGATAAAAACAACAAATTATCGTGGATTATCGACTTTAGAAAAATTATAATGTTTATACTTACTATTTTACTGCCTTCTCCATAAGATATAATCCCGAGCAAATAATGTATAATTTTGTGAATTTATTTGATATTCTAGGCATTTGTGAACTAAATGTTGTGAATTGTGGAAAGAATATGTTGAATTTCGACGAGAAAATCACGCGATTCAGACAGTATTACAAGAAAACAAAGTAGCATTTGATTAAAAGTGAGTGGATAGATCGGCGAGGGGGATCAACAAATCTGCGCTATTTACGGGTATAGACCAACATAGTAGAAGCTAATCCTCAACCATGCCATCGAGGTCGAGTAGTGCCAGTGCATCTTCATGCTCAGTGGCCAGACGATCATTTCCCTTCCGTTTCAACACCCTGCCAGCAGCGTCAATATACAAATCGAAGCGGCGGCACCACGCACACCAGCGAACTTAAAACTTACTGTACAGCTCCATAGATATCGGCCATCAAGTGGTGAAACTTCCCAGGTGCGTCCTTCTTCAAGTCCTCGAGGAACTTCACATGAAAGACATAGGTTTCACTGAATTGATTCCCCGTGAAATTGAACTTTCCCGGCGAACCAAGTGTTTTCCAAAAGAGGGCAGCGTAAACCTTTGAAAAAAACGAGTCAGTGCCGCTCAATGACCTAGGGGAATGGACATTACTGATGTCGCGACCAGCGCCAGCAACGGAACAGGTATTTCGGGGCGATTGGCCTTGTTGTTTGCAATCTTGACGAAGCGCTCCGCATATTTGACGCCAATGGACTTCGTGCCGTTGAAAACTCCAGAGTATATGAGGAAGATTAGTAGGTCACCCTGGTAGGGCTTTTTCCCGATAGGCGAAGGTTCATCGTTGAGCTGGTGAAGAAAGAAAGTTAGTAAGAGCTGTGAGGCATGGAGGTGATGATATGTAGAAAGGGAATATGTTAGCGCATAGGAAATTGGGATAGATGATATGTAGAAAGGGAATATGTTAGCGCATAGGAAATTGGGGGTAGATGATATGTAGAAAGGGAATATGTTAGCGCATAGGAAATTGGGGGTAGATGATATGTAGAAAGGGAGTATGTTAGCGAGAGACCAGGGCATCAAACTCACATCGAACTTCAAAGCATATATATATGCGTGCTTCTCCATGAGTCTTTTTGCCTTGACTACGCTAAGACCAAGGCGAAAGTAGCTGTCGATGTTGGCGCATGCAACCTCTTTCAACTCACGGCGTAATAACGGAAGGCGTGGCTCCACCTCAAGGAAAAAATGTTAAAGATAAAAGAAATTGTGATGCCAAAGGACTTACCAAACTACCGAGTTGAGCGGCATACTTCGCATCCGCTTGAAGACGTTGTTTAATGGCGTGTAGGCCACGTTTCTCAGCCACTGTAAGCAAAGATTGCAGCGAGACTTGGTTTTTGTCGATCAGTTCAGGATAGGCATCAACAAAGACAATGTGACACTTGGCGTCCACAATCGCGTCCCGGACCACTCGTCGAGTCTCCTGGTTTTGATCGAGCAACTTTACCTTACCAGACTCTGTTCGAATGAGAGAAGCAATGCTGTGGCATGCAGCGGAGGTGAGTTTGGGGTTGGCGCTGTCACTGGAGTAGAGTTCTGAATCCCCGCAAGTGGTAGTAGTTTCGTCGATGGACTCTGAAACAGCGTTATCGAGATCACGCCAGGTTGGAGTCTAGTAAATGAGTCATTAACTGAATTGTGTCCAAAAAGATGAATGAATTTGAACTCGCCTCCGCAGCTTGTTTGAGTTCTCGAGCCGACTGAGATTTTCCATGTGAATTTTGAACACCCTTGACGTTGTCAACGACAAGCAATTGAGGGACCTTCAATTGTGAGTCACGCGACTCAGATAGCGTGTGAATTAAGTAATCTATCACTGACCTCATCAGATAGCATCATGGCGGTGGTCTCTGGTTCCTCTCCTTCACTCTCCTCGTGGTCAGCGTCCGAACCATCATCATTGACCTGTTCATCGGAGTCAAGCTCGTCAGACTTGGACAATGCAGACACATCCTGCATTGCGTATGTTCGACGGAGTTTGTGAGGTCGATACACGCCTGCTACGCACTTCTGAGTAAGACTGCCTCTTTAAGCGCCAGTGGATAACTAACCTCGAGGTTTTTCAAGTTCAGGTTCCAGGTCTTCGTCCTCACCACCGCTAGACTCAGCAACATCCTCCTCATCTGTGAAGGTACGCTGGCGCTCTGTTGTATACCGTGAGGTTAGTCTAATTGCTATGACTCATCGTGTAGAACCAGCAATGCACTCACTGTGGGCAGTCACATGTGGAGGCGGATCCACTTTTGTGCGCTGGATGTTCTCTGATCAAAGGTAAGTGTTTAGTTCATGTACTGTAGGGAGGAAAAAAACTCTTACTGTTGGCGCTTGGTGCTGATTTTTTTCTGTTTCTGATAGATACTGTCGCCGGGACCCGAGCTTCCTAGTCGAGTTGGCGGGGACGGTTTATGAGCTTTTTTTGTTTCTTTAGGCTTCCAGACTGATCTCGCAGGTGAGTATCAAATATTCATGTTAGGATGGTTGCATACTTACCAGCATTTTCCATAGCTCTGGTCTTGGCTTTTCGCGGCTCTGATATGAAGCCCATAGTGAGTACTGTCTGACTCTGAGTTTACCAGTAGCCACTTACCACGAGAATTAGTAGGTGCGGACATGGTAAACTAGATAAAAAAGACGGGAGGCTAACAAAGGACTGTGAATTGTCAAGACGAGAAATTGGGAGGGAGTTGAAAGGTTTGAGGGCGCCGTCAAGGTTTTTAGTGTTTTTCAACATCGGGGGCAGTTCAACTCAACTGGCCCTGACTTTAGTTTCGGTGAGTTTCTCAATGTTTACCTCAGACTGACCCTCAAAATGATTAGTGCTGTTTTACTAGCTCGTACGTTTGCACAGCAACACGGATCTTGAGCTTGCACGTAGCCCCCTCAATCCCTCTGCTCACTCCTCGAGTCCGTCTGATCACTCGAGTCCCTCTGCTCGCTCTTCAAGTCCCTCTGCTCGCTCTTCAAGTCCCTCTGCTCGCTCTTTCGATCCCTCTGCTCACTGCTCCCACGTATGGCAACACAATGCCCTGGTTGCGGCCGAGATGATCTCACAGTTACGGGTCTCAGTCAGCATCTTGCCAAGAGCAGCAGCCCACATTGTCAAGCGCTGTACCGTCAGTCACGGTTAGAAATACCTCGAGCCAATGAAACCGGTCCTCACAACGAGTTGGAGAGGTCTGATACGGAGGAAGGTTATGGTGAGGATGAATTTACGTGGGCTACCGAGCAAGGCAGCGATGGCGAAGGCGACGGCGGCGGTGACAGCGATGGTGACTCAAATGATGGTTTGATTCTCGAACATGAATGGGAGCCTCGGGTCGAAGAGCGAGAGGATGATATGGCTCATAACGACGCATACCAGGAAGATGAGCACGGCGCTCAATACGATGAGCACGTTGCTCACCAGGACATTCAAGCACGTGCGCAAGGGCAGCACGGATGTGTGGTTGTGGCTTACCCAGATCCGCGCGCTGGTCGAATCATCAATCAAGCCAACTGCCGTGCTGCAAATGTGGAATACGGGGCACACCTTTCTAATGCAGAGAGGGATAACGTGTATCATCCGTTTGCTTCTAAGATGGATTGGGAGGTCGCAAGATGGGCCAAGCTGCGTGGACTCAGTTCAACATCGTTATCTGACCTGCTCGCAATCCAGGGGGTAAGACATGCCATTTATTTATACATTTGTCTACATAATTAAATAATTGCAGGTCAGTGAACGCTTAGCGCTCTCTTTCAAGAACGCAAATGAGCTGAATTCAATGATCGATCACGAACTTCCGACCAGCCGGCCGAAGTTTAAACGAGAGCAGATCGTTGTCGCTGGAGAATCCTTTGACGTCTATTATCGTGACGTGATTGAATGTGTCAGGTCACTATACAGTGATCCTGACTTCGCGCAGTATCTTTCGTTTGCCCCCGAGCGGCATTATACCGATGAGAGTGAGACTGTTCGTCTCTTTCACGATATGCAAACAGGTAAATGGTGGTGGGACACGCAGGTACGTTGGGTCCATAGTATATATGATATGTGCTTGGTACTTACAACACTACAGAAAAAGCTCGATCAGCGCCGTCCAGGTGGGACCATCATTCCCATCATTTTATCGTCCGACAAAACGCAAGTAACGCTGTTCCGCAACAAGTCTGTCTATCCGGTGTATCTCACAATTGGGAACATCCCGAAAGAAATCCGACGCAAGCCGTCATCTGGTTCCTACATTCTACTCGCTTACTTGCCATCAACACGGCTCGAACACATAACCAACAAAGCTTCACGCCGGCGAACTTCGGCCAACTTATATCACGCATGCTTGAGCCGTATTCTCGCTCCACTCAAATCTGTCGGACTAGATGGACTGCATATGGCTAGTGGAAATGGTGATGTCCGCCGTTGTCATCTATTATTCGCCAATTTCATTGGCGACTACCCAGAACAACTCCTCGCTACTGGGATCAAATTTGGAGAGTGTCCGAAATGCGATATCGACGCTGACGAAACGGGTAGCAATACAGCGCCGTTTCACTTACGAAAACTTGGCGAGGTGCTAGATGCACTCGCTGCGTTCGCTGAAGGGAATCTGCCCTTTGTTCGCGCTTGCGCTGCGGCGGGCATCAAGCCAATTGTCCATCCTTTCTGGGAAGATCTTCCGTTCGCTAACATTTTCCGTGCAATCACTCCAGATGTCTTACACCAGCTGTATCAAGGCTTGGTAAAGCACCTCGTAGGATGGTTGACGGCTGCTTGTGGAGCCGCCGAAATTGACGCTCGCTGTCGCCGGCTTCCTCCAAACCACCACATTCGTCTGTTCAGCAAGGGGATCACTGGCCTGTCACGCATAAGCGGGACTGAACATGCTCAAATCTGCCGCTTCCTCCTTGGTATCGTGATTGGTATCCGGTTGCCCAACAATTTAAACGGAAACCGACTCTTACGTGCAGCACAGGGTCTACTCGACTTCCTCTATCTTGCACAATATCCGTGCCATAGTTCAGAAACCTTGCAACTACTGGACGACGCACTCGATCGTTTTCACGATAATAAGGACATTTTCGTCGAACTCGGAATCCGACACAGTTTCAACTTACCGAAGCTGCACGCCACCCGCCACTATCATCTCATGATTATCATGTTCGGTACCACAGATAATTACAATACAGAATACACTGAGCGGCTCCACATCGACTACGCGAAGGATGCTTACCGGGCCACGAATCATAAAGACGAATTCGTACAGATGACACGCTGGCTCGAACGTAAGGAAAAAATTTTACGCCATGCCAAGTTCGTCAGCTGGCGACTTACTGGCGCTCAACAATTGAAGCCTCACCACTCAATTCCACCCGATATGACTTTCCGCCGGCTTCAATCGATGACGAAGCACCCTAGTGCAAAGGCCGTCAGTATACAAAAGCTCATTGATGACTACGGCGCTACCTATTTCCGCGAAGCACTCGCACGCTATATCACACAAGTCAGCCACACCAATGATCCAAACCCCCCCCATGGTCTTGCACTGGATGTGTTGGCCCACGACATTCATCTCCCATTCCGAACTCTCCCTGTTTTTCATAGAATCAAGTGGCTGTCAATAGATTCTCGCGGTCACGGCAACACGACAGTCACGTTGGACTCTGTCCATGCCAGACCACGACGGAGCTCGGGTACTCATCCGCTGGCTCGCCGTTCGGATACGGCTCTTGTGAGCCTCGGTCCAGATACAGATGCTGTTAGTGCCGGTATTCAAGGTATGTTTAGCAAGGTGACACGTCACTCACGATTGACCGAGTCAACTAGGGTTCCGTGTTGGGCAAGTACGAGCCGTCTTCGCACTTCCAGCCAAATCAATACCACTCCTCTTCCCACCAACAGTCGAGGTGCCCAACCACCTAGCTTATATCGAATGGTTTACTCCATTCCTTTCTGCTCCCGATCGACACCACTGGACTTTACAAGCTTTCGCGATCCATGGATGGTGGCGAAAAGGTGGCCAGTGTCGTGCCATTGGCAAACATTGTGCGCAGTGTCCATCTCATACCGAACTTCGGCGCTGTTGTCCCACGAGAATGGACGAGCGACACCGTCCTCGATGATTGTAACTCATTTTGGTTAAACTCAGTATTTAGATAGATACACTTTCTGTATTTTCAAATAATTCTGACATTTTTCAAAATAATTCTGACATTTTTGCGTGATTTATTTCATACATCTTTATCTCCTCAGTCTCTTTCTTTATAATACTTGGAATTTCAGACTATTAGATAAAATTTTGAAAATCACAACGTTTTTCTCAAATTATAACGTTTTTCGCTCGGGAGGGTTTTCCTGATGATGTTTCTCGTGTTCTCGCAGAACGTATCTCACAGCGTTTCAGGTACATGGCCCCATCGCTAGGCTGATATGTCAAGGCTCGTATGTATATCCCGGGATTCAGTCGTCGTCCAGATAGGTTTTAAACATCATTTTCAAAGAAGGAATATCATGGTGCATGTTTCATATTCTATTGAGTACACCATTGAAAATTTCTGGCATGCGTCAAGTTAGTGTCACTTGACTTAGCCACTTCGTCGTCGAATGTCCAATTTATACGAATCGAAGGTACTACATGTGGACAAACATTAAAAAATGTGTAAAGTAATATCAATGACGCCTAAAAATCTTCTGCGGAGTATTCGCTGTGGGATGTTTGAAGACGAGCAACCGAGCTGTTGCAAACACTACACCATGATCAGCCGATCGAGTGCAACTATGTAGCTATTTCTGAGATGTCACAAGTCACACCCGGATCACCTCGAACTTGAAGGTAAGTGTGTACCATCTTTACAGTATTCGACGTCCTATCTCACCTTTGCTTTGAATTTGTATCCTGTTACTTGTATATCATTGGGACTAGAACACGTGCGTATAACATTCAATACATGATCAATGATTTCTTCGGCTCACGAGATACTCATCAGCGCTCTGCTCTCAAAGAAACTGATGAGCATGTCGGTGATCATGGCTGCGATATTCTAATGACAGCTCTTCCCTCAGCATGAATATAGTCAGGGAAGCATAGCCCACGATATTCATAACCAAGCTGCCATACATGTGCATACGAGCTCGTTGGGCATACGCCAGATGACGATCGATAAGCCATCGAGAGGTTCCTGCCACATATGGTAAGCTGAGGCATCATGGGAACTGTCCGGCAAACGAACTCTCAGACTTTCTGACAAATTTCGTTCGGACTTGCTGAGCTCGAAGTCAAAGTGAAGTTTGATTTAACTAACTTATTAGTTCAAATCTCACAGAAGACTCACTTAATATTGTCGTCGTCGTCGTCTCGAGCTCATTACTGGCCAATCATGATTTTAGGTCAATTTTCTGCTTCGGTATTCGTTGACAACGAGCCACTGCCGGAATATAAAGAAGTCAAGTCCGAAACACGGGAAGAGAACTCGATGACTTGTTGGATTGCGTCAGAAGCAGGCAAGGTATAGTATTAATCATACTTGTGTACTAATGAAAAAATTCATGTCCACCATAAGGAGTTCGAAATCAGGGGGGAGGTTTTAAAGCCGCAGCCCAAGGGTGTCTGGTCATCTGCCTCTGCGGATGATTTCAAATGTCCTCCATGGGTCATGCCGCGACACTGGACAGGTACAGTTGAATTTGACTGTATCTCTGACCAAATAAGCAGCAGAAAACTTATGTTCGAAAATATAAAGTTTACAGGTCAGTACATGAAATAGTGTCCAGAGCTTGTTTCTAACTAGTGATACTGCACTTCAGATGACGACTCAGTGCTCGACGATCGTTCCAGCAACATTGGTCAAATTATAATAAGGTTTGACTGCGGGACATTTACCAAGACAAGGTTGGCAAGGAAGGGAGTGTCTGCTAGGTCAGCGACACCTGAAGAGGTTGAAGTGCACGAACACTCGAAGAAGGGCCGCCGCCATCGAACTGTGTATGTATCATTTTATTGCATATGTCACTTTCTATAACTGTTATTTGGTTCAGTCTTGGGAGAACCACACCAGATCCAGAAGAACAAATGAGCTACAAACAAGTTTGGGACGACCATCCTGGCACGGTGTTTACCTTCAAATTTACTTCTTTAGGTGGGTCATTTCTACTACATGTGTACCCAACTCATGCTAATCCCCAATTTCAGACAACCTGTGGGCAAAGGGTATTGTAGCACGACCAATTGATATGCAGCTGAGAGAGTTGAAGGTAACTTTTTGTTTTGGTGTTATCCTTTCCTTCTAACTTATTTTCTTGAAGTCATCTTCGTCAGGAGACCAGAAACTCTCACCTGTGAAGTTGAAAGCTTAATCAATCTCGAATCCGTAAGGAGTGCCACTCAATATAATTTTCTTTGTACTCCTTGCAAATTCACGGCCGATGTAGCATCTTTATTCAATTTAGTGTAGTACTTCTAATATGCATTGTACATACTTATTCCGAGCTAGTTATGTAAATAAAACGAAGCCTGAACACCTTTGTTCTCATACATTATGGCGAGATCGATGCTGATATGAAAAACCTTCATCCTCATCTCCAGAGCTGGATTGAATGGATCACATTTGTCGTGCGCATCGTCGAAAACGCTGTCGTCCATAATAGGTCGTGATGACACAGAATATCCATATAGCACCTCAACCTTACATTATCATTGCCTAAATAGGCTGCCATACTACCCTGGGAATGCCAATCTAATTAGCTCAGTTCGCATCAATCCCTGACACTGCCAATAAATACCTGAATAATGCTGAATATCCTCCCTTGCTAACATAAGGCAGGAACTCCCCATGGGACACCGGTGCTACTGCCGCCTATTACTGAGTACAACGTATGCAAACATTCTATTTTTGGTAATACTGAGTCACAATGCATTGGCAACGTCCTTAAACCTTCGTGCTCGTCGTTGTCCACAACGAGCTCGAGTATTCAATGTAAATTACATCTAAATGCACCAGTTTTTTTGTGCACCCTCAAATCATGGGAGTCCCACTCTACTAACAGTGCTTTTTCTTTACAGTCTATTACTTATGCGCGTGTGACATGTACTACCGTCACTCGTTGATTGTCGACCCCACAGTGTTGAACATGCACGTTCCCACTCTTATACTGTCCTGGTTCCTCCACCACTCTACTCAGTGCTCAATGCATGCATCCAAGCGACGGAAGGGTCTTTCTCGCAAAGTTCATGTCTCTGGCTTCAGCTATACTGGAGAACGACGCAATGAAGTTTTATCCCAGGCAGCAGTGGCCCATGAATGCACCGCAGGTCAAGAACACTACTGTCTCAACATTACTGGTACCTTCTTTCTTTATCTGTCTTACTCTATGCTGATCTTCTTCTCAGGTCTTAGTCAAGATACCCTCAATGTCCTTGGTGAAATACGCACTGAACTGCCTCACGAAGACTTTATAGCCACAGACGCCATGGACCACGATGGGCAAAACAGAGACTGGGAACCCATACCTGAGTCTTGGAATGAGGACGAGACGATTGTGCATGCAATTCGCGACTTTGTTGATCACCGGTGAGTATTTTCTTTATGCTGGATACTGTAGTGTTGACACTGGCCAATAGCTGGAACTATCGAGTGTGCAAAGATACTAGGACTTGGCGAAGCCACCTTGATAGCTTGCATGCAAATTGGATGCCTATCCTTCCCCTTCTCGCCGATGCATTCCTGCACTGGAAGGCATCAAACTCAGCTCCCCCTCTGACTACACCGCTGTCAACTGAACATGGCTTTACCATCAAAGTCGTCGACCTTTTCACTTTGGAATCACACGCATTCATCCCATGTGAGGACGACATCTTGACATCTGTCGCACTCGTAAACGCTGGCTATGTTGGTCATGTCCCACATACTCCCTCACTTGTATTTTCTCTCCGTACATTGGAACATTACTGACTTGTTCGTTCATGCAAACCTTCATTCAGTGTAGAGGCCTTTAGCAAAGTAATATGTGACTCATACAAGGTATGTAGTCCTTCATTTTTGTCACACTAATCTTAATGTCATTACAGGTACCTTACAGACAACATTATCGTACAATGTTAGCGGGCGCATTTGACGTCTACTTAACTATGGTCCACTCCATCGAGAAAAAGGTCAATGTCACCCTTGGTCGTGATACCCTGAACTGGTGGGTCCTTAACGCCTGCCCTCCATGTGCCTATGCACTCGAGGATGAATCACCTCTCACATCCAATCACATGTTTGTCATTGATGGCGGGAATTTGGCAAAAAGGATGCTACAAGTAGGTGATCGTCAGCGTGGAGATATGAGGGAGTATGCTGACAGCGACTACATGCTTCCTCGGCCTTACGTCAACCAGTTTGCAAATGAAGTTCGGTCGCAACCAATGCCTGTGGACACTTCAGAGCCTGAGGATGTTGTTCCTGCTATTGGGAATGATGATGACGCTGACACCGAGGACTCATCATGACAAGTAATGTCTTCCGATTGCAGCAAGAACTGGAAGGCTGCCGCCGGTGAAGAGAAGAAATGGATGTGGAGTATTTTCGATGAGACTGGCCTCTTTGTTGCTGCCTGTCAGTCATGGCCTCCTATTGTGGGTGACTGACATGGTGCGCAGCGGTGAACTGTAAGTATTTCATTTCTGATATATTATTTTTATTTACTATAATACCAACAGTGCAAAGTACCCTCTCGCCATCATTTCCAAAATTCTCGAGGTTCTTGGTGAGCTGCAACCTTGGGGCTTACGACATTGGCTGCGGATTCACATTGACTATCAGCTCGAGTAGCCTTGGGGAAGCATTCAAGAAGCAAGGATGCCGTATGTGCATGGACGCATTCCACTGGCTACGCGCACAACTTCACATGTCAAACAAAGAACCACCCTAATGGCATCCAGGGTGCAGGTCTCGAGGATTTCGGAACCATCGAACACTTCTTCAGCGCGTCAAATGCCATCGCCCTCCATCATTCACTATGCGAGTCCCTACCGTAGACATGTCTTCCTCGACTTATTCTTCAAACAATGGGATGAGGACAAGTACCTCAACCTCGCTACCATGATTTTTAACAACTATAAGCAGGCAGCTCAGGTATCTTGGCCTCGGAATCAATTGCACTTGACGAAGCGAAGAGGTCGCTTAGCATCAGTGATGATGATCTTGAGAGTTGGCATGCCGAAGAGGTTGACTATTTCGCAAATGTTGGCAAACAGTCCACAGTGGGATGTGCATGCTATGGCGTATGTGGAGCTCCTTCAAAAATTGAGAGACACGGAGTAAGTTTTTTTTTGATTCCTTCTTGACGTCTTTTTATTAACATCATCAGGCGCCAGGCACATGACACTAACTCCAAGTTCTTATCTACTACACCAGTCAGACTATCAATTTCTCCCTCCTTCACAGAGCTCGTACTCTGCTGATCTCTTGTCTACAAGACGACTCGAAATGCAGTGCCGTTATGCGACTGAACACCTTGCTACCCTTCAACATGAAGTCGTTTCAATGGAAGTAACCATGGGAATATCTCACCGATGGCAGCCGTCGACTCTAGAATATCAGCAAACAATGGAATATATGGCAGCCTACAAGTACCAGTGTGCACTTGACCAGCTTCAACAGCTGGTTGTCCAGCGTCTTTTCGAGCTTCAAAAGCTCAATATATCGCAGACTGGTGAGTCACTCTTTTTTCATGTGTCTTCACTTACGCCAGTGTGTAGCCTACAAGATGTGCAACACACATTTCGAAGTCTCTTCAAACCCGTTGTCGCACCATCCAAAATGCTATCAAGAAGTATAACGAAGCCACGCTAGAGCTCAATCCCCCTCATGCACCACTTGAATGGTCCAGAGTCTCACATTATAGCTTCCTCGAGGAGTTTAGTCTCCTATGGGAGACACGTCAGGATGTTCGAGAAAAACCTTGGGCGAAACCAGCCGTCCGTGAGGTCATGCGCCAATGGTTGCGCATTAAGCGTGCCAAGGAGGAAATTGAGCGCTGCAATGTTGAAGTGTGGCGCCTCCACACAGCAATCATTGATGAACACCAACATTTCAATCTTATTCTCAATTCGCTTGCTGACAATTCTCTTCTAAAAGTTGCTGTTGAGGAATTCTGTGCATGCCGTTGTCTGATCAATTTCCAGTTGCTTGCTCGCATCTCGCAAATCTACGCACTATCTGGTTTCACTGGTGTGGCATCACCCGGCACGAGGAAAGGAGTGGTACTATCTCATATGGAGCAGGACAGTGCGTTACCAGAAGCACCAGAGGATGATGCGGATGACACAGATGACACTGCTGATGCACCTAATGAAGTTGATGACCTGCAGCAAGACATAGGCACCCTGGTGGAATACTTATCTGACTTAGTACTTACTCATTGATACAATCATTGTTTTCATAGTTGAATCACACAATCATGACGGTTCCCTCTGGACATTAGATTTTGCGAAGGAGACAGGAAGGCGAAAGATTAAGATCGAATTTACAGGAAGGCGAAAGATTAAGACCGAACTATTGGTGAAGTATATTCAAGGCCTAGAAAGCAGGAAGGTGAAAGATTAAGATCGAATTTATTCAGCCAGTGAGTCGAATTGGCAGTCACTGACTCTGTATGCGAAGGTTTGATCGTTAGTAAGTGTCTGAATCAGCCACTCTGTTATTGCATCATCTCAATGTTCTCACTGGCAACATTGTCTCTATTTGATCGCCACCACACATTCAAGTTCTCATGTCAACTTCTTCTTCTTCCAGATCCAGATGCTATGTAGTGTTTGGTGGTCGCAACTCTGGTGTTTTCACTGAACGGTTTGCCTTCGCATACTATACAAACTAGATGGCTAACTCTTTTACAGACCGTTTATCGCAAATCCTTCGGGCGCTCATTATTTTCCTATTGCCATTCGTTGTCTGTCAATTGAACATGCCTGGAAACTTGACAACCTCCAATCTATTCTCAAGACTGCGAAGATCGATGAAGACACTTCGCCCGCTGATGCTGCTCGCGCCTTTCTGACTTCTGACGCTGCACATGGCGTGCTTCAACAGGAGCGCCACGAAAAAGTTGTCACAGGTTTCTATAGCATTCTTTTTGGGTTTGAGACGGGTATTTTCACTACATGGTGCGTCTCACATCTTTCTATGTCACTCCAATACTAACTGTTGAAACTACTATGCAGGAAAGATTGCCATCAAGCTGTCTCGGGCTTTCAGCGCCCAAAATACAAAAAATTCATTTCGTTTGCTGAAGCAATTGCATGGATGATCATGAAGGGTGAGGTCCTCAACACACTCAAGGCAAAGGAGAACGAAATGCACCGTCCCTTAGGTATGTTGATCATCTTGTTTGTCGCTCTATCTAACACTCTACTGCTTCTCAAGAGGATCGCACCTTTGCCAGTCTCCAGGGGACATCAGCAAATAAGAACAGAAACAATTGTTCCTTAGGTATGTTTGCCGTCTCATCATCACTCTATCTAACACCCTATACAGCTACCCAAGAAGATCGCACCTTCATCAGCCTCCAGAGTTCACACCAATCTTCTTCCGTGAAATTGGATCCTTCTGAGTACATTCTCTTTGTTATTCAATAGAAATACTAATGGGACTTATTACAGTACTTGTCGATGTTGACTTACACTCCGAGACGACGCCACACCATGTCCATGTCGAATTACCCTCCGAGACACCACATCGCATTGTTATTCCAGCTTTTCCACTTACATCTTCACCTCAGTCTTCTTGTGCATGGAGAACCGCTGCTCCAGCACACAGCTCGACGTTACTCGAAGCATCCGGAACATCGAAGCCCCGAGTTTATCAGGCTGTTCGGGAGTTAAGTGGAGTGCAATCTGCACACTACGAACCCCCTCCACATGATGATACCCCCATGCCTTCCTTTGGTGATCTTGCTGATTCCTATCTCCAGTCTCATGGCTTCACTCTCCGTGCTGTGCTTTGCATTGCCCATGCTGTAGACACCAGCAAATCTGGCTGGGAGTTCATTGATGAGATTTCAGGAAGGGGTCTTGCCATCTCCAAGGCACTGCTGGCTTTGGATGCTCATTACTGGTGACGATGGTTTTTGATGCACATATATCTTGCTTAGATCTAAAGTCACGTGCATAGACACACTAGCGAACACTGCCATTTGTCGGGTCTTCATCTCTTTTTTGCTGTCGGATCTCTTTGTTTTGTCAGGTCTCTTTTTTTGCTTTATTTCACACTGCTGTTGTCGGATCTCTTTGTTTTGTCAGGTCTCTTTTTTTTTTGCTTTATTTCACACTGCTGCAGGCTATTGCAGTCATGCCTGACACTTCCAATCCACTTGGCCGCTATGCTAATAAAATGCGGAGGCTTACTACCAACCAGCCTCGCAAACCCTGGCGTCAACGCACCAGGACTCGGTACAAGCTTTCAGCAGCTGACAAAGCTGTTTTGAAAGACAAATGGCTAACACACCGTGTTTTGTATGCACAGGCACTCTAAGAGGCTCGCAACATTGTAAACGAACAAGCAAAGTTGCTACACGAGAGATTCAGCAAACACAGTGTCGAGTACTACTTTGGAGAACTTATGCAGCGTGCTCGAGTAGCACAGTCATTGTTACGACTTGGATGGTATCTGTTGGCGACGCTCAAACAGAGCTTGTGTCGTCAATGGTCGTGGACGTCCTTGGGCTAGCCCAAGGTTAGGGGTCGTACTTGGCGGGTCTTCAGCAAGTATGATTTAACGCCTATGTCCAAATCGGGTAGCTTATGTCACACGGGTGCGAGACGATAAGCTGTATCGGCCTAGGCTTACGACACCCGAAGGTTAATCGTAAGGATCGTCGTTAATTAGAAGGACAGAAGTCCGACTAGTTAACAGGGGCTTTGCTCGTCGACGAAGTCGATGAGTAAAGGTCGAGACTATAGGCTTATCCGCGATGAGCAGATAAGAAGATAGAATATAGACTGCTGGCGAGGCAGAAAGGATCACTCAGTTAAGAGTAGGAGGTCAAGAACCAAGTAGATTCAAGTTAGGGAATATGGTACATGGTAGCGAGTTTATATAGAGGACAGGAGACGTATTAGTGGGTGATAACTCGTACTACCGGGAGAGGCAATCGGTAAAGGGTATAACTATAACAGGAAGGCACATTCGGTCGAGGTAGAACGTGCTAGATAAGAAAATGAGTCAAAGATCGAAAATAAGAAGTGAAACGCGCAGGGGCACGATCGTGCAACTGCGGATCTAAGTATAAAGTCGCATGTGCGACTGCGCACCGAGTCAGAGATCAAGAAAGGGAACAGGGCAAAGGGGATGCGTCGTGCATCATGTCATAGGTTACCGTCCAGACGGTAAGGGTAAGGAGACTGTCCCCTGGATCAGTCAGGTGGTGAAACGGAGCATGGGTATGCTTCGTCAGCGAATGGATCGGGCCAGATGTACTGGCTTTGCTGAAGCGATAGGTGGAGGGCGAAAGGGAATGCGAGGATGACAAGGATGACAAGGGTGAGGTCAGGGTAAGGGTATGACGCGAGGGCTGATACGAGGAGGATTAGGAGAAAAATAGTAGGGGCCCAAGCGTCTAGATGTTCTTGTAACAGTCATCACGCAGCCCCACGTGGTGGAATGTGTTTGTTCACAAAGAAGTGAAACACATCAACACTGGTATGTTTTTTCACTATTTCATTTGATGATGCTCATGTCTGTCACGAGTACCTTTAACAAATCATTATTCTTTCCTAAATCTTCCTAAGTGCCAATACACAGCGCCTAAGTCAAACCCTAACCCTACCCCGAAAGCGTCTACTAGTTCAGAGATTCCCTTAGCACCCATGACACGTGTCTTCGATGTGACTGATGAAGAAGACGAGTTCTTTGATTGTGAATAGATAAGATTAGATACGATAAGATAAGATATGGTCACGTGATACTTCTTTAATATTCTACGATGTTCTATGGTACGATTCCCTTTTCTATTTTATGATTGGCTAGTAGTTATAACTCAGTTTCAATCTCCGTCTCAATAGTTGTATATAGGTAGCATGTCTTGGTCGATAGTTCTTTAGTTCAAACCTCTTGTATCTACACTGTAGCAATCCAAGACGTACTTGCTCCTCTCTCTCTTGTCCGATAACCTTAGTCGAGTCCTAGTCTCTGCCCAAGCGTTAATTCGTTATTTGGGTTGTGACAATGTCTCTACCTACGTTAGAACGTCCTTCTGGCTCTCCATCTGTCAAAGCCTCACAATGCGTGAAAGAGCTTGCATCACGTTGGAACAATATGACAAAGGCCGCACAAGAGGAGGAAACCAATGATGCAGTACAGTCACTCAAAGAATTTCGCGAAATGAAAAATCTTGCTCTCCACAACGTGCCATTAAATGCTTTTCAAGATGTTTGAAAGACCTTGGAGACACTTGATCGAGAGGTACTAAGTATTTTTTTTAATCATAATTCATAATGCTAACAACTCAAAGGCTCGCTCTTTGAACGCTCACACAGGTGTTGAAGTCTTGATCATCGCAACACGCTCCAACCTCGATCATTTCAACCAGCCGCACCTCTTTCACACTCAACGAGCCGCAGATTTTCTGGATGCATGCTACGGTACTTCAGCTATGGATGTTGCCTTGCATATGGAGGCCTTCTGCATCACTGGTGTCCAAGGTTAGCACAGAGGCTGTTCATCTATTAACGATTACTAACTGTAGTCTACTCGCAGGTGTCGCAAAGACTCATCTTCAAGAAGTTCTCGCTCTCAAGAAAGCCATCAGTGTACTAATCCTGTGGAAACTTCGTATGTTTGCTATTTGGTCTTTGGTGTATGGTATCTAACACAATAACATAACAGAAGCTGAAGCTGCACCTTTCAAAGTACCTCGTATGTACTATCAAAACTTCGACTCTTATATCACCACCAAATTCCATATCATCCTCGAGAACTGGCCGCTCAGCAAGTTCTGCACCCCAGGGGACATCAGCTCACGGTCTGAATTGACCGTGCTGCATAACGCATGGCAGTCAGGGTGCTACGCTGCTTTCGTAAACTGACAGAGGCTGAACTTAAGGATTGGGAGGATCAGCAGTTCGAAGAAGCACTAAATGGCCGCACTGGAGACAGAGACAAAGCTGGACTTCCCAACAGCAACGACAACACTTCCAACAGCGACAACGGCACTTCGAACAACAACGACACTTCCAACAGCAACAATGGCACTTCCAACGACATTCCCAGCAGCGACATTCCTCCCCCTACTACCAGCGCCACTCCTCCAGAGACTCAAGCCCAATTTCATCAAGGATCGAAGCGCAAGGCTCGTACAACAGGTGTCAGCACTGTCACCACAACAAATGGAAGTGGCATTGCTGTGGAGAAGCGGGCACGCAAAGAGCGGTCAGACAAGGGCCAGAAGCACGGTCCTCGCAAGAAACCATGCACCAACAACAGTGGCAGTACTGCAAGCGCCAACGAGAGTGGAAGTACCCCAGGCACCAACGACAGCGGAAGTGCCACAAGCGCCTCTGTCAGTTCTGTACACCAGACAAGTGCTATACCTCAGCCCTCTTGACTTACATACTTACAATACTATGCTTGTTTCTGAATTTTCCTAATGAAATACTCGTGATTTGCCTTATAAAATAGTGCGCTAAGACTCTTTAAATTGTTATGCATGAGGGCGCACAAAAAAACGGTGCATTTAGATGTAATTTACATTGAATACTCGAGCTCGTCGTGGACAACGACAAGCATGAAGGTTTAAGGACGTTGCCGACGCGTTGTGACTCAGTATTACCAAAAATAGAATGTTTGCGTACGTTGTACTCGGTAATAGGCGGCAGTAGCACCGGTGTCCCATGGGGAGTTCCTGCCTTATGTTAACAAGGGAGGATATTCAGCATTATTCAGGTATTTATTGGCAGTGTCAGGGATTGATGCGAACTGAGCTAATTAGATTGGCGTTCCCAGGGTAGTATGGCAGCCTATTTAGGCAATGATAATGTAAGATTGAGGTGCCATATAGTTATTTTATCCGGTTAGAAGTTTTTATTTGAATTTCTTCTCAGAATCTTGCGTAATCTGACCGATGATTTTTGGGGTTCTCCTCGGTTTTCTTATTCGGCGCATGGGACGAGAATTGACGCGCACGGGCCAATATTATGGTTAAAATGTTTTCGACAAGCACTGGTAAGTACTATGTAGCTACTAGTACACAAGTTGACTAGTATCTGTGGGGCGTGAGCGTTAGGGTACAACGTTGTTCCATGTTTCGGCTAATTTTGAAACAACTTGTCACGGTGAATCGGAAGGCCTGGCTTGGCCTAGCGCTTGGCGTGGTGCGAAGCTGAAAATGTTCATTAACGTTTCCCTTGTGTGTGTATATACTTTCCAATCGCTTCTCTAAGTCATCCGCCATCTACTACTAGTATCATGGCCAAGGTTCCTTCGCTGCTCTCCATCCGACCCCGATTCTTGTCCACAAAAGTCCTTTTGCTTGGTGCTATCACCACCTTTGTGATCACACTCTACACATTCTCTTCTTCACACCCTTTTCGTTTGTCAAACTGGTCTTCAATATTCTCATACCAGCGACAGCATAGTTCATGCACTCCAGAACAGTGGTCCAATGGGCGTTGGGTATATAGCCCGACGTCTGACCTGGTAAATTTAACGCGTCCGGAAGAAGCACTTTCCTTAGCGGGCTTTGAAGGTTGTGCTGCAGACCGTGAATACCACTGGCATCTAGGCACAGACCACGAAGAACAATGGGACAGATTTCCTAAGGTCTCTTCGTACAGATGGTTGCCTTCGAGCCAGTGTGATGTACATCCTCTCAATGGCGCAGCGATGGTCAAGGACATGGTAACGAATGGCGGATGGCTTTTACTGGGCGGTATGTCGGCTCCGTCCTGTGCTGTTCGGTTCTCATGCATTAACCTCGCCTGCAGACTCGATAACAGAAAACCATTTCTTTTCGCTGTCGTGTCTGTTGTACCCGCACGTCCGTGCAACCCCGAATTACACAGAAAATCCCTACTTTGACCGTGCATGGCAACAACATTTATACCTGTCGCCGTCGTCACCCCTGATACCCGAAATCACTATGCCGGAGGGCTTCTCCATCGAAAACACACCACTCGTTTCATTCCGACGTGTTGACCTGCTTCTTAACGGAACAGAAATAGACGCGTTATACCACAGTTCAGCATTTCCCGTTGAACCCGCCGACTTCAACAGTCAAAATCCTAGTTCTCAATACACCAAGGCAGACACCGTATTCGGCGAAGAGGCATTTTGGTCGCTTTCCCCATCAGAATACATGGCCACATTCCTTGATTCACCTCCGGATGCCAACTATGGCACGCTGGTTGTGAGTACTGCTGGACACTGGACAACAACCGCATTCCGTGCATTTCGCGACGAGGACGCTGGAGAAGATGCTGGTTATGGTATCCATAATGTTCTTGCGTTCTTCAAGGTTGCGATGCGGACTTGGGCAGGCGAAGTGCAGAGCGCCATCGCAGACTACCATAAAAATGGGGGCAGACGTCCAAAACAGGTAGTCGTTAGAGCGTATCTGCCCGGCCACGAGAATTGCCACAACATCTTCGAGCCTACGGAGACAATTACGCCATGGGTTTATAAGTGGTATAATTGGCCATGGATTGCGGACTTCAACACAGCATTCCAGGTCGGCAATTTAACATGAATACGAGGTGTAAGGATGCTGACTTTTCCTTCAAGGAGCTGCTGTCATCACCCGAGTTCCCGGACATCCATTATCTTCCGATTGAGAGACCGGGACGGCTGCGCCCTGATGCTGTAAGTCAATACTAGTCTCGCGCACAACTCATATCTCATAAGCCACTGTCCTACCAGCATGCCTCTGGAGATTGTTTGCATCTCATGACAGGTACCGGTGTTCTCGAGGGATGGTCACACTACATCTGGCATTTTGTCACACGCGAACTCAAGTAGAAAGATCTGTTGTAACCCCTCTCGAAATCTCACCACTGGACACTGATCTCGAAGTAGCTCGGGGGCCCGGATACATAGAAAGATACCCTTTTTACTAAGGCAAGAACACTGATCTGCATGTATTCATGACACTAGGTCGCACGCACTATGCCTATACCACCTCATACCAGCGTTGGACACAGATACAGCATTCTAGATATGGATTATGGTGTTTCCCTGGTCGTCCTGTTCTCTACCTTCGATTTTGATGATTCTTCCGGCTTAGCGCGGTCTGACACCTGAAATCGACCTCCCGCGAGGGTACTTACAGGATCTACTTGGGATAAGCTTCACAGTCAGAAGCTATCAGCGCAAGAAGGTATTTTGCAGTGATCACCTTACGTGCGACCAACGGCGAAAGAGCTTGTGTTTTAGGACTGTTTCACGACGTACGTTTATATCGGTCCTCAATTGGTATTGAAATATTAAAGTATCGCATCCAGCTATCTCTGCAAGGATGTCAACCTCGCGGATGTCCCTCAGGATATTGTAGGACACCTCAGCACATCGGCCCCTGGTTGCGAATATGAGTGCAGATCTATTCAATCAAGTTGATTTTGAAAACGGAGTCACGTATAAAGATCAAGCCAAGGAATGAACCCTTCGTGACCTCTATCAGAAGACCATGCGTATGATCACTGAAGCCTTCGACCACGAGAGTCAAGTTCGTGATCAGGAATGGTGCTGTTGCTGCAATTCGTGTTGGTCTCTTGTAAGTTTTCATAACTCTTTGCTAATCTTCAGAGGCGGTTGGGTCTGAGATGGTAAACATGAACTCTTTCTTTCTTGTGTAGTCCTTTCAACTGAAAATTTTAGATGTTTGCACTGGCGGTACTGATGGTGCGTTACTTTTTGCTATCTATATCACTCAAATCTGACCACCAGTTCTCTGACTCAGATTAGGCTCGCACCAGAGCAAAAATCGACGCAGTGTGCGGACCCCCCAGAATTCCGACTTTCCACAATAGGACTTTCCCGCTGTCATTTGAGGGTGTCTGTTGTGAAACCCTGCCGCGAGTGTATACAACACGATCAGCGCACATTTGATCATCGTCGACGGACTCAAAAGACCGATGAACCGTTTACCCTCTAAATCCCGCTGCGGCTGTAGCGGTTTTTGTGGTGCTATCCCCGTAAAAACCTAGGCCTCCTCGATGCATCTTTCAATCTGGCAAGGAAATCATTGGGAAGAAAGATACTAGTTTTCATCAAAAGGCAAATACCACGCCTGTGCTGTTCTCTAGGAAACCCTGGCCTGTGTGTCTATATATTTAAGTACCAGGTCGCACGCACGCACTACCTCACTGACATTGGAGTACTTGTCATATTATTATTACGTATCCTAGAAATATGGGCTTGATCGTTCTGGAATTCCAGTGCGAGATTCCAATTTTGATCATTTGCACGATGCGCAGCTCCGGATCCCTGGCTGGACACGACTTGAACCTTGAAGCGCTGACGTCCCGGCGCAAGGTCACACGATCAAGGCTCATGAGCATCGCAGGGCTGATCAAATGGCCATGGTACTTGTAAGAAAATCAGATGACCATGCACCGAAGAAAGCGAAGAGCGGTCACCTGTCCGACGGCCTCGCAAAAAGCATGTGCTTCGTGTTCCTTTCCAACTTGAATGGGACATGACATACGAAGCAGATATATTGCGACAGATCCCGCAGCAATGATGCCAGAATTATAATTGATTAGTTACCGAGGTATCCGAAGAATCGTGCTAAAAAAGCGAGGATAAGCACATCAGATGTCTACGAAAATACAATCAAAGTTTTTAAGTCCCAAAGATACTAGATAGTATAAAATATGCTACCGGACGAACGTGAAGGAGTCATGACTATATGCTGAAGGGCATGACACGGACCAAAGGACACCATGGAACTAGGGGGCCGGGCATGGTGCTACTACGAGTAGTAATGAATACAACCAGTCTTGACGAACTCCATTTTTATAGGGTACAGTGTCCACTGGATCTACTCATCCTCTTGGATATCGAGAAATACGATTAATTAGTACATGCTCTGTGGTACCATAGGGGCCGAGTTCGCAAGTATGCTCTCCGTCGACATCTGTCGTTCATGCTGGTATATACGTGGGAGGGTCCGTGTCATGGCACGCACCGACCATGGATAGAGCGCCGTTGGGTCCGGATCGGCGGGATATACAAGACTCTCAATGGACGCATTTCTGCTATGCGAAACCGAACTGTACATTGGTGGGGCGGGCGAGTTGGAGTGGGTAAGTCCCTAGGTGATACAAGTTAGTGAGGATACAGTCACAACAACCGGCTTTCAGGACTTACCGGGGTGTAGGAACTTTGTTGAATGTAAGTTGTTGGCGCGGTTGTCATGGTCCGCGAATTAGATGACGAATACGGACCTCCAGCCGCACTGTATTCCGGTGCTGCCGTTCGGGCCGATGTAGAAACCGACCCAGGTGGTACAGATGCTGCAACACCTTGATGGTATCCTGGAGTTATTGGCGTCGCTGAGTGTGTAGAGGAATCAGGATCTCCGATTTGGATAACCCCGCCATAAATTTCTCGACCGGGGTCACCCTCGTCGTCACTCGTCTGTTCATGCACCGGTGGGAGACCGCTCGTCCACCTTGATCTCGTGTCAACGCTCTGGCTGTTGAATGACCCATCCCCATGTCCCACAGTACTATTTTCATCCGGACCCTCAACCACCCAGCGATGGCTTGGTACTGTTGGCTTGACCTCTCGAGGGCCCACACCAAAAAGACTCCACCATCGCCATAGCCGCCTCCCAGATCGCTGGGACTGCTGATGTGCTGACTTGCGAAAAGAATCAGGACGATATTTGTGGGGTGGGAAGGAGAATTCGAAAGAGTCTCTTAGTGGTGTTTCTGAATCAGTTGAGTCTGATCGAATATACGTCGAGTGATGATATCTTCGTATGTGACATGGAGTGGCCATGGACTCATCTAGCGTAACGGGTATGCTAGTATGCTGTACTCGACGACGGTATTGAGGCATGAAGACCTGGTATACTTTTGAGACAGATGCATCTCGAACCCGGCGAAAGTGATGTTTGAAATGGTGTGACCATCTGTACCACATGATACATGCAGCAAAGATGATTATGAGTGAGACGCCAACAATTATTGGGGCTGTGATCTGCATAGGATCCCAATCTGAGTTATCGCTGTCATCGTCAGTACGGGACTGTATTGAATATTTCAGCCTTGCTATCAGAATGGAACTGGCAGTGGACAACTCACGGAGAGGACCTGATAAGTAGCAAGTACGACATGGTGTTGTCAAAAAGCTTCCGCTCGTGAATTAATGAGTCCTTACCTGGTGCTGGAGCTGAGCCCGGGACAGGATGAGAACCATGACATCAAATCTGACTCGAAACCCACGAGTGAGAGAAAGAAAGAAAGCGGAGATGCAGCGATCTCTTAGAGGTCACGAGCGTCAAGTACTAGTATTGACCGCTGCGATGTATTTCTGGCCCAGATTGCTACCGTTGGTCGTCGGTTAATAATTGTTCCGTGCCTGATGCGAATTCAATAATCATTGATTACTTCGGAGGACTGGATATTTCGAGGTGGCAAAGTCAGTCCTTAAATTACTCAATGTACTAGTACTATTACAGTTTCACACCATGAGCGGCCCTGCTAAACTAAATGCTATGCCCTAAGCACAAGGTGTCCATGGCATCTATTGATATTGGGCTGTGTTCACGTAAACCCGACTCGACGACGAGCGCATCTTCCCAGTGGACGCGATCACATGATCAGTTTCTCTCTCGCGCTCAGGTCGGTCCCCTTGCCATGATCATGATTATGTGCGGAAATCTGAAAAGTGGCACGTCCGTCGCGGATAGTAACATGATGAACCACCGCATTCGGTCTATGCACACTGTAACTGAAACAAGGTATGTAAGATCTGATGCGAAGTCAGGCTTACTAGTCTGGCCTCGATGGTGTTATAACTTACCCGTCACAGTGTCAACGTTAATGGCTTCGCGAGCAGCCTGCAAACATGTTGTCAATATGATAATATTCGAGGTCAGGCGAGGCTCACTACTGGCGCCCCAGCCTCGAAGAGGGCAATCAAACCGAGGAGAATAACGAGAGGAGTAGAGACACAAGTAAACATGATGGTGAGTTGGACTTACTTGTAGAAGGTTGTTGGCAACTTAATTGTTGGTACTGCCTGTTCTACACTCCACAGAGGAGGTCATAAAGTCGTGTTCAGTGGACATGATACTAGTACTGGCAGAATTGACTCAACAAAACAGCTTTTGAATGGCATTCGTCCACCGTGACAGGATATGAGCTCCCTCAGCAGCTTTAAAGCGTGTATCGCGATATAATATATGATGAATTAGGTTTGTCCTGCTATGCCAAGTCAAAAACTGCCCGACGCATAAACTGGCAGAGGTTGAATCATACTAGTTGCACATCAGGAAATCATCAGGAAGTTGGCCACCACACTAGGATGAAGAACACGCATCAGTTAGAAATACGAACGTTGCCTGTATAAATACGAGTAGGTCAACAATACAAAATCACAAAATGTGTAGAACAAAATCGTGTTTGAAAGTCGAAAACTTGTCAACTCCGGAATCAACTAGCTCATATGTACTATGTACTCACAAATAAGAGTGACGACTGCATTACCAGCTGCGATGCTACCGGTGATTTTGCGGATGGAGAAACAGAACATCTGGGAAGTCCAAAGGACGACCACGCTCATGCATCGCCATTTGCGTCATAAGCGAGAACTTGAAAGCAAACGCCTTGGAGTGCCAAGAAAAATCTTCATGCACGACTGTTCTGGATAGTGAATGTACCATAAGTCTACAAAAAGGGTTACCTCGTGGACGAGGAGTGGAACAGCGGAGGCAGCGAATGTCTGACCGAAGCCAATCAGAATTAATAACAAAAAGCAGTGGATCGCTTATGTATCCTACCATATTCAAGTCAAACCCTGCAGAGCTTCGAGCTTGTGTAGCAAACTTAGGACCGTTGAGTCACTTGAAAGACAGACAGAGCTATGCCGTGATATATAACGGAACAAACTGTAAGAAAATTAAACCAGTCCCGTCAAGACGCAATATAACAGATAATCATGAAATCGTACAGTCAAGGCCGACCGTCGCATAGCAGGGTTGACTCAGTCCATTGGCACTTGCAACCTCAGAAGTGATGATAACCGCATTTCCGCTGTGAACGTCGAGAAACGTTCACATTTTCGAAGTGTTTCGTCCCGGCAACAAACTTACATGATTTGCGAGGAAATATAGAAGCTCAGGTTCCACCGACGAACATTTGGTGTCCAATTCGACAGTCGCGGTCTTAGTCGAACTAAGAAACTTTAACGCAGTCAGAACCTCGTTCATTGGGGGCCCTCAAGTTCACCTCGAAATCCAGCTAAATGTAACCGCTTCCCTGCAGAATGAGCATGATCATTCATGATCAAAGGGAGATGAAATATCAGCGATGTCGACAGTCCTGATCATGATAGATGAAATGAGACAAATAAATAAATTGATTTTACCAAGCCTAATAAATGTTAGATAATTATTCATGTACATAATTATATACATGATTAAATTACATAATAGCTCCTTGACGCTTAGGCGCTCGACGTCATCCCTAAGTATGCTGGTCCTATTGGCAGTGGGCGTTGAACAACTTTACTGTGAACTCATTTGTTAAACAGCGTTTTGAAATCTGCTGTCCCAATGCTACAGAATTAATGTGCGTCATTCCACTAATCACTGGTTCAGACTCCCATCACGCTACGCTTCCGAAGCGTCAATTGCCCCATCCTACTACTACTACTAGTAGCTGTGTCTGCGTGAACCTGCGTGAACTCGGACGGTTGGAGCAGGCTGGAGTCTCGAAGGAACACTCTGTCAAATCTAACGATATGGTATCATTCATGACCCGGCAGGACATTTGTGCTCCTCCCAAGTCCGAGTTGATCATGATGGTTCTTGACCATTGTGGCACTCTAGGGCATAGAACGCACTTTCTGGAGTCCCACATTGGCGCTTCATATTCAGATCTGGAAAACGGACAACAGCTGAGATCTACTTTTGCTCTATTCTCTGGACTAGGCCTAGGTCCAGCCATGTGATTGTGGTAAGTGGTTTTATGAAATTCTAGTTTTCTTTAGATCATTCCATGGCTAGAGCAATGGTGGCGTACTAGGAGGTTCGGTGTTCTTCATTGCAAAACTATGTGAGTCTAAAACCACACGTCGATTGAAGCTGGACAGTACCGTGCAGTGAGATCAATTCTAGCGTCACGCCCTCAGACTCTGACGCCATGTCTTTTGGTGCTCGACAGAGCATCGATGCGTGCTCTCCAAGTCTCCACGTATTGGGAAGCTGTATCTACCCGATGATTCTTGTCAGCTGCACCAGGAGCTGCCTCGTTGACGTGGCCCATCGCGCTTCGATAACCCATTGTTGGTCTATCTATTCCTCATAATCTTTGTGACCATGATAGTTCGTCTCGGATCTAGAATAAACAATCAAGACCCCGATCATGGGTCCCGCAATCCTATTCACACGTGAGTACTAGGGTCAGGCACAAGTCAAATGCGGACCGAAGCAGGGTGGGCAAGCAAAGCCGTTTCAGCATCGTGTTTTTGAGGTGTGACACGGACTGCGGTCACTGCGTGGCGTTCGCACCACGGATCGATCCCAGGACTGGCCCATGTGTCTCGGTGTATGGCTAGACAATAACCCTCATTGATGATTTAGGACCCTTTCTGCAGTCGTGACGTCGATTTAAATCTCCACGGAGCCGTCCTCGAGGTCTTTCACTGCGTCACGCCAACTGGCAAGGACCGGTGACCGAGATCGTTTCCGTGTTTTTTGAGTATTCCCAATTTAGTGCGCTTAGTCACACTTTTCCCACAGGCTCTATTACTTACATGCTCTCTGTTTTCACTCTGACGCATGCCATGGCACCCTTGGTAATAATCACCGGCCAGCCTCGTGTGAGTACGTTCTAAGCTCATTAAATATTACCAGCACGGGCTCTTTGCTCTTTGCCCTCATCACCCGCCATCTAACATCATGCCGCCTCCTCCGCCGCCGCCTCCACCACCCATGTGCTTTCCTTTCACGAATCGCACACGAACTCGCGAATCCAGCCCTCTCATAGTTCGTACAGACTCGGAAAAATCTTATGCATCATCTCAGAGGTCCGACAACCGTTCCAACCATTCTGAGCGGTCCGACAATTATTCCTATCCTTCGTCCCAGAAGTCTGACAACCATTCCAATCGTTCGAAACGATCGCATAATTCCACAGGCTCCCAAAATAAGCTCGTCCGCTCCGGGTCTTACTCCACTACACGGACCATCTCATCAGACGTAGAGAAGCTATCTTTTGATTCAGATTCAGAAGTTTACGATGTCCCTACACTTGCTAACGAGAGTCGCATCAAGTTATCCCCACGCAGTGACAGCAAGTCTGCTCTGACAAGGGTTGATTCGAAGAAATCTACGAAATGGGGATATGGGTGGGGACTGGGAAAAGCCAAGGAGAGGGAAAGAGAGATGTTGCAACGATCACCCTCTGTTGATTCGGAAAGACCTCCGCTTTACAAACCGCCTACTCGTAGCTCCTCCAGGTCGAGCAGCACTAAACGCCCACCTTTCTATTCGAATGACTCTTCGAGCACGCTTGTTGGGTCTGCTTATGAACGCAAGGTCAATGACGTCGAATCCATCAAGGAGAAAGTAGACACGACAGAAAGATTGGATGAGATCAGAAAGTTGATGGTCAAGGAGAAACTCGATTACTAGTGAGCAAAATTAATCTCCACATTTTTTTAGGTTAACATTCCTACTTCAGCGTCGTACCCAGCGAAGACCCCCACCAGTCTGAGTACGTCGCAGCGGGTGACAAACGTAGGTCATGGATCTCTGGGTGAGTTATTTGTCTTGCGGTCTTGACTGTTTGACTTAATCTGACGTGATTTTCAGGTTCACTGGAAGTGCGGGCCAAGCTATCATTTCGAAGACGGCTGCTTACTTAGTGACCGACTCGCGCTACTGGTTGCAAGCTCGCGATGAACTTGACCCAAATTGGCACTTGATACCTGGTGGGGCTGTAGATGGCCCCAAAGACTGGATTGATTGGTTGGTTGTGCGTGTCATCAACTTAATTCCACGGCTTTTCCTTATAGAGTTGTGTTATATTAGGATCGTGTCAAGGATTCGAAGATTGGTATAGACGCACGCATGATCTCACATGACAAAGCTACTTCATTGAACAATCAACTCCACCACAAGAACTCGAAGCTCATATATCCTCCTCAGAATTTCATTGACATCATTTGGAAAGAAAAGCCCCTGCGATCCAAGGAACCCGTTTTTATTCAGTCTCTCGAATTCACGGGTAGAGAAGCTAGCACAAAAATCGCAGAAGTTCGCGCTTGGATCCAGGAACAACCTCCGGACGTCCCTTCTTACTCCAAAGCATCTCCGACTCCTGCCCAGATGCTTATCGGTACATTGATTACTTCTCTGTCCTCAATTGGTGCGTCCAATTTCCACCGAGATTTCTTGAGGGGATTTACAAAAACCACCATTAGCTTGGCTTCTTAACTTACGTGGCTCCGATATCCCTTTCAATCCTCTGTTTTACGCCTACTTGTTCATCTCTCTTGATAGGGTGGTCCTATTCTTAGATTCAGCCAAGCTTACTGATGAAGTGGAGGATCACCTACGTGCCCTCAACATCGAGCGGAAGGAATATAACGACATCTGGGCTTTCCTCCGCCGGCGAGAATGGGGCGAGGGGAAAGTCATCATTTCTCCAGAGACCTCCTACGCGATCTCCTTGATGTTGACGCATTTCCGTTATACCGTCAAGCCATCATTTGTTGAAAATATCAAGGCTATCAAGAATGAAGTAGAACTTGAAGGCTTGAGGCGCGCTTACCTTCGCGATGGTGCTGCATATGTGTGTATTCTCCGTTGACAGTTCTAATTTCACTTCATGCTCTCTCGTTTAGGTCAGATGGCTTGCATGGCTGGAGCACAAGATCCAACAAGGATATGACATTACGGAATATGAAGCAGCATGGCGTCTTACAGAGTACAGGAGGCAAAACAAGCACTATTGGGGTCTCGCGTACGAGAATATCTCTGCAAGCGGACCTAACGCGGGTGGGCAGCTTCTACAGCATGGTGATTCATATCGCTGATATTTCGGATCTTGTAGCTCTTCCCCACTATTCTCCTACGAAATCTGGCGCCCGGACGATTGATCGGGACACACCTTACCTTAAGTGAGCATAGAGAGCCCATCAAAGTTCGTGACCATTAACCTCGTTTACCCCAGTGATTCTGGAGGTCAATACCGTGATGGCACTTGTGACACAACACGCACAGTTCATTTTGGAAGGCCATCTGTAGACCAATCGGAAGCCTACACCCGCGTTTTGCAGGGTCACGTACGTCACTGGCGGTTATATCAGTCCCCGCACTTCCTCACCTTGTAATCTCAGATTGCGATCGATAGCGCAGTATTCCCTGAGGGAACCACCGGCTCCCAACTTGACGTTCTCGCTCGACGCGCGCTATGGAAGGACGGACTTAATTACATGGTATGTTGCTTCCTTGACGTATGCCTGACCATCATCTGATACGTTGTTTTGGATGTAGCACGGCACTGGCCACGGTTTTGGCTCGTTCTTAAACGTTCACGAAGGCCCACACGGATTTTCTAGCAGCGTTGCTCTAGTTCCTGGACACGTCATAACAAACGAGCCTGGTTTCTGTAAGTTACAAGCCGATATTTCTCCATCGTGACTCATCATGGTGTGAATTATAGATCTTGAAGGCCGATGGGGAATGCGCATTGAATCTGCGTTGGCTATTCGCAGAGTTAAGGTTCGTTGGTCTTGGTATCACCACACTACGATGACATTTCATGATATCGGCCACCAGACAAAAGGCGAATTCAACGGCGACGTGTGGCTTGGGTTTGAACGCTTCACGTGTGTCCCGATCCAGACGCGGATGGTCAAAGAAAGTATGCTTACAAAGGAAGAAAAGCAATGGTTGAAAGTAAGCGATCAGTGATCCTCCACCTGCGGAGCCTTCGGTTATCTAACGTGCCCGTTATCGCAGGATCACAATAAGAAGTGTCTAGAAAGACTCGAACCACTCCTTAAGGATGACAAGCGTGCCCTCAAGTGGCTGAAACGCGAATCTGACAGGGGTATAGGTATCGCTTCTCCTGGCCCCGGTGGAATTACCATTGATTGGGACTAAATACCTGCATCCAATTCTTTATCGACCTGGGCCACATCCTCCGTTACTGCGAAACCCTCCCTCCGTATATATTCCTCTACCTCCACTCTCCGCTATATTATACCTTACTTGACGACTAACCGAGGAAACGTCACAGGACGTCCCTCAAAGTGATGCATGTGCGACATATTCCAGAACGATCGACGAAACATCAAACATGATTTGCGCACAAAGCGTTTGTACATACTTATATACCTCCTAGTATGGTCTAAATGGCCCTCATTGGATTTCTTGATTGTCTGTAGGACAGCATTCAAGTTGTACTATAGTGGAATAGATTGCATGATATATGACGAAAATAATACATGAGAGCATACAATACGAACAGCCTAACGTCTGTTTGTTTTTCCAGCTTTCCGTTTGCCAGCGAAAAGATGTTTCGGCTGAGGAAGTTATTAACAACAAAGTCATTGAAGATGTGTTCATGATCACAAACCATTTTAGTTTGGATAACACGATCAGCCTCTCCAGCTTTAGCCAACCGGTTGCGCTCACGCTGTCCGAGGTTCCGTAGCTTGACAGCCTTGGACGCTTGCTAAAAAAAGACTTTCAGAGAGCTATTTGTCCAGGTAAAGATAAAACGAACCTGTTGATCACGCATACCAGCAAGTTGGCGATTTGATTTCGGTGCTCGTGGATGCTTGGCAAGAACTGTACCCGAGTTACCCTTAGCTCGCTTCTTCGGCGTCTGCTCCTCGCCATCAACATCCATCCAGTCACCTTCTTCACCTTCACTTGCGTCACCATCACCATCTTCCATATCAACATCCATGTCTGCTTCAGCACGTTTTCGCTTGGCTCCTTGGGCTTTGGCTATTATCCCAGCTCTCGCCTCTATGTTGCTTGGATCATAACCTGCTTTCTTGAGTTCAGTAGTGAGCTCGGACAGCGTGCGGAGGCCCGCTGTGCGCGGCAAACGAGACTGGTTCTTCATGGCTTTTTTGACGTTCTGTGAATGTATTTTATGCCCAAGAGCTTTTTTGGTCTCGACTGCTTCACGTTCGTCTTCAGAGTCAAAGATGTCCTCGTCGCTATCGTAAAAGCCCTCGGCCTCCAGTTTCTCTTCCTCGCGCTCAAGTGCCTCAAGTTTTTCGGCGATATCGGGGTCAATAAAGTCAGCAATGTTCTTGCCGTTCATGATTTCGGGCATGACATCCATCTTCCATTCAGGATTTGCGAGGATGTAATCCTCTGTATGAGGCGTTAGGAGGCACATGAAATTAGATATACAAAAAGCAGCTTACGCTTAATGTTGATGTTGAAAACACCAGGACCACCCTCTTCTAACTCCGTGTCTCGCAAAAGTTTCTTCCTGTCGGGATCATTCTTATCGTATGCCTTCCGCTCTTTGATAACATCGGGTATGAATGGCGCACGGACAACGTCGTCCCGAGCTTTCGGCTGTGCCACATGTATACGGTTAATCACAGAGTTGATTTTGGTGCCCTTGAGTTTCAAGTCGACGCGGTGTGCTAGGAGGGCATCGCATGCCTTGTTCTTGAGATCCATGACCCCTTCATCAGAATAACATGACACCTGGACGCATTGGACATTCTCAGTGTCAATAATTTCTTGGACAAGAGCACGATTCTCGGATGTAAGATCCTCAAGGCGAGTCACGTCGATTTTGTTGATGACAAGCATCGTCGGCTTGCCATTAAATAGAGGCTTGATAGAATGGAACAGTTTACACTGTAGGTAAAAATTGGCATGTGGTTCAGATGTAAAATGTATGCTGCAATACGCACTTGTGCTTCCACAGTGTAACCACACTGTTCACTTAGATCCATGAAATACAGCACGCAGCTCTTGAGGTGTGCAAGAGCTGTAATACTCTGCATTTCAATCGTGTTCATCTCCTCCAGCGGGTGATCTAAAATCCCAGGGGTATCGATTACCTGCCACCTCAGGTACTTGTAATCCAGATGGCCAATAAAAAGGGACTTGGTTGTAAAAGCATATGGCTGGACATCAACGTCCGCGCGTGTGACCTTATTGATAAATGACGACTTTCCGACATTTGGGTAGCCGCAAATGAGTAGAGTCCGGGTGTTAGGGTCGATGGCGGGAAGACGGGAAATGTGTTGGCGAACTTGCTCGAGGTAGGCAAGGGGATCTTTCTGTCTGCGCATGATAGTGGCCATACGACCCAGCGCCGCCCTTTTAAGCTGCTTGCAGCGGTATAAACTGTCGCCGAACTTGAGAAGTCGGACGTAATCTTTGGCAACCTGATCGATGAGATGTCGACATGTACGAAGTTGGCCTAGAGCAAGTTTGTAGTGATTTTTGTCGTACAATACATTCATGAGTGATGCCAGAAAGGGGTGTAAGTCCTGCCTCAGGTTTGTGAGTTTTGACCCCCCAGGAGAGCTTGATCAAACTCACGTCGAGGAGGGGGAACTCTGACAATATGGCTCCCAGTTTTTCATCGAAAGTGTCTTGCGTGAACTTGACCTTGCGCATGTAAAAATTACGGATGCGGCTGATCTTGAAGTTTTTGTGGATTACCTGTAACATTAGATGATTAGATTGCTCTAGATAATATCTTCAAATGACTCACTGTAGGTGTCTTTCGCTGGGTCTTGGACAGGACAATGTCCAAGAAATCTGCCGCGGTGGGCACAGGGGCAATTGCCTTCAGCCCACTGGTCGACATTTTAGAGGTATAAGGCTATGAAAATGAGTATTTTGGCGAAGTCGATGACCCTCCAAAGTTTTTGTGTATTCCCACGGTCCTCATGTACCACTCTTGCTAAGTGAACACCAACTACTAGTACTTATTGCTACTTGATCAGATACTAAGCGGTTACTGCAACAGCTGATCCTTCTAGATCCCAATGCTCACAGATCAGAGTGGTAGCATTATAATTCAAGCATCTTACATATATACATGGCCAATACAAGTGTACAACATATTACTGTACTTACGAGTTCAAGCCTACGTATGCGCAAGCGCGAAAGGATCTTCTGCCACCATCGTCATGGCGGCATCAGCCAGAAAACCTACATCCCACTCCACTTCGGTGGATGGGCGCTCGGTATCTTTCCTCTCGGCATCCATCTTCTGAGAGACTCGCTCGCACACTTGTTCTGCTGTTAGTCGGTCTCTCGGGTTTTGTTCCCACAGGGCTTCTATGAGACTCCACATAAAGTCGTCTAACACTTGGTGAACTTCACGTGGCCGCTCCGGCCGTTGTCCCCGTAGCACCAGGACCTTGAGATTCAAGTTCCCCTGGTTTTGAAACGGGTACATCCCTGTAAACATCTACAAGTTTTGTCGTAGGTCAAGCCGAACGAACTGATTTGTTTTCCTACCTCATAGCAGACGCAAGCCAATGCATACATATCGCACCGCCTTCTGTCCACCTTCAGGAGATCAGCTGCACTGTCTGCGCTCAGAAGTTCTGGAGCCATAAAATGAAGCGTTCCTATGACACCAGATGTTGTTGTCGTCATTTGAATACGAGAGTCTCGAGCTGTTACAATTCCAAAATCCGCGATGCATGCACGCCCAGAAGACGTTATCAGGATATTGACCTGTAAATACAAAACTTTAACTTTCCAAATGAGAAGTAGGCGCACACACTTACGCCTTTCAGGTCGCCATGACTCACTGCTGGCTCCATTGAGTGCAGGTACTTCAGGCCGCGTGCAACATCCAGGATCTCCACCACCATAAGCTGGATCCCTTGGTATAAAATAAAGCCGCACTCACCAGTGGATACCGGTCAGCATCAGGATGTCCCCTAAGATAGTGATTCACATGACCATCTGTCATCCAGGGGGATACCAGGCACCACGCGTCATCAAAGACGTATACGCCATAGAACGGAAGACAATTATCATGTCGCATATGGTACCAGATCACCGCCTCATTAGAAAATGACTACAACGCATGACAACATGTGATCTTCCGTTGACGCCTAGATCGAAATCACTGACTTTATGAAATTGTTCTGGGGAACGACGACCCTCTAGCACCTTTTTCACAGCAACAAGACGGCCGTTTAGCTTGCCTTGATAGATCAAGCCAAATCCGCCACAAAAATCGGTATGTTTTATGTCCTGAATGCAACGAAGTTGCAAACTCTGTGGGAACCGTCCAGATTTCCTGGAAAGTTTGAACACAGCATTCACCAGATACATTCTATATTTTTTCAGGATTTCAGACCGGGCCGTAAGTAGCTAACGAATGTCAAAGGGCGGTTGCGAAACCCCAAGTTAACGCTTACATTCTGCAGTATCTCAACCATGAACTGTGCATTGTCATCGGCGTAGAAAGCGCGGGCGAGCTCGTTCGATGTTGTATGATCGACAATCAACGCTCCTATGTTGTTGATGTCGAGGTCGTGTAACGTCTTATCGTTGATCAGGCCAGTATTGCAAACGTGCTTCTCGACTTGTGACTGTTCATACTGTTTAGTAGACCCCTCACTGACCAAAGTTTTGCAAACCCTATGTAGAATGTGGACAAGCTCATCTTTCATAGTCTTCAGATTCGAAAGACAGGCATCGTCTTCTCTTATCAACCACGCCTTTAGGTTTTCGAGTTCGTCGATAAGACTGGTATCGCATGAGGATTCAAACCACTGGTTCAAAAATATGACCCTGACCTTCGTTTCTCTGGAGCGCATAGATGAAGATGTGTGAAGGTGTACGCGTACAACGCCTGATGGCAACGCGAATCATGACACTGGCGGGCTGTTGTAACGCTGATAGACTCACCCCAAGAACAGGCAGGTTCTCGACGTCCTCACTACACGCTTTTCTCAACTGAGCTGGCAAGGCAATGAACGCATGCACAATGCCTTGGATCTCCAATTGGAATGTGTCGCGTTCTGGTCGAGTGATGACAGGAGCTGACTGCGTGCTTTCCATGGCTTGCCATTCTCCGAACAACATATTGGATTTGGGTGCATTTCGGTTAGGCCGCGTGTGGAGTTCTCGTATATGGTGCGGCAGCTCGTAGCGTTCAAGTACCGCATCGCAATGTACGCATTTCATCTTCGGCATGTTTGCGATAATCGTTGATCTCTCAAATCGACCAGACGCTAAATATCTTGGTTATTACAATAATAATCAAAATCGTCACTATTAGGAGATGTCAAGGCGTACCAGACTGGAATTGCTTATCAGGTAAGTCAAAGATCGGTGTGAGAGTGGTAGCTAAACTGGACTCCAGTTTCCAGCAGGCGCTAAACGCGTGTGCAAATTCATTTATGTCACGATTGTCTTCGGGCCGACCCTTTCGCTGGGAAGACAACCGAATAAAATTCTATATGCAACAAGGCTGAGAGATGAGGTGTGACAAATGATGGACGGGATATCAATAGTTGATGTTTGTAAAATAGTCAGCAAGAAAAGAAAGATCATCAGGTATCATTAGTCGGTAGGGAAGTGTCATGTTGAAAGGTAGTCAGATAAACATAGTGCTATGTCGATATCCTCGGCAGAATATGTTAACCGGGAGGGAATTACGCGAGACCAGTCTTTGCAATATGTGATCGAATAATAGCCTCTCCCACTGACGTATCTGTTATGAGCGCTTGGGTGAGGGTAGATATCTCTAAGAACGTACCGTTGACTATGATGTCCTGGGTTGCCCGGATATCCTGAATTTATATTGATTAGGTCTCGTGTAAATCTCAAATGACGGGAAAACTCACCAGCATAGAGGTGAAGTGCTGGGTAGCACACTTTTAGTGAACAAAGTGACTTCGAGACACGAAAAGAGTTTATACATACAACATATAACGCTCGACGGCTAATATCATGGCGCCTGTGAACTTGAATAAAGTGTGCCCTGAAATATTCTGACACATCGGCGTAGGTGTTCGGACGGTCGCCGTATGATGTGATACTATTGCTGAGCTGTGAGTACAGCCAACCAACAATTGATCATCAAATCTCACTATTTCCGCACTTTGACCCCAGCTTCCAGTTTCTTCTTTAGGAGATCCGTCTGCGCACAGTCATGTCACATCAGTCACACGGTCAAAGGAGTAAAAATAATGAAAACCTTGTTAAGCATCAGAACTAAATGCGAGTTCTTCAGGAGTTTGTTTGAGCATATAGCTGTGAATAGCTGCAACGAGTCGTCCACTCTATTTGTCCGCGGATCTTCTTCAAGGTACTATTTCGGGTGCAATGAATAGGAGCACAAGGGGAAGATACATAAAAACATACCTGATCAAATGCACTGATTGGCGCCAAAAAGATGATTGCAGTCGCTAATTCGAAACAAGGAAACACGGTCAGTTAGTAAATATTCCTTATTGCGGACAATGAATTCGTTTCCGCGGTGCCCGTATCCGCAGGTGTCACATGTAACAGAGTGAAACACCCACCATCGTCAAAATATGGTACCCATGCGTGGCGCTGATGCGATGGTCCGGAGTCAGATGGCAGGTCTGGTTAGATCATTAAATATCATGAACTCGCCTGACCACGCTAAAATGAATGTGGCCCTTTGATGAGCTAAACAGTAAAACGAGAAAGATAGGCACACACGTACAGCTCCACCGACGTCGTACATCAACCAATTGTATCTAGAACCACAAAGTTCTATATCGAAAGAATGCTCGGCCACGCCGAGCGTTTGTAGCCTGACATTCAGAAGATCAGCTAGATCAGACATACATTCAATATTTGTCAACAATTTCAGAACACGTATGCACTTTACCCGTTGACGGAAGGTAATCAGGCTGCGCGACACGCTTGATGCTATCTAGGAAGCTGGAAGAACAATCAACAAACGATACCCAAGGTACAGACGGGTCGTACAATGGTGCAGACTCATCAAGTCTGATTCGCCTGTTGTTGAGGAGTATTCGAACGGCCGGGTGCTTCCAGAGCTCATCTACCTCGTTTTGAACAGAAATGAGCGTCCTTGAAGCCAGGCTGGTCACCTGAGCAACAGCGGGGGAAAGTCCGCCAGTACCAGGAAGTGCACGACTCCGGTTGGGAGATAGAGGGGTAACAAGGGCCTGCCATCCTGCACGAACATAAACACCAGTTCGGCCGCCGGTCACAGCGACACCGCCACTGAGTTCAGATGCCAGCGAATCCTCCATTGCAACCAGAGGCACCAACTTAGTACGCAGCCCGGAGAATTCCTCGCTCAGATCACCCAAGGGGGCTAGGGAATGTGCAACAGCCTGGCCCTCCACCGAATCATCAATCGAGAGGTTGTTGAGTTCGTGGTCTAGTTCGTCTAGAATCATTCGAACAGCCTTGAGGATGTTGAAATACACAACTGGACGCCATAGGGGACGTTCGTGATCGAGGGCATGATGAGCATAGTATAACTGGAATTGCTTCTGGAGTGTTGACTTTCCGGATTCTGCCTGGCCAAGAAGCATGACTGTATGATCACATACATTTAAGTCATTTCAGAGTGGATAGTGTTCCTTGACAGAACGCACCCTTGACTTGTCTTCTCTGAGCATCCTTGCGCCTCATCCAGTCTCTCTGCAGATTTCGATGACCAAGAGTTCCTAGTCAATCAAAGTAAAATGAGGTACAGACCTTGAGCTCCTCATCAATTTTCTGGCTAACTCTGGCAGCCTCTTCATCGTAGAACTGATATTCCTTGTCAATGTTGGCGGCGTCAAAGGTCTGCATTAGGATTGGTTCAGAGGTGGAATGAGCATGACCTGGTCGTTTGGTCATTCTTCGGTTCCGGAGCACTTTCAACTTGAGATGCGAGCGGTGGAGGAAAAGGTCGATTGCGGCATGCCTGACAAGGCTAATATCCCACGTATGTACACTGTACAGGAATTTGGGCAACGAAGATCAAAGTAATACTTCCAGTCCCATCAAACTATCATTGTTTAGGTAAGCTGTGGACTTAACCGCAACGTTTGTCCTTTATTCCCTTTTACACCTTGACAAGTCGCTTGTCGTGATGGCTTTTGATACTAAACTGACTTTTAGCTGAACTTACCCGTGGCTTCGATCATATCCGAGAGCATGGGTAGTGATCAAGGCTATGCTGATGGTGGCTCATGTTGCAGTAGCTCTTCCCAACGGAGTTGAAGCGTCCCATAAGCCCTTAAGTACCTGTGGATCCTCAGTTCCACCCGGCGGCCATCACCGACTCTCTGTAGCAACCGCAGAACCTCGAGCATGTGCAATACATAGTAACGCTGCGACTGATGGGCCCAAAGGTGCAACGACACTTTTCCAAATTTGTTGCAGATATTAATCACGTTCGTCAGGATCTTCAATACAACCATCAGACATTATGTAACAGCATGGCTACTGCCTCTTTGATCCTGCTGTGCAGAGTTCCGTTGTTGATGGACTGAACAACGTAGAGTCGATATGGTGGATAGACCGCGGTAGCTACCATGGGACAAGACTATCCTCTCTTGGACTTGGGATCGCGGGTTATCTTCGGTTGGCGGATGAACGATCCCATAATTCACGAGGATTAATAATGGCTACAGAATGCAGCCTCAGTAACTCGACGCTTGAGCGGCACCAGATCTTTGGGTCCAGACCTCCGAGTTTCTCATGAATCCATATGCTTATCGCTGTTCTCTAGGTCTTCAAGGGCGCCGTCTGCGCAACTTTGTAGCGCAGTACGGTTATCTAAAAGGGCCTCAATCACCCATCGTACACCACGACAAGTCTACAAAACATCATAATGTGAGTATCAACTTTATTTGTCGCACGAAATGCACTACCCGAGAATTTCGAGTGCTAAAAATAGTTCTTCAAGCGAAACTCACATTTCAAAGATTTCCCATGATAGGCTCAAAACTTATATCCGCAGGTTTAAATAATGCAAGATACAATCCCATTCAGAAGTGTCAGTCCATTTGTGTCCATTTTCTGGTGCCCATTCCAGTAAGGAACCCATGTCTAACCCAGACTTTCCCTCTACCTTTTTGGACTCGTATGTGCGACTTATGACTGCAACCACTATGCAGAGTTTACAGGACTTGACATACGATCTTGTCGACTCGAGAAAGCTTGACTTCAGCCATCCGCGTCACTGCTAACATCCTCGTGTCTTCAAGAACTCTTCTTCGTCGACCAATGTAGCGATATATTCATATCGAGGTCCACACGTTTCAAATCGTTTGCCGACGGAGTGCGGAAATTTTGGTCGACGAGAATGATGTGCATGATGCAGCACGTTAGTGAGCTTCTGTTATAACTATTTTGTAAGTTGTTGGAATTGAATATTGTAGGCCTCGCCATCCCAGCCTCGTTACGAGCTGCTGCAATACATATAATTCGGGTTCGAAGCCTGCAGCGTGTCACTCTGTCAGTAGAAACAAATATTCGTGTTGTGAATTCAAGCTATATGTGAAAGTAATTTAGGCGCTGTCCCCGTGCGCCAGACATGAGAAACCGCGATCCGACATTCTTCCTGATGACAGGGCCGAGCAATCCAGTATTCGCCTCGGGACGATATATAACTTGAATTGTGAGAGGAGGCGGGATTCCGGTCTTATCCGCGAAAGTTCACACCAGCGTCACATACATAAGTTCTCCGAGTCCGTTTATTCACGCACTACGGTTCAAACGTTCACGTTTCGTTTGCTTGTGTCGCACAACTTAATACTACACAAAGTCCTAGTCATTGACGTCATCGTACTACGGTTCGCCTCACTAAAATGTCCCGTCCTGTCCAGCGTGCTTTTTCCATCCTCCGTTCCGGAATGAGAGCGAACCACAGCGTACGCTCATCGTTTACGACGTCTAGCAGACGTACGATGGCTTCGGCCGTCCCGCATGCATCTCATGGAAACTACGGGAGTGATACGCCATGGATGGTGCGTGCTCTTACGATGCACCTGCCATTAGTTTGAGTTGAAAAGTTGGATTGAAATCTTCAGATTGGCTCGGCTTTGATATTTGGTCCCGTGGTGGGTTTCCAGACGCGTCTTTTTTACATCGAAAGGAGGTCTAAGGGATGATTTTAGGTTCTCTATCTCTTGTCGCCATCTGCGCGCAAGACTAGTCATGCCCATGAGTCGGAGCACGGTCACAACGCACACCGGAGTGTATGTCCATCTTTTATTATGTTCAGTAAATAACTCATGGGAAGACAGGACGCCAGTCATGTAAGCATGCGAAATTGATATTGTAATGCTGCAGTTTTCTTAACAAAAGTTACTTGTGTTCATGGTGCTTTGCATAGCATGTCGAGCCGCAATCCCCTGCAATGACAGATGATGAAGGTACCGAGGTGTCGGGTGAGGAAATTAAGCAGTCGATGGAGCAGGCATTCGTACGTTTGTTTTCTTACCAAACCGGTGATGTTTTTATATATGATACGAAGGACACGGATTCTCCTAAGGACGCTCAGGAGCACGAGGAAGCTGTCGCTAAAAGTGAAGAGACGTCTGTAGCATCGAGCGAAACTGTTTCCCAGGAGAGTGCAGATGCTGCTCCCTCAGAGGTTGATTCAGCACCGTCCGAAGAGGAGAAACAAGAGGTCGCACCAGAAGTTGAAGTTGCTCAGCCTCAGTCTCTACAAAATACCATTGCAAGCGAGGCTGCTGTAAGTTTCCTTTTGTTCCAATCTTGACATATACTCATGGCATGCTAGGAAGAGAAGCATTGAGCGATGAGCTCATAAAATCTATCATAGAGCTGTCTACTTATTTAGTATTTACTTCGTAAGTAGAAGTTGTGTGTCACAATGCACCCGAAAGTCATTAGTTACAGAATCTTTGCCCGCCCAGACTCAATTTCCAGAGTCTAGACCTGTCAAATCATCATAGGTACACGTCAAAAAGAGCAAGAAAAAAACTCGAAACGTGTATGAGTTAGCGAGTGAATATTACTTGAATACATTCATTGACCTCGAGACTTTTTGTATGTCCACTATTGATAGCCTAGAATATAGAATAGCACTATGGCACTCGAAGTGTGCGGATTTCAGCTACCTATCACTACAGTGACTACGTAGCACTGAATGTTTTAACATATCTGCAAATGATTGATCGTGCTTAGTCTTGTTCATGGTCCACTAGGCTTGGGTAGGTGGTAGTAGCTGTAAGGTAGAAAGGTATTTGGGGCAACATTTAACGCTGGTGTTGAAGGATCACTGCAACCAAGCAAAGTTAGGCTTGGCGATACTCGTAATCACCAAACTTAATAAGGCTTACTTATTGGGAAGGCCAGGTAGTATACTGTGAACCTGTGCGAACTGTGAAGCTCTGTGACTCACTGTGACTCGCTGTCGCAAGACCACAAATTGGACTTGTCACTTTACTGATGAGGGATCTGCACACTGGAACTTGAGATTGTTCGTATTTTATAATGGTCTATTAGTACGAAGATAAAACATACACAGGCCAAGATAGTTGCCCCCTACTTGATAGATTCGGTATATAAACACTGGGACTTGAGATTGTTCATGGGCATGACTCGGAGGTCTGTAAGTTCTCACAAATGACGGTTTCACGCTCATACTCGATTCATAGGGATCACCGGATGGCATCTGTCGTTGCCCTTTTCAAGTGTAATACCTAACGAAAGAAATTACAGGAGGCTCTTGGTCTCAATTACAATGCCCTCCTGGATCGTCAACGTTGTCTATAGCCACAACTTGGGCCGCATTCGCGTCACTCGAACTCTCGCAAAATCGCCATTGAAGTCATCATGGCTTAACTTCTGAACTTCATACTATCGCCGCCGGACGTTCCTTCATTAAAGGCCTGACTAGATCTTAGCAACACTTTAATTCCTAAGATTACGCTGTGTGCTTCGGATAATGTCCAAGAAATACAATGATTTTACGATGCTGGATATCTTATAGGTAGAGTAAGTGTGGAAGGGGATAATGAAACTGTGCTACGTTGAAGAGGCGGATGCGTGACGCAAATTGTAGTGAGCAATCTCAGTCTCAGGGAAGAATGACTGGCATCTACTCAAAACCCTCCACCGCAATATTCCACTTCCAGCGCCCTTCCGCAAAACCGTTTGAAGTATCCTCCAGTAATATCTCGTTGCGCTTCGCGACATAGACCTGAAGAGTGAACGGCTATGAGTATTCAATAGCGACACGTAGAGAAACAGCGAACCGTCTTATCAGTCACCTTCTGTCGCAGAGTCGAGATTGCTTCTGGATCAATCGGTGACTCAAGCAGCTCTGATAAGTCCTCAACCGCTTTTTCCAAATCCCTAAAGAAAAAACCGATTGAACAGATCCGTGGAATATGATCGAGCAGGGGCGAAAGCCAGATCGAATGTCTTACCTCTGATTATCTTCGAACAGTTCTTTCTCATTTCCCTTGTCCAGATAAAACGCCATTGCGTACGTCCACTTTAGCGTTGCGCGGCATCGTTCTGCCTCTTCTACAGCACGCTTCATGAATTGCACCTCAATCCAAGTGAGCGAGGACGTTATCTGCATCTCCTCCATCTTCTTCTCGGTCTTGTTGTACATCTCGACAGATAGTTTTGCGGACTGCTCGTGATTCGCCCACCGGTTATAGTAGTGGAGATAGCGCTCCAGGGAAGCACGGGACCTGGACTGCGCATCACGGGCGTCCACACCAGCCTTCTCATCGTAGCGGTTGCACGAGTACCACGCTGTGCCATGTTCAGACCAGGGGCCTGTGTAGAACAGAATGTCAGGATGAAACGAGGCGATGTACGAGACACGAACCCATGCACACCCAGCAGAATTCATACTTGCATTTCTTGCAAGTCATGTGGCTGACAAAACAGTCAGCATAAACTCGTATTCCTCGAAATGAAACACGCACTTGCAACCACCATTTTTCTCTATAGTACTCTGGCACTTACTACACTCCTTTGTGTTACTCTTGATCCAATTTGCAGTTTCACTATCATCCCTACATTTTTTCAACCACATCTTGGCGACGGGACAAATGACTGGGCGATGGTCACTGTCGATAGAGCACCCAAAGCAGAACTTATGATTTGCACCACAACTGACGGTTGGAACCATAGTTGTGAGGGATGAACGAGAGGAAGCAGAAGGGCACGAGACGGTGTAAGTGCACGATGGGTAAGGACAATATTTCAGGTGCGGGTTGGCACCGACAAAGTGCCGGACGAGCAATTCCTGGAATCGCTCGCGAGTCCGCCCATCTTCATCCTCACCATATTTTTCTAAAGTAGACATAATAAAGGGGTCAGGAGCAACAAGTGAACAACCCTCAGCCATGCAACGGATAGCATGCTCGCCCTCCTCGCGGATCTTAGAGGTTATATATGCTGTCCAGCAGCCTGCACAGAAGGAATGGTCGCACGAAAGTGAGAGGAATGATGTCTGAGTGTCATCGAAACAAATGGGGCAAACCCAAGGTTCGGCTTTGGGAACTAGGCACGCAAAGTAAGTTAGGTTGGATATATCAGCTTCGAGTGACGTACCTGGTGTCAGACGAGTTGTTCTGCGACGGCTGCCTGAAGAGCGGATGGGTGCAGGACCCGTTACAGAGGGAGAGGCGCGGGAAGGAGTTGATACACCAGCTGCGACAGAAACGGAGGATGCATTGTCCATGTACTTCTCGATGAGGCGCTCCTTATTCCAATTCATGTTACGCAGTAATAAGGAAGCTGCACTTTCCTATATATCACAAAGGAGAATCGCAGAACAGAACCATCAGTATGATATCATACTTGAGACATTCATACGGACATCAACGCCGAATATGCTCGATATGTGATCCACATCAGCAGCCGCGAGCTTCTCAACTGCTTGCTGGGAAAGTGACTCATGTTCGATTTCATACGCCTTGCGAGGTGAATGTTGAGGTACTTTAAAGTCGTCCGCGAACTCCATGTCCATGTCATCATCACTGGGTGCTGAACCTGCGATGTTGTCGGCGATCAAATGAGCCACGACAACTTGAAGAAGGGTAACACACCATCGTCACCTGTACTGATCATGTCCTCATCATAGAAAGCATCCTCATCGTCTGAGTAATCATAGTCGGAAGACATTGTCGTTGTTGTGGGTGATGTCGAAGGTGTTGCTTGCGGCGTGGGCCGGTCTGTATCGATTAGCATACCCTGTAAGCACTACCAAAACGGATAATCTTATTATGTAACCAACTCCATGACTAATCGGCATTGCGGCACTGCTAAGTCATTTTCAAATTCCGCTTGGCGGCATTTGCGGCACCCATCACGTGATGCCTGACTCGTTTCAAGAAAGTTGATATTGATCCAAAAATGTTACATGCAAAGATTAAGGTTCCTTACTTCTTTGCGTCAGATACCATCAAGATATCCAGTCAGACCAACACGACCTCCCACTATCTTGCTTAGAAACATGGCATCAGAAAGTCCTGCAGGAACACACAAAGATCCCGTCACGGGAGAGATGATTTCCAAGACGTGCGTGGCGAGTCATTCCGAAAGATCAGGATCATATCTGCTCACTCACAGATCACACAGTGAGCTGAAGCGTCGCGAGAAGCAGCGCGAAAAAGATGCAAAGAAGGCTGAGAAGGCTGCTGCCACACCTCAAGCTGCATCTAAGCCTGCAGCGGCAAATGAGGATGACCTGAACCCAAATGCAAGCCATCTTTGTTAACAATCGAGCACTGATCCTGACACAATGCAGCAATACTTTGAGCTGCGTGCTCGTACGATCCAAAAGCTCAAGGAGACTCAGTCTCCTAATCCTTACCCGCACAAATTTCATGTCACCCAGAGCATCACCTCTTTTGTTGAAGAATACAGCAAGGAAGGCTTGATTTCTGCTGGCCAGAAGCTCGATGACACAATTGTTGCTCTGTCTGGTCGTATACACAATATCCGGAGCAGCGGCAACAAACTCAAATTTTATGACCTACACGGCGAAGGCACACAAGTGCAGATTCTCGCAAATGTCCGGTGAGGTCCATCTTAAACGACGGCTTACATGTATTAAATCGTATATAGCGATGCGGAAAACTCAGATGAATTCATGTCTACGCAAGCACTGTTCCGGCGCGGAGACATCGTCGGTGTCGTTGGCTACCCCTCGCGCAGTCAGAAGGGCGAGCTTAGTATCTCCCCCTCGTCTATGGTTCTTCTCGCACCCAATCTGCACCAACTCCCATCCGCCCACTTTGGTCTTAAGGATCAGGAAACCCGGTACCGCAAGCGTTACCTCGATCTCATCATGTCCCCTAGTACGCGCAACATCTTCATCACGCGTGCGCGTGTGATCAATTACCTCCGCCGCTACCTCGATAACCTCGGCTTCCTCGAGGTTGAGACACCTATGACGAGCATGGTTGCAGGTGGTGCCACTGCACGTCCATTTGTAACGCATCATAATGATCTGGATTTGGACTTGTACCTCCGTGTTGCACCTGAGCTATACCTGAAGCAGCTTACTGTCGGTGGACTCGACCGTGTGTACGAGATTGGACGTGTCTTCCGGAATGAAGGCATTGATTTGACACACAACCCTGAGTTCACTCTCTGCGAGTTTTACATGGCCTACGCGGACATGTATGACTTGATGGAAATCACGGAGAACCTTCTTGAGGGTATGGTCAAGTACCTCAACGGCGGTAGCACGATTATAAAGTATCACCCCGAGGGCAAGGACGGCAAGGAGCTCGTGCTGGACTTCAAGACGCCGTGGAAGAGGTATGACATGATCGAGACGCTCGAGGAGAAGACAGGAGTCAAGTTCCCCCCTGGTGACACGTTGCACACGGCGGAGACCAACAAGTTCTTGCGGGACTTGTGTACTAAGGTCAGTGATTTGATCTCGACCTCTGAGGAATGTCGCTGATGTGTCACAGCACAACGTTGATTGCAGTGAGCCCCGGACTAACGCCCGACTCCTTGATAAGGTTTGTCTTCTTCGGTATCATTTAACGTTGTCATTAATTCGCGTATAGCTTGTTGGCGATTTCATCGAGCCCTTGTGTGTCTCTCCTGCATTCATCAGTATGTCTTATCATCATGTCTTCTTGCCTGTGCCGACCACATCTCCATATATGCAGCTGGCCACCCACAAGTCATGTCCCCCCTCGCCAAGAACCACCGCTCACGTCCCGGTCTGTGTGAACGTTTCGAAGGCTTCATGTGCGGGAAGGAATTTTGTAATGCGTACACCGAGTTGAACGATCCATTTGAGCAGAGGTTGCGCTTCGAGGAGCAGGTAAGACACGACCCGTCACTTCATGTCCTGCTTACATTTTCTCATCATGCAACTTCAGTCGCGTCAGAAGGAGCAAGGTGATGACGAAGCACAAGGTGTAGATGAAGTATTTGTTGATGCGTATGTTGTACTTCTTGCTCGTTCATTGTTCTTCCTAAACCCAACAAATACAGGCTTGAGCACGGTCTACCACCAACTGCAGGCTGGGGCATGGGTATCGACAGGCTCATCATGTTCCTTACTGACTCCCCTAGTACGTGTCTTTTGGTCTAGTGTCACACAGCTGCTGACGGTCGTGTGCAGACATCAAGGAAGTGCTTTTGTTCCCTGCTATGAAGCCTATTGAGACGGCAGCCAACACAAGCGGAAAGGAGCCTGGCCCTGCCGGGCAGTTGTGAGGTAGAGCCCTTTGAGGCGATCTAAAAGTAGATGATATCATGATGGATAGAACAAATGGTTGTATATTTTGAGCTTGTGGCGAAGTAATGTTCAAAAGTCACGCCAAAGATCATTATCACTTGGGTCATTTAGGGATGTCATGCAGGAAAGCTTACCGTTGTTGGGACTGTGTTCCCTTGTGTGAACTCCGTTTACGCGGATCGCTTAAATTTCCGAAATTTCCGTCACAGCTGAGTCAACATCTGAGATCTTTGCACCACTTCAAAGTCTCCAACAACAGTTATCTTAATCATTACATCTTTATCAAGTTACAGGGACGCAAGAGACAACGATGTTTCACGGTACAAACTATCGAGAAGACTTTGTGAAGCCGTCGTTGTTTTCCAGTGCCAGAGACACCGGGGTTAGAACTTCAAAGACTCGGTGGCTTCCAAAGTGGAGCACGCTACAATCACTGGGCTGGTGAGCGAGACTCAAGTAGTGCTGAGCGGCCACAATAGCAAGTGGATTGGATCGGATTGCAATGTGCAGCCATCATACCGAGTCAGCAAGCCCTCGAACTCAAGCTTAGTGGACCGTGGACAAGACTAAGCACGATCAATCATTTGCAGATATGTTAAAACATTCACATTGCTTGAGCAGTACCAAAATTTGTCCAAAATCAACTGTACTGATAATTGATTAACTCGACACTAGGCATCGTACCATCAACCATGATATCAAACCGAGAGCAGAAACATAGCTCACTGTTGTGATGTGCTGCTCAGGCTTCCGGCTTAATTACGGCCACTAGTCTTATCCTTATCGCAATAAATGATATTGGATCCATTTTCCTAAGCGCACAGGTGAGCCATGTGGTTGAATCCTGGTTGCTCAGTGACTCACGTCATGTGTAAATGCGCAATGATAGCCCTGACAGCACTGTGATCTTGGAGGGAAGCAAGATCGTCCTTGACAGCCATTGTCGGCCTGGGTACTGACGGCCATAGATGCTGTCAAAGCACAAACAAGGGCAAGGAAGGAGAAACCCATTTTCTGTGGGAGCTAGTATGAAGTCTTCTGAGAATGGGGAACATTATAGGAGGACGACCAGCTTTTATATCCTGCCTGGATATATTTATGGACGCGATTCTGATCAATTTGGCAGAATCGTTATTGCTGTCAGATGGTAGAATTCCGGCAGAACCTGCAGGAGCGCATTTAATTGAACGTGTATTCATCCAAATCATTTTCATACGGCTGAACTATCATCTGTAGATGATCTATACTTTCTGTCGCCTGCTATTACGACAACCGGGTTTATCTTCCTCCGTCATGTTCGTCGGTGCTTCCGCAATCACATTTTTAGATTTCCTCACATTTTTGTGACATGTTAACGACTTTCAAAATTACCTGGCCTTCCCAATAAGTAAGCCTTATTAAGCTTGGTTGCATCAACACCAGCGTTAAATGTTATCCCAAATACTTTTCTACCTTACAGCTACTACCACCTACCCGCTCAAAAACTCAATCTTAACCATGAACAAGACTAAGCACGATCAATCATTTGCAGATATGATAAAACATGCACATTGCTTGAGCAGTACCAAAGTTTGTCCAAAATCAACTGTACTGATTGACTCGACACTAGGCATTGTACCATCAACCATGATATTAAACCGAGAGCAGAAACATAGCTTACTGTCGTGATGTGCTGTTCAGGATTCCGGCTTAAGCAAGTCTGCCGCCACCACCATTACCAACCGCTCTGCAATGTGTAACTGTATCATGTTTCTAAGGCACACAGGTGAGTTATGTGGTTGAATCCTGGTCGCTCAGAGACTCACGTCAGGTTGGCAAGTATAGCCTGGGCAGCAGGAGCCTTGCTTTTTAGGGTCGCACACGTCATTCTGTCTACCACAATTGTTCGTGGTGGTCTGGGCACTGACGGACATAGATGCTGTCAAAGCACAAACAAGGGCAAGGAAGGAGAAACGCATTTTCTGTGAGAGCTAGTATGAAGCCTTCTGAGAATGGGGAACACTATAGGAGGACGACCAGCTTTTATATCCTGCCTGGATATATTTATGGATGCGATTCTGATCAATTTGGCAGAATCGTTATTGCTGTCAGATGGTGGAATTTCGGTAGAACCTGCAGGAGCGCGTTCAATTGATTAGGACTATCATTTCATATTCTGCCGGCAGCCATCGACAATCATCTTTTTCGAATTCGTCACCACAGAACGGTCATTCAGACCCCCGATCTCTTATCCCGATCTCTCACTTATCGCTCCATCATTTGAACCTGAGTGACCCTGCGCAGTGACGAAGTCGATGCTCATTCTCGATACTTCCAATAATAATGATCAAGGTATAGCAGGAAGGGTTGCTCGCGGCAGAGCCCGCTATGGTCGTTTCCTGCGATCACTATCAAACTTGACGCCGCTATCGCAACAATATTCTACGGATTCATTTCTAGGGTTTGGTGTTGCCAATTTTCACCTGCATCTGTGCTGTTAGAATCTACCCGAAGGCCATGGGCAACTGCCAATCAACTTGGAGCTGGTCTGGATGAGCTTTCTAGCCAACAAAAAAGTTGTCCTCAACACGTGTATTCATTCAAATCATTTTCATATGGCTGAACTATCATCTGTAGATATTCTATCCTCTCCTCGGCCTGTTGTTACGACAAGCGGGTTTATCTTCCTCCGTCATGTCGTCAGTACCTCTGCAAAATGAACATACTTTCAGGCTGAACAGTCCAGCTATGACTACTAGAAAGCCGAGCGACATCTATTTCTGAACTTTGAAGGCCCTTGGAACCGAGACTCAAAATCTCGCATTCACAAATAGAGCCAATCGCGACTAAGCTCAATGTCACGACGGTTCATATAGAGGGATGAAAAGATCTGTTGGTACCAGGAATGCGTGCCGGACCAGAAAATAAGAGCAGGAACTTCGTCAGCGAAAGATCCAGGGACTTTGTGACAAGTAGAGAAAGGAGACTCGGATGACCGTCATGGAAAAGCATCTTCTAGGAAGTCGACCCCTCGAAAATTTTTGTTGAGCTGCAGTCGTGCTCAATAACTTGACCTTGTGTTTGCCGTCGTGCAGTAGTCTCTTAACGAGAATGAGAGAACGTTCGTTCAGACCCCCGATATCTCACTTGTCGCTCAATCATTTGAACCCGAGTGGCTCTGCGCAGCGACGGTGAAAATTGGCAAACCCTAGTAATTATCCGTAGAATATTATTGCGATAGCACCGTAGTGATCGCAGGAAACGACCGAAGCGGGCCCTGCCACGAGCAGCCTTTCCAAGTCCTGCTATACTTTGATCTATCGATAAGAATGAGCATCAACTTCTTCTCAACTTCTGCATCTGTGCTGTTAGAATCTACCTGAAGGCCATGGGCAACTGCAAATGAACTTGGAGCTGGTCTGGAATCTGCATCAGGAAAAAACCAATACCGGTGTAGTCCCAGTGACGGCTACATAGTGCTACGTAGTCACTGTAGTCATATGTAGCTGAAACCAGGGCTATGTAGAGCACTGGGAGTTCTTGTATTCACTGTAGTAGCCAATATCCGCAATTACATCGCTGTAGTCCTATTCTAAATGAATCTAAGTAGTTGTAGTGGACATACAAAAAGTCTCGAGGTCAATGAATGTATTTAAGTAAAATTCACTCGCCAACTCATACACATTCGCGCTCGTCCACGTAGGATCGACCGATTGACCCATCTTGGGTATGAGGTGAGATGGACGAATAATCTCGTCAACATGAATCACGGCCGAATTCAGTCGCAAGTGACGAGTTGAACGAGATATTTGACGCAGACCAGACGACTCGTCTGGCTCTCTGAACGGGGTAAACCATTCAACGTACGCAAGGGGTCGAGAGTATGCGCCAAATTGACGAGGCAGCCTGAACAACACACAGACCTGCGCAACACGGAGCATCAGAGAAAGGATGACATCTGCAAAACCGTTCAAATGTCACAACACGTAACACTACCTGATTAGGAATTGTGAAAACGCTCGAGTATTATGACGCATGCGTCATACAAACATGACACCTTATAAACTCATCACCACTCTCACATAACCCTTGGCGCAGGTGAGACATGGTAGCAGCGACATTATGTTGTAGTTATAAAGTGGTAAAAGTATTATATTGTAGTCATGGGGTAGTAAGAACATTATATTGTACTTGTTAGTGCTGCCGCGGTCCGGTCCAGAACCACGGTTCTCGCATCAGCCAGAACCGGACCGGAAGGCGGTTCTCGGTTCTACATATTCCCGAACCGTTCTGAACTGTTGTCAACTTCGACTTCGATCGATCGACTTCAACTTCAACAACATTGGCCTCAACGTCAGACTGTCGTCTTCGAGATTTGCACTCTAGGTTAATCAGGCAATCTTTAGCATTTTTGAAGGTAAGTACTAACTAATCAAATTATCAATATTCTTGCCTACTGACATATGTTTGACTATGTTACAGATATATGTTAATTCAAGTCTGCACACTTCCTAGACAGTCATGATCCTCCACCGGCTCTCAAGTCTTTGTTCTGGGGCATGTGGGTGTTGGCTCCCTGTTCCATGTACAAAACGAGGTGCTGACAACAAAATTGTGAGTTATCTCTGACAATGTCTCAACATCAGGCATTTGACTGCAGTATGGCAAAGATTTGGCTAGCTTTGTCTAATGCATAATAATTAAAATTGCTATCACAATTGTAGACCACATGATAAAGCAATAGATAGTCAGGTTATGCTGATGGAATCTACCCAAGCTAGAATATTGACAGATGTATGTAGGCAATAGCACAGGTAACCCACAGGTATTCCGTGCTGTACCCACTGTTACAAGAACATCTAGACACTTGGGCCCCCACTATTTTTCTCCTAATCCTCCTCGTATCAGCCCTCGCATCATACCCTTACCCCGACCTTACCCTTGTCATCCTCGTCATCCTCGCATTCCCTTTCGCTCTCTACCTGTCGCTTCAGCAAAGCCAGTACATTTGGCCAGATCCTTTCGCTGACGAAGCATACCCGTGCTCTGTTTCACCACCTGACTGATCCTGTGGACAGTCCCCTTGCCCTTACCGTCTGGACGGTAACCTATGACATGATGCACGACGCATCCCCTTTGCCCCGTTCCCTTTTTTAATCTCTGACTCGGTGCGCAGTCGCACATGCGACTTATACTTAGATCCGCAGCTGCACGATCGTGCCCCTGCGCGTTTCACTTCTTATTCCGATCTTTGACTCACTTTCTTATCTAGCACGTTCTACATAGACCGAACGTGCCTTCCTGTTATGGTCTTACCCTTTACCGATTGCCTCTCCTGGTAGTACAAGTATCATCCACTAATACGTCTCCTGTCCTCTATATAAACTCGCTACCATGTACTATATTCCCTAACTTGAATCTACTTGGTTCTTGACCTCCTACTCTCACCAGAGTGATCCTTTCTGCCTCGCCAGCAGTCTATATTCTATCTTCTTATCTGCTCATCGCGGATAAGCCTATAGTCTCGACCTTTACTCATCAACTTCGTCGACGAGCAAAGCCCCTGTTAACTAGTCGGACTTCTGTCCTTCTAATTAACGACGATCCTTACGATTAACCTTCGGGTGTCGTAAGCCTAGGCCGATATAGCTTATCGTCTCGCACCCGCGTGACATAAGCTACCCGATTTGGACATAGGCGTCAAATTGTACTTGCCGAAGACACGCCAAGTACGACCCCTAACCTTGGGCTAGCCCAAGGACGTCCACAGACCGTTGACGACACAAGCTCTGTTTGAGCGTCGCCAACAGATACCATCCAAGTCGTAACACCCACACCCATACCCGTGTGGAACTAGACCCGTGTTGTTGGGTATGGGTTTGGGCATGGGTCCATGGGTATGGGTTTGGGCATGGGTCCATGGGTATTCAGGTGTACTATGGGTACTAAGTATATACATGTAAACAGCTCATAATAAGAACTACAATCAAATCAAATCCCATCCGTCGTCAAGCTCATTCTCTTCACCAACTACCTCGGGCATCACAGCAACAGCCATAACATCTCGGTCTTTGACCAACCCTAAAAGACTCCAGGAACCTAAGCAAAGCAATGCGCGGACAGACTGGGCAGATAGGCGACTGCGGACATGAGATAACAAGAGGCGGCCGCGGCTAAAAATTTGCTCTACATCAACTGACATCGCTACATATAACGAGCGAGATGAGTTGCCGATGGACATGAGGCTGATAAAAAAACTCACCAGGAATTGACAGATAATCTAAGGCCATTCGGGAGAGTCGAGGGATACATTGCATTCTGTTCGGTCCACCAAGCTAAGACATCAGCAACATATTCCAGATCTGTGCTGAGGTATGAATCAAGCTCATCATGGAGCTCTGACTGCTTGGGTGCTGCTAATGCTGGAAGTTCATCAAAGATGTTATGAGATTTTCGCTGGTTAAAACAATGGTGAGAAAACAGTAAAGTTAGACAAGACAATACATACCGCTGATGTTTCCTGGACTTCGTCCTCATCCACAGCATCATACGAGTCGGTGTTGTTAGTAGTGGTTGTGTAAGAGTGCTGGAACTCGTCACAAACGATACTCTCCGCGGCTTGAATCCATTCAGCTCCCCATCCGGCCTCCTTGAAATGTGATAGTTTGTGTCGAGGGTGCAGTACTAGAAGCGGTGTCAGCGTCAGTAAAGTACACTAGTAAAGTATGACAGAAAACTTACCCATCGAAATCCGATAAACTTCTGACCAGTCAGTCATACTGTAGTAGCGGTTCAGTGTGTTCTTCGCCAGTCTGAGTGACGCTCGAATAGCTGGCTCATAAGCGCGCATGATAGAATCTGTTGTGAGTTTTCTGTCGATCATGTCCATTGCAGGAATGACGGTTGCGAGATTTGGTGTTGATTGAGAGAAAAAGAGCATTGCATCCTTGAGTATCTAGTATTATGTTCTGTTAGCACTGAACTTCAACGTGAGAATGGAGAACTTACCTTTAGAACATTGCACAATTGTTGTGCAAGCTCCCATTCCTTCTCACTCAGCTCGTGGTCCTGAAGATCCATGTTCTTGTCGGCACAAATCATATCAATAGCTTCGTGATACTTAAGGGCAAAGGTGAGCATATCGAAAGTTGAGTTCCATTGGGTCGCAATGTCACGTGGCATGATGCGCTGACTGAGTTTGCACTTCTTGAGAACATCATACCACACTGGAAGAAGTTTGGTTGTCGAGTGGATGATCTTGAAGGCTAGTTTACATAGCTACAACAAAGGTGAGTACTTTGTTTTGTTACAAGTGGGAAATTACTTCAACCTTTACAAGGACAAATCATATAGGTCCAACACTATTTCACACAGCCTGGCGTTCACATGCTGACAGTTGCGCCATCTTATCAACCCATCCCTCGATATTGTTGTTCTCCTCATCATCTCTCTCGTTCGGTCCCAATTCATCAATATCAATATCCTTTGCGAGATCTTGAAGTTGCTGTTCTGCTTCGTCCATCATGGTGTTTGCTTTCGCCCTAGGTACGTCAAACTGTCGGATCAATGTTTTGGCAATGAGATTGACAATATGAAGGAAACATTGTGTCCTATTCATTTCTCCTGGGAAGTCCTCCAGTAGATCATTCAACTCCTTGACCATTGTGTCATTATTGGATGTGTTATCACATGTAATGCTCAGAACCTTTGTGAGTGTCAATTTTAATTCAACACATTGATTGTATCAGCACATGCCTTGTCTGATATGCCGAAATCTTGCAGTATATTCAGCAAACGCCTCCACGAGGTTGATTCTGCTATGGGACTTTGCCACTTCAACGACATCCAGTATCAAGCTGAAAGGTTGTCCGTCTTGCTTGAAGTGGACAGACACAGCAACAAATGCTTTGTGATTTGGAGACGTCCAGGCGTCGGTAGCGAAGTTAAGATTGCCCTCGTAGTTCTATCAGGAGTGAGTTGTTTGTGTGGTGCACATTGTTACTGACATACCTGAAGCATCCTAGCTATTCATTTACGCGTTCGTGCAAAAACGAGCTTAACGTCGATGTGATACTGTTGATGCTGACGGGATATAACACTCAGGCCGCCCTGTTTTCATCAATGACTGGAAGCCACGGTCTTCAACAATTTTAAATGGCCGCACACTCTCGGATACCCATCACACTATTTCAGCTTGGCTCTTGGTTTTGGTATGCTGTCTGTGTGAGTATGTTACCTTCCCCTTCCCCTTCCTTTCAAAAGCTGTTGTAATTGAAGCTGTTGTACAGAGAGGTTTGATAATTGATTCTCGTGCCACTGTTGCATTCTTCGCTTTATCGACAATCTCAATTGTCTCCATTCCCCAGCATTTTTTAGCGTGTTTCCACATATTGCTTGTGGACTTTGCATCTGCTTTATCAAGGAAACAACAAATCGATTGGTTGCACCCTCTCACGCAGCAACTGAACACATGGAATATTCGTCCGTTGATGTGGCAAATCACAGGAATGGGGTTGAAGAAGGAATAAATGGGAGCAGTCCAATCTTTGGTGAGTCTCGCTAGATTTCATCACATCAGATTTTGACTATGGTTGCTTTTTACAGGATCATACCGAGTTCAGCTTCTGGATCTTCTGGATCTTCTTCGGCACTTGCATTGTTGGCATCGTCTTTGGCACTTGCATTGTTGGTGTCGTCTTCCTCACCGCCAGCTTGGCTCTCAGTTTCGCTGCCATCAAGACCAATATGGACAACTGTGCTCCCAGTATGTAAGGCATTTTCTTCTTCTTCACTCATGACAGAAGCACGATGTGATGAGAACCTTGATGCGGAGCTATCTTTAGAAGGTGTTGTGAGCTTCTTGTGTGCCATCTCCTCGCTGGTGAGAGTGCTTCCAGCAGGTGGGTTGGTTTTTACCTTCTTCGGTTGTGTCTTTGTGCTATCTCTGAGTCCATTTGAAGTAGCTTTTTGTTTCTTGGATGTTGTGGCTTCCAGTGCAGCTTTGGCTCTGGCAGAGATTTTGGGTACTCGTTTAGCGGTGTTAGACTTGTGCATGGTGACAGTGAGAGTTTGGTGAATTCAAGTTTTGCAATTGTGCTCCTGACTTATGTTGACTTTTCCTGATTGTACATTAGAGTTTGACATATACAATACCTCTGAACTTCATTTGCACTAGGCTATCAACGAAGGCATGGGTATGGCACGGGTCCAGCTTAGAGCATGGGTCAGGTAATCCTAACCCGCACCTGTACCTGCCAGTACCCTTACCCATTACCCATGTGGGTTACCCATACCTGTGCTTTTGCCTAGATGTATGGTAGTAAATTGTGATCTACTAGCAAATTGATGATATTCAAATAATAGTGGCTGGCTTTACACAGGCAGGTTCCAATGGCAAGATTGGCCATCACCGACGGAGTTGCCTGGTGCGGTAATGGATGAAAAATGGTGGCTGGCTTTACACAGGCAGGTTCCAATGACAGGATTGGCGATCACTGACAGAGTTGCCTGGTGTGGCAATGGATGAAAAATGGTGGCTGGCTTTACACAGGCAGGTTCTGATGGGAGGACTGGCCATCACCGACAGAGTTGCCTGGTGCGGCAATGGGTGAAAAATGGTAGCTGGCTTTACACAGGCAGGTTCTGATGACAGCATTGGCCATCACTGATAGAGTTGCCTGGTGCAACAATGGATGAAAAATGGTGGCTGGCTTCACACAGGCAGGTTCTGATGGGAGGATTGGCCATCACCAACAGAGTTGCCTGGTGTGGCAATGGGTGAAAAATGGTGGCTGGCTTTACACAGACAGGTTCCAATGACAGGATTGGCCATCACCGACAGAGTTGCCTGGTGCGGCAATGGGTGAAAAATGGTGGCTGGCTTTATACAGGCAGGTTCTGATGGGAGGATTGGCCATCGCCGACAGAGTTGCCTGATACGACAATGGATGAAAAATGGTGGCTAGCTTTACACGGGCAGGTTCCAATGGCAGAATCCACCAACAACAACAATGTGTTACTAAGTTGTCTCAGAATAGCATGCTGTTGATGTTCTCTCAAACATACCTAACCTTACATAATCATTCAGTGTATCCCAGAGTTATCTCACCATATCAAGTTACTGGCATATTGTCAGCTTACATAGTGCACTTTCAATGATAGGGATGGAATATTCATCAATTGCATTAGTGTCACAACCCAATAACGAATTAACGCTGGGCAGAGACTAGGACTCAAACAAGGTTATCGGACAAAGATGATAATGAGCAGGTACGTCTTGGATTGCTACAATGTAGATACAAGAGGTTTGAACTAAGGAACTATCTACCAAGACATGCTAACTATATACAACTATTGAGACGGAGATTGAAGCTGAGTTACAACTACTAGCCAATCATAAAAAGAGAAAGGGAATCGTACCATAGAACATCGTAGAATATTAAAGAAGCATCACGTGACCATATCTTATCTTATCATATCTAATCTAATCTAATCACAATCAAAGAACTCGTCTTCTTCATCAGTCACATCGAAGACACGTGTCGTAGGCGCTAAAGGTATTTCGGGAATGGTAGACGCTTTCAAGGTAGGGTTAGGGTTTGTCTTAGGCGCTGTGTATTGACGCTTAGGAAGATTCAGGAAAGAATAATGGTTTGTTAAAGGTACTCGTGACAATTAGGGGTCATGGCTCATTGTTCGACCAGACGCTCAAATTCGGACAATTTACTAACTTTTATTTGGCCGCCAGCAGTCGACTCTTTCTTCGCACGACTCACTTGCCAGTAGGGGGAGATATTGTTGGATGTCACGCTGCTAACTGTCAACGCTCAACAGTATCGAAGCTTGCTCTCAGAACGAAGTGCTACTGTTGACTAGGTGGCAACTCTTGCATATGACTATATGTAAATATTCAGTTGAGGTCAGCCACATGCATTATTCTATGGCAACGTCCTACTGATGGCATCTACAGGGTCTTTGCTGTCAGATCCACTGATCACAAGCTCCCTTGTGCAAGTTTTTTTTCTTCTTTTTTTTAGATTTGCCAGCGCCACTGGTTATAGTCTCCCCATCAAGCTTCGTGAACCGAATTCCAAAGAGAAAGCAACACTGGTATTTGAGAGCTGGCGGATGCTGAAGTCATCCAAAAGGTTAGCATACCGTCTTTTAGTCATTGATTTGATTAGAGATCTCTTGCGTAGCCCCGCAGGCATTCCGGTGCTGAATGGTACCTCGATGTCCATGCAGGCACATATGAAAGCAATGCACTATCAACACATGCATCCTCCGGTTGTTGTGAATATCGCATCCCCCGAGTTTGCCCACCGTAGTACAGCTGGCATCACTGCTGATACTAGGCAATAGCATGGGTAACCCATGGGTTGCCACACGCTAACCCGTACTCGTACCCACCAAATACCCATACCCACCACCCAAGGGTACTGTGGGTCATGGGTTATGTGATGGGTCGAGTGGGTTTCCATGGGTCAGTGGGTCACCCATGGGTAGCACCACAAAATCAAGGTCACCATATGTTATAGACAGTCAGGGTAATGTACATTCAGTAAGGGTACTATATATCAAACCAGAATGGCATCCCATCCATCTTCCAGAGCCTCCTTGTCACCTTCGACATCCGGTAACACTGCAACACCAAGCACATCAGTATCTTTTACCAGTCCCATGGTGCTCCAGCAGCCCAGACACAATAATGCTCGAATTGATTGTGACGAGAGCTGGCTGCGGACATGCGAAAGCAGAAGGCGGCCCCGACTAAAGATTCGTTCAACGTCAACAGATGTCGCTACACCGTACACTTAGCAGCGATCATTGAAATTAAAACGGGCCACGTACCAGGAATTGTAAGGTAGTCGAGTGCCATGTGAGACAAGCATGGATACGTAGTACGACGTTCGTGCCACCAGACAAGGACATCTTTTGTGTGCTCCATCTCAGCACCCAGATAGGATTCGAGTTCATTTTGCACCTGCGAAACCTTTGGAGGAGCAAGGGCAGGGAGCTTGTCAAAAATGTTTGAGGCCTCAATGAAGTGCTATCAATTAGTTGCGAGAATATAATTGAACAGGTATACCACATACCTTAGTAGTAATGGAAGTCTCAACAGTCTCAATCTCTGGCCCTGCATCCACAACGATCCTGGCATAGTGGCCATCAAATTCGCCGTGGACAAGTTTCTCAGCGGTTTGGATCCAGTTGGCAGTCCATCCAGCGGTTTTGAAATATGAGAGCTTGTGGTGCGGGTGTAAGACTACATGGGATTGAGGTATTGTTTTAGCATGAAAATAAAGCGTGAAAATGAAACTCACCCATGGTGATCCGATAAACTTCAGAGCTGTCAGTTAAAGAGTAGTACCAGTCCAGTGTTTTCTTTCCAAGTGAGAGTGCAGCGCGCACAGAACTGTTGAGTGATTTATCCGACTCATGAGATGTCAAGATCTCGTCAATATGGTCAATGGCGGGGATGACGGTGGCCAGATTGGGTGTTGCACGCGAGAAGAATGTGGTGGCATCCTTAAACACCTGTGGAGCATATATGTTATGTCAGCAAACACGACAAATGACATCAGTGTGACTTTACCTTCAATATCTCACACAGTTCAGATGCGCTTTCCCACTCTGCCTCAGTGAGCTCCAACTTCCTCAGGTTATGCTCCCGTTTTGCTGTCATTTCCTCCAGGGCTGGCCGATGCTCAATTGCAAACCGAAGCATATTAAACGTGGAGTTCCAACGTGTCACTACGTCACGTGGCATAATTCTAACGGTGCGTTTTTGCTCTTGCAGTAACAATTTCCAAGCTGGCAGCAAAATCATTGAGGAGTGAATGATTTTGAAGGCGATTTTGCGGAGCTTGGGTCAGGGTGGTTTTCAGTGAGTGGCCTGATTTACTATATGTGTAGCGCTTACCTTGACTAGCATCACCTTGACTGGATGCAGACTTTGCATCAGATCTGCACGCTCGTCAGTGTCCATTGTTTCCATCTCATCAACCCACCCTTCAATGTCATCGTCAACATCTTCTTCGTCTCCATCATACCGACCTGCGCTTGTGAGCCCATCTACACTATCATCACTGTCCCTGTCCTCTACTGGTAAGTCATCATTAATGTTGGCGTTTGTTGAATCAAACTGTTTGAGGATAGATTTTGCCACGAGGTTGATAATGTGTAGAAAGCATCGAGTGCGCATTGGCACCCCGCTAAATGATGGAACAAGTGTTTCGAGGTGCGTGGTCATTGTATTGTTGGCGGCTGCATTGTCTGCAGTGAGACTTAACATCTGTGATGGAGGTACGTTTTCTGCGACACTACAAATATAACACTACCACTGACCTTTTCTGATATCCCATAGTCCTCAAGAATATTTGCAAATGCCGCTGCGAGGATGGCACCAGAGTGGGACTGTGTACCTTGAGTACATTTATCTATGTAAGTGTTCGAAATTTTACCTCTGGAACTTCCACAATGTCTAACACCATTGCAATAGCTACTCCTTCATGTTCGAGATGTACCGAGATGGCCATGAAGGCCTTATGTGTTACGACTTGGATAGTATCTGTTGGCGACGCTCAAACAGAGCTTGTGTCGTCAACGGTCTGTGGACGTCCTTGGGCTAGCCCAAGGTTAGGGGTCGTACTTGGCGTGTCTTCGGCAAGTACGATTTAACGCCTATGTCCAAATCGGGTAGCTTATGTCACGCGGGTGCGAGACGATAAGCTATATCGGCCTAGGCTTACGACACCCGAAGGTTAATCGTGAGGATCGTCGTTAATTAGAAGGACAGAAGTCCGACTAGTTAACAGGGGCTTTGTTCGTCGACGGAGTCGATGAGCAAAGGTCGAGACTATAGGCTTATCCGCGATGAGCAGATAAGAAGATAGAATATAGACTGCTGGCGAGGCAGAAGGATCACTCTGGTGAGAGTAGGAGGTCAAGAACCAAGTAGATTCAAGTTAGGGAATATAGTACATGGTAGCGAGTTTATATAGAGGACAGGGGACGTATTAGTGGATGATAACTCGTACTACCGGGAGAGGCAATCGGTAAAGGGTAAGACCATAATAGGAAGGCACGTTCGATCTAGGTAGAACGTGCTGGATAAGAAAGTGAGTCAAAGATCAGAATGAGAAGTGAAACACGCAGGGGCACGATCGTGCAACTGCGGATCTAAGTATAAGTCGCATGTGCGACTGCGCACCGAGTCAGAGATCAAGAAAGGAAAATAGGGCAAAGGGGATGCGTCATGCATCATGTCATAGGTTACCGTCCAGACGGTAAGGGCAAGGGGACTGTCCGCAGGATCAGTCAGGTGGTGAAACGGAGCATGGGTATGCTTCGTCAGCGAAAGGATCCGGCCAAATGTACTGGCTTTGCTGAAGCGACAGGTAGAGGGCGAAAGGGAATGCGAGGATGACGAGGATGACAAGGATAAGGTCGGGGTAAGGGTATGATGCGAGGGCTGAGACGAGGAGGATTAGGAGAAAAATAGTAGGGGCCCAAGCGTCTAGATGTTCTTGTAACATTATGGTTAGGTGAAGTCCAAGCATCGGTCGCAAAATTCAAGTGTCTGTTGTATTCCTGGTGAGTCCTTGTTATTGTTTTCTGACTTAATGATACTAATACCATTCTTACCTGCAGCATCTTCGCAATATGCTGGCACATTTGTGCAAAGACCAACTTGATGTCACGTGAGACGGTTGATGGCGATGGTATATAGTATTCAGGCTGACCGGTCTTCATCAAGGATTGGAAGGCCCGGTCCTTAACAATATCGAATGGACGGGCACTCTCGCACACCCACCGAACAATTTCTGCCTTTGTTTCGGTCTTGGTATGCTGCTGATGGGAGTAGGTAATTTTCCCTTTGCCTTTGCGCTCGAACGAAGCCGTTATTGACCCATTTGTCAGGATTCCATTAATGATCGACTTGCGAGCAACGTCACAACTCTTGGCATCATCTGCGGCTTTGACTACTTCCTCTCCCCAGCAGGTACGTGTATGTTTGCGCATGTTGCTAGTTGACTTGGCATCCTTTTTGTCTAGGAAGCGCCGGATTTGTTTTCCGCATCCTTTTGCAACACATCAGAACTCATAGTATCTCCTTCCGTTCTCATGTCCTATGGCAGGAAAGGGCTCAAAAAAGGCATAAATAGGTGAGACCCACTTTTTGCTCAAGCACTCTATGAAAATAATATTACTTAAGCCTTAATCTCATATGCAGGGTACTTACTCATTTCAGCCTCGGCATCCTCAGCAGGAGACTCAATGCCACTGTCTGCATTACTGGACTTGGTGCTAGTGGCTCGTCTCACCAGTTGGGACTTCGGTATGGGAATTTCAATTATGTCGGCATCACTATTGAGTGCTTCTTCTTTGTCTTCGCTCCGAACAATGGTTCGTTTGTTTGTGATCTTGTTAGGGGCAGATTTTGATATGGGCTGGACCAGACTATCTTCACTGTCACTCAGAGCAGCAACAGAACTTCGTCTGGCTTTTCTGGAGGTAAGCTCGTCACTGCGTTTACGTTTGAGAGTCTTCTTGATGGCCTGTAGGTATTCCCTGGCCTTCTCCGTGGGCTTCAGTTGACGCTTGCCAAACATTGGGAGTGATTTGACTAAAAAGGTGTCGAGGGTATTGATGATAGTTTAGGCAATGTAGAATAAGGTTTATGTCATGTTTAAGGTTCGAGTACAGTTTAATGTTACATAATTTGAACTTGTACCACAATCTCCTGGTCTGGGGGTTGCTATACCTGTCAACCCACCAGGTGGGTCATGGGTTGATGGTGGGTCACTCGAAGCATACCCATACCCGACCCACAAACTACTCATACCCATGCTATAGCCTAGCTGATACCGCTGCGACCATCAATGACGCAGCATATCAGTCTACAACCGGGCATATGTCTCTCCCCTTGCCCATCCTTCCCAGTCCTATCAGGTCATCTCACCAACACGTCTCAAGGCCGAGTCCCAGCATGTTCCACTCTCAATCAGCAGTTACCACATTTGTACGAACCTCCGGTTGTTGAGAATATTGCACCCCCGAATTCGTCCACCATAGTAGAGAGGTCCCCTCTCGTTACCCAGTACGTCAGCATGTTCCAGTCTCACTCAGCAGCTACCACATTCCTACGAGCGCTTACACGCTGCCTGACGGTGCTGTCATGTGTCAGCAAAATGTTTTCACTTTGCAGCAACTGCAATCTTTCAAGATGGCGCTTGCGCAGAATGCAGAGGGATGCCCAGCTAGTGCAGGTTCCATATACAGGGCACCTGAATGGCGTGCACTTCAATGCGCAGCTGGCAGATGGTGCCAATCTCAACATCTGATTTCCCCAAGGACTGCAGTAGCCAGGTGTAGCGTCACCTCATCAACAGCTCGCGTAGTTCACAAAGGAACATCAAACCCTCATATCACGCTGGGCAATCTACCTACGGATTCTCAGTGAGCCAATCAGCATTTATATAAGGTTCGCAAGTTTGTCCTTAAACAGAGCGCTAGGAACTCGCGAGCTGGATAGCGATGTTGCAGCTGTGCACTGTGAAAATTGGATGCCAGTTGAGAAGCCTGGGTGACAAGCAGAAGTGTGTTAATCCATTTGACGGACAATTTAATGTGTTTCAATATGGATTTACTACAACTGTTTGATGCTTACATTATCCAGCGGTGTATTGTTCAGAATGCATCTACGTGCTTCTCCTTTGGTCAAGACGCAATCAATGGCTTGATCATGGACAAGTCTGGCATTTGCTTTGATTCCTCAGATGGTCGTCCTATGTCTTTTCATCTTTGTACTGATTGCCGATCTTCCTTGACCAAGAACAAAGTTCTGAGACTTGCGCTAGCCAATCATTTGTTTCGCAAAATGTTGCCTATGCAATTTGCTGACTTGACATGGGTAGAAGAAAAGGTCTGCACATTGCATTGCATCACAGTCGTCTGTTCCAGTCATCAGATCCAACTCAGCCTAGTTGAACCATAGACCAAAACATAGCTCCCAAGCGGGCGGAAAATGATCTGGGACCCCAATCCCCTGTTTCAAAGACCACGGTAGCAACATGTGAGATTTGATATAAGTTCGATCACCTCGTGTCATTTGCGATGTGCTATGTATGGGAAACCAATTGAGCAATACTTAGGCCTACATTATCTAAATGCATGAGCCAGCGTATCTGTTATACACATTAGAGGAAATGCGATGGAGGCTTGTTCGTGAGGGCTATTCGTCATTGAATGCATCTGCCGGTGCATACCCTTCCGCAGCATCATCCAGAAAAAACATAAAGATGCCCTCTCGAACGAGGAAGGCAACAAAGTCTATGTAAGTAAGAGTACCCTCAGCTTCGTTTAGTGCAATGCATGTGGACGTGTACCTTTGAACCTCTGACGATTGGGCATATCGCGCAGAATATCAGACAAGTCTACAATGGGGTATTCTGTAGTGCTTGTCCAAACACAGGCGCAGTTGTGGTAGGTGGAAAAGTGGAGAGATGCTGTCTCGCTTCGTTCTGTATTCTCTGTCATCAGTGAGAAGAGAGGTTAATCATAGGCAAACTCACGTAGAATCAGATAGAGCCCTGGAAGATCACAGTTAATGTGTGACATATGGGTTACAGTGTCGGTTCAGAGGCGGTAATGATGAATGAGAAAGAGTGCTGAGGTTTTTTGTTCTTAGTAGGACGAGCAGAGCCGAACGGATGAGCTAGAGACAAAAGAGTGTATACTAGTAGAGTCAGTAAAATGAATGAACTATAGTAGTGAATGTCTCACCTCAGTCGTACACTCGTGGTGTAGTAGACTGAGGTATTAGTAACTCTGTCTGTATGTACGTGCGTGATTATGTAAGCTGTACTCGCCGTATGATAATCCATAAACAAACAACAAGGTTGGGGTGCCAACAATCAGCCAGGATACTGTGAGTCAAGAGTGAGACGCAAACAAGTGGATATCAATATATTGGGGCAGTTTAGGCGATCTCATCAGATAGATCTTGCGTGATTGCGAATATTCTGTGAACGATCGTGTTTGACGTTCTCAGCGGGCTTAATTAGGGGGATCTCACAGCACAATCACTGGGTGGAATGGGGCGGTGGTGCTGGAGTCAGCAGTAAATTGGTAGAATGAACCATACAACATTGACACCCTACAACTAGTTGGTGGAGGGGGATAAAATCACAGTGTCCAAATCCACACAGGGCGATCCTTGGAGAGTCCTCTTGTCCTCTCACACAACTTCTGACAATAAGCGATGATGACCGGAGGGCTCGTGGTGTTATATACTGATTGGACATTGATGCATGTGGGTGTGATGAGGATGATATAAGTGAGCCAGGGACTGGTGCAGGCGCCGCTATGATTTGAGCAGTCACAGTCCTCAACCGAACCAATGTGTTCCACTCATCAGTGGACTGAGTCTCCCTACATGCACATGCTAAGGAGCGGCAGAGGAACCCACAGTGGCTGGAGTGGTGACATACTGTTCCCTAGAGGGATGCAGGAGTGGAGAAAGAGAGGGGAGCAATGTGGAGAAGGGAGCATGAGAGCGTCTGGAGAAGGGTTAGATAGAAAATTGGGATTTGATGAAGATATCTTACCACTTATGTGATGTTCGTGAGAATGTCAGAATGAGGAGGGTCAAAGGACTCGAATCTCAAACAATCAAAGATGCACGGACTCCACCCGGCTGGCTCAAGTGGAAGGAGGCGGTTAATGCGGAACTACAGCGATGCCATTGAGTGCAGCGATCAGCCTGACTGAGTCGCCACCTGACATGGGAGTGCTAGCATCATTTCAATTGACTCCTTTTGTGGGGAGGACCTCTCTACTATGGTGGGTGAACTCGGGGATGCAATATTCCCAAAAATCAGATGTTCATAGGAATGTGGTAACTGCTGAGTGAGAGTGGAACACTGTAACAATGGTCGCGGCACTGGGCTCAGAACCAGGCAATCCAACACCTACATTCATACCATTCCCCGACCTCCCTTGACCTTCCAAAGGCCGCGCGCACTTGTCCGAACCTTCTGCAGGCAGTTCTCGTGTTCCAAGACCTGTCCGAACCTCGCGAGTTACCATACCATGTCCTATCCTCGTCCTTTTGACTTTGCTGGTGTGTTTTCCTTCATTCTAACTATATGTTGACTACGTCTTAGTGCTACACGGATAACAATTCCATCGGCATCCTGTTGGGAGCCTCGGAATACGTATAAGCAGTATGCATCATGGCTTATTACATGTATACTTGCATTCCTGCACGCCTCGCGGCTTATTACATAGGTTCAGACTTGCTTATCTCGCTACTAGTTTTGCCTATGGATTCCGGCCTCTCATGGAAGTAGGATATAATCTTGCTCACTGGCTACTGATAGGACACTTCACTTCCCGTACTTCGAATCATAATTAGTAGAGTCACTTCGGTATAATCGTAAACTGTGCAATTGATCCTTGTTCATTCGGAACAATTGTTTGGCTAGACCGCTGCCAATTTTGCACTTCGTTTATTCTTGAGTTCCGATAGATTAGCGTTGTTCTGGACTTCGGACGCTTCACAAAGTCTTATACTGTTATTCGACACACCGACATACTGACACATCGACACACCAACATATATTGACCTTCGGACAGCCTTCGCAAGCCTCAGAAGGCATCGCGCTACTTCGGACAACACTTTTGCAGCCTTGGACGACCTTTGGTCGCATCAGACAAGTTTTTCGGTACTTCGGTTAGTCTCAGAACTTTGGACAAACATTAAAGAGGTTTTCTTCCAATATCTTGTCTACTCTCTAACTGTATAAGACTTCCCTTGCATTATCAAGGTAGTTCTTAGGATGTCTCTCGGGATGAAGCATACTCGCATCTCTCAGGACTAGGGACTCACATTCAGTAGAGCCCAGCTCAGATCTACTCTTGACAATGTGTTGCCTCCATTGTGTTTTTCTGTGTTTCAGTGTTGGCCTCAATCAGGTTCTCCAGCCTCTTAGACTTTGCGCCACCATCTCCACTTCTAACCAGCACATGATAAACATAAAAGATACAGTAATAAATTAAAGTAGGACGCACCCATAGCTGACGACAATTTCATAGGTTACTGTGCATCGCAAACCTCATTGGTTCCGTCGATGGATGGCAGGTCAAACCTGTCAGTGTGGATGCTTGGTGACATAACATTGGTTGGCTCGGAGCGCTGCAAGTTAAAATATATATGAGATGGACCACCCTGCCATAATATTGCTGTCAATGCACCTTACGAGTGTGGAATTTGGCTAGTACTCCTGACTGGGAATAGTGTACGCCAATTGAGGCTGCTTTGAGCATATGTGGACTCGTGCTGTTAAGATTTTTCATTAATTCTGCTACCTGCCATGCTGGCAGAATGTGCTTCTGTCAAGTTCTGCAGGGCTGTATAGTAATGATAGGTGAAGCTGCTTCCAGTATGCTATTACTCTGACCGTGGGATGATTGGCATCGCGCTGACACTTTCTTCAGGCAACATCCTTGCAGGGCAGTACAATGGCTGTAGAAGACGCTGCTAGCTTTTTCTTATCTGCAAAATCAGGACCAAATATCGACATTTTTACGCACTTTTCAAGAGCTAGTCAATTTGTTGGCCTGTCAGATGTTTGCGGCAAGGACCGTTATCGATAAATCATCTCCTTTGCATTCTCGGCAGCGCAGGGATAGGAGATTGCTTCATGTAAGTCAAGATTAAATCATGACAAAAGGAGATGCCATCGAAGGATACTATACTTGGCAGTATTGGAACCTGTCAATCAAACTGCGCAGGTACCGCTGGGCCATCTGGGGTAAAAGGTTGACATGGGGCCATGGCGACTTATGCTAGCTGTCAAATGAGCGGTCAGTGTGAGAACTGAGGGATAGGAAATAGGAACATAGAGAATGAGCTTTGCGTAGGGCGGACACTGATCGTCCATTCGTATGGTATAGAGTTTCGCATCAGCTGTGAAGTCGCAGCATATCTACAAAATAAATGGCCTGAGGTACAGTTGTCAGATTTGGATTAACACTTCCATTGTTGCTGCCTGTTCCTCCAAGCGAATACCAGGGCAACAATACCTAAAGCGAGAATACGAGTGAAGAGCGTGGGGAGGGATTATAGTCAGACCCAAGACACATTAGTTCGCGTTATGAAGGGGGCCTTTGAACACCGGAACATGTGTCACCTATCTGCCCATGGAAGCAAGTGGGCATTGATCTAACTGGCCATAGGTGACTCAAAGTGACTGCCATAAAAGTCTTCATTTGCATACATCATGATACGTAGCAAGAGTGATGCTGCGCTCTAGGCCTGTTATAACTCCGAAAAAGATCGGCTCTATCTTTCATTGTAATGGTGCCTACGCACCGAGTCCCCGACTCCATTTTTGCACACCTCCATGCGCCTGAAATTCTAGTAGTTTACCCCAGCTGATGTTTGGTTTGCCTGCCTTCACACTGCCTGTCTTGAATGGGCTTCATCCAGAGTACACACATATATAAGACAGACTACACAAATATTCAACGAAACCACCAGTACTTCTAGCAAACCAGAAACCTCCCAGACAGTTGAATGCCTGAATGATGCGGCCTCTTTAAACACGCCTACATCTGACCTCATCCAATGATACCAGAATCTCCAACTATGCGGATGACATGCCTGTCTTAGCTGCCTTCCTTGTTGGACTTCCTTGAGCAGGAGGATCATCAGCCTTGTGTTTTGGCGAATTCACTGAATTGTACATCAGGACTGGGCAGACAAACTTACTAAAAATGATGGCTCCTTCGCCGTCATATGACTCAATTAGGTCTAGCACTGCAGATGACATGATGGCAAAGGAAGAAAAGCAGGGACCCTCACTGTGTCAGGAAAAAAAGCAATGATCGAGTACAAAGCCCGGCGAATGTCCTATTCTGCGCAGTTCATGTTCAGAGCACATCAACATCATCTGAGTCCAAGTACAACATCAAGAGTCTTTTGAGCATTTTGATGGCCCATATCTATTTCATAGGACTCTCACCAAAAGCACGCACTCAATGTGTAGTTGATGTGCAAAGTACATGGACATCATCAAAGTAAGACATCATACAAGAACATGTCTTGCAGGAGGGTTTGACGCTGGTCAACCCAAGCAAATCGGGTAGAGTCAGCAGAGGGTTTAAGACATGGGAAAACATTTGAGTTCGACAGGAGCGCTCCTTCACTAAAGTGGGAGTCGGGGATTCAGCAAAGTGGGAGTCAGGGATTCAGCAAAGGCTAGGACCACGGGAGTGTGTTTCTGCTTCACGTGCGCCAGTCTCAGCCCCTTCTCGACCTGTTTAGACCATGCGAGGTCCCACCCCCAATGCAGTGACTGCGAGTCAAGCACATTCAGTGACTCCAAGCAATACCAGCGCATTTGAACCCACCTCACGTCATCTAAGGAGTGTCACCTCTCAGACCATCGGCACCATTCAATCAGTTTCCCTGCTTGTCACCCAGGCTTCTCAACTGGCACCCAATTTTCACAGCATGCAGCTGCAACATCGCTATCCAGCTTGCGAGTTCTTAGCGCTCTGTTTAAGGACAAACTTGCGAACCTTATATAAATGCTGATTGGCTCACTGAGAATCCGTAGGTAGATTGCCCAGCGTGATATGAGGGTTTGACGTTCCTTCGTGAACTACGCGAGCTGTTGATGAGGTGACGCTACACCTGGCTACTGCAGTCCTTGGGGAAATCAGATGTTGAGATTGGCACCATCTGCCAGCTGCGCATTGAAGTGCGCGCCATTCAGGTGCCCTGTATATAGAACCTGCACTAGCTGGGCATCCCTCTGCATTCTGCACAAGCGCCATCTTGAAAGATTGCAGTTGCTGCAAAGTGAAAATATTTTGCTGACACATGACAGCACCGTCAGGCAGCGTGTAAGCGCTCATAGGAATGTGGTAGCTGCTGAGTGAGACTGGAACGTGCTGACGTGCTGGGTTGAACAAACTAATTAAGTAGTGCTAGAGGGGCCTAATTCTCGAAGAGCAGCGCGTTTGTCCCGAATTTTTGCCAGCGCGCTGTTTGTGCTGATACTTTGCTGCGAACAGGACGAATTAGGGAAAATACGACTGTGACAAATATTAAGCTGAGGTAGACAGTGAAATATGCTACGAACCGTGTCCACCATGTCATCAAGTCCACTACTTCCTGACTTTCGTCAGGATCTTCCAATAGATCAAGAATGCTGTGATAGAAGTTTTTGGAGTCCGTTACCGTGTCCGTATGCGAAAATATGGACGACAAGCTTAACGAAAACTGAACCTGAAAGACCAATCAGTGTGAGTGAAATACATAATTAAATTTCAATATACCTGCATGGCAATATAGGCCAGAGAGCCTTTCGTCATGGACTTCATGCCGTGGAGATGTGCATTGCCGGAGCGCGTAGCTTTTGGCTCCCTCTCCACAGAGCTGGGAGAGGTAAAGACATGTTTAAAACCCTGTGGGGGGGGGGGGATTGTAGTGACGCCGTTATCGCTGACAGTGAACTTACAAATATAAGGATCTCGCTCCTCAGTAAACCCTTCCACAGATCGTCAGAATCATAGACATACCCAGCATACAAGAACATGGGCCATTGGTCGCCACGGACTGCGGTTTCACTGCTTTTGAGACTCCGTTTGGTTCTAGATAGTTATTACGGTTAGGCTATTAGGTTATCAGGAGGTCGAAAGACTTACTCTGCATTCAACCAGTCAAGACCTGCAGGACAGAGCAATGCACCAGTGACCTCGTGATTGAATCCACGGTCAGACTTGATGTTTCTGGAGAGGGGCGGTATGACTACTTGTCCTCTCGGCACAAGCCACTCAAGAACCACAGATTTGAGGGTCTTCGTGTCATCGCCTCGTGCACCAGAGGCTCCTTTACCCATCTGGTAACACGGTGACTACGATAGTATTACAATATAATGAACTTACCAATTCCCCCACATGAATGACATCCTCCTCCTCGCCATTTGTTAGACGATCTAGAAGACCAGGGTACGAATCAATGAGATCCGTGAACACCCTGTGTTCCCATCGAACACTGACAATAAAAATGTTAGAAGGCATTGTGTGAATTTTAATGTCACAGCGGCACTCACTCTGCAGGATAATCCTCAATGAGAGTGTCCTGTAATTCTTCCAGGCGCAGTATGCCCTGAAGTCAGAAGAGCAGGATAGTTACACAGTGCAAAGACTGTGCGACCAAAATGTCGACCATGAAGAACCAGGGGATTTGATGAAGCCCTGTTCGACAAGTCAGACAGCAAAGGCTACACCATGTTGAAGATGACCTACACTTTTTTATGCAGGCCCGAATGGAGCGCTGAACTGCTATGCTTGTGCGAAGGATCACCGGAAAAAGGTGGATGATTTTCATTGTCACTCATACTATGTTGAGAGGAATTAGACGAATGAAATACCAGTAGCAAAGGAGACACTTTATATACCTAGTCCCATGACCTTGCCTCTCTAACCGCTATTGATGTCGTAAAGGCAACATGCGCTGCGTGTCTGCAAAAAAAAACCACTATCATGGCACCATCAATATTTGATAGAGTACCATTACCTCAGCTGACAGCGCGGTCACAATGGGCATCATTGGACGATAATACATGAGTACTTGGCGCTGTGGTAACAACTATCAGTTACATTATGCACAGCAAGGCAGGGACTGAACCTAGGATGCCTGGCCCACCCTCTCAGAAACATTTGCGACAATGCATTCATGTTGGAAGCAATGTCACGCTAAAGTAAGCATTGTTGAATATAAAGCATGCGGTCAATAAATAATATTTGTACCTGAGTTTCCAACTTTCCTCAGCGTGTAGGCTGGAGGACTCTGATGTAGAAAATTCAGAGATGGGTGCTGATTGCATGTGAGTAGTGTGTACAACTCTAGAGAAACTTAGACCTTACTTATGGTGCAGGCAATTCCATCAAAACATTCAATTACTTCATAGAGGAATGCAGACTACTGGTGAGAGTTAGTATTTATATACCAGAGACTGCACGATAAGTCTGAGGAAATATTTACCTAGTCAAGGACGGACAATTGATGATCGAAGTGGAATCTGAACTGCGCCAAGTCAAGGAGCAACTGAGAGATGCCGAAAATAATATTGCATACCTTTCGGATAGGGTGTTGACATACAGGTATAGATGGCTTGAGGAATACTACCGTGCCGAGAACCTGGATCACCATATGCCTCTTGACATCTGCGTGCCTGACCTTCCTCAGGTTACATATGGTGCTCCCTCTCCCAGCATCTCTTCAGATATTTTGAAGTGGGATGAAGCAGATGCAGGCTCAGAATAGGCAGAATGTAGTGAGGGAGAGCATCCCGCCATTCCTAAATCAATTCATGTTAATTCTGATGAGTAGTTAATTAGTCCAATAGACTGACACAAGCAATGAGTGACTTAGGAAATGCTCAAGTAAAGCAATGTATAGAAATACATAAGTAAAGTAGTATTAAAGTAAGTAAGGAGATCTACAACTAAAGCGACGTAGGTAAGCTTTGGCTTAGATATAATAATCAAAGTATAGAAGAAAGAGAAGCATAACACGTGAATTTGCAAGTTGATATACGGCTTTACATTTTCATTCAAACTCAGCCGGAATTCAGCGAGCCGGTCTCGCTGAATTCCGGCTGAGTTTGAATGAAAATGTAAAGCCGTATATCAACTTGCAAATTCACGTGTTATGCTTCTCTTTCCAAATTTGTATGTAGTTTACTATTATACCCAAGTGTGCATAGTGGTGCGGTGCGGCGGCGCTCATGTCAGTGTAGTTGAAGTCTATTACAACACATCATTCTGTAGTGGGCGGGGCAGGAGCTGCAACAATAATATTACCGGAGCGGGTTGGCCAACAATGGGTATGAACAATAGTGTTAATCAGAAGGTGGCTGTCTATCTAGTATCGGGCCACTGGTAGATCTTCATTTTCCAACGTCCACAGATCCACACTTCCACCGTAATCATGAGTAAGTGCCACAATATTGCAGAGCCATATAAATTCTGACCCTGCACTTTGCCAGGTTTTCTTTCCACTATCTCTACCTCGATCCCTACCTCGATACGATACACTTAGTGCTACATACTTAGGATAGAAAATACAAGTTGTATTGAAGTATGTAAAGCTTGGACTTCATCACAGAAACGATATTGATGTACAATACAGACCGACTTACTATGGCTAAGCGCACTGCATCCAACAATGATCAATGCGCCCCAAAGTGGTCTAGAATGACCAAAGGTGAGTATTCAATACCGTGAATGATTCACGACTTCGTCACTCATGAGCCTGTCCCTACAACACAGGAACTTATCTGGTGACACCATCACCCAAGGCGGATGAAGGCGCCTGGCGCATTCTAGAAAATTTCCTTCTCACTGATGCCACATATCCTCAGACAGAAGAGGTGTTCAAATCCTACTTGGGTGATCAGTACTCAGCGGAGGACTGGAAGGACACCCTAGCCGCGTTGTTCTCTGGTGATGGCAATGACACGATTGCGCTAGCAAATCTTCGCACCCTGAAGGCCATTTACATACCCCAGGCCTCCACTATGTCCTCAAATATGATGAACGCAACCAAACACACACCTGTAGCTACATCCGCACTGAAGAAGAAACATTGATTGTGTAGACCATTTAATGTAAGTGCGATTATGATTTATGATGATGGTTATTTTAAGCAACAAGTGTATCCCTATATCAATGATACAGCAGAAGTTGACAACAACAATGACGATCTCCTCGAGGAGGAGGAGGGGGAGGAGGGGGAACATAGGCTATCTAATGTACGTGAAATGTTTATCACTGGTGACTCTATACTTAACAACCGTAGCGCTTCATTGATGACCAAGCAAGGGAATCCGACGATGAGGACGATGAGGTGGAGGATAGAAATGGCCCCTCCATGAAAATGTCTGATGTTGTGTCCTTGCCAGGCTCATCTGCCAAGAATAGGTTGACCACTGCGATTGATGATATTGTGGGCAGGTACCAAAAGAAACCGAGCGATTTTTCAAGGGGACGCCTTCCTTACAAAGTCGCCTGGTTCCCCACCACAATTGAGAACAGGATGTATCTTCTTCTAGTTCATAGTACACCTATTTTTGATTCTCTAGCATGTCACTAATTGTGTTCCAGGAACTGCTACTCAGTATATCGCCAAACATCTTCAAAGTAAAGGATTTACTGCTACTGTGTTGGCCTGGGTACTGTTACAAGAACATCTAGACGCTTGGGCCCCTACCATTTTTCTCCTCATCCTCCTCGTATCAGCCCTCGCATCGTACCCTTACCCTGACCTTACCCTTGTCATCCTTGTCATCCTCGCATTCCCTTTCGCTCTCTACCTGTCACTTCAGCAGAGCCAGTACATCTGGCCGGATCCTTTTGCTGACGAAGCATACCCATGCTCCGTTCCACCACCTGACTGATCCTGCGGACAGTCCCATTGCCCTTACCGTCTGGACGGTAACCTATGATATGATGCACGACGCATCCCCTTTGCCTTTTCCCTTTCTTGATCTCTGACTCAGTGCGCAGTCGCACATGCAACTTATAGATAGCTCCGCAGCTGCACGATCGTGCCCCTGCGTGTTTCACTTCTTATTTCGACCTTTGACTCACTTTCTTATCTAGCACGTTCCGCCTCGCCCGTGTCTCAACGCGAACGTGCTTCCCTTTTATAGTCATACCCTTTACCAATTGCCTCTCTTGGTAGTACGAGTTATCACTCACTAATATGTCCCCCATCCTCTATATAAACTCGCTACCATGTACTATATTTCCTAACTTGAATCTACTTGGTTCTTGACCTCCTACTCTCACCAGAGTGATCCTTTCTACCTCGCCAGCAGTCTATATTCTATCTTCTTATCTGCTCCTCGCGGATAAGCCTATAGTCTCGATCTTTACTCATCGACTTTGTCGACGAGCAAAGCCCCTGTTAGCTAGTCGGACTTCTGTCCTTCTAATTAACGACGATCTTACAATTAACCTTCGGGTGTCGTAAGCCTAGGCCGATATAGCTTATTGTCTCGCACCCGCATGACATAAGCTACCCGATTTGGACATAGGCGTCAAATCTTACTTGCCGAAGCCTTGCCAAGTAAGACCCCTAACCTTGGGCTAGCCCAAGGACGTCCTTGACCATTGACGACACACGCTCTGTTTGAGCGTCGCCAACAGATACCATCCAAGTCGTAACAGGTACCAGGCCAACTCTATGTGATCTCAGATAGCCCCAAGATGATTTCAGCCTTGCTTCTGCCCTCACATAGCCTTTTGGTGAGAGAATACCTGCGCATCTCAGAGGAGGAATGTGAAGCAGTAGAACATGCACATATCAAGCTTCCCAACCCATCATGGGTTAGGATCAAACATGGCATGTACAAGGACACCATAGCCTATGTTTTTGATTCCGAGCAATCCGACCTTTTTGTTAAGGTTCTGGTGCCTCCACGAGACTTCCCTTATCCCATGCCTAAGGGATCTGTTGCACTACTCGACCCTTCTCGCCTTCCCAAAGATAACACAGTGACCGACATCCTTCACAACAAGGAAGTTGTAGGATCCTTATACAAAGGAGAAAAGAACTACAAGGGACTTCTACAGAAGAACTGCCATCGGTATCTCCTAGAATTTGTGGCCTCTCCTCACGTCGACGATATTCGATGGCATGTGCAGTCCGGGTGGGACACATCCTTTGTGCAAAAAACAATTGTGACATTTTCAATGCAGTTCCTGCATGTAGGTGATGTGGTCACGATTGTTAAAGGAAAAGTACGCTCAGAGATCGGTATGGTCCTGTCGATAGACCATGCACTTGATTCTGCATGCTTAGAGCTCCCCTTTGATGGGGATCAAGTTGAAACAGAAGTTTAACTGCATGATCTGGAGCGTGTCTTCTGTATTGGGGACACAGTACGAGTTGTAGCGGGTGCATACTTGGGCTTGGAAGGACATCTCATTCAAATATCAGAGGATATATTCCACATTCGTCAAGATATCTCTAAGGAAGAGGTACATTTCTAGCATACTTCGCATCACTGTCTAACATTTGATACATAGGTGCAAGTGTCAAGACACTACTTAGATCGTCGTCCTATAAATCACACATTTCAACCACGACTATCAATGCTGCAACATTACGAGCCTCCTCACGACGATGAATCCATCCAAGTCGGAGACCATATAGAAGTACTTGCGGGAGAACATATGGGGAAATGCGGAATTGTATCATGGTTTCCTGTAGGAGCAATGCAGCTGTGGTTCCACGATTTGTCCCCAATCTTCAATGAGGACGAAATCGAGCACAGTTTGGGACCTCCAATTATGCAAGTTGCCCCTGCATTCGTCTGACGGACACACCTCTCGCAAACGATCACATATACAAAAGAAAGGGGTTATGATGTAAGGCCTGGAGATGTCGTCAGTGTCACTCACGGACCGGACTATCAGACCAAGGGCGTCATGCAGAGCGTCAACTTCCCCAAGGCATGTTTGACACTACTATCTGAGAGTGATCAGTCGCTCGTAAGTACCTTTCAACATGACTCAGATCATATCTGACCCGTTGCAGATCGACATTCCGATCAGATTTGTGGCCAAAATACACAACGCGCCTTTGGATTCATTTCGAAAGATCATCAATGACGAAGTGTTTCTGATTGGAGGCGACTGAAAGGGCTTCCGAGCTATGTTATACAGCATTGGGATGGAGACTTGTGTCAGTTGCAGTGCATGGGCAGGCGCGTATCACGGTCAAGTGCCAGGACGTTGCCACAAGGTGAGCAGCACTTACATCTTTTTGGTGATTACATTATTCATGACTGTCACTAAGATATGGAATGAGGTTAAACAGTGTGATACTTGGAATGTCAGATTTGATGTTGTTAAGTGATTTGCGAAGAAGGTCGTACTTAACGTCGCCACCGCGAAGATGCACCACTCCCCCTCCAGACCAAGTTCCCTCCGCCTCGTCTACTTCTACCTGCACAGATTCAAGCGTGCCGTGGATGTCCTGGAGCATCAACCCTGAGGATATCAATGCTGCGGAGAATCCTTCATTAATTGTCGGTCCCAGTTCATTGACATTTGACCCCTGGACTGTGAATAAACAGGACATTCAGGATAACCTCGACGCCGGAGCTGAAAAAGTTCAAAACAATGGAGCCCCTTCAGTGACAAATTCCGTATTATATGGGTCACCCGACCTACATAATATCCCATATAAGACGGGCCAGCGGACTATGGGCCGATGTGATGTATATCCCCGATGTTGACAGATGGGCCGAGGGGAATATTATTTCCGATGGAGACGGGTGGGCCCATCTATGCCAATGTTATATATATGCTTGATGATGTCGGATGGGCCAGGGATGAATATTTTTACCAATGGAGATGGGTGGGCCCATCCGGGGAATACGTACAGTAGGATGGACATGTATATTATAGACAGCTAGGCTGAAGGGAGATGAGAGGCAATTGTTATTATATAGATGGGTGGGCCAATGTAAAGGTACATTGTATAGATGGGTGGGCCGATGTATAGGAATCATTTTGTAGACGGGTGGGACCGATGTAAAGGTACATTGTATAGCCAGGTGGGCCGACGTACAGGAATAATTTTGTAGATGGGTGGGCCAAGAAAGCGGTGGAATATTTATTATATAGATGGGTGGGCCGAGGTCATTGTGAATTGTACAGACGGGTAGGCCGAGCGAGCAGTAAAACATTTATCATATCGACGGGTGGGCTGAGAGTGCAGGAAATTATTTATGATATAGACTGGTGGGCCGATGAGTTAATATATTACATAGACAGGTGGGCCGATGGAGGGGAATGTAATATAGATGGGTGGGCCAAGGTAGGGAGATATTGTGTAGACATATAGGCCAAGGTATTGGTTTACTATATAGATATATAAAGCACTTGTCTGACATGCACGGATCGCCAAGTCCCAATGCCCAAAAATTGAATCCCATGGTACAACATCCATTTTTCAACGAGAAATCACTGTCTCGAATTCCGGATGCCCGATGACCAGAAGCTCCAGACTGGACACTAGATACTCGCAGGAATGTGTGAAATATTGATGTCCTGAGACATATCACTGAGTGCCGAGAGCCAAACTGCAAAACCAAAAGTGTTACCACTGACTGATTGAATCACCTAGTGCCGAGTGCCAAAGCCTGAAACATGAGCCACTGAAACCCGAGGCTGGAAGTGATACACAATATGGAATTTCTTACAAAATTAACTGTGTGCCAATCCTAAAACCCTGGAATTCATCATTGACTTATTGATTCACCGAGTGCCGAGACCCAAGACCCAAGACCCAAGTGCCGAGTGCCGAGTGCTGATGCCCAAAACCTGAGGCTCAAAACACAACACTGGACACAATACACCATATGGTATTTCTTACAAATTTCACAGAGGTCCCATCGCAAAACCACAAAACTTATCAATGACTTATGGATTCACTGGGTGCTGAGACCTGAGACCCGAGACCCGAATGCCGAGTGCCGAGGCTCGAAGTCCGAAACACGAAATGAGTGGAAACCCAGATTTCGCAAAATTGTTAACATGGAAATATTAGATTGTCTTCAACAGTTTGCCGGAAGTCATTTTCTGATCCCCGAGCCCAAAACCTGAAACCCGGAAAACCCGTAATGAGTTCTACGGGTTTTCCAGGTTTCAGGTTTTGGGCTCAGGGATCAGAAAATGACTTCCGGCAAACTGTTGAAGACAATCTAATATTTCCATGTTAACAATTTTGCGAAATCTGGGTTTCCACTCATTTCGTGTTTCGGACTTCGAGCCTCGGCACTCGGCATTCGGGTCTCGGGTCTCAGGTCTCAGCACCCAGTGAATCCATAAGTCATTGATAAGTTTTGTGGTTTTGCGATGGGACCTCTGTGAAATTTGTAAGAAATACCATATGGTGTATTGTGTCCAGTGTTGTGTTTTGAGCCTCAGGTTTTGGGCATCAGCACTCGGCACTCGGCGCTTGGCACTTGGCACTTGGCACTTGGCACTTGGCACTTGGCACTTGGCACTTGGTACTCAGTGATTCAACCATTGAGTTTCAGATTTCGGTGTTCTGGGAGTTACACTTTCATGTCAACAATTTTGCAACATTTAGTCTTCCACTCATTTCGAGTTGCAGGTTTCAGGCCTCGGGTCTCAGGTCTCAGCACTTAATGAATCAATAAGTCACTGATAACAAAGGTAACATTGATTGAAAACATTGCATATACATCTATGACTATTTAATTATGTAGTCATGTCAACATCCTCACCAGAAGGTTCACCCTTCACTTGAACATCCATCTCTTCAACTGAATCATACTCTGGGAAAAGATTGCCCGGATCATCCGGTTTCACAATTTCACCGGGTGTCTGTGAAACCTCAGGATGAATTTGGTTGAGCTCAAATATGAGTCCGTCGATGGCAGACTCATCCTGGAGGTTGGGGGGGTTGGGCTCCATCCCTTCCATAGACAGGTCAATGAGAGGAGGAAGTGCGGATGTGGGGGTTGACATGGCCGGAGGGACAGGTTGATGAAGCAAAAATGATGTTGCATCACCTTGGGTGTCTGGAAGTGGAAATGTTGGGTGCCGGAGGATGATTTCACATCGAAGGCCTTCATGAAGGCATTGCAGGGTGTCAATCTTAGCATCCTGCTCAACAACACACTCCTCGAGAGCAGCAATTCAAGCTGCACCCTCCTGAATCGCCATTGCCATGGCATGCAAATCTGGCATTGGCACATTGAGTGCTGAACGAGGAACTCCAGAAGTCAAAGATGGGACTGCTACAGGTGGAACATTATGTCAGATGGACATAGAAAATTTGGGTGACTTACGAGCTGGTGCAGGTGTAGGTTCCTTGGCAGCAGTGACAGTCTTGCTGCGACTGTGTGTTTGTGCCTTTGGTGTTTGGGCATGAGATGGACCAGGAGTGACAGAAGAGACCCGAGATTGACTCTGCATCCAGCCGGTGAATTGTGAGGTGGCCGGAGCTTTGGAGGGAGCTTTGGAAGCGGTCCTGGATCTGGTCCTCCTGGTGGTCCGGGTGACAGATTGACCTCGAACACATTTCGGTGGGGTTCCCATACTCATGGAGATGCACTTGATTTTCTTGGTGGTGCAGTAGACGCAGGACATGCATGGGGCGCCGGTCCTCTTGTCAAACCGAGTTGCACAGGGCCATTCCATCTTGTGGCAAGCCTGGCAAGGGTTGTTCTGTGTGATCTGTCAGTTCATAGACACACCAAGTCTCAACAGTGTACTTATGGGTCCTGGAATGAGTATATCACCTGCGTCAATGACTGGGGGTGCCTCTACCGGAGGTTTGGGAGTTGCCTGAGGGGGCTCAATGACCTCCGGATGTTTGCCGGCAATTGCCTGGCATATTATAAGGACTCACCCAAGTGCTGGATGTAAAAGTGCGACTTACTGTAGCAGGCCCAAAGGGTTTCTTCTTTGGGCTCCGGGGTGACTGAGGTGATCCGGACATCCTTGCAACATCTGGGGAGAGCTGGGGGAGGACGACCTTTGGAACTCCATGCAAAATCGGCTACAAAATGAGTAAGACAATGAAACAATGAACCAGGGGACATACCTGAGTGACCGAGTCCTCCTCATCTTCCGACTCAACAAACACCTTGAATTTGGCAAGGCCGGTGGTCTTTGCCCGCTTCCGAGTCTTCATAGCGGACTTCGGGGGTTGGGAGGGAAGTGCTGGAATCATTGGAGACTCTCTCTCTTCCGACTCCCTTCCACTTCCGGTTCCGGGTCAGGTTTCCCCATTCACCCAGACATGTACTTAGGGCCTGAAGATGATCTGATCAACTATGAGGTGAAGCAGGAGCGTGCTGATTCGGATAGTGAGGTCTCAGGTGCGCTGGTAGTATCAAGGGCATGTAGGTTTCTCCCTACCATCCAGGATTCCTTACTTAATTCATCTCCCAAGCGATTGCAAAATCTCCCTGAATGTGATTTGCCACACACAGATGTCACGTATGAAGAATTGCTTGCCATGGTCTGGGATCTCCGGCCATTTGAGTCTTACAATCACACAGGCAGTGAGTATCTGATATAATCATTTATCTTTCTGCTAATTTGTCTCTTAGTTCAATCCATTCAAGATTGGGTCCGGGATTACAAACAGCGACACGGACATATTCCCAACCCATCCATCCAACAACTACTCAAGGCTGAGAGACCATTCCGAACTGCCTGGGCAGAAACATCTGACAAACTCAGAAGAGCTGATGAAGACCTCCGGAGGCTGCAAAGAGCTGAATGTTTGACTTCCGAAATGCTCAAGGTATTAGATTCCGCCATTCTTAGGTTTGAAGATCAAATTCAAATGTAAATTACACAATTTCTGTTAGTAGACAAATTACCTGTGAACTTCCACATTTTTATGAACCCACTCACGTCATGTAAACTACTTAATTATGGATGTATGGAACTCCCATTTCCGATTTATTTACTATCCGAGGACTACCGAGGCCTGAGTATTGATTACCGGGTCCATGTTTTGAGTCCGGCGCACCAATAACCTACTTCCCATTGCATGACATGGATATGTACATAAGGGGAGACAGTGTGGGATAAGTCCATCACTTCCTTCCCCTCGCTCTTGTCACCCGAGGAGTACTGTCTAATGGCTTTGGCCTCGACTTACTCCGGGTGGTCCTCGCCGATGGCTCAATCACCACTTTCTTTCCCCGCATCCTTTTCAGAGCCGGCGATGTTTTTCTCCCTTCCATTGCAACATCATCGTCAACCTCACCAGTGTTGCCATTGGTTCACCCTGCCAGGAGGTCTCCCATTCGCAATGTCAGCAGTGCACCATGTTTCACCAGCTTGATGGGGCGAGGCTTTGGAATTGACAGTGGGATTGACATCTCTGCATGTGATGATGAAGGACCTTCTCCGGTTCTGGTTCTCTTTTTTGGTGATCTACCATCAGCTGAGCCATTATCATCATCATCATCATCATCATCCGTATGATGAGTGTCATTCCCAAAATCACTGTCGGGTTCGGGGGGTGGGGCTTCGGATGATTACCCTTTGCGTGTTTTTGGCTTTACCTGTCCGATGGGAAGGCAACTCACCTGATACGACTGATGCTACCATGTCGCCATCTTTGTTCTTCCACACTTTGAACGTGAATGTTGATCCTTTGCCTTTCTCCTGCCGAGCATACCAGAAATTGAGGAGGGCAGTCATGTCCCAATTTTGCAACTTGGAAGGCTCCTTCAAGTTGACATCTGCCGGAAGATATCTTTGTGACACAAAGTCATCCTGGCATTGAAGGATGGCGCTCCATGGCACTACTGCCTTGTCGATCCCCGAACAAATCCCTATGTCGATGCATTCAACAAAGTCCCAGATGTAGCAAGGATTGACTCACGATAGTGCAATGTGAGAAAAGCCCTGACTATGGCCTTCTTCTCCTCGAGTTTTATTTCGGTGATGTCCAGAAGCAACAGCATCCCATCCTCGTCAGTGTCGAGCTTGAAGGCTGGTTTTGGATTCTCTTGCGACCTCCCTTCATCTGTTGGCCATCTTCCCGTGCTCCGGCACCTATCACAGAGACCATCAACACACCCCTCCAGGTATCAACAGTTTAAACACTCACTGAACTGTTCCTGTGTGTACTCCTGCCACACCAGCTCGATGTCCTCCCAGTCCTTTGTCTTCATGAAGCTGTCCTGATCTCCTAATGCCTTGTTATCATCGTGCCTGCATGAAATATATTGGGTTGAAAGATCTGCGATGACAGGTAAAATTCACTCACATCCAGAACAGCACCTCGCCCTGTTCATTCTTCCAAGCTGACAACACAAACACTCTCATCCCACATTGCCTCCACATCTCCTTCGAAAAGTGCACCATATATGCTGGTCCCTTCTTACAGGTGACCTGTGCTTGTATCTCAGGAGGGGACAGTTGTTGGACCATTCTTCAGTGGTTTATTTTGCCTTCTCCAACTCGTCATCAGACAATTCAGCCATGACTCTCTTCACAGCCACCTGATAATGCTTGAACATACCAGGATCTCCTGGCTTTGCCCCGGACTCATCCTCAATCCTCTTCAGCACCTCTTCCCAATTTTCCTGGTAGATCACCATCCTAGGCGTCCATTTCCTCCCATACTTTATCATGTCCTTCCTTTCCTTCTTTTTCTTGTTGTTGAACAACCAAGTCTTGTACATCTGAGCATTGAAGGAAGTGTAAGACATTAAAAATTTTGTTTCGCATTGCAACAAGGATGTATCACCTGCTTCCTCTTTTTCCATTGTCCTTGGTCCACCTTTGGCGCAAATAACCTGGCAGCCCTGGCAATTGCAGTGAAAACTGCCCGCTTCTCACTCCTTTTTGCAGAAGTCCACTCAGGAAGGTAGTTCTTCAGCTCGGAAATTTTGGTTTCTGTGAGCTTCTGTGTCTGGGGTTGACATGCCCTATGTCTTCCAGGAGACAAGCGAGTGGAATGACCTGATCTTGCCATGGTGAATCTGATTGGTGAATGTGCTGAGGGTAAGCAAGGCATAATTAATATTGGTTCAAAGTTCAACTTTGACCAAAGCCTAACAGTTGGTTAATCAACCCATATCGGACATGATGCCATTAATGGAAATAAATTTGTAATGAACAACCAATATTGCACAAACATAGCATTGTAATAACAATTCGTGCAACCTTCCTGAGCTAATGCTGTTCTTGCAATATTCAAAAATAAGATGAAGATAGGTCTATGCACCCCGCTGCAAAAATCCCACAGGGTAGAAGCAAGGGGCAGAAAAGGTAGGAAAACTTGGGTCAAGGTCCCGCTTGCAAGTGCAAGACAACATGCCTACAGGTCCATGCCTAACTCTCCCCCGGAATCACCAACACTTCAGCCTGTTCCGGCACCACCTACTTGGGAAGACTGTTCTGATAATACTTATGAGCAAGACCAAGGCTCATTCGAGCCTTTGTAGCTTCCAATAACAATGGCAAGTGAATGTAAACTGTTGGAGTGTCGTTCAAACATTGCTAAGTATAACAAATGCAGAGCCAGAATGACTACCTGAGGCAATGGCTCCCAAGGCAGGAATTATATCTGCATCACCTCCTGGATCGAGAAGCTCCTCCAGAAGATAGGAGATGCATCGTCTGCGACCAGGATGGGGTCTACAAATGTCAAGATTGTCTTTGGGAGCCACTCTATTGCATGGGATGTTGCAGGAGTCAACATTGTCACAATCCTTTCCACTGGATCAGTCAATGGAATGGTCAGTTCTTCGAGCAAAGTTGTCTGGCTCATGTCGGACTCATCATACACCTCGGTCATGATGGCAAAGGATGTCCTGCACTTGCAAATAGGTGGGATTTGTTCGAAGGAGACGAACCCGAGGACCAGCTTGAGCCTGAAGATCTACCATCCGTGTCGGGACCAGAGTTCCAGCCTAAGGAAAACACCATGGTCATCATCAACAAGTCCGGAGTTCATCGCCTCGAGGTTCGATCCTGCGATTGTCTAAACACCATGAGTCTGGACATTCAAATGTTTTGACATGGATTTTTCCCTGCATCATTCAACAAACCAAAGACTGTGTTCACCTTCAGAGTGCTCGACAATTTTCTATTGGACAACCTAGAATGAGGCACCTCTGCGATAAACTATTACAGCAAGCTCCAGTGAATGACCTCCAGCATGTTTTCTCACCTTGTTCCGGTAATTATATATCTCCTTCATCTAAAGGACATTATATTGACAAGGCACTTGGCAAGGACCAATACAGAGAGCTCATGAGAGTCACTCGACAGTGGAGGCAGTTGAAGACCATGAAATGGCATGGCTTCAGCCATCGTTCCAATGCTCCTAATGCTGGAGATCTTGCATTGTTTTGCCCAACATGTCCTCAGCCTGGGATCAACATATGCTTGTCAGGGAATGAAACACTTGATGAGTGAGTCTAGTTTCATACTTAAGTGACCTAAGTGATGATAAGAACTCCAAGCTGGAAATATACCCGGTCATTTGTGATGGACGGTAATTTCAGCTGTAAATACAAGCAGGCAAAAAATTGCATCACTGAAAGTGAAAAGGCTTTTGACAGACTCGATGAAGCAGCACCTGCCAATTTGAAGACAGAATGGTTGGCCAATGAGAGGATCGCTCAATCCAGCAGAATAAATGATCCTGCAGTGATGGATGTTTATGAGATAAATATCAAAAAGGGTAAGCTGACCATGTCTCTATAGAAGTCCGAATTAATTTCGCACTCAGCACCGAGCAAAAAGGAGATTGAACTTAGACTGCTAGAGCAGGGTAATGCCCGTAATGCAGCACCATCTTGGAGATCTGTGGCGACATGGATATCTATGGGGTTGGCAATCGAGGAGGCTCAAATTGTATTGCTCATTGAGGTCCAAAGAATCAGAAAACAAACTATGGAGACACAGAGATTAGACCTTGCCCAGCAATGAGATCGTCTCCAAGGCCAGATCGATGGATTTACGCATTCTGCTGTCATGCATTTCGGAGAGGGATCCGATGGAGATGACGATCATGACGACTTGAACGTAGACATCCTAGATGATCTCGATGATGACCTGGAAGATTTTACCGAGACATCTGATACATGGACGAACTTGCCCGAGCTCATTGTGATCCCATTGCCATCAAACCTTGGAGTAGATCGATGCAGACACTTGATGGCAGAGGATCTCATTCCGCTGGAGATGTCCCTTCGCGAAGGGCAGGCAAATGATGCACTTCACAACCTCCGCATTCACTTGTGCAACAAGGCAGTCCTATTCTGAACAATGGTCAGGCAAGCCAAATCTCAAGCCTGGTCACAGGTGACATCAGTGCAGCAGGCTGTCTCCCTGCATGCGAGTATATATACCAAGACCAGGACACAAATGATGAAACTTGACACGGGGCATGGCCAACTTCAGAAGTACAAACCCCTGCTTTGCGAGCAGCTCAAAGTCAGCACTGCCGTGGGTGATCTGAATGCCCATGGTCAATGAAATGAATCCCTCGCGTGGTTCTGGTCTATCGAGGTCGACATGCATGGTCCAGATCAATCATGGAATGAGGAATGTGAGTTCCCTAATGCTCAACATGTCTGATGTTGAGCTGACCGGACGAATATGAAGTTTACCGAGTTCACTGGCTCTGGGCAAAGGCACTATGGGATCGATGGAAGGAAGAGCTGATGTTGGTCCAATTCAAGATGGATTGGACATGTAACTTTTTCTTGTGGAAAGCAACCCAATGGGGCAACCGGATGCAGGAATCATTCACGAAACGACTTCTGGGTCATGCATGCTACTCTGGAAGGCAATCTTGAATGTATTCATTGCTGGTGCAGGATGCCCAGGCAGTGTTTCAACACATGCAGACCGTGTTGATAGATTCACAAGATGAATGAATGGTTTATTGCCGATGGGATATAACAACCATTTTGATATACAAATTTAGTCCCAGGAATTGGCTGGGTCAGCCCATGTCGGAGTTTGAAAAATTTATCCATCCATCAGTGGATGATATCTTCACATCTGAACCAACTCTCATTGTCATTGCCAGTGTGATACTCCTGCATCAGCCATGCCTGAATTATATCCTTCTCCTGCATCCACTTCTGACAATCAGAATTCCCTCAATGAGTACCGGCGCCTCACACTCACTCCTGCAGACATTTCAGCTACTATGTCGATGTCTGCATCGCGCATCTGGGCATCCATCTCCCAATATCAGGCAGAGGCTGCAAACAACAATCTTCCCCCTTTGGCTCAGATCAGGCACTTCAAAGCCGGGCTGCAATGGGAGATCACTATAAGACCCTGACGACACTGGCGGTTAATGCTGACATCTTCCAGACTTTTGTCACGCCCATCCTCCAGTACTCAGCTGCCAGGAACATCATTTCGGTTGTTCCCAGCCCTATTGCTCATATTCTTCATTTGATTCCCAGTCACCTGGAACACAGTTCCGGATCACATCTTTTCATATCACATCTGTGTGTTCCATGATGTCGCAGATCCCGAAGATCCATCCCAGATTGTATCCGGCTATGATACCCCATGGTGTATGGGAGAAACTGCAATCCAGAACAAACCATGGCAATGGGATTGGGTGATGACTTGCTGTATCTTTCACTACCAGCATTGGCTAGTAAGATTCTTATTCCATTTCCTTGATTCATGACTGATCTGCTCTAGGATGGCGTTGAGAATGATGGTCTGACAATTCTGGAGCAGGTAGATCATACCTCAGTTCCATCACTGATGGGACCGAGGTGGATTAGAGAACACCTCCTGACATTACTTGAGGAGCAACATGAGGACATCCATGACAAGATGGCAGAGATACAAATCTACACTGCCATTCTGGACAGATTGAAGAGAGGCAGAGGAGAGTAGCTCTAGTCACTCAGTTGGAAATGTTGAAGTGCAAGTTGCATATGTGTTTTATGAGTACTGAAAATCACATGTAAACATTGCAATATCTAATATGATGTTATATGGTGAGTCCCAAAATAAACAGTGCAGATGTTCATCACCATGTCCTGACCACCGAGGTCCGGATATTGAGTCCTGATTACCGAGACCCCATTACCGAACTCCGAATATCGAGTTTTGAGTTCTGAACATTGAGTACCGAGCGTCGAGTACCGAATGCTGACTGCCGAATATCAAACTCCAAGTTCCAGATCTCCATTACCGATTCCCGACTCCCAGAATTTAACTACCAAGGTCTGAAGATCAAGGCCCGAGTGCCAAGACCCGATTGCTGAACTCCAAATATCGAGTGTTGAGTTCCGAATATCGATTTACGAGTTCCAGATATCGAGTCCCGATTACTGAGTTCCAAAATGTCGGGTACCGAGCGTCGAGTACCAAATGTTGACTGCCGAATATCGAACTCCGAGTTCCGGATTCTCCATTACTGATTCCCAACTCCTGGAACATAACTACCGAGGTCCGAGTATCAACACCCGAGTGCCAAGACCCGATTACCGAGCTCCAAATATCGAGTTCCAAGGTCCAAGCATTGAGTACCGAGTTCCAAGGTCCGAGCGTCGAGTAACGAATGTTGACTGCCGAATATCGAACTCCGAGTTCCGGATCTCCATTACTGATTCCCGACTCCTGGCATTTAACTACCAAGGTCCAAATATCAAGACCCGAGTGCCGAGACCCGGTTACCAAGCTCCTGGCCTTGATGACTGTCAATAGGATCTGAGTCTAAATACAATGATAGCCATCGCCCCAGTACCATTTTTAACTTTGTACAGCAGCATTCATACTTACATTTCTTTGCTTCTCTGTGCCCATTTGACTTGTAGGTTCCTTTTGCAACAGACCGTTCTTCGTAGCATTGCCTAGGGTAAGGTTGATGATATTGTCTGCACTACTCCAACCGAGGGCTGGCCTTTTGTAACTGCGCACCACAACTGAAACCCCACTCCCTCGCGCTGAATGTGTTGGTGCTCAAGTGTCGTCAAGAGACACGGAAGGCTCTGGACAGTTATTGTATGCATCCGCTATGGATTTCGGACCTTGAGTGTCATCAAGAGAGACGGTTTGTACTTGGTATTCAAAAGCAGGTACTGACACAGGTAATTACACTTTCTACTTGTTTCATCTTCCACATGGTGGTAGGGTTCGTCAATCCACCCTAGCCCATCCGCATGAGGGAACCACGGCATAAATATGAACAGAGTCCCTCGTATACCATGCCCACCCAACCCTATCCCCCTCCACCTCATGAACCCCATGTCTGACAATCCTTCCGGAAAATCCAATCATACACCCGGGATCATACCCAAACTCCAGCTGAAGGCTTGGCATGCTCATCCAAGCATTAGAATAATTCCCCACGGTGGTGAGAATATTGAAGCATTCAGGAATTGATAAATGGTCTCGATGATGTGGGGTTTGACGATTGGAAATGATGGACAGCATGTTAAACACGGATGCCCAGTACTGGAGGATCTCGGACATTCTTGGCAGTTCCTTGCTTTCTGCCTTTTCTCTGAGGCTTGAAAATGTTCATAACCCTGCCCAGTACTGCTCCAGATGCATGATCCTGAGCGCCGCTGATGCAATGGCTGCCGGCCTCGCAATGGCGTTCAGGATTCCCTTGGACAATGGTCCCTTTAATGATGCAGATACCTCTGGGTCCGCTAGATTCTATGGGATTGGTGTGCTCAACTACCGAAATCATCATCCTATCAAATCCTACCTCATGCCCCTGTTGAAACCATGCCGGAGATAAATTGATGCACCCAGCAGGTAAGCCAACATCTTCCAAGCGGTGTTTGAACCACTCCAGATTGGTTTGCCAATTCCCATCGACCTTCACACTTCTTTCCAGACTTGGAGACAGCAAGTCAGTGGCTGCCCAAATCTCCTTCTGTGGTTGCCCTTTGGTATTTAATATATATTGAGTAACAATGTATATCACACACTTGTGTTTCAGCTGTCAGGGTGTCTGGGAGGTACCATGCAATGATGGCGCTGGACACATCTAGAATGGTGGCGGGTATGTCCACAAACCTTGTCCCCTTATGGCTGGGAGGACATCTCTTAAGCAACTTCTCCTCTTTCTCTCAACTCCCAGGGCTCGGATCTCGGCACGCTTCAGTCAAATTTTGGTAGTTGGAACTTGGCATTTGGCGTTCGGTAGGTGGTGAACATGAGGTTCTGATAAGAGAACCTTCCATGATGTTGGCTGTCGAAGATATATTACCATCCATTGCTCAATGAAATACCCGATCATTGGAAGTGTGCTGGATATCAGATATTCGTTTATTGACACCCGGGTCTCGGAACTCGGTACACTTCACTCAAATTTCAGTAGTCGGAACCTTGCTTCTCTTACAGCAATGCAACAGTAATGAACCTGCAGCTGCAGGAACTCATTATGCTTCACCCGAATTAGCTACTTGGCAATTGGTACTTCATTGTTTTACAATTATCATTCACCTGTGCCCACCTGTCTATATTATATACCATCCTCAGCCTACCTGTCTAATATAATATATCCCTGGGCCCACCTGTGTATGTGATAACAAGTACCCTCGGCCAGCCCACCCGTCTATCTGATACCCACCTACCTTGACACTCGGCCCACCCATCTAAGATAATATATATCTGGGCCCACCTGTGTATGTGACACAATGTACCCTCAGCCAGCCCACCCGTCTAATATAGTATATATCTGGGCCCACTTGTGTATGTGATGACAAGTACCCTTGGCATACCCATCTATCTGATACCCACCTACCTTGGTACACCTATCTACATAATATCCAACTACCTCAGCCCATCCATCTATAGAATATTCATGTCCATCGGCCCACTCATCTACTCTACATATTCCACACATGGGCCCACCCGCCTCCATCGGAAATAATATCCCTCCCAGCCCATCCATCAACATCGAGGATATACATCACATTGGCCCATCATCCGCTGGCCCGTCTTATACAGGATATTATGTAGGTCGGGTGACCCGTATAATATGGAAATATGTCACTGTAATGGCACAAGTCTTCTAGCTCATATGATCAAAGGCTTCAACATGCGGAGTGATGAACACCCTACCCTTCCAAAGTACTTTGGCTCCCAAATGAGTCAACAAAACAAGGTACATGCAGTGTAATGTGAGAGCGTAATGACAACACTGACAAGACCTACTCGACAGCTGTAAATTTCCCTCTGACTGTAGAATTCCCCGCCTTCCATGCTTATCTGACTCCCAAGGAAAATCACTTCATCATAGTGCATACACCTTCCACCAGAAATTATGCTTTTGGCACCATGCCCCCACCTAGTGACCATCACTCTTATCTGCCAAAGCCCATCTTCTCTCCCCCAAATTTGTCCTACATTATCCCGCCATTACTATTCAACACCGATGTCTCCAGCCTCCGAACCTGTATCACCACAAGGTATGGAGGATTGTAGTATGTACTACTCATATAGACTCTCATCATCACCAGGTATTCCAAAATACGAACTCACACCGGTATCACTGCAATCAACCACTATCATCTTCGCACTCATGAACTGCAAAGATGACTTCGACATGCTTCATTTAAAGTGGGGAGGGGCAGCCACATCAAAAAAAGTGTGACATTATGTAAGCAAATATCGTCCGAATACATGGTCAACAAAATCACAGGAGGGTAAAGGTATATATGACGGTGATATACAAAGCACAATAGGTGCGCGGAAGTACCAAGATTATGTTTTGGAACATTGTAAGCATTATATGAGTATTGAAAGTCCAGAATGACCTTACTACAAGCCTTCTTTGTCATCAGAGTCCCCATTGCACACTGTGCATCCTCCTGTTGCCCATCCATCACATTCTTGTCCTGGATCTTGGGTCTGACCCCACCACAGACATACTGGCCCACAGCAGCTGTCAAAATAGCCTTCTTTTGCGGTCCGTTCTTCCCTTTCAGATGCTTGGCTGCAGGCACTTCCATGTCAAACTGATGATGCCACCGAATCTGCAAGTCGACGTTGACGACACGCATCTTTGCAATTTCATCTGGTGTCACACATGGTACAACAGCTGTGAGTTTGGCTGATGATGCTTCATGATGTTTCTTCCTCTTCGCATCAATCTCGCGGTTCCAGTGTACCACCCAGTTATCATATTTCACCTGTGCAAGTCAGTGTTTCTTCTCTGCTCCGGCAGTATCATTAATATGAGCTTTTTTGTGCAAGTATTTGCATGCATTTGGACCAAGCACCATCTTCATGTACATACTCGTCTGATTCTTTTTGTATTTCAGACGAGCATTGAAGTGGGCCAGGGACATTCAAGGTGCACGTCGCATCGAAACTCGAAGAGTCCCTAATGCACCCTCATTCGTGTCGTTCATCGTGTTCATGCGAGCTAGCTTTCGAGTCTCTGGTGATGTGTGCACGATTACACCATTGGCAGCAAACTCTCGACAAAAATGAATAAGAGTCTCAAGTGCTCCCTCCAGAAAAGCAACAAAAAGCGAACGAAGGTGAGGGTATTTTGTAGTGTTTTGGGCAATACACTGAATGATATAAAATGCTTCAGGCCGTTCAAATGGTTGTCCATCAAATGCCACAGTTTCATATGTGGCATCTGTACCAAAGATGAGCTCAACGTTGTCAATGAGCTTTTTAATGTGGGCAATGAGCTGTTCATGGAGGGGGCCAAGATCAAGAATATTTTCCAAGAAATTACGGACAGCACGGAAGTACGGGTGACTGATGCACTGTCCCCACATGCTGAAACAGGCCATCTCCTGCTTTGTTTTGTCGCATCAGAAGGCAGAATAGACATTTTGTTCGATGTTCGTGTGAGTGCGGGCATCCTTCCTGTTCATGATGATTTGGAGGTAGACAATATATAAGTCCTCATGGACAATCCACTCGCCGGCACCATCACAATTACTGTGGTAGCGAGTGTTGCTTGTATCTGGCCAAGGTGAGAAGTAACTAAGTTGTGCTTTAAGGAAAAATCGAAGAGAATCTTGCTGACCCTTCTTGTCGTCTTTGTGATGTCAATTCCCCCCGCAGCGACAATTGCCCCATCTGTCATCTGCCATAAGAGGGCAACAACATCATCAGGGGGTAAAGTGGCCAGTGCTTGTTCACCCCAAACTTCTCTCTCACACGCTTCCTTCCATTCTCTGAAAAGGCAGACAAGTTTCTTCTGATCCTCGGCATGATCTGTCAACATCCCCTTGACCTTGGTGACCAGCTCCCTTGGGTCTGCAACCTCTGCCACATTCCCAACCATACACTCATTGTATACAGTACACATCTTGTGTATCATGTCCTTCCACCCTTGCAGCTGGGTCTCGCTCATGTGATTAACCTCGTGCTGAATTCCAGCGAAGCATGTGATACCGGCACCATGACGAGAAGTGTACATGATATGATGGGACTGGTAGTTAATATTCTTGTGAGACATTCCATCACCACTTAAAGTGACACCTTCATAAAATTTTAGCCGAACACGTCGATGGCCAGGTTAAATTTACACACCATCAACTTGCATAATTTCATCCACCACTTGAACCTCGGCTGCAACCTCTGCCTCCTGGACTACATGACGAATACTGCGTATGCTGATGCTGCCATCAACAGTCTTTCTGAGACAGCTTGCAACAGTGCAAATGATGTCTTGAACACTTGATACAGGTACGTCGTGTTTTGCCACCAGCTCGCAAATCATGTCACGGACCTCGTCCATAATCACGTTCTTTTCCTTCAGTGAGAAGGTATCCCTCTGCTTTGATTGTATGGCAGTGTGTGCAAGGGCTTTGTCTATGGCATGTGCTTTTTGCAGAGGGGCTTGAGATGCCCGCATAGCAAGAGCACAATTGTGCCTGGTGAGCACCTCATTGCGTGCTTGCAAGTGTCTCATCTCATGCTGTGTAGTGGTGAGAGCATTTTGAGTTGTCTGCACTTGCAAGGATGCTTCGGTCATAGATGCTCGTGCTTCATCCAAATGTGACTGGAGTTTGTTGGTGCGAGATTTTGTACGTTCGTGACATCATTTCTTGTTCCTTCTCTTGTTCGAGCTGTGTATTTGATATTGCAGATGCAGAGGAAGAAGTTGTTGCCAGAGGAGCAATATTCTCCTTGTTTTGTGCATGTTTGTAAGTTGTGTGGGACTTCATCAGTGCAGTGACTTGCATCTGAGCTGCGGAGCACTTCTTGGATGGTTTCCAACGATTGTACTTGGAGCATTTTGACATTACTGGCCTACAAGGTGTCTTGGAGTTTGCAATGTGATGTGTCGTGTCACGTCAACATCACTTACTAATCACATTCTCCGTGCATTCAAAGACTTTCCACCAGCATCATACCACATCACACGGTAAAGGAGGTTATCATTGGGATGACAATTAAACGACTTGCTGGTTGTATTCTAGGTAGAGTTTAATGAAAATTCCCATGTCCAAATGCTTCTATCAAGAGTGTGAGCTATCAGAAGTGCATCCTTTTAAAATCAGTTACCAAGAATACAATCAACCAGTCAATCCACGCCTATGTCTTGTCATAACCCTTGTCTGAAAATCCTGTTTTCAAGCTGCAACGTGTGATATATTTCTTGACCATTTGTTATGGCACACACCTGCAACAGGTAATCACAGTCAGAGCTTGAATTTGACTGAGCGTTGCCCCTCCCCATTTAAAGACAGACATGTTTCATTTTTTTTTCCTGGAAATAATATTTTATGTCTTGTTATCTTGTGTGTTGTCCTCCTTCAAGTTAGAGAGTCATCCAGTTTAACTTATATGCCTTATCGCTTAAACCATTGATTAATCATCTTCCAAGTCTGTCTTATATGGCTTGCAAAAGTAGAATGATAGGACTGGATAAGCACTGATGTTTTCCTAGTAGCAAAACAAGGGCTTCTGAAGATCCGAGATAATCTGACACACTGACAGGAGCAGAAAAGACATCACTGAGCAGTGCTGCTGGTCTTGACCTCTGCAGTTCACTTATGCATACTTGAGGTAATGCATGTACTTCTCAATATTTGGAAGCCAAAGAACTTCAGAATGGTAACAGGGTACCACAGATCAGTGACTTTTCGAAAATAAATTACCAATGAGGGTTGTCGGGGAAAATCAATTTAGGAACTCCTGGAATGACTGTTGAGTAATATTCAATATTATTATAGATATACTAGACCAACTTACCATTGGATTATCCGGTGAAGTTGCAGAGTTATTACATCTTGAACACTCCTCACCGCAGAAGCGCTCTATGATGTTAGGACTGGTTCTCTTATACGGCTCAGGCCTTCCTTTCGCATTCTTGATATAACGAGCCAGATTACGAAGTATAGGAGAAGGGGTTAAAGGAGCAATTATATCTTCATCTGACGAAATGTCAGATAAAGATGGTGACCTTGAACATTTGCAGTATTTTTCCAGTGAGGGATGATGACTCGAAGTTCTAGGGAGTATAGAGCCACTATCTGAGCCTTGCTCAAGTGTCTTCTGAGTACGACCAGTGGTGTATCCTTTTCTACTTCAATGGTAAGGATCAAACCCTCTGGTACCAGGACTGCCAGTGGGAGGAGATGTAAGACAAGTGTGCATGTGTGAAGTTTAACTGTGTAGTTGACAGATCCAATAATACAAAAACAGAGGGCTGAGTTTCAAAGCAAAGTTCTAGCCAAAGGTCAGCTACTTATAAATACTAATGATTACTCCAAGTCCATGAACTATTCAACATTTCAAAAAAGGAATCCTGCTGCTCCTAGTGATTGTCGGGTCAGACTGGTTTGGATCTAATATTACAAATTTATACACAGTCAACTTTGCTCAAGTTACTGCTAGAGTGGGACTGCATGCCTATATCACTGACAACTGTAAGCTTGGAATATGGGTTGTGACTCTGGAGTCACAACACTATCAAAGAAGCTTCTGAATTGGACCATCAAGCTGCGCCAGTACTAACAGAAGCCTTGGTCTTCACCAGTGCACCTTTCAGGCCTATTGAGTTTGAAATTTGAACAGTTCGAGTCACTTAGAAGAATCTAAGTGCTTCCACAGAAGTCAAATCCTATGGTAAGGCTTCCCTGAAATTCATTGCCTAAAAATCTGAGGCTCAAAAAGGGAACCTTCTAACCAAAGGTAGCAGAACTGGTTTCAGACATGTTTGAAATGTTACACCTGATTATGTAATCATTGGCTGGCAAATTGTTGTTCAACATTTGGCCTGCCTGTGAGTTTAGTTCATATGAATCATGAAATAAGGAATGTGTCTTCCCTGAAGACAGTCTGACTTGAAGTTAGTTTTTATCATTCTCACTGGCTCCTCGCCAGCATTACCTTAACTTAGAAGGCCTTGCTCAGGTTCAAGGCCGGCATCAAGGCCGGCATGTGGCTCTCAGACATTCTCCAGGTCCTGAGGCTGTTCCTGTTTCTTTCAATGGTATGCTGTGGAGCTCGGGGTTGGTCTTGGGAGAGAGTGACAGATAGTCGAAGACTTAATAGACACCACAGGAGTTGTCACTTTTTCAAGAAGTCCAGTATTCTTGCATCTCAGAAGAGATTGCAGCGAGCGAGAGATGCAACTTCAGCAAATTTAGCTTTTAGCCAGTCCATGTCTGACTTAGTCACAGTGAGCTCAATGCAAGTGAGTAGTGTTTCTCTTTGAAACTGAGTAATGACTACCACTCGAATGTGAATACTAATTGTGGCATACCTTCAGCCAAAGATCTTACCAGTGACGGCTGGACATGTAGTGAGGGCCTGTCCAAGACCAATTGCTTCTTGCAAACCCCCAGCAATGCTGCCTTGGTCTAGTACTGCAACTCGTTTGTCATTCGACACCCTCTTCAGCTCAGACTCAGAAAAAGGACAACATGATGTTGATGTTTTGATGGACCTGGAAGACCCCATTTTTGAAGATAGATCTCATCATGACATCTCACATATTACAGTGACATATTTCTGTATTATATGGGTCACCCGACCTACATAATATCCTGTATAAGACGGGCCAGCAGGATGATGGGCCAATGTGATGTATATCCTCGATGTTGATGGATGGGCTGGGAGGGATATTATTTCCGATGGAGGCGGGTGGGCCCATGTGTGGAATATGTAGAGTAGATGAGTGGGCCGATGGACATGAATATTCTATAGATGGATGGGCTGAGGTAGTTGGATATTATGTAGATAGGTGTACCAAGGTAGGTGGGTATCAGATAGATGGGTATGCCAAGGGTACTTGTCATCACATACACAAGTGGGCCCAGATATATACTATATTAGACGGGTGGGCTGGCTGAGGGTACATTGTGTCACATACACAGGTGGGCCCAGATATATATTATCTTAGATGGGTGGGCCGAGTGTCAAGGTAGGTGGGTATCAGATAGACGGGTGGGCCTGGCCGAGGGTACTTGTTATCACATACACAGGTGGGCCCAGGGATATATTATATTAGACAGGTAGGCTGAGGGATGGTATATAATATAGACAGGTGGGCACAGGTGAATGATAATTGTAAAACAATGAAGTACCAATTGCCAAGTAGCTAATTCGGGTGAAGCATAATGAGTTCCTGCAGCTGCAGGTTCATTACTGTTGCATTGCTGTAAGAGAAGCAAGGTTCTGACTACTGAAATTTGAGTGAAGTGTACCGAGTTCCGAGACCCGGGTGTCAATAAACGAATATCTGATATCCAGCACACTTCCAATGATCGGGTATTTCATTGAGCAATGGATGGTAATATATCTTCGACAGCCAACATCATGGAAGGTTCTCTTATCAGAACCTCATGTTCACCACCTACCGAACGCCAAATGCCAAGTTCCAACTACCAAAATTTGACTGAAGCGTGCCGAGATCCGAGCCCTGGGAGTTGAGAGAAAGAGGAGAAGTTGCTTAAGAGATGTCCTCCCAGCCATAAGGGGACAAGGTTTGTGGACATACCCGCCACCATTCTAGATGTGTCCAGCGCCATCATTGCATGGTACCTCCCAGACACCCTGACAGCTGAAACACAAGTGTGTGATATACATTGTTACTCAATATATATTAAATACCAAAGGGCAACCACAGAAGGAGATTTGGGCAGCCACTGACTTGCTGTCTCCAAGTCTGGAAAGAAGTGTGAAGGTCGATGGGAATTGGCAAACCAATCTGGAGTGGTTCAAACACCGCTTGGAAGATGTTGGCTTACCTGCTGGGTGCATCAATTTATCTCCGGCATGGTTTCAACAGGGGCATGAGGTAGGATTTGATAGGATGATGATTTCGGTAGTTGAGCACACCAATCCCATAGAATCTAGCGGACCCAGAGGTATCTGCATCATTAAAGGGACCATTGTCCAAGGGAATCCTGAACGCCATTGCGAGGCCGGCAGCCATTGCATCAGCGGCGCTCAGGATCATGCATCTGGAGCAGTACTGGGCAGGGTTATGAACATTTTCAAGCCTCAGAGAAAAGGCAGAAAGCAAGGAACTGCCAAGAATGTCCGAGATCCTCCAGTACTGGGCATCCGTGTTTAACATGCTGTCCATCATTTCCAATCGTCAAACCCCACATCATCGAGACCATTTATCAATTCCTGAATGCTTCAATATTCTCACCACCGTGGGGAATTATTCTAATGCTTGGATGAGCATGCCAAGCCTTCAGCTGGAGTTTGGGTATGATCCCGGGTGTATGATTGGATTTTCCGGAAGGATTGTCAGACATGGGGTTCATGAGGTGGAGGGGGATAGGGTTGGGTGGGCATGGTATACGAGGGACTCTGTTCATATTTATGCCGTGGTTCCCTCATGCGGATGGGCTAGGGTGGATTGACGAACCCTACCACCATGTGGAAGATAGAGATGAAACAAGTAGAAAGTGTAATTACCTGTGTCAGTACCTGCTTTTGAATACCAAGTACAAACCGTCTCTCTTGATGACACTCAAGCACCAAAGCATTCAGCGTGAGGGAGTGTCACGAGTACCTTTAACAAACCATTATTCTTTCCTAAATCTTCCTAAACGCCAATACACAGCGCCTAAGTCAAACCCTAACCCTACTCCGAAAATGTCTACTAGTTCAGAGATTCCTTTAGCGCCCACAACACGTGTCTTCGATGTGACTGATGAAGAAGACAAGTTCTTTGATTGTGAATAGATTAGATTAGATACGATAAGATAAGATATGGTCATGTGATGCTTCTTTAATATTCTACGATGTTCTATGGTACGATTCCCTTTTCTATTTTATGATTGGCTAGTAGTTGTAACTCAGTTTCAATCTCCATTTCAATAGTTGTATATAGGTAACATGTCTTGGTCGATAGTTCCTTAGTTCAAACCTCTTGTATCTACAACTGTAGCAATCCAAGACGTACTTGCTCCTTTCTCTTGTCCGATAACCTTAGTCGAGTCCTAGTCTCTGCCCAAGCGTTAATTCGTTATTTGGGTTGTGACAGGGAGTGAGGTTTCAGTTGTGGTGTGCAGTTACAAAATGCCGGCCCTCGGTTGGAGTAGTGCAGACAATATCATCAACCTTACCCTAGGCAATGCTACGAACAATGGTCTGTTGCAAAAGGAACCTACAAGTCAAAAGGGCACAGAGAAGCAAAGAAATGTAAGTATGAATGCTACTGTACAAATTTGAAAATGGTACTGAGGCGAAGGCTATTATTGTATTTAGACTCAGATCCTATGGACGTTCATCAAGGCCAACTTGGAAATTGATATCCAGACGACGATAATTGGGACTCGGTGATCAGGACACAATATCCGGACCCTTGATGACACTCAAGCACCAACACATTCAGCACGATTGTTACATGAACATCTAGATGCTTGGGCCCCTACCATTTTTCTCCTCATCCTCCTTGTCTCCGCCCTTGCATCACACCCTTACCCCAACCTTGCTCTTGTTATCCTCATCATCCTCGCATTCCCCTTCGCCCTCTACCTGCTGCTCCAGCAGAGCCAGTACATTTGGCTGGACCCTTTCTCTGATGAAGCATACCCATGCTCTGTTCCACCTGTTGACTGATCCTGTGGACAGTCCCCTTTACCCTTACCGTCCAGACAGTAACCTATGATATGATGCACGCTGCATCCCCTTTACCCTGTTTCCTTTATTTATCTGTGACTCGGTGTGCAGTTGCACATTTGTACTTATATTTAGCTCCGCAGTTGCACAATCGTGTCCCTGCTTGTTTCACTTCCTGTTTCTGTTCTTTGACTCATTTCCTATCTGCACGTTCTGGTTCACCTATGACTCACCTCGAACATGCCTTCCTTTTCTAGTATCACCCTTTGACCAGTTCCCTTTCCAGTAGTATGAGTTATCATCCACTAATACGTGTCCTCTCCTCTATATAAACTCGCTACCATGTATCTAGTTCCTTAACTTGAATCTACTTGGTTCTTGGGGCTGTAAGATGTTAACATAGGTTAGTATTGTAATGCTAACTTGAATACTCACCACTAAACAGTTGAAATAGAGGGTGGTCGTAGGGAGTAGAGATATAGCTTGGTGCTCCAGTTGTTGAATCTGCAGGAAAGTCTTCTTCGATTCTACAAATGATATCTTGCAGAGAGGGTTCATTGTCATTGTTCCAAGGGTAGCCTGAGTGTGAATTATCCATCAAATGAGTGTTGGGAGGTTGTGATGTTGAGAGACGAGTATCTTGCGGCGATTGGTCTTATTGAGCCCTTCAATCAATCTTTTCAGAACAAAAACTCCAATAGGAAAGCATCAATGATGGTTTGGATTGGAATTATCAAGAAGCTTGCATAAGTTCTACACCCTAATCTACAACAGAGACCGGCCACGAGGTGATAATTTGAATAATGAGATTTGTAGACAAAAGGTATCTTTCAAGTCAATGTGAGTAATTTGAATCACGATTAACAGTGATAGAAGGCGATACCTACATACAAAAGCGGTGTTGGTCCTTGGCATTTGTGACACGTTGGCTGGTAGGAACCCTTTTAAGAGCCAATGTGAACGGTCTTTTAGACTCCTTCGCATGACATTGTAGAAGTACCAGTTCCCCTTCAGCCTGGCTCAGAGCTTTCTTGTCCCTAGTGTGTGCTGTTACAGAATAGTATGCATTAGTAGTAGGGTGTGGCTGCGTGGCCTGCCGATCAACCAGCATCCTCATGAAGAAGTTCCTTTCTCACTCCACCATAGCACACTCCAGATCTGTATCATGGCTAATAGAGTGAAGGAGAGTGTGCAACTTGGCGGTTTCTTCAATTTCACGCTTAGCCATTTCTACGCGTGTACGTTTGCGCTGATAGACAGCTTCTTTGTAGCTAACTGCATGGTGTAATGATTCATGGGAAAGGCTGTTAAGACCTTGTAAAAATACATCAGTAGCCTAGAAAATATAATCAAATGGAGTCAGAATTTTTAATTGATTTTAAAGGGGCCTCCCACTTGATTCATTTCTTTAACATTGTTATTGCAGGGTTTCCCTATCATTCGGTCAAAAATGTCGTCATCTTCAAAGGAAGCTGGGCGAGGATAAGGGTGGTTGTATGCTTTATGAGTGGTACTCTTGTGACCTAGAGGTGCACCAGTACGGTATACACCTCCAGAATGAGAGCACTTTGATTCTGGTGTCAAAGGTAACCTACAATCCCCTTCATCTGTGCTAACTATCAAAACTTTTAAATTTCACATATATACAAAATTTAAGATGTTAATACCTGAGCAACGAGATGGAGAGGATAAGGGAGAACTTGGAGGAGGAGTGCTGTGGGGAGATAAACTTAACTGATGATTGGTATTAGTAGGGGTGCGCCTGCCAGTAAAGGAGAATTTAGCTGAGGACAAGTCAGACCATTGACTAGGAGAGGTTGGTGGAGTTGAGTTTGAACCATGGCAGGGAGTAGTATTACAAGAAGTCGTGGATTCTAAGTTCATGTTTGACTTGGGTATAGGGTGGGTGGGTTATGTAGAGGTCATCTTATGGCGATGCAGGCAGTTCCCTCAAGAAATGTGGGTGAGATTCAAACACAAACCTGTGAAATCGGAGTTTCAACAACCTCATACAAGCTCAGCGATATTGTTGCCCAGGAAGGGGGTTAAGTTTTGTTCTAAGTGTTTATGTTGAAGCACACCTGTATCTTAGCATCATAGACCCAGGAAGGGAGTCGAAGGCACCTTGGACAGTGGGAAAATTAGAGCTCATAACTGTTGCACGTGACAGTTTCCCATACCTCAGAAGCAAAGATCGTAATCCTTGAAGTACAAGGATATCCTGAACCTTTCATTCAAGTTGGATGCTGTAAAAGTAAGCTCCTTTAAAATAGATAGAAGATCTTAAGCTTGAGTTAAAGACAATTTTTTGTTCAAAAAGAAAGGAGATCATCAAACATCTCCTCATTCCAGTCCCCCTCCTCATTGTTACCCTGCTCTGCAGCATCTGCATCTTTCAGCTCTGAGTTGTCATCCAAATCTGTATCATCACTAAACTCATTGTCCCATTCTTCTTGGCCTTCCTCACCATCAACCTCCAAATGCTCCTCCATGACCATGTCATCAGGCAATGCTGCTGAGGCAAAACAGTCTCTTACTATCTTTCTCAGCATTGGTGGATGCCCAATACCAAAATGAGTGTAGCGAATGAATATATCCCTATCAGCAAATCTGTATAATGAAAAGTTAAAGAGTGGATTCAAGGTATAATTAATGTTTACGCTCACATTCCAACATAATATTCTTCCCAGTCATCTAACTTTCCACCAGAGCATGCAAATGAAGTTCCATGACATAGTGTGCTTACACCCCTTTTGGACGCAAATGCAGGAATGAGATGTGCTCCTCTTATGACTTGTCCTAGATCAAGAAAGCCAAATGCATCTTGATCCGCCTCCTCTACAAAGGCAACCTTGGGAAGACGTGCAACATGCATACCAGATTTGTGCGTCTGTAGCATTGCAAACCATCTAACCCAGAGGACTTCTAGGTGCTGCCTTATAGGATGATCTCCTTGTTTCAGCCATACATCCATGTGGTAGATACCCAGGATGCATGCATACCAGTATGGATGGCTAGGAGTCTTCTCCCCTGTAAGCACCATGACGTCAGGATGCATTCTGGGATTAATGGTATCATATTCTCTTCTTAAGTCATATGTCATATAGTGAACCTGTAAGGTCTGGACAGAGTAGATCGTATTGTTGGAAATGATGACAGTGTTGCGTTCTTCTTCAGTGAATGTGTGATCACAATAGTCAATGTCCAACTTTTGTAGACAGTAAAGAATATGGTTCTTTAGTTTTAGTATGAACTCCTAAAAACCAAATGAGTACTAGAGATATATTCAAGGTTAACGCTTCCACCTTAAGAGCTGGATCTCCTGCATGTTCCCCAAGAAATGTAAACAACTTGATAGGTTTGTTTTGATTAGTACCAATGCTGTGGACGGTTACGCCAGATGTTGAAGGTAGAGTGTTGATTGACAATTTATTGCTAGAGGCAGATAAAACTCCAGCTTCTGCTACCCTCCTAAGTATGTGTCTACAATGCTCCTGCCTGGCTAACTGAGAATGAGTATCTTTCTTGCTAGTAAGTGGATAGAAAGCCTTAAGCGCTCTATGAGCAAGCTCTCCCTTGTCATAATATTAGCTTATTGTAAAGTAGTGGCAATGAGACTGGGACGTACAATTTGTGTAGTGAATGAATCTGTTGTACCAAAGAGTCTGATAGTTCTGATATAGTCTCCCATAGCGTGAAACTTGTATGTGGTGAGATTGAATTTTTTGACTCTTGGGCCATTGGAATCTGCAGGTGTATTCTAAGTGCCAGAACACTGAGCAGCCTTTCTTTAATGTGCCACCTTCTCTTTTGGTAGTTCCATAGTATTGAAGGCATTACAAGTATGGACAGCAAAATGTCGCAATCTTTGAGACAGATTAGCAAATGTTTCTTGTAGAAGGCTCAAAGTAGACTCCGAATGAATTCTGAGCTTGGCAAGAGCATGCCACTGTGCAAAGTGATATAGGAGGGACTGAACAATTGAGTCATGGGGCTCTGGGAACAGCCCCTCAAAAACAGGAATACAGCACTAGATCCAAAGAAGATGTTATTGACGCTAACAAGGCTAACATGGGAACGTAAACAACATACCTGTAAGATATCCTCGAAGTCTCTTGCTGCCAACCTTTTCATTTCAGACATGTTATTGGCAAATCTTCTTATCACCCCATTGCCAAAGGAAGGAATCTGGCAGAATCTTGGGATACCATAAGTTAAGTACATATTAGTAGCCAGGCAAGCACATAGGGTCTCATAGCATCCAGGCTGGCTACTAGTTTATCTCCACCAGGAATAGCGTACAGAAGCCTGATAAGGTGGGTGAATAGAGACTTCCATGTTCCCAGTTCACACTCGTGCATGAAATCGACAACCAGCATGCGGAAAGGGTCTAGGCCTAGTGATCCTAGCTTTATGACAAATTGATTCTGTGTGCCCCAGCTGTGAGTAGATCAATAAAGTTATAAGAATGAATCAAGTTTACCAGCACAGGTATCCATGAGCCTTCACCCAGGGCATCATCTACCTTCACCCCATCTACTGTGTTTTCTGATTGATATATGAACTCTCTAGCCTTCATTACCTTAGACATTACATACAACTGTAGATTTGTCAACCAATTTTGCATATCCCTGACAAGACCAAGCAGACCAAATGAACATTTAGGAGTGAGACAGCGTGGGCAGAGACACCATCTCATATCCTTGATAGTTACTATTAAGACTCTATAAATGTGTACATTAGATGTTGTACACCTGAATATTAAAAGATATATCATACTTCTCTGGGTAATCGGCAGAATATGTGAATATTCTTGGGAATATGCGATGTAGAACACCATCTGCGCACTTCAGAATAATCCCATATTAATAGGCATGACAAAAGTCTTCATCTAACAGAATTTCCCAACATGCTTGAAACAGCTCCCTTCGACATTGGGTTTGAAGGGAGGACATTCCAGTTTTTGATATATGTGGTAAGCTGGTCAGAATATCCTTGATGCTATCAGGAAGCTGTGATAACAATCAAGTTAATGATGCTACAACAATATGCCATTGCTGGCAACAGAAGGGCTTACTGAAGGCAAAATCCTACAAGGTGACATGCCCCTGATGTTGGTGATGATCGAATGTATTTTGTGAGATTTCCAAGATATATGTAAAGAGGCCAGGCCTTTGCAGTATCAAAGTTTGCAAGATGCATAGCATCAGAAAATAACATCAGGCCTGCTATGACACAGTCTAAAGAACATCCAGGTTTTCTCAGAAGCTTCTGAATACTATCCTGAGCTTCCAGCCAAGTGTCTGAGATATACAGCTCATCATATATGTGCTCTTGGTGATCGTCCAGAGGATCTTTTTAGAGGTGTTTGAAGGGTAAGAGGTGGAACGCTCTAGCTTGGACGTCAGAGAAAGCAGCATGTATTACTTTAACAAGAGGGCAAAAATGGAAGCCTGGAATAGTGTAAGGCCTTGCATCATCATCCTTAGATTTGGTGGGTATGCTGATGGTGACATTAGTTTCAATCCAGTTGTCAGGAAATGTGATTCTGTCCTCCTTCCCATCCAACTCCTTATCCAGACATCGTAAACTTTGCTTAATGGAGAATTTCTCAAGGTGTTTTTGATCAAAATCCTCTGCCAATATCACATCTTTGATGAGGCTTGCAACTTTAGATTGTGATGTAAGACTGGTGCCAGTATTCATCCAGGACATGAGATGATATATAGTCATGTTGGGAAAGGGATAGGGTGGGCCTAGTATTATGGGAGACAAACATGACTCATGTGATCGTTTGGAGGTTGGAGATGTCTTGGTAAGTAGTGATGATGGAATGAATTTGTCTGGCTCAAATGAGGGGCGGCGAGAATATAAACATAAGAGTCCAAATGAGTCGAAGGATGTTTGGAGTGTGTCTCTCAGAGTCAAAAGGACATGTTTGATTCTGGATTGGGTAGGGGGACTTGAAGCTGTGGAAGCATCATCGTGATCTGAGTGATTGAGATTTTCATCCAAAGGTAGGGGATGTATGAAATGTCTTGGAAATCGCCTAGCAGGACGTGGGGGTTCTTGGTCACCTGAACAGCATTGTTAACGAACCATGATGGAAAGATGACGATCTTTGCCTGCCATTACTCAAAAGATAGTACTAACCTGAGGCATCATGATCCTTTTCATATACATATCTAGTATCTTCATTGCCACTATCCTTCTCATTTTGCATCTCAACCTCATCTTCATATTGCATCTGCATACCGGAAGAAGAGTCACCATTGTGGTATGGGAGGGGGAAGGCACCAAAGCCCATGGTGCACCCTGCAGTATATGCTAGTAGGGCGGTGCTGGGTGCCATAGGTCTGGGTCCATGCGCTCCAAGCTTAGCCAGTGAATTTCTCTGAGGGTTGAGTCAATAGAATTAGAAATACATCATATTATAAGGTCTCCATTACTAGTACTAATATGTGGTTCATTTGTAAAAGCTTTTCCTGCCAAATTTGCCGCCTCCCTTGCACGTTCTCGTCTCTTGAGGCTGGCAAGAATGCTAGATGTCTTGTAGAAACAACAACTTGTACTGTGCCTGCTGAGGCCTCTTGCATCAGTCTTACGCTCCCAGGAGCAACCAACAGCTCCACAAGACACCATCAATAGAAGGATAATCCAAATAAGTTGCCAGATACTATGCATAGGATGTTCATCAATGTGTTTGTGCGCTACTAGGGTTTAATGTTGAATGGTGAGGAAGCAAGGATGTGATTTAACCAGAAAAATGATATATGCAAAGTGATGTTTATTTGTTGGATTAATTTGGGAAACTCAGTACATAGTACGTCATCAAGACATCCTAGTCTGGGGCAGGCAAGGGGCAGGCCTGCAAACTATTATGCCATATCAGAACAAATGAAAAGGATCTCTGAGTCAATTAAAGTGATTATTGGATCCCCATCCATTTCGCCCTTCCTTCCATTGTTCAAAGCCTCTATCTGTGTGACAGACTAATGAAGCCCTCTTGCCCTCATAACACAAGTTAAAGTGCGTTGTATTAGCTGATGGAAATAGTATGAAATTACCATTCCTGAGCTCCACAACCAGTCTCTGCTCAAACATTGCCAATGCCTCATCTGCAAATTCCCCTATGGGTAGTACCAGACACAGATCTTTATCAAACCTGTTGCTGATGTCCCATAATGGATACATTGAGATTGACCACAAGGGAAAGAAATGGGGACACAGGCAATACATATCCTCCTGGTAGATCTTATGTGAGTTCCACCAGCACATTGTACTCCCTTGGCAGGCATTTCTTGATCTACAAGCAAGATACAATAAATGTCAGTTGGAACTCGAAATCAAGTAGCCTTATCACTATTCAACTCACAACCTGCTCTATCCACTGGAAGAGTTCTTCAAACAAACTCTGAATGTTCTGATACAGTTGCTGATGCTCCAGGGTGTCCCTTGATAGGTAGGGCAAACACTGCAAGTAGTTGGTGCAACTGATGTCTAATCTAGCCATATCGTGGGATGAATGTGAGTTGGAGCGTCGTCTCCCTGTTCAATTCAACTTTCCATTTTAAAGTTCATTAGTACAAGGACTTATATTAGTTATATACCAATTTTAAAGGGAAAAATGAAGACACTGAAAAGGGCTTTGAAGGACATTTGAGACCTCCTGCTCTAAACTGAAGGTAGTAGTAGTTGAAGGATCTGTCTGCCATTGTGGTACATCTTGGGTGTGACAGTCCTTGTTCAGTTTTTGATTGACTAAAATCTTATTTCCATCAAAGCAAGCAAGCAAGGAGCTGCAGAGGTTCTGATGAATTCAGTCAGGTAGAGATGAACAGGCGAAGAGCATGAGACTATCATCAGAGTTGCGCAACTCAAGCTCCCCTCTAAAAACAGAAAAAGTTGAATAACATTCATTATGTAGTAGAGGAGAAAGATAAACTCACCCTTGAAGAACATCCATTGGAATTCGTAGATAGGTATCATCTTCCATTTCTCGATAGCCATCTGCATAAATATTATCCAGCTTAGCAGGAGGATGGTGAGATTGAGGCAATATAAAGTTCATGAGCTCACAAATCATCTTGCATAGGTCCTTAATATCCTTGACAATGTAACCTGCCTCTACTTTCACCCTCTTACTTTCTGTCCAAGCAGCATTTTTCCTCCTATCAGTCTTTGCGGGAAAAAACTTATTGTTACTATGATCGTGTCTGAATGACGTCTGAATAGTAGAAATGTGTGGCATCCAGGGTACAAGGGGAAGTAAACATTCCTAGGTTTGCAGGGCAGGTCGTATGGGACCGCCAACATTACCTTCTTGGCGCATGACAATGTTGGGCTGCATGACAAGCGAAAAGCAGCTGCTCCAAGCTGCCACATTCCTGGCAGGAAGAGAATAAGTACTGAAGAAATATAAGTGATACAGTTATGGTGAAGTGTTAAAGGAACCTACTTTTGCTGGAATGCGCCAAAAACCTTATCAGTGAGGGACAGATTCATACAGTCCAATATCTCTCCAATACCTGCACACTTAATAAATGAAGGGCAAAATAAAATTTCCAAAGACATTGGCATTCTGGATCTAATCCAGGCGATGGTGGGGATTATGGAACCTGTTATCAATGTTGGTGTGGCTGTGAAGGTTATTTTCAAGTTGGCACGTGACACAAAGCAATATACTCACAGCTGGTCTCAGGCCACCTCAGCATCTGACCAACTTCGGAAAAAATATGACCCCCAACTTCAGCTATTGTTTTGCGCAGCTCTAGCCCAGCAGCAAGAAGAAGAATATAGAATGACCCACCAGCCACTAGGCTGATGTACCTACAACCTGTTGAATACCATCGGTAGAAAGAGTGTTCCACTGGTGGATTCCTGAGCTTGGTGACATATTTTTGATACACCTTGAGAATGCTTGTCTTTTTGCCAGAGGCATCCTCAGAATCCCTGATGATACTGCAACACCCCACCAAAATCAATTGATACAAGAGGTAAACGCTCAAGTATTGTACATACCTTTGACACACAATTGCTAGCTGCATATAAGCAACCATTATGACGAAGCTGAAACCAGTGTGCTGCTATGAGATCACTTGACAGGATGATATCATATCTTCCATTACCGAACCTCCTCCTAACTTGATGCTGCTGGAGTCTTCCAGGTAAGACAGGATGTCTGTAACCCACATACGAATGTTAGAAGATGGTGAAGTGGATTTAATACTAGCACTGGAGAGTGTGCCTATAAGTGCATAGGCAGTCATATTCTTTGGCTTGCAGGAACAAGTCTGTTCCTACCATGTAGCACATGGAGCCAAATGCCAGCTATTGTGAGGGCATGTGCTGGTGGGGCCAGGAGGGATCAGAGTATGTGAGACTCGCCCAGGGTGGGCAGCAACATCTCCAGAGGAGGTGTCAGCATTGTTGCAGTTCCCAACGTGTTTGCAACCATAGGGATGTTGACTTTGATGCTGAAACTTGGTTAACTTTCCCCTGCATATGTAGCCTGCGGATGATTGATGGTCTTCATATGCTGCATGGCTGGAATTTGGATCATCAAACTTGGGCAGCTGGGCATCAGGTATTGTATCCTGATCAATGCTGGCATTCAAGAAGTCGAGGACATATTGTTCATTGGCAGTGCTAAGGACATCTAAGTGAATAAAAGCGCGAATATGTGGGACAGACTTACTATGAAGACTCAGATATAGGCACCATTTCTGCCTCTGAATTGGGATGCATGCTAGCACTTGAACAAAAAAAAATTATGACCTAGTGACAACAACATAAAAGAGAATGAACTCACAGCTTTAGGGACATGGTTGTATCAACAGCATGATGATGGCTAGCCTCTTCTTCAACATTCAGGCAGTTGCAGGAAGCGGTAACTGATTCGGTATCATGATTGTCTGAGCATCATGACAAGGCAAGGCGGGCGCAACACCACGGTCAACTCACAAAGATGCAGTGTGATGCAAGAAGTACGCACTCACTCCTAATAGTTGTGCAAGCCAAGTCAGGATGACCATCATGACTCGGATGATGCAGATGACTTGAAGGCAATGCGGAACTTAAGCTGTAAGATATTCTATCAAGTAAAGGCTGGATGCGGCTAGCCTGGTCACAGTCATTCTGATCAGAGACCTGTTCTAGTGCAGCAAGAAGGAGAGAAAGATCTGAGTCTGTCACTTCAAGATACTTGTACATTCCAGGTGTTGCCACCATGAGTGAAGGATATTCAGCCTGGGAATTCTGATATGAGCTCATTACTATTGCACAAGACAGTGATGAACACCAACTTTCCCATGGTCCCACAGAGCTGGCAATTCTCCCCCTTGAACATCAAGCAACATTTAAGGTCCAGCTTGAACTCCAAGGCCACGATACTGAGAAGTGATAAGATGAGTCTAACATTAATTCTAAAAGTTGGTTTGCAGGTTCTAAAATGATTGCAGTATGCGGCCATGTGGAGTGAAGTGACGAACACGGCTCGCTAAGATATTTGCATACTCAGGCTGTTCCGCTGCTGGCAATAGCTACATTAGTTTCCATTCCTCAACTGCCATCTCTTGCTGGCATCACTATCTTAGCCCTTTCAGATTTGCCTGCCACTTAGTAGGTCTTGCATATTGGTACCCTGTGATCATGATGCTCACAAAGACTCCCAAGACCATATGAACAACTGCCAACATCATCAACATTCAGTAGCAGTGCCTTAGGATGATAGGCTGGGAGACAGGATAGGGAGTAGATTAAATACAGGTGAGCTGAACCAAAATCATATGCACTCTGTCAACACCGCATCTTAATACCCTCTGATGAACATCTGAGTAGGCCTTGCCTTCAACTAAAGATATGCACATGCTAGCCTTGAGCAATCCAAATACATGGCTTAGCTCAGATATCCCTTCAGCCCTGCCAGTGAGCCATGGTTTAGCCGCTGTTCTGTAATCCGCTTGAAGATGCCCTAGCAATCCAGCTACCACTCTGCAACCCTTGCGTATCTAGGTAAGTTTTTGGATCGATCTGTGTACATATAGGCTGTTTCTTTAATGCAGACTTCAGTATAACTGCAGTCAACTCAGGGTGAAAATTGATGACGCTATCAAGGTTCTTCAAGTTCTAAAATTCAGGTAATCTATCACATTAATAAGACCTCCCCTCACCTTACAGCACAATTTTTTGCACCCATCCAACCATGTGTAGCTAGTAGGTACCATCCTGCAGCAAGACCTGATCTTTGGCTGAATGTTTATTTGTTGCATGCTTCTTCACAGATCGTCACAAAAGGATAACTTAGATACACCCCTTAAGCAATGAGCTTTCAGAGCTTCCCAGGCTCTGACATAGCCCTACTAGTGCATCTAATCCCTTCTCATTGGAATGCTTAGCGTGTCAAGCTGAGTCTTTGAGGCTTACATTGGTGTGACCTTTCATACAATGACAATTTTTTTTCAAACTAACTGCTATTGAACAGGTGTGTAATGTTTGTACAAGAGTTTGGGGTGAGGGCGCACAGAAGTGAGTCGCCTTGCTGCGGCCACTTGGTTAGGTTTACCTCTTTGAAGCAGAGGCCCAATAGTGGACTTAACAATTTTCACAGAGCATCAGCTTGGTGTTTGTTCGTGCAGTTGTGCAACAAAGTAGGTGGGGAAAAGAAAGATAAGTAGGCGAAATGCATGAATGCAGCAGAAAAAGAAGAGGTGTGAATGTCTTGCTTGTTGTTCACTCAAGGACTAAACTCTATTTCCTCCGGTCATGCCCTGCTGGCAACCAATAGGGTACTTGCAACTTGTGCTTAATATGGTAATAGTTGACATTTACTGGGGTCCTTTTTAGGCCCAGGGAGAGAACCTATAAAATGAGCTAGGTTGTGCTGATAGTGAGCACACACAAATTTGTCCCGTCTTGCTTTACATTCTTGACTGACATTCTCTCTTCTCCCTGTGTCAATGTCCCTGCCAGATATTAACTCACCTGATGTCGACAGCGACGACAGCCTTCAGTCCTTGGGACCTTCTCCTGGCCAAAACTTGGATGCTACAAGGTTAATGTCCTCACAGGATACACCAACAGCCAGAGAGGCTAGGCAGTGCAGGAAAATTGCTCAGCTTGAGCAGAAGCTGGAGACTCTTGAATCTGGGCATGCCATGAAAGAAAGGTATGAGTCACAATGCCTTTACGCCGATATTTGAATCCAAATCAAATTTGCCTTGCTTACTGTGATAATCCAAAAGGCAGACACACCATTTAGTAGCTCAAGGAAGGGCGATAAGACGTGTGGTGACTTTGTATGATAGTGTGGAGGAGCTCATTGCTGAGAACAACAGAAGGTATGAAGAGGAAGGCAGTACACAGGAGTCAGTTTTTCTTTGCTCTTCTAAGCATAACTTTACTCATGACACTCTTTATGCAGTCAGGATCGCCTCCAGCTGGGATATGTTGCCCTGAACGTCACCTTTCCTTGGATGCAAAAGAAGGCTGAAGGAATGGAATATCAACATTACGCTCACATGATAAAACTGGTAAGTGTTTTGTTGTGAGAGAAATTCATTGGCTGGCTTATTTGTGATGCCTTTCATTAGCTTAGGCAGGGTGCTGATATGACTAGAGGTGACAATACTGCTAAGCTAAAGGGCCTTGTTGTGGGATGGGTCAACATTGAGTCATCATCAGATCAACACATCGACTCTGATGATAAACACTATTGACGTTTTATCAACGATACTTGTGGTAGACTACTCTATCCTGCTGAACTAGATTAGAATGACCCAGGGTGAGGTAGTATTGTGCTTTGTAACTCTCTAGACACTAGCGGTTTACTACTAGAGTAAAAGCGGGAATAAGAAATTGCCTAGATGGATATCTTGTCACCGATCTTTCTTTTCCTAACTTCCTCTATGAAAATTATACAGCTAATGCGCAAAATCTGGAGGAGGGTCTTTTCAAGGGGAAAATATTGGTTCAAGTTTGTAGTATTGCACTGTCCTAAACTCAAACTCATTATTTTGGTAGGCCTACAAAGCTGTGTTTACTTCCCCATCCTCTGTCAAGGATGTTAATGGTGATGGTGACGGTGCGGATATCAGTGCTAACAACAGAAGGGCCCATAAGAGTTTCCATGAAACCAAAGTCAAAAAACATGTGGCGCATATCATCAAGATGAAGAAAGTAATGCCACGCTCCATTGTGTATATTGTTTGTCAAGTAAGTGGTTTTTGTTGATTTCTGTGCTCCGATCTGAATATAATCCAACCTCAGGTAAGATTCGCTCTATTGTCTGTCACTTCCTGGCGATCAGTAGACGAAGATTTTGATTATGCACAATTTTGGAAGACCATAGTTGATTTCTTTGAAAAGGCTCCTGGGCGATCTGTGCAATGCAGGATTGATATACTCCTTGAGTGGTGGACCAGGTATGCTATTTCGCCCATCTTAAATCTCGACTAATCTGTGTTGCGCAGGAAAGTATTTGGTAAACGCAGTCGTGATGACATTAGCAATGCATCCAAAGTAAATATGTCTGTCAACACTCTGGCAAGGCAAAGGGAGCAGATGGCAGATGCTGAATTTGATTGAAACTAGGTCTTAACATTTTCTTATTTTTTAAAGTAGCGTCCATATATCTTTGCATAGTAAGATGTAGAAACCTAGTCTTCAGATGCTTATGTCAAAATACTTTGCATTCACAAAGGTTTGTCATCTAGAGAAGGACCCTTCATTAGTGTAAAACTTTCAATAAATATATATTTATTAAAAACAATTATCTATATGCTAAACTACGTGAGTGTGTGTGAATACATCATAGGTCAACATATATCTGTTAAACCAAACAGTTTCTCAAAGAGTAGTGTGTTTTCGATCTTCATTTTTATGCTACTAATTGACCATTTGAACAATATATTGGCTACCTTACAATCAAAAAATAATTCTTACATCAATAAAAAGAGCCAACTTATTTCTGTTGTTTCACAAAGGTTGTGCTTATTTGCCACAATTTCAAATAGTAATGTGTAGGATGTCAATTTGAATTTATATAACATTACCTGCTAAATTACAACTTGAGTATAATTCTCAAGTCAACACCATGGGGCAACTTATCTTAGTTTGCTCACAAAGATTAAGCTTATTTGGCACCATTTCAAATAGTGACATACTGTATGCGATTTGAGCATTTATATAATATACATTTTATATCACAACCAGAATCTAATTCCTGCATCAATGGACAACTAGAGCATCTTGTGTTCAATTGGCAAGTGGTATAATGCTGTAGGGCACTGATCATGCAAAGAAAATTTCCCAGAGTCTTAAAGTATGAGATACTTAGGTTATTCTTGCGTTCACTAGAAGTCTTTGTTAAGATTTAAAACAAGACATAAATATAAGATCCCTGTAAATGCTAAACACTTGCTTGACATCTGGATGACTCATCTCCCCCACTTAAATGAAAAATTAAATAATAAATGACAAGAACCCTCCCATTTAGAGAGAAATATGTTGATATTTAAAACAGCACATTCTTTTACAATTCAGCGCTTGCATAAACAAGTAGTAGGGCATCCCAAGTAGGGCTGCACACTGTCACCGTCATAGACGGTTTGTACGGTGGCCGTCGACGGATACGGTTGCCGTACCGGTGGACATGCAAAGGGAGGTCAATAGGTACGGTGTACGGCCAGACCGTACACCGTACAAGACGTATTCCATATGGCCGTCAACGGTACCTTTACGGCCTCATACGGTCGGAAAGGGTGCCGATTTATCCTGTAACTTCTTGCCCTGAACCGCCATGCTCTGCACCAACAACAACAATGACAGCGACGAGTCTGATAGCTTGCTGCGTGTGCTTCACACTGATAGAAGTGGCGTTCTCAGTATGTTCCTTGTAGTATTTTACTGCCGTTGCGCAGGACAGTGCATCATCGCTGTCTTCCAGCACAGGCCATCACGCAAATGTGTCTGATGGTAGAAATTCTCCCTTGAAGATGAATTTCACGGCGAGGTACAAGAAGCGGTCAAATGTTTTGGTAGATGAATTCGAGGAGTACCTAAAACTTCCACAAGAGGACTTTGACCTTTGCGACCCCATTCAGTGGTGGGCGGGTCGCCGAGCACAGTTTCCAAACCTCTCTCAACTTGCCCATGATGTCCTTTCAATACCTGGTGAGTACTCACTTCACGTTCCAGGTGTCTGTACTTAGTTCTCTTCTTTGTAGGATCTGCTGTTGCTGTTGAACGAATTTTCTCCGGTGGTCGCGACACAATCTCCCTGCGATGTGCAAGTCTCAAGCCTGAGACTATCAAAACATTGATGCTCGTGAAGGCAAGGCTTCGCTTGGCTTGTTTGGCACTAAATGAGCTTGTTCATAGTTGATTAACATTCCGTATGTACCGTACATCACCGTATACGTCCATATAATACTCTGTACCGTACCGTCCGCTTGGTCCACTGTCACGAGTACCTTTAACGAACCATTATTCTTTCTTGAATCTTCCTAAGCATCAATACACAGCGCCTAAATCAAACCCTAACCCTACCTTGAAAGCGTCTATTATTCCTGAAATACCTTTAGCGCCCACGACACGTGTCTTCGATGTGACTGATGAAGAAGACGAGTTCTTTGATTGTGATTAGATAAGATAAGATAAGATATGGTCACGTGATACTTCTTTAATATTCTACAATGTTCTATGGTACGATTCCCTTTCCTATTTTATGATTGGCTAGTAGTTGTAACTCAGTTTCGATCTCCGTTTCAATAGTTGTATATAGTTAGCATGTCTTGGTCAATAGTTCTTTAGTTCAAACCTCTTGTATCTACAACTGTAGCAATCCAAGATGTACTTGCTCCTTCCTCTTTGTTGTGATAACCTTAGTCCGAGTCCTAGTCTCTGCCCAGCGTTAATTCGTTATTGGGTTGTGACATTAGGTTTGAACTATAGGAGACTCCGACTCTCGCATACCGCTCGCATCATTTCTCTCTAGGTGATTCGTTGAGCACATCGCCAACAAACCACTTAGATAGCCATTATACGTTTTCCATTGCCCGGCCTAAACAGCCACGATCATCTTTTCTGAAACCCATCCTTTTGCTCGCTTGAGCTTTTTATGAATAGCCTTTATTAGTTAGTAGTCCTATACCAGGCCCTGCCTTACATTGCAGCCGCCAGTATACGGAGGTGTTGACGACATTAGGCGTCTCGCTACAACTTTGAGTGCTGGCCCAAGACCCTGCCTGCTCAATGTTACTATAGTTTCTTTCATACCTACATCTTTCTTCATACGCACGTAGAACCTTTCATTAAGTCTAGTGGAACTGTCGCATCTGCGGATAGTCCTACCATCGTTACCACGAGGATTTAGATACGGGATTCTAGTGAGACTCGCACTTGTAAGCTTCGGCTGGAAGAGTGATAACTTGTCCTAGACCTGTACCCTTTCGGTGATTGAGAAGTAGCACACACGAAGCACACAGTGTTTTTCCCACTTAACAAAGCATAGATTTACGTATCTCTTTCTAGTTAGTAATTAGGGAAGTGTCAGTCGGGTTGACTAAAGAACCCTTTGACCCTAAAGGACGAGGTTGATCCAGTTAGTACTGGGGACCCCTTTAGCTTTCCATTTACATATCCTTTTTCCCTCTCCCCTTTCATCATCTTTCCTATCCGGAAGAGCCGTTACGACCCGCTCTTCAACAGTCATTAGTGAATCGGATTCCAGAACGCACCTGGCACTATGGCTGAAGTTAACGAAACAGAAATGGGACCTGAGAACCCCCAAGAACCCCAAGAACAAGGACCTCAGGGACCACAACCACAAGGCATAGCTATGCCGGTGGAATTCACCAATTACGTACAGAATGCCATCACCATGGCAACACACGAACTGTACGTAAGGACACAAGAACTCCTCAACCACAACAACACACTTTGAGCACAGAATGCAACTCAAGAGCTTCAACTTAGAACCCAAAACGCACAAATCGAGGAACTAAAGAAGAAGCTTGAGAGATTTGCACAAGCACCAAACACTTCGCAAGTCAAATTGTCGAAGCCTACAGAATTCACCGGAGACAAAGATTCGATCTCCATAGAAGTCTACGCCACTCAATTAGCATTATATATGTCACAGTGGCCACTGATCACGGACAGGCAGAAGATTACAACTGCCCTGTCTTTCCTCAAAGGATCTGCTGCTAAATGGGCGCAGAAATATGTTATTGAGCTTGACACCAAGCCAATATCCTTTGAAGATTGGTCAAGAGAATTCGAGACAATGTGGAGAACAAGGCCACATAGCGAGAAACTGTAAAGGTGCGCCAAAAGCGCAAGTTAAAGCGGCTGCAGTTGTCGAAGAAAACTCCGCGCCGAAGTGGTTCACAGATTGGATCGCTTCTAACAAAGGCAAGGATTTTTAAAGGGGTTGAAGTCAAAGTCTGCAGACCTAGACCCGAACAATCGTTTCTCCATTCTTTCTACGTTCCAAGATGTATCAGAAGTACATATTAGATCCAAATCTGAGCATTTTTATATTCCGATAACGTTGAAAGGAAAGAACCGACAAGCAGACGTAAAAGCACTTGTGGATTGCGGTGCATCAACATTATTTATCAGTGAGAAGTTTGTGGAAAAGAACAGTGTGAAATGCCGTAAATTATTAAGGCCTATTTCAGTCAGAAACATTGATGGATCGCTAAATGCCGCTGGATCAATGACTCATTTTGCAGAACTAGGTCTAAAGATTGGTGATCATGAAGAAGAGAAAGCAGCCTTCATGGTTACAGACTTAGGAAGCGATGATGTTATTATCGGCATAGATTGGCTGAGATATCATAATCCAGAGATTGACTGGAATGCAGGACGATTTGCACTTTCTCGATGTCCTGTAAAATGTGAAACTAAAAAAGAAAAAAGACAAAAAAAGAAAGAAAAGAAAAAAGAACAAAAAAAGATAGATGATGTACCTGATCTAATTCCTACGGATGATGAAGACGAGGATGAAGAAGATATGTCAATGAAGAGGGCGACAGTTGAGGAAATAGAAGACGAAGAGAGTCCAGAGAGACTATGGATTCGTTATAAAGCCTCGGTTGCCACAGAGCAGAAGGTAGCAGAAGAAGCTACTAAGAAAAAGCAGTCGGTAGAAGAAATGGTACCAGACTGGCTTCATGATTACCTGGGAGTTTTCTCAGAAGAAGAATCTAAGCGCTTCCCTGAAAGAAAGAAGTGGGATCATGTGATAGATCTTAAAGATGAGGGCGATCTTCCGCCAAATGCGAAACCTTATCCGTTGTCACCTAAAGAGATGGATACATTGAAGGAATGGTTAAAAACCGAGACTGCACTAGGACGTATCAGAAATTCACAATCTCCAGTAGCAGCACCTTTCTTCTTTGTGGCCAAAAAAGATGGCAAGTTAAGACCGGTGATGGACTATAGAAAGCTCAATGAGAAGACGGTGAAAAATGCGTATCCGCTACCGAGATCTCAAGATTTAATTGATGCTTTAACCGGTGCCACGATGTACTCTAAGATGGATGTACGATGGGGGTACAATAATATTCGCATGAAAGAAGGAGATGAGTGGAAGGCGGCCTTCAAAACGCCGTTTGGTCACCACGAACCGACCGTAATGTATTTTGGACTCACGAACTCGCCTGCAACTTTCCAAACTATGATGAATGAAATTCTAAGAGACCTAATAGATGGCAAAACAGTAGTCATCTACATCGATGATATAATGGTCTTTACAAATGGAAACAAGGAGCAACACCAAAAGGTGGTACGAGAAGTCCTGAAACGGTTAAAGGAGAATGACCTGTTCTTGAAGCCTGAGAAATGTAGCTTCGAGCAGTCTAAAGTCGAGTTCCTTGGGTTGATCGTGGAAGAAGGCAATGTGTCGATGGACCCTGTGAAAGTAGAAGGAGTATTGAAATGGCCTGTTCCCAAATGCGTAAAAGATATACAAGCATTCATGGGCTTTGCCAACTTTTATCGAAGATTCATACTTGGGTTCTCGGATATAGCCAGACCAATGAATGATCTGCTAAGAAAAGATGTCAAATGGGACTGGACGGAAAAGCAACAAAAAGCTTTTGATGAACTTAAGAAACGTTTCACAGAAGCTCCCGTTCTAGTCATGCCAGATGTTGAGAAGAAAAAGAAAATAGAGACCGATGCTTCAGATTACGCAACAGGAGCGGTTCTCTCTCAACTTATGGAAGATGGATTATGGCATCCAGTAGCATATTACTCTAAGTCAATGAATGATGCAGAAAGAAATTACGACATTCACGACAAGGAATTATTAGCGATCATTAGAGCGTTAGAAGAGTGGAGACACTACGTGCAGGGAGCACCTCACCCAGTTGAAATATGGACAGATCATAAGAACCTTGAATACTTCATGACGAGTCAAAAGTTGACCAGAAGGCAAGCTAGATGGAGTCTTTTCCTAGCGGAGTATGAATTTACACTCCAACATAAGCCTGGCGTGGTTAATGACAAAGCAGACCGTCTTTCTCGGAGATCAGACCATAGAGGGGGGGTAGAAAACGATAACTCAGATCGCATCCTTTTGAAACCGGAATTCTTTATCGTAAAAGCTGCTAAAAGAGGTCAAGTTTTGGTGCATGGAGAGAAACATTTACTCCAAAAGATACTAAAATGCACAGAACGAGAACCTGAAGTCGCGAAAGCATTAGAAACACTAAAAGCAGTACCGGTTCAATTGCGTAGAGGAATCGAAGAGTGGAATGTGGAGGATGGATTGGTGTTATTCCGAGGATTAGTTTATGTTCCAAATGACAAAGAGATCCGCCGAGAGATATTGGAGTTGTTTCACGACTCTCCACCAGCTGGACATCCTGGACGAGCTAAGACCTTAGAGTTGATTTCCAGAAACTATTGGTGGCCTTCAATGACGAAGTATGTCCACGATTATGTAGATGGTTGCGATAGGTGCAAACAAACGAAAGTGCTTCCGAGTAGACCAACGGGGCCTTTACAGCCGAATGAAGTCCCAGAAGGACCTTGGCAGACAATCACCTGTGACCTGATAGTGGATTTGCCGAAGAGTGAAGGGTGTGATAGCATTTTTGTAGTCGTTGATCAATTTTCGAAACAAGCACACTTCATTCCCACCACCAAAGATATAGACTCGAAGGGTATTTCCGAGCTATTCCTGAAAAATGTATGGAAACATCATGGAACACCGAAGAAAGTGATTTCAGATAGAGGAACTCAGTTCATATCAAAGTTCATGGGACAAATGTCAAAAAGATTAGGAACGAAATGGTCTGCGTCGACCTCCTATCATCCCAGAACCGATGGACAGACTGAATGCGTAAACCAAGAAGTCGAACAATATTTGCGCATGTTCACGTCATATAGACAGAATGATTGGGTATCTTGGCTGCCGATAGCAGAGTTTTCACACAACAATGCAGTCACAGTAACCTGGTCATAGTCCGTTTAAAGTTCTCTACGGGTATAACCCAGATTTCATGATTCATCCAAACTCTATGTCCATAATCCCCGCCGCCTGATGAGAGAGTTGATCAAATGAAAGAAGCGAGAGATGATGCTGAAAATACTCTTAAGATGGTCAACTGAGCGCATGAAGCGTTTCTACGACAAAGGAGTAAAAGAAGCACCTCAGTATAAGAAAGGAGACAAGGTCTGGCTTGACTGCAAAGAATCTTAAACAACTGTCGTCCGAGTCAAAAGCTGTCAGATCGTCGTCTAGGTCCCTTCGAAATACTAGAGAAGATCGGTGAAGTGAACTACAAGTTGAAATTGCCAGGAAAAATATCAGATTCACCCGGTTTTCCACGTAGAATTGCTTACGCCATATCACTGCATCTCAATTAATTCCTCATCCTCCTCCCAAACCGACCACCTCCAGAATTGATTGACGATCGGGAAGAATTTGCTGTAGAAGAAGTACTAGATAGCCAATTGTTCCGAGGAAAGCTGCAATACCTAGTGAAATGGGAAGGATATCTGAAGGAAGAGTCATCTTGGGAGCCAGAAGAGAATTTGAAGAACGCTCCAATTCCTTTAGCGGAGTTCCATAAGAACAATCCAACGGCTGCAGCCGGAAAATACCGAAGAATCAAAGGCTCAGTACTGTTTATGGAAGATTTCAAACGATGGAGAGAAAAGAATATCCGACCTTCATTCGTTCGTGATGACACTCACCTTAGAGAGGGGGTAATGTCACGAGTACCTTTAACGAACCATTATTCTTTCTTGAATCTTCCTAAGCGTCAATACACAGCGCCTAAATCAAACCCTAACCCTACCTTGAAAGCGTCTATCATTCCTGAAATACCTTTAGCGCCCACGACACGTGTCTTCGATGTGACTGATGAAGAAGACGAGTTCTTTGATTGTGAATTAGATAAGATAAGATAAGATATGGTCACGTGATACTTCTTTAATATTCTACGATGTTCTATGGTACGATTCCCTTTCCTATTTTATGATTGGCTAGTAGTTGTAACTCAGTTTCGATCTCCGTTTCAATAGTTGTATATAGGTAGCATGTCTTGGTCGATAGTTCCTTAGTTCAAACCTCTTGTATCTACAACTGTAGCAATCCAAGACTGTACTTGCTCATTCCTCTTTGTTGTGATAACCTTAGTCCGAGTCCTAGTCTCTGCCCAGCGTTAATTCGTTATTGGGTTGTGACATCCACCGCCAATACTATGTACGGTAGACGGTAAACCTGTCTACCGTACCTCTACCGTATGTGTACGGCCGTCTACCATATACGGTACGGTGTGCAGCCCTAATCCCAAGATAGAGGCTCTTATTTTTCACCACAAAATCATGACACTTTCTCATGTTGTTGCTTGAACCATACATTTTTACCGTGGCCTGTTGCTCCTCCTTCCCTTACACTTTGAGTTTGGTCAATGTCTGGACCTTTTCTTGATGATAAACTTTAATAAGTAGATCAAAACATCTTAGTTCCCCTGTAAGGCCAAACATAACAATATAATCAATGATAGCAAATTTATGTGGATTCTTGTAATTACGTCCTATATATTGTTATATATGACCTTTTTATTTGTCCACCGGTTCATTGATGTCAATGTCGCGTCACATGCGCGTCACTGCCTGTCCAACTTCATTCATGCCGCATCGGTACACTGTAATTGTCCACATTGACAGTAATGAAAATATTTTATGATTTGTCTCCTATGGCCTAGAGAAAAAACCCTTATCGTGTTTTTGTAAATCGTATCATGGCCTTTGTGAGTCCTTTGAAATACGGAGTGCACTTCTTATAACCATCCTTTAGGAATCAATCAAATATGTATTCAACTTTTTCTATCTCAACGAGACAGAAAATCAAAATTATCCAGATCGGCTGGGTCCACTACTGAGTTTTGGGGACCTCATACCCTGCTATGACCGTTCAGGTGCGTCATCCGACTTATTCTCCTTGTGAACTCGTATTTGATAACTAGAACAGGCAATGTAATAGCTTATCTTCTGGCCTCCGTGCAAACCGCTCACCCCTCACATGTTACTGCACACTCCGTCTCAAATGCGGCACCCCTCCCTCAACACATGAAACACCACTCACGGGAGTTATTTGATCTCTGCACAGACACAAAGTGTATACCACGCTGGCGTACCCGAAGCGTTAGTCCGTGAGCTCACCCAATGAACTCGAAGTCGAATGTAGAACATATAGAAATAGCGCGTCAGTGGCCGCGTCAAGACTCGTTAGTACCGCATAAAGGCTTGTCACACGCGCGTCACGGCCGCGGCAGGACCGCATCAAAATAGCTACGCCCCAAAGTGCTACCAAGTGTGGCTTTTCCGCAGCGCGAAGCGTGAAAATGTCGTCCCCCTTCAGGACATTTTTTTCTACGCGCTGTTGAGCTATCCAACCTTCGGATGCATCACGGAAATCATAACAGCCATCTGTGGTCGCACCCTCGGCATCCGCGTCGGCAATCCTTCGAGCATCATGCCCGAACTGGGCGTCGTTAATGAACGGTCGTGGGCTATCTATGAAGCTGGACGGCATAGTCTCGTATTTTCCCCTTCAATCGACAACTACGTAAATTCGCTTGTTGCGAGCCGTATCTATCTGATAGCTTCTGCGCGCAGGATTCCTACCATGATAGCAAATACACATTCTTCCGTTGGGCTGGATGCAATCTCGCCGGATATGACCCTAGCAATCCCGAGGTCATGCAGTTCTATACCAACCAGACCATCATTGACGACTTCAAAAACTACATCAAAGCAATCCTTGCATCCTTACCCATACCAACTAATTCACGGGTCTCACATACGCCAAGGATTTCACAATCTTTGCTTATGAAACCGGTAACGAGCTCAATGGACTTATTTTTGGAGGCATGTGGGTCCCGAACGAATGGACAGAGCAGATTGCGGTATGTCCGTTTCTTCTAGCGTTCGGCGGCTTTGACCCTTACCACCCTGATGAACATGTACAGTCATATTATCAAGGAGCTTGCCCCCGTCAAAACTTGTCATTGACGGTACCTACAGTGTCAATGCGATCCACCTCTCTATCTCCACCATCGACATCTTCTCCGATCACTTCTACTTCATCTGATCTAGCGAAGCTTCAAAGAAACATAGCCTCGTTCAATCCGCGAACAAAGCGTACATCATTGGAGGATATGATTGGACCGGAAATACCGCTTCCGTTTTACGGCTCTCCAGTTCAATCCTGTCGTAAGCGGGGACCTGTTCTCGAGCTTGTTCATGCATGACGTGAGCTGACTAGCTGCCAACTCTTGACACGTTGGCTTCGGCTTTCTGATTGCACGACTTATGTCAATCATACGGATGACGGGAGAACTGCGGTAATTGTATGGTAAGTCGGGAAATACCGTACAGACTGATTCACAACGAATCTCGGAGATTGGGCAGCATTTTCTTCGGAATGAAGGGGCAGAATGTTTTATCGTACCTTCATTCGGTGCCTTGTCCGAGCCAGTAAGCAGGGTTACATATTATAATCCTAGAACTCAAAAATTCATAGAAGGATTTTATTATACTTGCTGGTTAAAAGACTTTATAAAAAAAATGTGCGCGTCATGGGCCAGATCTGAGTGGCTGCAAGTGTAATAGTTTTGCACGAAGTTTGAACTGACCAGGCCACCTTAACTATACTGTGGAACTGTCCTTTAATAACTCAGGTATGTTATGTCACATATGTAGCATATAAACATCAGAGAATAATCGTACACAAACTTGAAGGGGATCGAAACATCCAAGTTAAGAGGATGCCGATGGGCTCAACACAAAAGTATGCCAAAGATCGGTATCAAGAAACCAATGTGTATGCAATGGATGACGCATTTATCTGTGATGTAGGAGAGCGATCTGTAGGTATTATTGACCAGCTAGTCCAAATTAGAGTAAGGAAGTCTCGTGGAATAACGACAGAAAGGTAATGTGAGTGGGTATGTACGGAGGCCGCACTAATGATATACGTTAGTCGCGTGATCAGGAATATGAGGGTGATTGCAATGAGGTTCGCTACCCGAGAAGGGGAATCTACCATAATCTTCTGCTTGTACAGTAGCCGAGCCGGTGTATGAAAGTCTGTCCATGTATCATGATCTCATTGCATTCATAACTATTGCCGTGCATACGTGGTCTGCCCATCGAATGCTGCTTGCGAAGAATAAGCAGGTTGTGTCTGTACTCCTGGCTGTTGGCACAGTGACCGACTGCCTGAGGGCGTCGATGAATTGGACGAATCAGAATAAGCCTTTTCTTGTACTACGTTAACACCAACGCTTCCAGCATCCGTGGCAGCGGTTGCCTTCGTCGGGTCGCCGATGCCTGCACGAGTTCCCCATCCAGTTTCATGAAGGGTGAAGAGGGCATACAGCTTCATGATCGCGAAATAGTACCCGAAGAGGATGAACGCAGGGACGTAGATGACATGACTGGGCGTATGCCAAAGATGTGGGAGGAGCTTAGCGGTACGGGTTGCGAGAAGCCAGACGATGTATGACAGGATAATGTTCCACCAAGGTAGATGGTATCCTCCATCTACAACAGCAATGGTACTTTTGTAGATGAGATACCCGACGAGGCAGGGTCCGACAAGGAGCGTGAAGGGGTTAAAGAGCTTGTCGACCTGTGAGGGAAACAAAAATAAATTAGGTTGACAGGATGATGTCATCGATATCAACTCACCATGGTATAAGCGACATATGGATGTGTAGTCCATATATGACGTTCCATGAATAATGACCGGAGATCGCTTCTCCAGGTATTTCGGGTCCATCGTAGTACCTGTTTCAAGAATCTCCAGTTCGGCTTCATCGTACTCAATAATTCTGCCTCTTTGCAGCACTGGACATAGGTACTCCATCCATGGCTCACCATCCACCTCGTCAAGAATTTGTCATCGCCCGAATTGAGTTGGTACTTGCCCAACCAGTAGTCGTGCGTGAAACCGTGTAAGAACTCAGGGTCTTTGAGGATGACCGTTCTGTAGGCGGCTGTACGGCCAGAGAGACATGGAAGACCACCATCGATGTGCGTGCTGGAGCTGATTTCGATGTTACGGATTGTCAGACGGAATGCCGCAAGGACTTCCCAGACTGTCATGCGTTTGCCTACAGGTTGAACACGTTGACTCGTGCCTACGCCTCCAACCTTCTGGTCTTCGAAACACGCAAGCACATACGGCAAAAGCGTCGGTGGCCAGATGGCATCGTCATCTGCAAAGACAATGATGTCTGTCGTAGTGTTCTTGATACCGTGTGCCATCTGCAACCGCTTATTCGCGAAAGGGACGGTAAGGACACGGATGCGCTCCGGGTCGACGGCGTTGGCAAGTTCTTGGAGAGGAATAAGCATTTTCTCTTCGGTAATGATGATGATCTCTTTGGGTTTGCCGGCAAGCCAACTGTTGGCTGCTTCCTTAAATTCTTCACCCGCATCGATGGTGGGTACAATGATAGTAACATCTTCTGAGGCGACATAAGTGGGATTTTCGGGCAGAGGAACGGGGCGGTAGGTGACAGATGCAATGACACGAAAGATGTACCACAAATAGCGGTAGAAGCTAGAAAGTCGTCAGCTTAGTTCAATAAAGAGAGAAAGCGAGAATACCCTATGACTCCAAATGGCACGACTGTAAATAGCGTTAGCATGAACAGTCAAGGTGCTGGACGCCAAGGGCACATACAAATTGGAAAGTCATCAGACGTCAAGTAGAGCATGGTGGCAGTCTACTGTGCCTGCTGTCAGGAAAGCAGTGAGGCCAAAAGAGCGTCAGCGTCGTAGCTAGGACGACGAAGGATGTAGGCCTTCGAGGGGGGAGAGAGAAGGGAAGAAAGAACGAGTGACGGTGGTGGACTATTACATAGATGGCCACACCGCAACGTCAGAAGTATTGTCGGGGTTCGAATTTCGAAATAAGCTTCTGGGCGTATTTACTAGTCAAATCCTATTTTGTATATTACGTCGATATGTATCAATATTTTCTCACCGGACCCCGAGTACGAATGATTGGCCGACAACAATGTCAGATGTGGCAGCTATCGAAGTCAGGCATACTACCAATAGAACTGCCAAGCTTTCTGATTGAACATTTCTTCACAATAAGTGTCCCAGCTTCGGCTTTTGTTGAGTGAACTAACACATCCCGAAGCGCCGAATAGAATGCAGACTAATCAGGTTTGGACTTGCTAATCCAAAAGGGATATAAAAGTGCGCCGTTGCACGTTGTTCGCCTCGAGAGCGATTCTGCCACGCTCATCACCGTTCGTTGGCAACATCGCATCTAGCACATCTTATTTCCAAAAATTCTGTCATCACACCGCACACCTCGGCGTACAGGGAATCTCTAACACCACATCTCTGCTATCGCTTGCGACCAACCTAACTCAGCCTGTGTCGCACGTTCAGTTCAGGTCATAGTAACGGCATTCACTCCAGAGGGACGAAGTTGTGACCGCGGAGACAAATCGGTATTTGGTCCCCGATCATTTAAAACAACAGAAAATGTTATAGTTTACCTTTTATAGAAGGACGAGCTGGCGTGATAACGACTGCCACTTCACCGTTTAATGAGTCTGGAAAGCATACAAGCGAAATGCGCGAAATTTTGGGAGGTCTATCTTGTCCTCGCTTTTTAATTTGTTTTGAGTTGAGAATTCGTACTCTAAAACTATATGCTATCAATGAGGAGACTACGAGTTCTAGGCCTCCCAGAGTCCCACAATTTGCCGGAGGCTAAAGTATTCAAATCGGCATAGTCAAATACTATCAGATAACCATCACGGGAGCTTCCGGCTAAGCCTACCCGGCTGCAACTATTTACATAATAATAGATCTAAATATAAAATTTATAATACTTTGCCGATATGTATGATTCTTGTAGACAAAGTAACTCGAGATTTGGCCCAAATAATATATTTTCTTCACTTATCGAACCCCAGATTTACAAAGTAAATTATATTTCCGTTCTGTGGTATTATGTAATTAATTAGAACTTGGAATTTGAGAAGTGAAACACTCTAGTGATGTAGCTAAACACTGTAACTTATGTTTAATACTCTCTATGAGTTCATGATGCTCTGGGAGACTACCAAGAGCTCCTTGATACCCAGTGAAAATCGACAGGAATGAGGTAGAGATGTAGAGATAGACGTCTGAGTACAAATTGAGGCAGATATAAAAATCTAAAGCCATCGAAAATCCCATCTCGACGCTAAAAACTTGTCTCGATCTCTCTATTTTTCGATTTGTATCTACATATATCTGCCTCTAAATTGTCGATTTTCACTGGGCCTGATATCCCACCCCTCTGACATTCAGATCAGATAAAATACCCGAGGGTGCTGGTGAAGCTTCAATGGATGTACATATGGAAGCTCATGCAAGATACTAAGATCTGCTATTCAACTTTCTCAGTACAGCTGTACACTACCGACAACTACATCCCGAAAAACTTATAACAATACGCGAAAAAAAAAACCGTGCGTTGAAAAACGAAAAATTAAAACATAACTATAAACAAAGTCAAAACATGTGGGAGAGTTGACCACACTATCGTACTACCCTGAAAGGGTACAGTCATACATAGAATAAAGTAGCAGTATAAAGGGAAAATGAAGAATGAAAGATGTGAGGTACAACACGGGGTGTGATAAAATTGAGGTGATACCATGCAAAAGACGAATAAGAATCGAGTGCGACTTGACGAAAACATTTCAGAGAGTGTAGACGATCAAAATACAACGACGACGAGTAAGGACAGTGATGACCGTGTGGTTGGTAAAAGCGCAGGGTTAGATGGCCGTCGACTCAACACAAAAGGAGTTAAGAATCGTAAGGGACGACTAGAAGCCGCTAAGGGAGTGATGGGTGTGAACATGTGTAAAGAGCCAAGCCGTGGTTAGGTCGATGGGACGGAGGACGCCGAAAACCCTGTGGCAGATGACTTCCTCGCCTCCGAACTCTTCCTCCCACCTGCACGTGCGGAGGTGGAAGTGCTAGTAGAAGCACGTGATTTCTTCTCGCTCCGTACAGTACCTGTCGACACCGACAGAGCCGCTGTGCTAGCACTCCACCTCGATCCCAGCCTCTCGAGTTGCACAGGCTCAGGGAAAGATAACACATGGCTTGCTGCCGCCGCGCTCGTTAAGCTGCCGTATTGCGCTTCCGCTTCAGTACCCGCCGTCAGAGACTGCAGAAGGAGTTGTGCTATTAGGACCTCATCTCCAAGGCCACGTTCTCCCTCATTGATGTGAGCCGGATGGGGACGAGGAGGGAGTAGAGCTTGTGCCGAGGCTTGGTGTTCCAACGCTCTCACCCTCAATCCCATTCGTCTCTTGCATCTTCCTTTAGCCTTCTTAGCTTTTGGCGCAGGAAAACGATATTGTGCCGCCACATCACAAAATTGCACATGATTTGAATCAGCAATTCCCAGGCCAACGGTGGGTGGAGGAGGCGGAGGCGGGGAGGCAAAAGGATCCCTCATGGAAAGAAAATCGGAGGCCGAGTCCGAAGACATGCCCCGTGAAAGCGAATGCTTTGGGGTGCGGTGGTTAGGAAATTCCGTAGGCTTCGGTACCGAGGTGTCCGCTATATGCTTGGCGGAAGTTGGCAAGGTCTGCTCAACGACAGACGGAAGTACTGAAAACAAATAATAAGTTAGATGTCTTGGACTGACTATCATTAAAAAGCGCAATATATGCTCACAATAAAGGCTAGCGACCACTCCTATCGCCCAGAATAGCGAACAGACGGAGTGAGCGATAACTAGTCCAGCGGCAGCTGTTACGTCATAATTTTCCGATGGTTGCGATGTTGTCACTGAATCGCGGGTTTGTAAAGCGGCCCACGATGAATAATTCTCTGCAATGGTCGTCAAAGCAATTTTCAAGGCTGCAGACACTACAGCAGTTGCCTGCGCCGCTAGCATGGTAACAGGAAGACGCATTTCTTTGTGGCACCAGCTGATTACCGCCGCTCTCTCAGGCATGTCATTATTTTCTTGGTCTGAGTGAACGAGCGTAAGTGACGGGGGTAAATTTACGATGGTTTTTACACTCTTGGCCGACGACTGATCAGAGGCCAGCTGAGTATGCGATAATGAGGCTGGAAAAGGCCAGGTGTCAGGAGTGGGTGAGCTGACCCGTCCAGATTTATTCGGACCGGTGGTCGGGCGAACTGAGGTCTCTGGACCTGCTTGAACTTTCTCGCATAACTTCGTGAATGGAGCCGCAACGGCGATAGAGGAGCGTATATCAAGGAAAATTCCAATAGCGAGAGGGAGTTGGAGACTTCGTGAGATAAGAGAGAAAGTGGGTGAAAGCAAAGTAGGAGTGCTTGGAATTGAGCCAGCGATTGTTGCTATATTGCTATTGAAATTTGAGGAATGGGATAAATAAAAATTACTCACCGCATATAAGAAATGTTGTCACCAAGACCACCACGAAGCGAAAGGTGCGGTGGGGGATCAGGGGATCTGGCGTGGTTGCCACGAACAATACGTACAGCGAACTCAAAGATACTTGAGAAAATATTAGTGCACCACGCGGGTTTGAAGTGTTGATCCAAAGCTCACAGAGACATGCATGCAAAGCTAAAGAGACATTCCAGAGGCGCTGAAGGAGCTGGACATGGTTGAGCGACGCTGCGAGGCCAAATCCGCTAGCAATGACTGGTAGGACAGTATTGAGCGCCAAAAGAATATTTGAAACAAGTTTGCTTCGGCTATAAGGAGATGAACGAGCTAGAAGGACGGCCGACACTAGCGGGAGAATCAGCAAAAGAGCGGGCGGGATGACCTGGAAGGTCTGAGAAGACGGAGTGGATATGATACTTGAGGAAGAAGACATGAAAAGGGGAGAGATTGTAAGAAAGTAAGAAAAGAATGTAGATAATGAGCGTTTGGAAAGATAAAAAAAGGATGTAGTTGGTGGAGAAAGATGGGCGAGTCTAGCATCAGAAGAAGAAATAATAAGATTTAATTTGCTTGCGAAATGAACAGGGGAAGAGCCGACGAATTAGGAAAGAATCTTTGTTGGTATAAAACGTTCTACTTCCATCGACTGTATGGGAAGAAAAATAATCAGGGAAACTTGGACTAGAGAAATTGGTCCAATTCCTGTCACGGCCATCCAACTTCCCCGCTCCCCGAGAAAGGTGTGGTACATACCAGACGAAGGAACGCTTCTTTTGACTCAAGTCGTGTCATATGCAAGACTCACCACAGAGTACTAGTATATGCTGGCAGTGGCACTATATCAGATAAAAAGGAGGATAGAAGCGAATGGCACATGGTGACAAGCTTATATGTGATCAAAGTTTGATGCAGAAAAAGAGATCATGGTTGCCCCAGCACAGCCACATCCTCGGTCAGACTCCGACTTTGGCGAGCGGGGCACACACGAGTCAGGACTCCCCTCATCTCATGTGCTAACTGCTGTGAAAATGATATGCATTGCTCTGCTTGACATGACTGGGTACGAATGAAAGCACATCAGAATTCTGTCATCCGAAAGACTTGTGATTACGGTATCTCTATAGATTCCCAACGTCCGTAACGATATGGACAGCAGCCAAATCTCTGAGTTCCATAATGACATTGCGATTCTTTTGTACTCCCCGTCACGTCGCTGCACTCAATTCTCGCAACTGAGACTCCATATTATTCGGTTTATCTTCAACAGGGTACCCGCCAAACGAATAGTGTCAGCCACGCTCCATACCATCATCCGGAAGGTCATAACGATTCCACAGATGAACAAGCAAGAATGTCTGCTGAGCCATGCCGGCGAGAATTGAACCAGCGGTCATTCAGCCCGTCCGCCTTGACATCACGAGTGAACCATTTCTCCCGATCTTGACCGCAACAGGAAATACGATGCAAGGTAGATGCAGCCTGCGGTTCGCGGGAAAGAGCATACATGGGTGACTGCAGGAAAGGAGTCAACGTGCTTCTTCGACCACCTGTCCTTTCCTGTGCATTGTGCTGCTCGAACATGGTCCTGATACACCGGAACCGAACTTTCGCACTATAGCCTCCACTCACGAGCAAAAATGCTCCATTATGTGAAATCGCAACACAGCAAATCCGCGCAGAGGTGGTGCGACTGTTTTCCCTAGTCGCGCAAGCTTATCGGTGCCATCAGAAAAAATGGCAAGCGAGTAAACGGTGTCAGTATGACCGGTGCAAGGTAGATCCGGTATTCGTTCGACGAGTTCCAGAAGTTGGCAGTTGCTTTATTTGTTGCAGAGACAAATTGCTGACCGTCGGGCGACCACACAACACTTTAAAAAGACCATCTTGGTGAGCGATCTGTAGAATAAGTTCGGCGTCATCGGTGCGCCAAACCCTGATAGTCCGGTCCAACGATCCAGATGCCAATGTTAGTCCATCCAGACTGCATGTGGACACGTTGATAGGACAAGCGCCAGTCTCTTTACCCCAAATGACAACCTCGAAAATCATTTGACTCGCTAGCGAGTCTCTGTCTGTTGTGAGAGAAACAAACTGACCGCGCCCTGCCTCTGACTGAAAACTTTTTGTTTGGCTTCGTCCCAGATGACGGTTTGATCATCTCCACCACTTGCGATCCGTTTGTCATTTGGTAATTTGGAGACTGATCGCACAGTTCTCGTGTCCTTCAAACGGGTCTTCCTACCAATGTTCCTTTATCCACATCCCAAATTCGCAGGTTGTGGTCTCCTGGACCGGTGACAACCCGTCAACCATCTTTGAAAAATGTGGATGCCTGCGCTGCGCCTGTATGCCCTTGCATCATCCGTTTCGGCGTCGGTTTCCTTGACGTTGTCCGCCCAGTCTGTTCATTCGACTGTATAAGCACGATGATGACCTATCCGCGACACGGCCACTCTGGACAGTGGACTCTATGTAGACTGGGCAGCCGGCTTCGGGCGGAGTTTGAACGCTACTCGATGACGGCGCACTTGTCGTGATGGATATTGATGGCATGTAGTAGTTAGACTCGTGACCAGCCTGTAGTAGTGGTTCTATCAAGAGTTTCATTTGGAGTATTTTGTTTCCGAAGGATGTAAACGAATCACATTATGTAATGCGAGCCATGAGGTGAACTTGATAGCTGATCAATTAATCATGTACAGGCGGACCACAGCTGCTTAATTTGACTGTTGTAAACGGTGATAAGCGACAAGTTATCTTATCCATAGCCTCTGCAGGTAATCCTGGCCCACGTATGTACTGACTCATCTAGTAAGTCGTTCACGATATATCCTAAGGATTTCTAAAATCCCTGAATGCGTACCAGCGACTGCAAATGAAATAATACACATAGTTGAGATGGAATATACTTGTACAATTCTTCTTTTGAACCTTGAGAACAAATACAACATACGCTGTGGACACCGATCGAGTCCTTCACTGATACCTTGTCCCGAAAATTCCCTCTTCGTATGATTTGATTTCTGAACGTGATTAAGCTCTCCAAATCGGAATCAGGAGCAGACAAAACGACTTACGCAATGCGATATGCTTGGAGTGGAACCTACAAAGCGCCAAGTTCCCCATCATGGACCATATACCATTGAGTTCCGCATTCTTGCTGCGCCCACCAACTTCTCGCCAGACGCTGTTCATCTCTCCTTCTTTGTCAAGGCCCCAGATAGGATACAATTTATCATGCAAGGACTCTGGAAGCAGAGCACGGTAGGCATGACGTGCATCAGCGTAGCTGACAATGTGTAAATTACGATGTCTATTAGTTAGGAAAAAGAACGTACCCAGTAGCGAAGACAACCACGTCCGCGTCGAGAGTAGAACCATCTTCGAAAAGTAAACCTGTCTGCGTAAAGCGCGAGATTGGCCCATCGCTCTTGAGCTTGATCTTCCCGTCGATGATCATCTGTGAAGCTCCAACGTCTTGATATTGGTATTATATGGTCAGCGCAGACATGATCCAATCCGTGAATGGACCAACCAAGATAATATCCTCCTGCCTTATTCCATGCCATGAGCAGAAAACCAGAGTCGTCGTCTCCCAAAGTTGTCTTGAAGCCTCGTTTTCGCAGACCCTCTAGAAGCTCCCTGGATCCCTCATCTATCAGGCAATCATAAAATTACATGTAGTCACATACTTATCTGCTTCAGCAATGTCCTTGGTGAGACGTTGATGTACTAATTTGAGCAACGAATTCGGATAAGACGCGTTCACGCGATCCGCAATATCAGTAGGAGGGCCGCCCTCCCAGAAGATCGCTGGGTGTATTTGTAATGGCAAGAGTGTAAAAAAGCAAATAACTCACCCATCAACCTCGGCATGCCCTCTTTTGTGGACATGATGTAAGTCGGGCTACGTTGAACCATGGTCACATCTGCGCCAATTTTGCTTGAATTATCATCAATATGCTTTGAAAAAATCATTTACCGACGCCATTTTCAACATAGTCCGCACATATGTCATGCGCTATACTTCATAGTGAGCAGAGAACATACAACATTCATGGTGCGACCCCTACCAGATGTGCAAGCGCCAACAACGACAACCTTTTTCCCTGCATGATCAGTTGCAAGATTGTGTTTGCTGGAATGCAATATCTGCCCCTTGAAATCGCCCTGTGCGGATATTTGACGTCAGCCTGAGGATCCTACATTCGTCGATCGAACGAACCTGTCCTGGGATATCTGGAATTCGGCCCATACCACTGCCAAAGCCCAAGGCAAATATGACATGGTTGACCTCAAAGGTACGCTCCCCTCTGCCAGCACGTTGGACTGTGACAGTCCATTTTTTACCTCTCGTACCCGGAATGACGGACGTGACCGTAGTGTTGGTCCACACATCGAGTTCCATACTGTGTGCATACGATTCCAGCCAATCTGCGAGTTTCAGTGCAGGCGTGTAGACAGGCCATGAAACAGGGAACCTGGGTGGATTTTTGTTAGACAGTCACGGACAACTTGAAACTGAGGTGAGACCCACGGAATGTATGGCATGTGGTCGTACCCTATACATGCGGGGCCATTGAGCAACAAGCAAAACACAATATTCTGAAAGAGCGATAAGCTCACAGACGGGATCATGAAGACACAGCGCTGCATAACGCTTTCTCCAATTATCACCAACTCTCTCGTTCTTTTCCACTACTAGAGTCTTTATGCCGAGCATCTTAAGCCGCGCTGCAACGTCGAGCCCACTCTGCCCGCCTCCGATCACTACGACGCCGGGCTCTTCGTCAAGACATTCAGTCTCACGTGCACGCTTCGCGGCCCACTTTCCGTGGTTTGGCTGGTGGTCTCGTCTGGGCCCATTCTGTTCTGGGAAACCTTTGAGATTTTCCAAGTTCGTGAAGACGGTATGGGCCTTCCATGAGCCATCTGCGAGCGGTACAAGCCGGAACACCCCAGATGCAATGCCGACTGTAGTTTCAAAGTCAAAAAACGCCTGAATCCACGCGATATCAGGGTATGGTCTCTGAAGCTCTACAAGATCTTCCTTGAGTTTGAAAGAAGACAAAGTAAACTGTGGGAGTTGGTCTGTGAGGAATGTTTTGACAGAAGGGGTGCTTTGGAAGGTGTGAAAGTCCCATGTTAAGGCGAGCATATCGCGCCAGAATACATCATCGACGAGGAGATCTATGACTGCTGGTACGTTCTTTGACTGCATCGCTTCCGCGAAAGCTGAGAACCATTGACTCGCTACCGCTTGAACATTGACATTGGGAGGAACTAAACTGCCGAGTTTATCGAGAGTAGGGAGGGTCAGTTGGTTCGCCATGATGCACAGAAGGAGAGATAATCGATAATCACCGTTATAAATGCCTCTTGATAGGACGGAGTTCCATCGGCTAGCCAACGAAACTCGCGAGTACGTACAGAGTCAACGGACCTTCAATTTCAGCCTGATCAGCTCTACTTCCGATGGTCAGATGTTCATTTCCATGTCAGAATCATGATAGGGGATTCTATCATGCATGAACCTTCTGAGCTCAAGTGACCTACCAGGTTGTGGCTATTTCTATAACAATTGGGTAAGTCAACCTGAAGTTAACGCAAAGTTGCCACGCTCACTTAGACCTGGACTGACTCATTCGAAATTCTCAGACTGCGATTTCTAATTTTCTATAGGCAGTAGCGATATACAACCCTGACCAATGCACTCTCGTACACCGTCTCTAAACCTCGCTGCTTTGCCCGACGATCTTTTATTTGAGGTGACATCATGCCTATCCTCTAGAACGGATATTCTCAACTTGGCGCTCTCAGTAAGCATCCCGAACTCAACTCTAACCTGCTCTTTCCTGAATTCATCGCATAAAGAGCAAATACCTATTCACTAGCACATGTTCTGCATTGTATGCCCAAGTGCACCTTGGGACCGCAGAACAATGCCAGCGAACTCTGTCGATGCTTCGTTCTCGCCCGGATGTTGCCCGTCATATCCAGAAACTTCACGTTCGATTTTCCTCTGCCTCCTCCGACTACATGGTCGATGTCAATGGAATTACAATATCAGCACTGCTGAGGGAACTCGCACCGAAACTGGACGCACTCCATACTTTCATCTGGGACGCGGATGAGATCCCGCAATGCGATGATATGTGGTTCGCCCTACGAATGTCGTATGTCTGGTCGATGATTCATTCCTCACCAATAACTTAACTTTCTCACAGGTGCCCACGGCTGCGCACACTTGGCACATGTTACGGATCTGTGATACCAAGCCAACGAAGCCATGTATGTGCATGATAAACACGTTTACCATTTACTCATGTTCTCTAGTTGCTGGAATTCAAGAACCTCCGCGGGTTCTCGTTGAGCCTGAAATATGGATACTACGCTCATCATACCGATGACTTTCAAGGTCTGTGCTTTGTTGACATGTGATTTCCTAGTGCGTTGACACGTTGCAGATGCTGTTCCTTTTGATGTTCGCCTTTGGGATATGCTGATCCGGCGTTCCCCAAACCTCGAGGAGCTGCATGTCTTAGGTGGGCCATTGATCCTAGACGGAACAGTGCATCCACTCTGCAACGCACGCTGGCCTCTTCTACATTCCCTATCTCTAGGGGACGTCATGTTAGATTGGTCTTCAGGACCAGGACCCATGTCTTCCAAGCGCCCTTTCATAGCTTTTTTGGAGGCTCATCAGCGTCTGCGATCTCTTCGTATATCCCGCACTGCACTAAGTCCTCATGTCGTCCCTTCACTCGATCAATCCGCATTACCACTTCTTACTCATTTTACTGGTTCGTTGGAGCACCTTCAAGCCCTGGCCCCTTCCCATCCACAAATCACACACTTGACGATTGAGGAGCCGCTAATCATCCGTGATCTCGCACCTCTTTTAATTGCAGGGGTATTGCAGAGCCTGCGCTGCCTCACTGAACTTCGCGTTGCCTTCGTTTTTCACTCTTCATATGAAAGTGCAAACTTGATTAGAAACCTTGTAAGCACTTGCCCCGGACTGACCACGTTGGAGATAACGTGCGCAAGAAGGTCGTCCTTTAAAGTTGTATGTTCTTTCTTGATTGCCGCCTGCATACTAAGGTCTTTAATAATGATCTCTCAGGACACACTAGCCAAATCCGTTAGCTACCTTCCTCGGCTGCGTCACCTACGGTTGACGCTAGTTCCGGTAGCCACAGGGGACTCGTTGCGTGTTTGCGCGCTCCATGTCATACAAGCGATCCCGCGCTTACACTCATTTGCACTAACGTTCATTTCCGCCTCACTTCCTCTATCCCTTACCCCCGTCGATTTTGGCATGTATGAGGAGAGTGGGAACTACGTTGTTCGTGCCGACGAGCATGGGCTCCCTCATTCTCTGAGCTGCACTGAGCGAAGGCCTGCGCTACGCCTGCCCTTTACACTTCCAATCATTCCAATCCCACTAGCAGTGCCGCTACTGACCATCTCTCCTTTCACATCCCCCTCACCAAGGGAGAGGAAAATGAGAACCCAACGATTCTTGCTGAACCTATATCCAATCACTCCCAGGCATGGCGGTTTAGGTCTTATTCTGGAGCGTAGTACAGCAGGGGATGAGGCGAGGGTGCTTACTGTTCTTGTGGCGCTAAGCGGGCTTGCGCTGTGGGGTTTCTTTGCATAGATTTAGACACGATGGGTACGTACAGCCCTGACAGCCTTCAGTATTTCAATTATTTATTATTTATGTGGTTAAATTATTGATGGAGTGCATGGTCTTACTTCGCCCAGGATTTGGGAACACGATGTCGACGGATTCCCGAAGCCAAGAAACACGTCAATCGATGTGTGTATCAGAAGGAGCTGACCTACATCTTTCAGGGTAATGAAAACTACCGCGGCAAGTCATCAAATACACGACGCGCCAAGCTATGCTACACAGGTTGAAACTTGTGGCCCATCATTCTCATCGTGGGGGCGATGCGGTTGTTGGTTCTTCCGAGGGTTTAGTACAAGCCGCAATAGAAGTAGCCATGCGGTTGATTATCCCTCCGAGGGCGGCCGCGCTAGGACGTATGGTCAAGTGGTTTAAGGAGGCTGAAGTGCATGTTCACAACCCCGGCCGGGCCAGTACAGCCGAGATCCAAGTACCGATGATATTCTAATTATATCCGGGCATTCTAACCTTGACTTGGAGGTTCATCTGGAGGCATCTATAGCTAGCCACTATGGTAGTATCACCAGAACACCAAATTTTGGTGCTGATTTCATTATGATGCAGCTAGTTGCTCTCCCGTTTCCGTGAGCCCACACATCGTGCAGATACATCTCGTTTTGTGTATGCAAGTACAAAGTACAACCTATTGCGTGTAAGTAAACCCACGCACTGTATAGTTATAGGTAACAATCTGTGCAGGTATCCGTTCAAATCACCTACGCATCCGAAGCCAATCCATGCAGTTTATCCACCTCCTCATAAAGTTTTGTCCAATCACGACAAACAGTCTCATACCCCCTAACAGCGGTCCCAAGGTTATTCACAGTCGGCTCAATCCTGATATTAGGTCGACACGAAATCGACTGACGAAGATAATTCATGCAATGACGTGCGATCGACGACGGTGGACGCTTCTCCGCATAATCATCCCGAATAATTCCCAAGCATTTGAGCTGGTGAAAGAGCGTCACCGTGTAAACGCGGTTTTCGCCCGTCTCTGCATCTTTGATCTGGACGGTGTGTCCTCCGCGCGGAATGAGCTTTGCGTACTCTTCTCCGCCTTCGTCTGTGTGGGCGCTGTAGTGTGCTGTTTGATCTATTCGCATCCATACTGGATCTCCGAAATCTATTTGAAGGGATAGATCTGATGCGTGGAATCGTTTAGTCGGGATGCGCTTTGAAAACTTTGTGGTACGTACCATGACTGAGAGCAATTCCTTTGAAAGACCTGTTGTCGGACGACCAAGGTCCTCGTATAATAAGATTGCCAAGGCCGACGCCTACGACTGTGGCGAGTATCACTTTAAAAGCAAAGACAAGTCGTCTCGAGCTCATCATTAGCAGCTGCAGGGACTCGGAATCGCAGTAACATCATTTTGGCGCTTACTACACGTACTAGTACCATGTGGCGGTACGTTACGATTCCCTGGGAGATCGAATCAGAGTCGCCACAATACTTGATCCAGCGGCCAGTAGTCACCTGTGCTATTATGTAATTACCAAGGCTGCATCACGAGGTTCCGGATATATACAGATCATTGTGACGGAGATACCATAAGAGTCAATCTCGTTATAGGTGAAATAAGGTCCTGAAAGGCAGTCTTTCCAATTACTTATCTGCGGCCATCATTACCTCGAGCGTATCAGCTCCATGATGAGGCCAGTGCTAGCCGGACACTGAATACTCCATCTTCTATGCGGTCAGTACGGATGCTGTTTCCATTGAACGACTACGTCCAATGCGAAGTTTTGTTGAACGCCTTATTTTCAAAGCAACTGTGGGGTATCATATAAATAATTCAATCCTGAGACATGAGGCTCCACTGTCGTAAGTACACCAAATAACAAATTTTGTTTCTTCAAAAACGTATATACTTTGACCCGAGGGATTCTGCAACGTGATCTTAGCAAGTATCCAAGCGACCTTGCTCACACGGCCGCTTCCACCGAATTGCGGTCGTTACTCTTGTAGACCACAGGAGGCCCAGTGCTAGTGGAACTGGCACATGTCTTGGAACCTTCGTACTCCAAGTCACCCATGCGAATTGCTTGCACTGATGGCCTCGAGGTCATGACCCTAGACATGGTTTCCTGAGACCATCCCTTTCCTTGCGCGACTCGGAAAACTATGAGCAACATTGCAATTATCTTTGGCATATCATAAGCAGCGTGAACTTCTCTCTATTTGCAAGTGCTAACCTGAACCTGAGTCAGCGACTCGATGAATGTCGCCGAGATGGGATTGTTCGTGAGGAAGAGTAACAGAAGCGCCACCGAAAACGTGGAATAAAGAGCGGCTGATTCAACGATCATCGCGGCAATCGACGTGTATTGAGTGCCGTAGCTAGAGCCGAGAGCTTTGGTGATGCGACGACGATATGTAAGTAGACGAAGTACGATGACGATCGTGATGACGATGTTCAGTGCGAGGGAGAGACTGAGATATGGAACGGTGTAGTTGATTTTAGTCGAGGTAAAATATGGGGAATTGGCGGTTACTTGAAGCATCCACATTATACCCATAGCTGACCGATGCGATGGTTGAGCGTCGGATACAATCGCAAAGGAAGCAACTGACCGATGGATGCAGTAAGCATCAGACAAGGAAACAACATGATGATCCACATCGGCACCATGCACCCTCTGTAGATTACCATGCATCGCCAAACCTGCACAGATATATCAGCGATAAAATTTTCAACATCGAATACGTCTACTCACGACTAACGTATCTGAAAGAATCATCGTTATAAGACCACAGGCGTTTCCAAGATTGTCCACAGGAATGCCGAACATGGTATTCTCAAATGCGTTGGGACCACCTGGATAATTGCGATCTTGAATGAATGCGAGTTGCGTGAAATTGGCCAGCGATGCCATAAATAAGGTGCTGAGAATAAAGATAGTCGTGATGTATATGAGCAGAGGCAACTGCTTTTTGTAGTTGGTGCGGTTCGTGTGCAGCCAAAGGAGGTGGAAACACATGAAGAAGAGTGCGACGTCGATGCCATATGCAACGGCGCTGACCACTGTACCCTGCAGCCAACCTTTCTCTGCGAGAAGGGTTTCAGAGGATTCGTTTGGTGTCCAACTAGAATTTGAAGACATGATAGATCAGATGATGTCTGATGAATCCTTCCGGTGGAGCAGGGATCTGGGGTGGGAGGGAGGTCATGATGTTAGTACGCCGTTAAATAAGACTAAGAGGTATCCTTGCTACAGCCGTCGCAAGGTCCATGCGATGAACCGTGAGTTGGCGTTTTGAAGAACATCAATCTTGACGTGGAGAGAGCCAATAATAGACTTCCAAGAACCAATTACCAAATGGGAAACATTATATCCTCTTCTGGAACCGCACAAACGACCGCCGGGCAAGTTTAACAAATCGGTTCAACAACCATCATTTCAAATCATCAAGATGCGGCTCCTCATCACACAGCCGCGAGTTAAATAAACGCTAACCCAACTCATCAGCTTGCTCCCCCTTATTCAAATGGCTGAGATTTCAGGAAAAGTACGTTTCAAAGTAGGAGACGGCGCGTACCAGACTTGGTACAAAATCGTCGGCGATCTTGCCTCAGGTGCACACCCTCTCATCGTGCTCCACGGCGGTCCTGGCGTCTCCCATGAGTATATGACGCCTCTCGCTGAACTTTACAACAAATGCAACATCCCCGTCATCTTTTACGACCAGATCGGTATCGGCAAGTCCATTTTTGAAGGTGTGGCGGAGAAGCCCAAAGAGTTTTGGACAGTCGATCTGTTCATGGACGAGCTGGACAACCTTATCGCCCACCTTCGTGTCCAGAATGGTTTCGCTCTTCTGGGTCACTCCTGGGGAGCGATGATGGGAGCACACTACGCCAGCCACAGACATCCTGTGGGTCTCAAACACCTCATCCTCACTAGCGGAGCCCCATCAATGGCATTGTGGGAACAAAGCACCGGCCAGTTGCTGAAAGCGCTGCCAGCGAATGTGAGGGAGACGATTGAGAGGCATGAAAAAGCGGGGACGACGGATAGTCCTGAATATCATCAAATGATGGGTATCTTCTATGAAAAGCACGTTTGCAAGACACCCTGGCCAAAGGTGATGGAGACATCGTTTGCGGCCATGATGCAACATCCCACTGTGTATCAGACGATGTAGGCGATATCTCGATGCACCTTTTCGATATGTACTGATGATTATTGCCAGGATTGGACCGTCAGAGTTCACGATTACGGGCACGCTGAAGTCATGGACGTGTCTGGAACAGATTCACACGATTACGGTTCCTACTCTGGTCACGAACGGTGTGATGGACGAAGCGCAGGATGTCTGCGTCAGTCCTTTCTTCCAGAGGATTCCGCATGTTAAGTGGGCTCAGTTCTCCCAGCGCCACATGCCGTTCTTGGAGGAGGAGGACCAGGCGAGATACCTTCAAGTGGTGGCTGATTTTCTGACGTATCCTTGAATGGTCAACCCTGTAAAATAGAACCAAGAATGAATGCATGGGAATGGAATGACCAGGTTACCACAGCGATTGATTTCCTCCCTTCTACCGGTACAGCGAAGGATAGGCTTGAGGGATTATCCTATCTTGAATAGATGGTGAAAAATCAGTATTGGGAACACGCATGAGAAGCCAATTCGAGGAGCTTTTTCTCTGTCTGGACCACTAGAAACTGTACAATTTTGTTGAACACATTTAAATAAAATCTAGTACAGCTATCGAACCACTCAATAAAATAATACATAGTTCCACAGATGTATTCAGCAAAAACAGATCGAAACGTACGAAGTAGTGTGTCAATTTAATCCCAATGCGCCCTCCACTGCAACCACTGCTCATGCTGCTCATCAAGTACAGAAATTACCTTACTCCAGTCTCTGCATACCAACGTGTCCCCAATTCTGTCCTTCTCGTAATCGACTTTCATAAAGTCTCCCATTTCCAGCGTATGCGCAGCGTCGCACATAAGAGTCTGTCGAAGATAATTGAGACAGTGATGTACGTGATGATACGTGACCTGGGGTTGGTCACGGTCATAGTCAAGAAGAGCTCGCTGCAGCATCCACAAACAGTGAAGCTGATGACCAAAGATCAGCACGAAAACTCTGTGCTCTGGTCCTAGATGGGTGCGACCAATCAGTTTGGGCCAGCTTGGGAGACCCTCCCATTCCATTTGAGCTTCTGTATCAGATGCGTTGAGAGCAAAGCGTACGCTCTCGTGAAGAGTCATCGCGACGGGTTCATGCGTGAGATCGATGGGATATTCCCATGGGTAGTCGTCACCAGCGTAAGTGTATTCTATAGATTCTAAAATGCCCGAGGTTAGTCTTTGCTTCGACACGTATGGAAGGTACTTGCGATGTTGCGCCGGTTGTAGTTGGATGCGAGCATGCCACAAGGTGACAAGTAAACTAAGCATTCCGAACATCCAGCCGACTACCAGTTCTCCGCGAGACATCATGGATACCGATTACCTGCAGGTACTAACACAAGTTTCTTGATCAAGTCCTGCTGACATATGATGAACACTGCCAACGAATTTGCATAGCCCCAAAATACTTTACCCGGTCAAAGCTAGAGCCGCCCTCCTCGCAGACCTCGCATAACTTGTCGGAAATTTGTTAAGACGCGGTGTTCTGCGAGCTGTCCTGAGCTGACCTGGGGAATTCCGAATAGTAGGTACGAGATGAGTTATAATACAAATATCCAATGAACTAGTGTTTTGGAGTGTTGATAGCTTGGTCGGATAATTGAACTGCCGACGGCCGTAAAGGACTAGTCGCTCCCTACTATGGGCCACATGCCACATGATACTTTGATCGCAGCGACGCCCACGCCGCGGCCAAACTGCTTTTCCACCCCACTCCATTGTGGCACATCATAATCTGTTATGCATCTCCGTTGATCATCCTGAAAGATGTACCGCAAGGTAAGGTTATTTCTTTCCGATGGATCAATTTGAAAGGTGAGCAGCTGATCAGAGGTAGACCAATTACCTGAGAGCGCATCTCTATCCAAATGCAGAATGTAACTTTCGTTCGTAGAAACATGGATGATGTTGACAAAACAACTCATACAGTCGAATACCGTCAACTGCTCGAGGCGAGACTTCAGCAAGTACCATTTATATGGCGTCCCTTAATATGGGCTCAGGAGTCAGCCTTTAAAGCTTTATCACGCAGACGTATCTATCGGTAGACCAGAATTAGAAATTTTGACTTAGCCGCCTTTGTCAAGTTATTATTGGAGCACCATCAAACAGCCGGGAGATGCCAGCTTTTTTTTCGCGGTAAGTCGTTATACGACCTTATGCGGGATGGTACAAATGCTGTGACGGGGCCTTGGAATCCCGACACGCGCACACTGATCTCAGACCAGCTCCACATCTTGATGGTGGTACTATACTGCTGTGGGTGGCCTTCATGGTCAAGCAACGAGCCCTCGCTGTAAAAGGCACTAAATGTTGCTAAAGGTAAGGCATGCTCGTCCGAACCAGATGGGACTCCACCGCGGCTTTGCTCGAAGGCCTGCCCTATGCATCAGCATTGCGGTGTTGGTACTACTCCAAAAACGGTACGAACCTGGAAGTGCCGTCACACCGGCCTCACAATGTTCCATACTAGTACTCTGAAACCCTTACCGCCAAGAAACACTTCTGATTAGTATAGCCATGGCAATTCCGCATCGCAGTACACTGAATCTGAGCATCTTACAACCGGAAAAGAATACCAGGAAAGACCGCTATCTCCGAATTCCAATCCGACATACGTCATGTAAGCAAACCCTTGCTGAGCTGATGTTTAAAAGGGCCCAACTACCAGGACACAAGGAACCCATCTTTTGAACCAGCGAGTCTTAGCCAACAATATCATTCAGTACCATGATCGTGCTCAACATCAGCTTCTACATCTTACTTTTGTCTATGAACTTTGCGCGACTCACAGCAGCAGTGCCAGTCACTGCCACTGACGGGGAATGTCACGCGTCCGGTGACGACGAAAATCCAAGTTGTGAGTATGTCCTGGCTATCATGTAGGACTTGGCTGATGAATTTGAACCTCTAGCTGGTGCTGTATTGGCTTGCTTTTAAAGCATCAAATCAGCCTGAAGATCACAAGTTGATGTAAAGAATAATGGAATAGCAGATGGGGCAGTCGTATTGTATATGATCACTATACACATATAGTGAAATTAGCCTTCAACAACAAATCATTTCGCCAATTTATTATTTGAATGGGCAGCGAAAAATTGTACTATTAAGAATATATATGATGACGACTGCAGAAAAAAAAAGTGGGCGCAGTGGAAGGAGCATTGAGGCCAAGCTGATACGCTAACTTCTATGCATGTACATTCATTTGAGAGTAGAACTCTATGTAAGACAATAGATTCTGATTTAGGGAGTCTGTGTCCTATCGCGCCCCTAGGTTCGTTCAATGCTGCCCTGGTGCCATGAGGCGTGCCTCACCAATGTCCATCGAAGGTAAGATGACTTGGAAGGTTCGTACAATTAAGTACGTGTAAATCAAGGGGGATGAGGAATTTCTTCGTGCGGTTAGCACCGTGCATCGTGCGACTTCGAAGCTGTGGAAAAACAATCCCCGAATTCTAAACGAACGCACTTCCCCCTCGCCTGGCTGCTATATTAGAAGGTCCAACTGGTCCCATCTGGCATAAACAACAAGTCTTAACCAGCGAGCCTTCAAGACCGACAGTATCATCCAATACCATGAGCGTGCTCAATATCAGCTTCTACGTCTTAATCTTGTCTGTGGCCTTTGCGCAATGCGGACTGGTGAAAAAAAACAGTGATAAGGCGTGTGGAGGGAACATAAGTGATGACGTGGATAGTGAGTAGATCCCAGCGATAGTATAGGACTTTGCTGATGGATTTGAATTTCTAGTAGAGGATGGGGGCCTAGGTTGCTTCTAAAGCCTTGATGCGCGGATGCAGCAGAAGGAAGGATGACGAGGCGACATGGCGATGACAGTGCGGATTGTAGTATACCTGTATTGTAACGGCGCTCGGCCTCGACTCCAGGTTCGCGAATCACTTTCTTGCAAGATAAGTCCATTGGACATACAGTTGTGCAGCACCATCAAATGCCAGTGTACACATGCTGTATTTGTAACAGTATCAGTCAGTGTAATCTCGCGCAGTACTAACTCAGGCTGCATCCAGTGCTCTTGAGGAATTTTCATTGGTGCCGTACGTCGTACGACTTTAGATGGCAGCCACATGCATTCTTGCGATAATGATGCGGACGCTAGCAACAATATTTGTCCGAGATGCTGCGGCTCATCGCTCGAAGTCTCTATCGAACTGCCTGTTGAAGAATCGAACTTACAGGACAGGTAAGTTGATACCAAGTAATACCGTAGATATCTTACCCTGGTTATCAGTGCAAACCATCGTGGAACCTTTAATGGGAAGATTCAGGTAACCAAGTTTAGGAAGCGGAAGATACTCAAATCACCACGGAGTGATGGACAATTTGGATTGGCTACGATATTTTGTATTGTTTATACAACGTACATACTATAGCTCGCATCACCATCAATGATGTGCGCATGATACTTGAGCTTGAGCGCCCATTTCATACAAGCTACATCAGGTTAGCCTAATCCCGCAGTTTCAGGTCTCTTACATGCTCATTCACGCCGCATTCGCGTATTTGGAGTTTCGGATGAATGTATTTCCCAAGCACAATTGCGAAATCAAGCATTGCTACATCCTCGAAGAATCACTGGCACGTACAGCGCTAGTACGACTAATATGATAATCAGCTCCCAAACACCGCCATTTCATTTCAGGTGATGGACAAACAGCCAAATAGTCCAACTTGAGTGTTGAAACATCATTCTCGTGTATAAAGGGTTGCGTCCTGCGTTGCCATGCAGCTCGCTCCATACGTCAAACTTCCAATGACTGAAGTTACAGGCAAAGTAGTTTTCAAAGTCGGAGAAGACACGTACCAGACTTGGTACAAAATCGTCGGCGATCTTGCTTCGGGTGCTCATCCTCTCATCGTGCTCCACGGCGGCCCTGGCATCTCGCATGAGTATATGACACCTCTCGCTGAACTTTACAGTAAATGCAACATCCCCGTCATCTTTTACGACCAGATCGGTATCGGCAAGTCCATTTTTGAAGGTGTGGCGGAGAAGCCCAAAGAGTTTTGGACAGTCGATCTGTTCATGGACGAGCTGGACAACCTTATCGCCCACCTTGGTGTCCAGAATGGCTTCGCTCTTCTGGGTCACTCCTGGGGAGCGATGCTGGGAGCACACTACGCCAGCCACAGACATCCTGTGGGTCTCAAACACCTCATCCTCACTAGCGGAGCGCCATCGATGGCACTGTGGGAACAAAGCACTGGCCAGTTGCTGAAAGCGCTGCCAGCGAATGTGAGGGAGACGATAGAGAAGCATGAAAAAGAGGGGACGACGGATAGTCCTGAATATCATCAAATGTTGGGGATCTTCTATGACAAGCATGCTTGCAAGGCCCCCTGGCCAAAGGTGATGGAGACGTCGTTTGGGGCTATGATGCAACATCCCACTGTGTATCAGACCATGTAGGCGATATTTCGATGCACCTTTTCGATATGTATTGATGATTATTGCCAGGATTGGACCGTCAGAGTTCACGATTACGGGCACGCTGAAGTCATGGACGTGTCTGGAACAGATTCACACGATTACGGTTCCTACTCTGGTCACGAACGGTGTGATGGACGAAGCGCAGGATGTCTGCGTCAGTCCTTTCTTCCAGAGGATTCCGCATGTTAAGTGGGCTCAGTTCTCCCAGCGTCACATGCCATTCTTGGAGGAGGAGGACCAGGCGAGATACCTTCAAGTGGTGGCTGATTTTCTGACGTATCCTTGAATGGTCAACCCTGTAAAATAGAACCAAGAATGAATGCATGGGAATGGAGTGACGGTGACCATATTACCATAGCGATTCCCTCCTTCCATAGGATATGTTTAAGGGATAATCCTGTCTTAGGTTAAGGACACGCGATGAAAGAGGTGTCCAGTCTGCTATATGTTAGGAGAGCGTGAAGATGCTAGAAATAACTGCGCGATGAAAGAGGATAAAAGGCAGACTTGCGATAAATTGATTGAGACAGTGCACGGGATTTGCCGAATGCACAACAATAATGTTATTGCGAAGGCTTGATCCAGTCACCTTATGCATTTACCAAAGACATGGAAAACATACTATCAATCGGGGCAGGCGTAGCTCTGCGCGTCGTGCTCGACGTTGCAACAGGCAAAGATCACAAACTCATAGGTTGGTTTCGAGCAGTCTTTGATTTTTTTTTCAAGTATATCTAATTAACTTTGCTGCAAGGCATACTTATCGGACTCTGGGAAGGCGTCGTGCTCTCGCACTTCCTCTCAAAGCATACCCGTTCTCGATCGAGGTCAAAAGACCCATACCTCGCCCTTGCTACGCGCATAGCAATTGACATTTACTTATCACAATCACTTTCTCGCTTTGCCCTCACATGCGCATGGACGCTGGTCGGGCTCCTCCTTGCAGACGTCGCTCCCGGAATATGGCGCGATACAGGACTGAAGAAAATCTATAAGGCACTGAGGAGGGAAATGAGATCTATAATGAAGGCCATGCCGCGATGGAAGGTCAAGAATGACATACGGATACCGAAGATTTCCATGAAATATCCCGTGCGAGGCTTGTTTACACGTGCTCCACCATCATCTGTTGTTTCGAGTACCCGCGCTGCACCTCCCGCTTCACCCTCTAGACAAATACACAAAAGACGCATGCCACCCGGGACGTACCCTGGCCGTCCTGCCCTTTCTGAAACAAACTCCGAGCTTAGTCGCGTCCGCGAAGTCGTCCTAGGACCATCCCCAGTGTTCATAGCAACTTCCGTCGATCCTGCATGCCTTCCACCCGTCAACCTGCACTCTCAACATATTTCACACCTCTCCGATACTGGACCTTCGAGACATGACTCTATAAACGTCCACGATGACAGCTGGGTGCACGTTAGTGTGTCTTCACACTCGCCAGAACAAGGGCAGGACACAGAGCTAAGTGTACTCGATATCCCTTCACATCCATCTCCAAGCCAAATGATCACCGCAAACGTTGAAGTTGTTTCCCCAACACCTCGCATGCATATCAATGCTCTCCCTACGATCGCTGCTCACCAAGTGCCACTGCCGGAATCACGGCCGGCATCCGTCATGGGCAGTGTCCTCTCCCTATTTGGCGCAAAGAGTATACTGAGCCGCGCGCGAGGTGACAAGACCACGTCGGACGTGGGAATTGATGCTACTCAGCATCAAGCAAGCATAACTGAATGGGAACGTCCAACTCCCATACAAGAAGAGCACCAGCCCAGCGCAGTGACGGGACACCGCCGCGTGGGTTCAGGCCCTGGACCCTCAATGCTCAGATATGCGGATGATGATAATGAATCGGTGGTGGGTTCGGTGGTAGGGAAAGGCGCAAGAACTGAGCCCATCTTCGGTGGTAGGTCAGAGTCTCTGTTGGGCACTGGTACTGCTAGAGGCGCAGCTTTTGTAGGCGGACTTTCTGCCGAGGTGATTGTACCCGAAGCTTTTGTGGGTGGGTTTGCAGTGGAAAGCACCGGGAATGACTTTGCCATCCAGTCAAGCATTGGGTCTCAAAATCTTCCCGTGAACCCTTCTCAGACACCCACCCCTCCTGATGCTCCAAATACGAGGTCTATGATTACCGATCCCGAACTTCTTGACTGTGTTCAACAGTTGAACATTGATAGTATCACAGGCACCAACATCGACACCGACAACCCCCTCCTGAACTCTATCCCCAATGTAGATGACCCTGGCAACAACCAAGATCCCGCTCTTACCGTCACTCAAAAACAAGAAAAACCAGGAAAGTCAGAAAGGAAGAGGAGAGGACCCAAGAGTGTTTTACAGACAGCCTTTCAGAGCGCTACGCCCGGTGCACCTGAGACCACATCCAAAGACCAACAGCAAACCTCTGTCCGCGCTCAAACACCAGGTCCTGACTCTCAAAACCCCACAGGCTCTGCATCGGACCCCTTAGCCACTCTAGATGGTCTAACACAAGATGCCGCTGTTTCTGTGCAACGTGCGACGGAGGTAGACACAGACACAACGAAGCACGGGCACATCCGTGGGGTGCAAGGAGCCGACTTCCCTGACAGCAGCCCCAACTCGCCGCCACCGCCCTTCAAGGAAGTGGGAACTCCCATCGAGCCGACTCTTCTTACCCCAGAGCAGACCGAACGCGAGTCCCTGCGCGGGGAATTCTTGATGCGGGAGTTGAAGCAGCTGGAAGTACATATTGCGAAGGCAGAGAGTGGGACGGGGCGGGGAAGTCCAAGTGCATTGAGTGTGGAGAGGCTGAATGGGCTCAGGGAGAGGCTTGGGATGGTCAGGGAGAGAGTCGAGAAGAGGGTTTATGAAGGTGCTTCTTTGATTTGAATTATTTTGGCTTTCGACACTGTGCTAAATCCTCCCCTTTCTCCTTCCATGCACAGATTCCTCCATCGAACTTGGAACCCCACACCAACTTACCCTTTCAGGTATCGATGGCCCGTCGGCCATTGACCTTGTACATACCGCCATTGTAGATCTGCTCCTGGAAACGCCCCATGCAGAGCCATTAACGGTTGTTGGATATATCAACAAGCAGAAGAAGGCAGGCGGAAAGGCAGGTGATTTGAAGAATATTGTTGTAGATTGGGTGAAAGAGTGAGCATTTTTTCTCGTTGTTTCGCCCCCCTTTTTAGCAGATGGGTTTTATTTTATTTTATTTCTTCTTTTTTATGCGGCTTCGCACTAATGCCTCACCTTGTAGGAACAAGTTCAAAGTCCGGAATGACCCGGGGACGCCATTTATTCTGAATATCACATTTTAAATGTTCGTGTTACACGCCCATTGAATATCGTGTCCACAGCGCTTTCACCACCGGTGCGTGTTGTGTTCACAACGACCCCCATACATGTTTTGTCTATGTGGATCTTATCGCGATTTATGTCAATTATTCAACCGTGCAAGTACCCTATTCCACCAATCACCCCCACGACATTAATATCTTACCTATACCACGCACTCGACTTCACACCTGGAAACAGACACTGCTGGACAATGCTGTCTCTGCTCTTTATGCGCTGAATTATGATCACTAACAGATACGCAGTACAAGTTATTCATTTGTATATAGTTTTTTATGTTTGTGCGAATGTTCACTTTCAATGGGATTCTGATTATGCTCTGTATGATTTACTGGGCTGCTAGGCATGTGGTTCATTGCACATGGTCAATCAAGCACTCCGGAGTCCGGAGCATCAAATCACCCGCGGTATGCGTCGGGCATCATGGGATGGATAATGGATCTGCATATGTTGGACTCCGCGATCGTCTTGGTGTTGATAAGTTACAGAGACGGGGTTTAGGGCTGATATGTGAGCCTTAACGCGAAACAAGGAAGACTATCGAAAGCCTCTTTTCAGTGCAGAAGGTCTATCAACCTGTGATTATTCGCTTGCTTGTTGTGTCGATAACACGGCGTGTTCTGGACATCCCAGCGATTATGGTACTGCGATAGCCTGAGAAGCTACTCTCACACCTCTCGAAGCAGCTGGGCTTCCCATACACTGTGCGTACTTGCTGTGCTTTGGCAGCTCGCTTCAGCACCGAAGCGCAGATAATGTGGGTAAGCTCGGGGCTGATTCTGTAGACCTCTTGGAGGAGACCTCGATCGTTTTCTTCAAGGCTACGAAGGCCCCACATCCATGAGGCATGAATTCTACTATAAATTCAGCTTGTCCATGCGTATTTCCATTGAAATCGTGCGGCTCACCTCTCGCCGCAGCTTTACGATGTATCTCAGCATTCTATTCCTCATTTACGTTTTATACGTACTTCATATTTCGCGTGCCGCCCGCGTCATTGTCAACACAGGTACAAATTATGTTCCGACTCAGCTAAATGTTGATAACCTGTGTAAAGACGTTGCCCCAGGGATGGCTGGTGAGATCTTCAGATGTCGCCCGCAGCTATTATCTGATCCCTGCGGTAGTTCCCGCTGCTGACACTCAGGATGGAAGACTGTGGATAACAGCCATCCTCGACGAAATAATCCCAAGCAGAGGCAAGACGTCACAACTCATTACGTCGCGGCCTGAACTGATCGCCCGCAGTCCGTGCTGATGGTCGGCATACGGTAGATGCTCGAATGACGCCCCTCGTTGGTGCTCTTTGGCAAACAGGCGTTCATCAAGAAGTATCACCTAGCCGAGGTAGATAAAATCGCTCGACTTGTTCTAGAGCTACCATTTCTGTTACTACAGCAGGCAACAACAGGGCAAACGAACCGGAACCGACACCAGCCGCTGTTTCTTTTTGGAAGACCGAGGGAATAGCTTCAAAACTGTGTTAGTCTATATGAATGGTCGCTTGACTAGTACTTACTAAAAAAACCATAGCGGCTGTTCAACATGCTGAGGGACCTGTACCTACGCACGTCTTTGGATTGCTATTACAAACCGCAGTCCACGAGAGGATTTACGATTCTTGAGGCAAGCAGTATAACGCCGCAACATGTTGGTCGATACATGCCCTTGCACAACAGACTGACAACGATCGAATCGCAGCAGTTGAAAAGCAGTTTTGAAGCAACGCGGGACTCGGGAGGGTTGTAGAGTTGAAGATTCAAGAAATTACAAGTCGTTACCACTTTGAAGCGCTGACGTTATCTTGTTCGTGAGTCTGAGTGCGTGCATTGGAGAAACATTGAGTGTGTCAGTCGGACTCAGTCCACAACTACGGATTGTTTTGTCACGTTAACCCCGGCAATCGTGTTTCAAGGACATGTTCAAGGGCGTATGACGGAAGAATGGTGACCGACGGTACTCAAGGACGAGTACTTCCATGTCCCATTCAAAATTCAAATGGCACAACTGTTGCTTACTGGCTTTCTGGGCTTGTGGAGGAGAGAGTGCCAAAGTCAGGCGAGTCAAAGTTGTATTTATCTTCCCTTCGAGTAGTGACCCATTCGATTCAAGTCCAAGATATGCAGTCACTATGTAGATGTAAAAAGTAGAAACGGCATGACTTGGACAGACTTGGACCAAGTTGCTTGAAAGGGAGTATAGAAATACGGGTTTTCCCGGCCAAGTGGCTTTCTAAATTGATCAACTGCTTTTCTGAGAACTCAGAACGGGATGTGTTAACCCTATCGATTTACTATCAAATCCGACGCTGAAAATACTCAAGATAAATCCTGCTCAATCTGAAGCACCCTGATTTTGTTTATGAGATGGCGCGTAGTCAGGCAAGAAAATGGTGTTCCGCTCGGAGGGTGTACATTGTCATGGTGAGCCCCCAATTTTTTTTTTGAAATTGTTGCTTGTTAGTGACTCATGAAGTCCTTCTTGCTTGCTAGCTACCGGCATGAAATGCAGTTCACGCTACACACTAGATGCGCACAGGAGCTTCCAATGAACTGGTTGTGATCACGCCCTGATGATGGCAACGACAAGGCAAAACCCCATAATCCCGGCAGGCTGCGGGCACAAACGACACGATAGTCGGACATGACATGTACAGAGTCCGATTGAGAAAATTCCTGAAACAAGGATGACAACCGAAATGATAACGCCTCAATGCAAAAGATCATTTTTTTCACCGAGATAGCAGTCTAGAATCCTCTTGCACAGGTAAGTAGTAAAAATAATACAATCGTGCATGCAGGGAGTGCTTATGGGTCTAGCGAATGGCTCATCATCTTATTCAACATCAATCCCATAATCATCGTCCTACAGCGAGACGACCAACTCTTGGTTTCTCCTAAGCAGAGAATAGCGAAGGGAAACAGTTGTTCCTCCTGACTACTGATACTAATAATGGCTCCGAGGACAGGCTGCGCGCATCTGAGAGAATTTTTGTTGCAATCCCGAATGAGAGGCAAGTATGATTATCTCTTATGAGTTTCTAGCTCGTGGTCGTTACAATGACTACTAACTCTCAGGCATCAGCACTAGTCGCTTGCTCATAATAAACTAAACACAGGATGTTCATAGTATCTCTAAGCCCTTTTGCGTGGTGGTGAATCATGATGAGCCATACTCGGACGTGAGCCGGTACCGCCCTTTGCGACGCCCAAAGCTGCTGTGTTAGGAAACGAGCATAGTTTCTGCACTTGGTAGGATCTCTCCGCCTGTATAGCTTATTCATCTTCCAGAATTGAGACGGTTCAGGATCTTGAAGATGCTGACACTCCTCGAGCGTTCCTCTAATTCGAGTAACACAATTCGCGGTGTTGCCAAGGAACGATCACTGCTTGGTGGTGAACCTAGGTCATACTCTTCTGTCGCATCAACCCGACATTGTTCGCACTTCATGTCAACGCGGCATCATGCAGCGCACTCAGGGGCAATAATATGCCGTATAAATTGGATGAGGAATTCACGCATTCCGTTTCTTATAATTGCTTTTTGTGTCCCAACATCGTCTATTTGAACACGTTTGTTTGATTCAATCTCAATAGTAATATGTTGATCTTGTCTCGCTTTACGGTTGCTCTCACCTTCACATCCTCTATCTTCGGTGCTACTATCCATGCAGTACCCTCCCGCCGCTCTGGGGAGCTTTGGGAGGGATTAGAACACGAAGACGTAGACCTAGGAGGTCTAGCACCCTCTCGCCGTTCTGGGGAGCTTTGGGAGGGGTTGGAACACGAAGAAGTAGACCTCGAAGGTCTAGCACCCTTTCGCCGTTTTGGGGAGCTTTGGGAGGGGTTGGAACACGAAGAAGTAGACCTCGGAGGTCTAGCACCCTCTCGCCGCTCCGGGGAGTTTTGGCTGAGAGCGGGACATAAAGAAGTAGATCTTATACACTTTCGGAACTGAGACAAAGTCGTCTCGTCTTCAAACCAATTGCATGCCTAAAACGGCCGGCGGGAACGGCGGACTGATGGGGGTACGCCTCACATCAGGGCATTCATGAATTGAGAGACGCGTTAGGACACGGGTGTCCTGTAGACTAGAACGAAATGTCCTGCATAGAGTACGCTCTCAATAGGACAAAAATTGGACACAAAAAAAAAAAAAAAGTAGATGCATCTGGCACTTATCTGACGAAGGAGGCCTTTCCTTCCACTTGTGTTTGAGGTCAGTTGACTGTCGGTGCTGACCTCAATCAGCTTCATCGGCAAATCATTGCAACCTTGGAGGATCCAATTTTGCACTGCATGTGAGCGTCTAACCCTTGAATGATGGGCGTGTTGAGGTTTATCATGCTTGCTTCGCTCCAGGACTTTATGACGAACTCTCTACGCTCGAAGCAATATCACATAGATACTGCACACGCTGATGAGCACCTTACATGCTACTGCCTTGATTTCATTACACGCCAGGATTCTATTCAACCCTTGCCATTTTAACACTGTCATCATCCTCTTATAATTCATATTTATCTTGCATATCCTAGCAGCAAACTTCGAAATCTGCTGGCCCTGTTTACAAACACAACACTGCGACATTGGGTGCAGAAAGCAAACCCTAAGGATTTCTATTTTGTACCCAATATTATGATCGCAAGAGACACGTATTTATTCTTGGTGATTGTTTTGAACATGTTGAATTATTAGGGATGCGTACTAACCATGAGTCGCCCAGAAATGGATCGGAGGTTCCGTCAGACATTATGGTTGCATGATGTTTTTAAAGTAACGGTAGTGTAACATCCTAGCGGACTTAGGTAGGCCAGAGATGGAACAGAGCAGTACATAGACCGTTAGCAGAGCGAGGCAGGGGCGTCTGCGCAGAGCAAACTTGGGAGAGCAGTACGTACTGGCCAGTCCACCGAATTACACCATATTTTACGAGGGCCCAACTGGATCAATCCTCGCTGCTCGGACCACTACTGGTAGTTAAAGTGAACTCTCCGGTCCTCAAATTAACAAAAGAAGCATATGACATGCCATTAACGACGCCGGTACCATACTCGTATCAACGCACGTCCGGGGAACCAGGAAATACTCCCAAACCCAAGTACTGGCTTCTACTCAAATGGCAGCCTATACATACTAAGCTGTTTGGCTGCTCGTGCACCCCATCGTCCTTCATAAACCGACTGGTCACCAATCTATGGAAATTTTCAGAGATAAATGCAGTGGGTGCCTGCCAGGCGGCAATCATTTGTACGCTATACATACGTGTGGATTACCATGATTCGGATGGACAGGTTTTATGCCTGCAGCATTTGAACATTTGTTTCTTTACACAGGTAAGTAGTAGTACTCATCCATGTTGGACTTCGGAGATTCACACAAGTTCGATAGACAGACACGCGATCGACAATACACCTAATATTTCAATTTTCCTTATACTATTCCACTTGATATTCCTTATAACTTGTTCTGTATAAAAGTCTGATTCCGCGTAGTAGTTGCCTTGTGCGCAATGTGCCGCGAGTCAACACGCGAAACAAGTCCTACGTTCAGAGTCCCTGCATATATTGTATGGTAAGTTTAACATGCTGAGATTCAGTGCGAAACAAGGCTTACACGTCCACCCACTACTGGCTTGCCTGGGTCTGGTTCTGGAGACTCGTCTTGCGCACATTGTATGGTGAGTTTGACATTATGAGATTTGATGTGAAACAAAGCTTACACGTCCACTCACTACCGGCTTGCCTGGGTCTGGTTCTGGAGATTCGTCCTGCGTATATTGTATGGTGAGTTTGAAATGATGAGATTCGGTGTGAAACAAAGCTTACACGCCTACCCACTACCGGCTTGCCCGGGTCTGGTTCCGGAGTCTCATCCTGTACGCATTGTATGGTAAGTTTTACATGATGGGATTCGATGTGAAAAAAAGCTTACACGTCCACTCACTACCGGCTTGCCTGGGTCTGGTTCCGGAGTCTCATCCTATACACATTGTACGGTGAGTTTGACATTATGAAATTTGATGTGAAAAAAAGCTTACACGTCCACTCACTACCGGCTTGCCTGGGTCTCATCCTGTACGCATTGTATGGTAAGTTTTACATGATGAAATTCGGTGTGAAATAAGGCTTACACGTCCACTCACTACCGGCTTGCCTGGGTCTGGTTCCGGAGTCTCATCCTGTACGCATTGTATGGTAAGTTTTACATGATGAAATTTGGTGTGAAACAAGGCTTACACGTCCACTCACTACCGGCTTGCCTGGGTCTGGTTCTGGAGACACCTACACACATTTTATGGTGAGTTTGATGCATTCGGTGCGAGGGAAGGCTTACTGGGGCCACTCTCACGACAATGTTACGAGTGTGAACACTAGGGCGAGCGGCCTGCAGACATCGTATGTCAATATGTCAATATTTATCAAGATGCGGGGCTTACTAGCACTTCAGTGTTGACGAGGGCCGTTAAGCCGAGGAGAACAACGAAAACAGTAGAGACGCGGATAAACATGATGGTAAGTTGATTTCACTTGTAGAGAGGTTGTCAGCAACTGATTGTTGGCGCCCTCTGTTTTATACCCTACAGAAAAGGACCCTAAGTCGTCTTTTGGATATATGATCATAGTACTGTGGAATTGAGATGAAATTCTTCAGTAGTATTCATCCACTAGCAAAGAGGTCAGCTATCAAAGCATACGTGTCTCGAGTCAATCCGATTGAATGCAGTTCAAATTGCTGCAGAGCTGGACCCTAAATACTTGTTTTGATCAATCCCCATCTTCCAATTCAGTAGGGAGAAGGGCTCTGTGAGCTGAGTTGTAGCAAACAATCGTATTCCCATCTGTCCTACCATGACTCACTTTCCAGCTGACCGAGGTACCAAAAATCATCAAAACCACCGTTCCTCCTCGTAGCAATGCATGACAAACGGCAAAAACGGTATGTTCAATGAGCGGTATCACTAGGCCAGCGCAGGGTGAGTTTCTAACCTTGTGTATATGCGATCTACGCATGCCATCAATTATAAATGTTCATTCGATCCTACTAGGTTCTGATAGGTCACAGCATAGGCGCCGAGCAACGTGGTAGCACTAGTATGGAGGTTGTACACTTAGATGGTAGGGCAGGACCAGGCAGAGCGACTTTTTTGGTGTCAGGACAAAAAAAAGAAATCTCATAAAAGATGTATAGAAGGCACCACTGGACAGAATGAAATAAACAATTGCGGGGTGGAAACGAACATTCCCAGTGAGAATGAAATTTGTTATCTCTCGAAGAGGAAACTTCGTGCTCACCATAGTACCTCGAACACAGTCACAACCTAGTATAAGGTCTCTTGAGATGGGACTATGGAATATGGTTGAGCTTCGCTAAGAAATTTGCATGATTAGGACGGACGAATAATTGTTTGCACTTCTAAGTTAGATGGTGTGGCACCACAAAATTTGAAGTCAAAAACAAATGCACATAGCTGTAACAAATTGTATCCAGGTGCAAAATGAGCGTATTGCAATAGTTTTTCTGATGTCAATTTATGCACCAGAATAACGACACCACCAATTAGCATAATAAGCTATTATATATGGAATATATGATTAGGATTGATGCAGCCTAAGAGTTGATGCGGCCGTGATGCGACATGGTTGAGCCTGACGTGTACGGGCTGATACGGGAGAGTGCTTGTGAGGTGGCATGGATGAGACTTTACACGGCACGAACGAGGCATGGATATTATAAGGCCCGACATGGTCGGACGAGGCTTGATGCCTTTTCCTATTTGTCATCCAATATTAATGACCTTTTTCGCACGCTGTCTCTTATTCATGTCTTGAAACTTGTATCTTAGCTTCTACTTTCTACGGTACAAACAATGAACATTCACAGAACATTAATGGTTACTAGAGTCCAAGTGAACTCGGACCACCATTAATCGACAGCAGAAGTTTGCGACATACTCAAAGGTGATTCATCCCCGGCACAGTATGACAAGAGGCTTGCTGACTCGCGGCTGATTGTACATCATGTGCTATTTGTCTAGTGTCCGTATGCATGGCAGCTAGCAACCATGTCGCAGCTTAATTTTGGGAATCTTAATGGCAGGTAAGGTAGACGACATGCATTTACTGTAAACATCACGTGCTTTGACCTAGGTGTGACGCTACATTAGCCCGGACGGATAATTGCTTTGCGTTCGGTCATATTTCTCATTATGGACTGTGTTAGTCGAGCTTAACTTTATTTACGCCAGGGTAATTGGATGAGCGTGCTCCTCGGCAGCCTTGTCCTTTGGGTCTTCCCGAAGTTTACTCTCGATTTGGGCCTGTCCCTATGCTTTCTACGAGTAATGCCTTGTGCATGCTCCTTAGCAGCCTCGTCCTTTGGGTCTTCCCGAAGTTTACCCTCGTCTTGGGCCTGTTCCTATACTCCCTGCGAGTAATGCCCTGTGCATATTACAATGTGACTAATACATCTCATGCAATCCTCATTGCCACCTCCTTGAGTGGGGCCTGCAGCCTGTGTCTAGCGAGACTCAGTGGGATAAGGTTCTTTACCTCTTCTCACTCGAATTATTTGTCTCGCTAGGTACGCTGTTCTTATTCAGTTCCTTTCTCTTTTCTCACTCGGATTATTCGTCTCGATAGCGAAGTTTTTGAACACCCACCCCACTTACTTTCCCGCCCACGTTGTACGATATGTATAGTTGTAACGTAGTCTCTCTTGACATGTCATAAACAGATAGTCGGAGATAGATGATTTGTTGCTAGAGCCTTTCTCTACAAGATATTTGTCTCCAATTTCCCAAACAGCAAGAATATTTAAAATCCAGGCCTGGCGAGGTAGCGACTGATGTAACATCGGAGCCATGGAAAAATGGCCTGACGGACAGTGAAGAAAATTTAAATCAAGGCCTGGTGAAAAGCGACTGTGACTTGAAAAAGGCATAGACACCATACGTGAAACTAGATTCAAAATTGAGGCTGTTCGTGCACCCGCAGCCATAGACCAGCTGGACATTAGTCTATGGAAAATTCAGAGATACATAGATGCAGTGGATGCCTGTCAGGCAGCCGCAATCGCTTGCACGCTATATGCACGTGTGGACTACCACGATTCAGATGGACAGGGTAAGTCTTACTCTCTGCAGCATTTTAACATTTGTTTCTTTATACCGGTAAGTGGTACTCATCCATGTTGGACTTCGGAGCTTCACACAAGTTTGATAGACAGACACACGATCGACAACAGACCTAATATTTCAATTTGCCTTATATCCGAGCACTATTCCACTTGATATTCCTTGTAACTTCTTCTGCATAAAAGTTGCATTCCGCATCGTAGTTGCCTTGTGTGCAATCTACCGTGGGTTGACGCGCGAAACAAGTCTTACATTCAGAGTCCCTGCGTACATTGTTGGTGAGTTTGGCATGCTGAGATTCGGTGCGACAAAAGGCTTACACGCCCACCCACTGCTGACTTGCCTGGGTCTGGTTCCGGAGTCTCGTCCTGCGTATATTGTATGGTGAGTTCGAAATGCTAAGATTCGGTGCGACAAAAGGCTTACGCGTCCACCCACTGTTGACTTGCCTGGGTCTGGTTCTGGAGTCTCGTCCTGCGTATATTATATGGTGAGTTTGGCATGCTGAGATTAGGTGCGACAAAAGGCTTACACGTCCACCCACTGCTGACTTGCCTGGGTCTGGTTCTGGAGTCTCGTCCTGCGTATGTTGTATGGTGAGTTTGGCATGCTGAGATTCGGTGCGACAAAAAGCTCACGCGTCCACCCACTGCTGACTTGCCTGGGTCTGGTTCTGGAGACTCGTCCTGCGTATGTTGTATGGTGAGTTCGAAATGATGAGATTTGGTGTGATACAAGGCTTACACGTCCACCCACTGCTGACTTGCCTGGGTCCGGTTCTGGAGTCTCGTCCTGCGTATATTATATGGTGAGTTTGGCATGCTGAGATTAGGTGCGACAAAAGGCTTACACGTCCACCCACTGCTGACTTGCCTGGGTCTGGTTCTGGAGTCTCGTCCTGCGTATGTTGTATGGTGAGTTTGGCATGCTGAGATTCGGTGCGACAAAAAGCTCACGCGTCCACCCACTGCTGACTTGCCTGGGTCTGGTTCTGGAGACTCGTCCTGCGTATGTTGTATGGTGAGTTCGAAATGATGAGATTTGGTGTGATACAAGGCTTACACGTCCACCCACTGCTGACTTGCCTGGGTCCGGTTCTGGAGTCTCGTCCTGCGTATATTTATGGTGAGTTTGGCATGCTGAGATTCGGTTCGACAAAAGGCTTACGCGTCCACCCACTGCTGACTTGCCTGGGTCTGGTTCTGGAGACACTTCCTGCATACATTTTATGGTGAGTTTGATGCATTCACTGTGAAGGAAGGCTTACTGGGGCCACTCTCACGACAATGTTACGCTCGTCAAGGCGAGCACTGGAGCGAACAGCCTGCAGATATTGTGTGACACTATGATCATATTTTACAAGATGCGAGGCTTACTGGCACTCCGGCGTTGACGAGGGCCATCAAGCCAAAGAGAGCGACTAAAACAGTAGAGACACGAATAAACATGATGTCGGTGAGTTGATTTCACTTGTAGAGAGGTTGCTGGCAATTGATTGTTGGCGCCGCCTATTTTATACCACAGAAGAGGTATGATCATGGTACAGGGGAATTGTATTCATCTACTAGCAAAGGGGTCAGCTATCAACGCATACGTGTCCCGAGTCAATCCGATTAGATGCTGCCCAAATTCCTGGATACTTGTTTCGATCAATCCCCGTCTTCCAATTCAGCGGGGAGAAGGGCCCTTCGTGCTCACTATTGGAATAGTTTTTCCGATGTCAGTATACACACCAGAATAACGACACCACCAATTAGCATAAGAAGCCATGGAATATATGATTAGGAATTTAGGATGCTGATGCAGGCCTGGGAGTTGATGCGGCATGGTTGAGCCTGATGTGCACAGGCTGCGGCGATATGGGAGAGTGCTCGTGAGTCGTGAGGTGGCATGGATGAGACTTTATACGGCACGAATGGGGCATGGATAAGGCCCGACATAGGACAAACACGACGGTCAGCAACACCCTAAGTCTGTTGTTGGAGCTCTGATAACGATCCCATAGAAGGGAACAATATAGATTGCTGGTTACAAGACTGCAATGGTAGAATAAACAAGGTCCAAAACAAGGAACAAAACTAATTAATTCCGGGAATGCGCCATAACCCAAATTGAAGGTCCGCTAGTCCCGGACCGCCTTTTTCATCCACTCCCAAGGTCGATATCCTCATCGACGATCTCTCTGAATGTTCCTATTCTCCAATTGTATACTCCCCAATTCAGCATTGTATACCTCCATTCTCCTCGAGGTGGTATACAAATTTTGAAACGTTCCCGTTCACGTGTGAGGAAAGTTTTGAATGCTTCATTGGTTCCATACTCATTCTTTAGGTCCTGTTCCGGCTCCCAAGTATTTTCTTCTCTCAGCTGTCCTCTCCACTTCACCAAATATTCCTTCTTGCCTCGTCTCTCCCGACTATCCAATATTTCTTCAACTTCATACTCCCGGTTCCTCCGAGATCTATTGGTGGCGGCGGCGATTGGTCATTGCTGTAACGGAGAAACGGGTGATGTGTAGGGACGGAGAAGGACGGTATGGAATACTGGATGGATCCGCTTCCAGGTGCGAGTAGGGTTTAAAAGTCCAGTTGCACAACCGGTCAAAGACTGCAGACCGAACCGTACCGCAACTTTTTAAGACCGAATTTTCGGTCTCGGTTTCCCTTAATTTGACATCTTGCGGTTGCCAGTTTATGCTACGTTCTGTACAATCCGCAAAAATATCGTCTAATTTTGAAAAAGTTAAAGGGGGGTAAAAGAGTCTCAATAATATGCTAAACACTGAAATTTTTTTCAGTAACTATTGAAGTTAGATCTAAATGTGACGCTCGCTAAAAGCCATCATCGACTATTCGATGATGGCAACCAATTTACTCGTCATCAGTCATTTACTCTTAGTTGCCTTCATTTTTTTAGATTCTTTCATATTCTATGCCCTACAGTATTTAAGCTCGTGGTTTACGTAGTTGTAGGGCAATTGATCTTATCCCCCGAATATCACTTTGGTTCTTACAGTTACCCTGTGTGAATCTCTAGCCTATTCAAACCTCAACTATCTCGTGTACACAATTCATTAATCGTTTCATATTTTTAACTTCGATAAACCCAAAGTTTTTTCCCCCCCTTCCACTATAGTCGTTGTCGAAGAGGCTTGATCACCCTCTGAAACATCGACTCATCTTTAAAAACAAACTCGACCCAAGAAAAAAAAAAACCACCTACAATATCGTTAGAAAAAGGAACATGCCCGTGAGCGCATTAGAACTTGCCTCCCTCTCTCCTCGACTGGCTCGAGGAGACCGAGCGTTGATGGCCGCGTCTCCGACAACGGAGGCGCTGAGTCTCGAGGCAGTATCCCTGCCTCTGGAGACAACAGGAGCAGTAGCCTGCTGGCTAACCCTGCCCCAGAAATCGGTCCTCAGGACATGAATGGGAGGACCCCAAGGTCCCCCAATGCAATAAGTGCTGTAAACAGCCCCGCTGTTAATAATTTAGCGCCATCACTGACTGATGAGACGCACCGAGTCACGGGAACTCGAAACATTGGTGCGCTTGGCACAATGTTCAGTAAAGATCCTCCTACTGGAGACGTTATGGGACAATTACATACCGTAGTAGTCCCTGATAATATGAATACTCCTCGTCTACAGCCTGTCTTTGATTGGTCAGAATCAATGGATGATGAAGAGCTAGGCAACGTGCCTGAGCTCCCAACCACTAGACCAAGCCCTGACACATCCCAAGTCAAGCTTGAGACTGCTAGCGAGCCTGCTGAGCAGGACAACAAACCTGAACCCATTAGACGCAGTGTCTTAGTGAATTACCTACGAGATTGGTCCGAATTTGACGAGGATATGGTTGAGTTCAATCGCCCTGGACCAAATGACTCCGACGAGTCCCTTCGGAAAATCTGGGACGATAACAACAGAGGCAGCTCCATTAGAGTCCAAAACTTCGCCCTAAGACAGTTCCGCAAAGCAGCCAAAGAAGAACTCACCAAGAAGGATGAGGAAAATGTCAATCTACGAGACTGTATTGCAGAACTTGAACTGCTCATGATAGAAGCTCAGACGAGAGAGGTGATGGCCCAGAAGCTGTTCAAAGAGGCGCAAAGTGCCCCCTGCTCCTGAACCCACCACCGCAAACTCAATGCCTGCCATTGTAGAGACACCCAAAATCGAAATGGTCGTCAGTAATGAACCCCGTACTGTAGAAATGGTGACTGACCCACCAGGTAGCAGAGACCCCGCACCTGATAAAACCAGTCAGAAAAAGACTGATACCTGATACTGGAGGGCATCGTCCCTCCTACCTAAGAAAAGTTCAGTTAAACGGGCAATAACAGGAAATCACCCTAGCGATTCTGACTCGTCAAGCCCGTTGTCCGATTCTGAGAGTGACAGTGAGGCGTCATCCACTGAATCCTCGGATAATGAGGAAGATATGAGATGGAAAATTGAAAGGACCTTCAGGAAGTCTTCAAGTAAGAACCTGACACCTTCTACAAGGAAGAAATCGAGGACATTACCAGGAATGACGGATGGATACCTGTCCGACGACCTCAGTGCTCAACTCCTTGCTTTAGAGCCCGAGTCTGATCACGATAGTGACTCGGACAACACTAGGAAGACAAAACGACTCGCACAATGAGAACACCGGGCACGATTAATTCTCCTGAAATATCAGCAAGGGTTCTTGAAGCACGAACCCCCATTCACTTACAATGGGGAGGTCAATGTATCCACTTTCAAGAAGTGGGTCCATGAGGTGCGCGCATGGCAGGACAGGGCAAAGCTGTCAACTCCCCAGAGCTTAAGCATGCTCGGGAAGTATCTAGGAAACAATGCTTATCGATTCTATGAGCGAGACATTCTTGATCTGAAGAAGCGATACTCACTCACCGAGTTTTTCGAGCAGCTCTTTGACTACATCTTCCCGACCAACTTTAGGATGTTGCAAAGACAAAAGTTCCTCGATTGTTGCCAAGATGGCAAGTAATCAGTTCGGGACTATATCCAGCGTCTTCGTGAACTTGCAGACACCACTGGAGACATCAACAAATGGGAGCTGGTACGACAGTTCTGGATGAACTGTAAGCCCTTTATCAAGGCCTCACTAGTGGATAAAGGCTATGATACAAACACCGTCAGTATTGATATGATCAAAAGGAAAGCGCTACGCACCGAACGTGCATTTATAGAAAATGCAAAAGACCCCCACGTCCTTCTAGCTCTAAACCCCACACTCGCAGCAGGACTTGCTAAAAGGGATACCAGTCATAACCGACACAATTGCAGGCATCACAGCAGGTCAGATCGACGATCTCGAACTCACTTGATCTCTGCTAATTCAGTGAATACTTGAGCCCCAAGCACTCGAAGTGACAACCCCCGTCGCAAAGGCCCTGGAAACCCTCGTGACTCCAAACCAACTTGCAACAGGACATACCGAAGCCCTGAGACCCTAAACAAACTCAGGGATTTGAATCAGTGCTTCGAATGTGAGCAAAATGGGCACTTAGCGAAGGATTGCCCTAAACGCCACCGTCTACCTCCAACTCAGCACCCAAAAGCCTCGTCCCTGTGCTCAAATGCAATCGGAGTGACTGCTGCTGACATAAGATCTGCTGCGATCGAGGAAGGTTTTAAACAAGGCCTGTATGGCTTTGCTGTTGGAATCACTGATAATGAACTCGATGAGTTAGAACGCCTGGAGCACGCCAAGCACTTAGTAGTGACTCACCAGGCATTATCTAATCTGCATATTGCAGTACCCCTTACCACTGATGAGTTGGAAGACCCCATCTATTATTCCTATAGACCAGACCGTTTCAGCCTAACTCAATGGGGAGATGCGAGCACGTACTTACTATCAGACAAGCACAATAACAACGAATACATCGTATATTACTCGCAGCTCAGCGACCCAGCATTCGATATCGTTATGTGGCTCACCATCTTAAAGATTCATAACTTTAAGTACCTTACCCACACCAAAACATCACTACGACCTACCTCACCAGGCCCAATCACCACATCGTCGAGGCTCGATCCCAGTGAGGCAGAGGACTCCGACTCCTCGTCCTGGGTTACCTCGGAATGGGGAAGTAGTGATTTTGGGGACAATATCAATGATGCCCCTGACTCCACATCATCCGATGACCTGCCCGGTCTCGAAACTTGCGAGTCGAGCGGTGAAGAGGAGGTGAAACCTACAAGTGAGCTCTTTTTCGGCATGGTTAACAATACTAAGGCTGACTTACCTGACTTGCATTCTCTCCATAGACAGGCAGCCAGACCAAAGTCTTCCGCCCGTATTCTCCCTAAGTTGATCATCGTCGCTGTTCTTCTTAATGGGAAACCGTGCAGAGCGCTTCTAGATTCCAGGTCGTTAGCAGACTTTGTATCTAGTACTATGGTGGATCAATTGAAACTAAAGTATGTGATGCTAGAGAAGCTCATACCACTCCAATTGGCTGTGTCTGGATCCAGAAGCGCCGTCAAAGCTACTACAACAGCCGAATTTGAGTACCAGGAAATTAAAGGTGTACGCACCTTCAATATTGCTAACCTAGAGTCCTATGACGTCATTCTAGGCATGCCCTTCTTGTTTCAGCACCAAGTGTTGCTTGGATTCAACCCATCTGAGATAAAAATCCGTAGCTTAGAGGCCTTACCAATTCGCAGAGCGCAGACTCAGATTCTTGAGCTGAGGGAACTGAACGTCCTAAATTGCACGATTGAATCATACTCGCTGGAACTGAGAGACTATGCTCAAGACATTTGCAATGATACTGTAGACACCCCATTGCCCCTGCTTCAGGTAATTAATCACGTCATCCCACTCATTGACGAGAATACGACTTACTCCTGGAGGCAGTCCAGATGCCCGGAAGCACTGCGTTCCCTCTGGAGGACTAAACGGGATGACTACATTCGCTCCGGGAGATGGGAGTTCTTTAGTGGTACGAACACAGTACCCATGATTATGATGAGGAAATCCACTAAAGATGGTGAGCTGCGTCTATGTACTGTTTTAGACATGAGAGAGTGTAACAAGAACACTCGTAAACTGGCCTCCCCTCCACCTGACATCAAGACGATCCTGTGGAACATTTCGTCAAGACCATTCCGATCACTCCTGGATGGGAAGGATGCTTATGAGCAGATCCGAATTGTTCCGGAAGATGTACCTAAATCACTCTTCGCTACTCCTGATGGTACAATTATTAGCCATGTTATGCAAATTGGAGACTGCAATGCAGGAGTGACGTACCAATCATTGATGAACCATATCTTTGGTCCGTACTTAGGTGTATTTATGGACATATACTTGGATGACATAGTCATCTACTCTAATTCTGTGGAAGAACATGTCCAGCACGTCAAAACAGTAATCGACACCCTGCACAAGCACAAGTTCTACTTGAGCGAGCACAAACTTCAGTTCTTTAAGAACGAACTCACCATTCTTGGTCATGTCATAGATGAGGAAGGGATCCGCCTAGATCCTCATAAGGTGGACAAGATATTACACTGGAAGACCCCTACCTCTAAGGAACTCCTGATGCAATTTATAGGATCAGTCGGCTACCTCACAGCTGGCTGCAACAGCGTACGTGTACACATGCAGCATCTATCCAAAATCGCAGCTCAGACAACTTGCTGGCAGTGAACGCACACGGATCAACACGCCTTTGACCTAGTGCGTGAGTGCGTCAATGCTCACAGGGATACTCGAAGGAAAGCACTTGACTTACCAAACACCCTAAACGGATCCTCCCCCGTCAACTTAGTCACTGATGCTTCATTCACAGGTGCAAGCGGAGTTCTGTCACAAGGCGAATGCGTACAACAGGCAGATGTAGTAGCCTTTTGGTCCGGGAAGTTTAACTCTGCTCAGCAGAACTATCCCATTCACGAACAGGAACTATTAGCGATAGTAGAGTCCTTGAAATGGTTCCGTCACCTACTGATTGGAGTTCCATTTCACATATTCACCGATGTAACAATGGCCACGGCGCTGGGCTCGAAACCAGGCAATCCAATACCTACGTTCATACCATTCCCCGACCTCCCTTGACCTTCCGAAGGCCGTGCGCACTTGTCCGAACCTTCTGCAGGCAGTTTTTCGTGTTCTGAGACCTGTCCGAACCTCGCAAGTTACCATACCATGTCCTATCCTCATCCTTTTGACTTTGCTGGTGCATTTTCCTTTATTCTAACTATATGTTGACTACGTCTTAGTGCTACACGGATGACAATCCCATCAGCATCCTGTCGGGAGCCTCGGAATACGTATAAGCAGCACGCATTGCGGCTTATTACATGTATACTTGTATTCTTGCACGCCTCGCGGCTTATTACATAGGTTCGGACTTGCTTATCTCGCTACTAGTTTCGCCTACGGATTCCGGCCTCTCATGGAAGTAGGATATAATCTCGCTCGCTGGCTACTAATAGGGCACTTCACTTCCCATACTTCGAGCAGTAATTAGTAGAGTCACCTTGGTATAATCGTAAACTGCGCAATTGATCCTAGTTCATTCAGAACGATTGTCTGGCTAAACTGCTGCCAAGTTCGCACTTCATTTATTCTTGAGCCCCGATAGATTAGCATTGTTCTGGACTTCGGACGTTGCGCAAAGTCTTATACTGTTATTCAACACACCGACATACCAACACATCGACACACCGACATATATAGACCTTCGGACAGCTTTTGCAAGCCTCGGAAGGCATCGCGCTACTTCGGACAACACTTTCGCAGCCTTGGACTACCTTTGGTCGCATCGGACAAGTTTCTCGGTGCTTCAGAAGTAGTCTCGGAACTATGGACGAGCATTGAAGAGGTTTTCTTCCAATATATTGTCTACTCTCTAACTGTATAAGACTTCCCTTGCATTATCAAGGTAGTTTTTAGGTTGTCTCTTGGGACAAAGCATACTCGCATCCCTCAGGACTAGGGACTCACACTCAGTGGAGCCCAGACCAGATCTACTCTTTACACCGACCACAAGGGACTGGAGTGGATCACCACTCAAAACAAGCTGTCTCCTCGCCAGGCCAGATGGCTAGAGGCCTTGAGCGAGTTTGATTTTCATATCAGGTACCTCCCAGGCACTGACAATGTATTGGCGGACGCTCTGTCCAGAATGTACAGCAATGAACCGGCTGGCACTGGTTCGGCTACCTAGTGAGTATGTCAGCATGGAGGAAGAAGACATACCACGCAGTCTCCTACTGAACTTTGTGACTGCTCCAGTATACACTGGGACACCTCTGTTCCTGGGTGCTATGGAAAACAGACGGTCAACATGAATAGCTGAGGAGCTAGTGCACGGGCACAGCTCGGAGGACACGAGGTCACTCAAACATGCCGTCAGCATGGACCACAGCCTGCACGACACGAGGTTGCTCAAGCAGGCCATCAGCATGGACCACAGCCTGCAGGACACAAGGTCGCTCAAACAGGCCGTCAGCACAGACCACAGCCTGCATGACATGAGGTCGCTCAAACAGGCCGTCAGCACAGACCACAGCCTGTACGACACGAGGTCGCTCAAACAGGCCGTCAGCAAAAACAACAATGCGAACGACATAAGGTCGCTCAAACAGGCCATCAGCATGGACCGCAGCCTGCACAACACAAGGTCGCTCAAACAGGCCGTCAGCATGGACTGCAGCCTGCACAACATGAGGTCACTCAAACAGGCCATCAGTCGTGACCCCACCAACATCCCTGGCGCTGTTGACCCTCCAGTCAGCATCCAGGGAAGTGAGACCTGTACCACCCTGCCTAAAGCAGTGACAGGTAGCAGTGGCCCAGCTGAACTAAGCAAGTCACAAGGCATCACCAGACGGCCCCGTTCACAGGGAAGTGACTCACCTGGCTCGCACATAAAGAAAGTGACTCTGAAGTTAGGTAAACCCCCACCAGAATCACTGGAGGGCGGGTCAGCAGCAATGACAAACGACAAGCCTGAAAAGGAGAAAATACAGAAGCTGTCAAACAAGCACCCACAGTCAACTAACCTGGACCATGACACCATAAGCAGAAAGTCTGGGCAATCACTTGACAGTGCGCCCGTTGACGTAAGCAAGTCTGGGCAATCACCTGATCACATCAGTGCTCCCAGTCAAAATAAACAAGTCAAACAGGGACCCACAATGCACTGAATCAGAACACTGCATGCCAAAAGCCACTAGTCCCCTCCTTGAGTCTCCGCCCACCATACCTGAGATAATCAGCCTTGGTGACCCAAACATAGACATCTACAAGTCGATAAGAGGCCAGTACCACAGGGACCCATTCTTCGCCAAAGTGCTGGTGAACCCTGGATTGTTCAAAAACTTTGAGGTAAGTAATGAACAAATATTCCTCAGGGGTGGAGAGAAGCGCACACTGTGTATCCCAGACATCAAACTTGGCCCAAGACATGCCTGTGAGATCATCATCTCTCACGCACACTCGATTCTCGCGCACCTTGGCCCTTCAAAAACGCTACTGTACCTCCGGGACAGTGTTTGGTGGAAAAGCATGGCTAATGATGTTCGGGCATTCTGTGAGTCATGTCCCACATGCCAAGTATCCAAACCAACCAATCATCACCCCTATGGTTTACTCGAAACGCTAGAGGTACCGATGCGCCCTTGGGAAACGATTGGGATAGACTTCGTAGGTCCACTCCCAGAATCCAGGACCCTACATGGCACCTTTGACATGATGCTAGTTGCCATAGACCACCTAACGTCCATGGTACACCTCGCCGCTATGAAACAGACCTACCGTGCGAAGGACGTTGCCGAAGTAATGTTTCACTTGGTCTATAAGCACCACAGGATGCCAGCAAATATAGTAAGCGACCGTGATACACTATTTACAAGTATATTTTGGCAACGGCTCAATCAGCTCACTGGAACTGAACTATGCATGTCCACCTCGTTCCACCCTCAATCTGATGGTGCCACTGAACATGCTAATAGGACGATAACTCAGATGCTCAGGCAAATGGTCTCGCCCAATCAGCGAGACTGGGCAATGAAGTTACCCACAATTGAATTTGCCTTTAATTCAGCTTGCTCGGCCACTACCAAGTACCCACCATTTGTGCTCAACTATGGTAGACTCCTGCCTCCCCTGATTTGGAACACAAACTCCGAATATCCTGGAGTATGTGTGTTTGCTCAGCGGATGAAAGACGCCATTATGGACGCTCACGACTCCATTATAGCTGCTTGAGTGAAGAACACCGAAACCGCTAACCGAAAGCGAGTTGACTCCCCCTTTGTCAAAGGAGACCTGGTGTACTTATCCACCAAGAACCTGTCATTGCCAAAAGGCCGGGTGCGTAAGCTAGCCCCCAAATTCATCGGACCTTTCAAAATACTCAATGACTATAAGAATAACTCATTTCTCCTAGACCTGCCATCCCACCTCAAACAACAGGGACTGCACCCTGCATTTCATGCCAGTCTACTCCGCTTACACATCCCAAACGATGATCATCACTTTCCAGGGCGACAGCTAGAACATGTGTCTGATATTGGACACCTCGAGGAATGGTTCGTTGCAAGGGTCACAGACCACCAGGGATCTGGAACTGACTTGCTGTTCAAAGTCAAATACTCGACTGGTGACAGAGTCTGGTTCCCTTACCACCAAGTCTCCCAGTTGGAAGCTGTGACTCAGTACCTGGAAGCCTTAGGTGTTCCTAGCATCTCTCATCTCCCCAAGAAGCTCACCTCAGTATGAGGCGATATCCCCGTTAGTGCTATTGAAACTTTCCAGGCGGCCCGGGACTCAGTATTCGGTCTTACCAACCGAATAATTGAAAATTTCGCATCCGACGCTCGCTTAGCTCCTGTCGCCTCATCCTATTTAACCAGGCAACCCTTGGAAGCTGCTACTCCATCCCATCGAGACTTGCCCATGCCTCCCTTCACATCTACGTCTCCTGACTCCAATGACATGGTCGTTGATGAGTCTCCCACCGTTGTCGAAGCTGGCAAGCATACCCCTCGCTGATGCGAGTAATGAGAGACGGTGTGCTGTGAAGGCAAACGAGAGGCTACAGTAAGTGTTAGTGAGTGTTAAGTACGACGACGAACGAAGGGATCTCACCTCAGTCTTATGGGAATAGACTGAGGTGGAACAACGCGGGTGCGAGGACTATATACAAGTCCGCGTTAGCGATGATGTAAATAGTAAGCATGTTATAGTACGTGTGAGCAGCAAGATAAGAGAATGAATTACTAACGAGACTTGCAGATTACGTCGAAATATCCAACACTCCCCTTCAAGTCTAGCATAGTCCGAGCATATCAACAAACTTCTGAACCTTCGAACGAGCGAGTGCCTTTGTGAAAACATCCATGACATTTGCGCTTGTTGGGCAGTATACAAGCACGACCTTTCCATCACTGACAGCTTCTCGAATAAAGTGATAGCGGATATCAATGTGTTTCATGTGCGGATGGAATTTGTTGTTCTGGGTGAGGGTGATAGTGCCTTGGTTGTCGCATAGAACGATGGTGGGACTGACAATGGGCACGCGAATTTTGCCAATGAGGCTACAAAGCCAAATGACATCCTTTAGTGAGTTCGTCGCAGCAACATACTCAGCTTCCGTTGACGACAACACAACAATGTTCTGCTTCCTCAATCCCCAAGCTATTGGCATTCCTGCAAGTGATACAATGTGGCCCAAAATTGAATGGCGATGAGGTTGCGAGCCCCAATCAGCGTCAGTGTAGGCCAACATGCCTTCGTTAGGATCTGTGAGGTTGAGACGAAGGTTTCATGTGCCTTTGAGATAGTGCAAAACACGTTTTGCAGCTTGCCAATGGGTTCTGCCAGGGTTTTGGGTGAATTGAGCGAGAGTCGAGGTTGCAAATGCAATGTCAGGGTGCGAGCTGAGTGCAGCCCATGCTAGTGACCCAACGAGTTCTTGGTAAGGGACATTTTGCATCTCATTGGCATGCTGTGCTGTTGTTGGTGACTGGTCAGTTGAGAGCATGATACCAGGTTCGAGAGGTGTGGAGATGGTGTTGGCATGTTGGAGTCCAAAACGATCAATGAGAGTGTCGATGTAAGCACGTTGGGATAATGATAATGTTCGTGCTGTTTTGTCATACTTGACTTCGAAACCGAGCAACCATTTGATTTCTCCAAGATCAGAAATCTCGAACCTCTTCCTAAGCTCATCTTTCAACCATTCTATTGCCTCAATAGAATTTGCCTCAATAGAATTTGCCGTGGCGGCCATGTCATCAGTAGATACAGAGACAACAGTGGATGACTTCTCGTCATGTTTGAAGAAGACCACATGGTCGACAGCTGATCATGTGAACCCAATCTTGCGGAAAAATTCACATAGTGTCTCGTACCATTCAAAGCCGGCCTGCTTGAGTCTGTAAAGACTTTTCTTGAGTTTGCAGACCTTGCCTTCTTGACCAGGCTTGAGATATCCAGGAGGTGGTCTCATATAGATGTCCTCAGTCAGTTCAGCATTGAGGTACGTGTTTTTCATGTTAATTTGGTGGATCTCCCATCCTTGGCTAGCAGTGTTGGCGAGAACGGCTCTGACAGAAGGAAGTTTCGCGACGGCAGCAAAGGTTTCATTGTAGTCAATGCCTTCTCGTTGACTGTTGCTGTTGGCAACGAGGCATGCCTTGTACTGTGTGATGTCGCTGTTTTGTCTTGCTTGGCTTTGAGAATGAAATGGGAGTTGATTATGTTCACATCAGCAGGTGGATCAACGAGGTCCCAGGTGTCGAGCTTCTCGATTGTGACAATTTCATCATCCATTGCTTTCTGCCACTTTTCTGCATCTGGACTACAAAGTGCTTCTCTGATGGTTGGTTCATCGCCAGGGGAAGATGCTAGAGCATAGTGCATGAGCATAGCAAATTCATCGTGCGGGAATTCATCTTCTAAGTCTGGTGATTCTTCTGTCCATGTTGCATTGATTTGTTTGGCTCAATTGAAAACATCTCGGCTATAGTAGCCTGGAGGGAATTGGACACGGCGAGTTGTGCGAGGTTCGGCAGCTGGTTCGTGTTCGGGAAGTGATGCTGTAGGTGAAGCAGGAGGTTGATGATTGACGGTTGCTGGTGGAGTTGATTGGCTAGTTGTGACGGAAGATGGTGTTGGTGTCACGGGAGTTTTTGGTGCTTCACTAGTGGGTTTCGAGGTGTTGTGAAGGACAATGCTCTCATTCTCCCCTTCGAACTGCACATCACCTGTAGTAGTAGCTTCATCAGGAGCAAACCTCACATCTCGTTCAACTGATACTCGACGGGTGTCAGGCCAGAAGACTCAATACCCTTTACTCTCGCTGTCATACCCTAAGAACTTCCCAGCTTTTGCACGTTCATTGAGCTTTCCCGCATCTAAGATCTTGATGTAGATGGTGCAACCAAATCTCCAAATTCCCGAAAGGTCAGGTTTTTCGCCATGAACAACTTCGAATGGTGTTTTGTTGGTGAGAGCTTGTGTGGGTGATCTATTTTTGAGGTAGACGGCGTGATTTATGGCCTCAGCCCAAAGAGCTTTAGGGAAGTCTGCACCAATAAGAAGAGCTCGAGCATGCTCGACGACAGTTCGATTAACTCGCTCGGCAATACCATTTTGTTCGGGAGAGTTGTGGACAGTGTATTCATGATGGATTCCGTGTTTCGATAGATATTTCTTCATCTCGTCACTGGAATATTCACCACCACGATCAGATCTAATGAACTTGACCTTGGCATTGTGCTGGGTTACGAGGCGTGCAATGTGCTCGGTGAGTGCTCTGAACACTCCACTCTTCTTCTGAAGGAAATCAACAGTCATTTCATGGGAATAGTCATCCATGAACATGACATAATAACGCTTCTTGCCAAGTGATTGAACTTTAGCTGGACCCCACACGTCAGTGTGGATGTGTTCACCATACTGGGTGGCTTGTGAATTCAACTGGTCAGGGAATGGTTGCCGTGTGATTTTGGCTTTGACACATGTCTCACAGAATGTGTTAGAGTCAGGAGATGAGGTGATCTCGATACCTTCAACCATGCCCTTGGTTATCATGGCCTTCATGGCTGCAAACAACATGTGACCCATGCACTGATGGAGTTGAGTCAACGACATCTTCGTTTTTGGTTTTGCGGGGGCTACTGCAGCTGTGTGCTTCAATCCTGCAATCCAATAAAGGCCATCAACCTTGGGAATCCTCACAATGAGCTTCTTTGGCTTCTGTGACCAGATTTCACACCATCCCAGCTCCATATGGATCGATAATCCCGCGCGAACAATTCGGCTTGTGGAAATGAGGGTAAAGGCTATGTTTGGCGTGTATAATATGTCCTTTAGTGTGACTCGGGAACGTGCCTGACCATTTGGTAGCTCTATTTCAACATCTCCTCGTCCAACAGCATGAAGAGTTTGTCTGTCAGTGACATTAATAGGCTTCGGATCAATGGTAGCAAAAGTCTTGAACTTCATGCGGTCAGGACAAAAATGGGAGGTGGCGTCAGAATCAACAATGGCACTTCGCTTTTCGGCAGGAACTCGAAGTACATTAGCTTCGTCAACGCAATTAGAGGTCAAAAATGCATAATCTGTTACGACTTGGATGGTATCTGTTGGCGACGCTCAAACAGAGCGTGTGTTGTCAACGGTCGAGGACGTCCTTGGGCTAGCCCAAGGTTAGGGGTCTTACTTGGCGAGGCTTTGGCAAGTAAGATTTGACGCCTATGTCCAAATCGGGTAGCTTATGTCAAGCGGGTGCTAGACGATAAGCTGTATCTGCCAAGGCTTACGACACCCGAAGGTTAATCGTAAGATCGTCGTTAATTAGAAGGACAGAAGTCCGACTAGTTAACAGGGGCTTTGCTCGTCGACGAAGTCGATGAGTAAAGATTGAGACTAAAGACTTATCTGCGAAGAGCAGATAAGAAGATAGAATATAGACTGCTGGCTAGGCAGAAAGGATCACTCTGGTGAGAGTAGGAGGTCAAGAACCAAGTAGATTCAAGTTAAGGAATATGGTACATGGTAGCGAGTTTATATAGAGGACAGGAAGCGTATTAGTGGGTGATAACTCATACTACCAAGAGAGGTAAATGGCAAAGGGTAGAACCATAAAAGGAAGGCACGTTCGAGGTGAGACACGGGTGATGTTACGACTTGGATGGTATCTGTTGGCGACGCTCAAACAGAGCTTGTGTCGTCAACTGTCTGTGGACGTCCTTGGGCTAGCCCAAGGTTAGGGGTCGTACTTGGTGTGTCTTCGGCAAGTACGATTTAATGCCTATGTCCAAATCGGGTAGCTTATGTCATGCGGGTGCAAGACGATAAGCTATATCAGCCTAGGCTTACGACACCCGAAGGTTAATTGTAAAGATCGTCGTTAATTAGAAGGACAGAAGTCCAACTAGTTAACAGGGGCTTTGCTCATTGACGAAGTCGATGAGTAAAGATCGAGACTATAGGCTTATCCGCGATGAGCAGATAAGAAGATAGAATATAGACTGCTGGCGAGGCAGAAAGGATCACTCTGGTGAGAGTAGGAGGTCAAGAACCAAGTAGATTCAAGTTAGGGAATATAGTACATGGTAGCGAGTTTATATAGAGGACAGGAGATGTATTAGTGGGTGATAACTCGTACTACCGGGAGAGGCAATCGGTAAAGGGTAAGACCATAACAGGAAGGCACGTTCGGTCGAGGTAGAACGTGCTAGATAAGAAAGTGAGTCAAAGATCGAAAATAA